ACACGACGTTGCTTCAGCATCTGTCAACGCCTTTCTCTGGGCGACGGGCATCGTTCCGCGCATCGCGCCAGTTGCGCAACGGCGGACGCATCTTTGCATCAAGAGGTGCATGGCCTGGATGCCCTAAACGAGAACCACATTCCCCCGACACTCGCTGAAGACCTGGAGCGCACGCTCGAAGACAGCCCGCCATATCAAGTCCAACGTCCAGCTCGCACTCAAGACGTCGTCCTTCCCTAGCCCAGCGCAGGTGCTGCTGACAGAACAACTTCATCCCCCCATTCGAGACCCAAGCCTCAAGCAACCGCAGCCGCTGCTCCCCGAGTCGCACGCACGCTCGCAGTGCTTACACCACAACCCCAAGACAACGAAGACAGCCACCCTTATGGGCGTCCGCGCAGCTTCTGGGACAGTTTACACTATATCTTTTCCCCAGGTGGCGATATCATAGGCGTCGTGGACCCGGGCCCTTGCTCGCCCGCCGCGCAGATGAACTACGTCCAGCGCGGCAACGCCATGCGCGACTTTCTCTGCAATTCGACGCGACGGCCCGAAGCCATACCCACGGCGCCGCAACACCGCGCTCAAGCGACTCACGAACGGCTGGCATCGCTCCGGAAGTTTCCTTCTCCGCAACTCACCCGGCGTTGAAACGCGCTGCATCGACCACTGCCGCCGTTATCACGTCATCCTCCCTCTAGCAACATCACCTGGCTCAACGCGCGCAAAGCCCTAGTCCCCTCCTCCACAAAGGCAAGCCAACGCGCATCTTCTCCCCGCATCTTGTTCGACCCCACAAACCATATCCGATGTTCCAGCAGCGGGCATCGCAAGCGTGGACAACGGCCTAGTCTCCGCTCCTCAGCCTTATACGCGTGCTTCGGTTCCCGTCGGCGTCAGTCTTGGCGTAGGCGACGTTCAATTTCGTGATTGTATGGCTACGAGGTGCAATACATTGTGATCAGCGGAATCAAGGCCCGTTGAAGGAGCGCACGGCGGAGAAGCGAAGGGACACGATGCGCAATCGCGTTGCGAGCAGGTGTGATGTCGAGCCGATTAGTGATGGCGCCTTGGGGACGCATGTCATGTCAGGCCCACTGGGGCTTCGCACGCTGCCGAGCACGCTACCACACGTCTTACCTAACGACAACAGCTGCCCCAGATTGAGGCTCTGCGCTACCATCCGTACCTTGCAAATTTTACCTAACGACAATGCCTTTCCCCAGACTGCCGCTCCGCGTCCTCCGAACTCTTTACATAACAGCAAATCTGCCCCAGATCGCGTCCGCAGCATTGGGTCAGCCCAGGTGTCAGCTGTGCTTCCGGCGTGCTTCAACTTGCTTCCAGAAGCCGTGCTCACCGGAGTTGATTGCGTAGCTGCCTGTCCTTTGGCTCGGGAAGGTAGACGAGTGCGGAGGAGGCCCGTTCTCCACGTGCATCCTTCCCGAGTATTCCTCCGATATCCTCATATCGAGCGCATATGCTCGGACATATATCTCCATGTTGCGCAATTCTCTCCGCATCTCGTATGCCCATCGCAAATAATTCCTGGCGCTTGAGACCACCATGTAACCACTTACAGCATTGCGGCACATTATACCATATACTGTACCAGCACACAACCATCTCGGGGTTGTTTGCGATTTGATGCCATCGTGTAGCGATACTGGGTCGCATGACAGCGCTTGGGATCTGGATCTTCGAACTACACCTGTAGCGTGTGTGTGTACCATTGCAACTTGTCAATTGATGCGCCATTTCCACGCAACTCCGACCTCCTCTATATGCGCATGCTATCTCTGCTATCTCTTCGCGTGCCCACGTATATCATCGATATTGACACAATTCATTCGAAAATGCGACAAGAATGACGTATTTTCGTTATTTCGCTATCTCGGGAGGCATTGTTGAACAGATCTGAACGGACCCTCATCCCACAACGTAGGCCCAGAAATCCACAAAAGATAAGCGTCTATTTCACTTGGTCCGAAGTGCTTCGGCCTTGTTCCGGTCCTGGCGCTCGTGCTTGTCGTCGCGCGCAGCTGTGGTGGGCGGCCTTGTCGCAAAGCTTGCCCGCGCCACCTAGGATGCCACCACCGATTGCGCTCCCCCAGAGTGCTCTCGAACGCGTTCAACATGCAGTGCGCGGGCGCTTGACACTGGTGACATTCGACGATGCAAAAAATGGAGTCATTTTACCGTGTTGGGCCTAGTTCGGTAAAACCTCGCTGTACCTGCACCAATTTTTCGCGGCTTAGTGCGGCTCCAGGCCAACTTGCCTCGGTCTTTCGCGGCTCCACGCTCACACGCCAGCGTGAGCATCAACCATCATTGTCCACTACCACGAAACGACCCACGTACCTGGGGAAACAATGCGCGCGCGGCGACCTCCACATCGTTCCTGGGTCTGTGCCAGCCGATGTCGGTCGGTCCGACGATTCTTGCATATGTAAAGTGCGTGTCGTCGCCCTTGGAGGCAAGATTCATCTTCGCGCGCCATCTCTCGTTGCTACACCGGATCAGACATCAGAGCAATATGGCCTTCTCCAACGACAAGAAAGCCGACGACGTCGAGTACGGCGCTCAGCTCAAGGCCGAGGACACCAACCCGACGGGTCAGACCGATGCGGTCTTTGGAGAGATTGTCGAGGGAGGACCCAACTACCGCAGCGTATGTTTCCGTAGTGCGGTTCCTACCAAACGCATATTGACGCCTCGCAGGTCAGCTGGTGGGGATCCTCCGTCATCATGATGAAGACACAGATCGGTCTCGGTGTGCTATCTATCCCGGCTGCATTCGATGCGCTGGGACTCATTCCGGGCATCATCTCGCTTCTTGCCATTGGGTTGATCACACTGTGGTCTGGCTACATGGTCGGTACATTCAAGATGAGACACCCCGAAGTGTACGGCATCGAGGACGTGGGGCAGAAGCTCTTTGGGCGCGCAGGCCGTGAGGTGCTCGGTCTTGCGTTCGCTTTATGTGGGTCTTTACCTTATGGAAACATGGTTCTCCAGAACCTCAGAGTTGAGCGTGTGAACTGACAAGAACAGTGTGGACGTGTGTGGCTGGCTCCGGTATGCTGGGTATCTCTATCGGCTTGAACTCGTTGTCTGAACATGGCACGTGTACTGCTGTCTTTGTGGCTGTGGCCGCCTTTGTCGGCTTTGCCATTGCTTCGATCAAGACCTTGGGCAAGCTTTCTTGGATTGCGTGGGTTGGTCTGGTTGGCATCATGTCAGCTATCATAACCCTCACCGTCTCAGTCAGCCTCCAGGATCGCCCCTCTGCGGCGCCTCAATTCGGCCCCTGGGAGTCTGACTTCGAACTTTTCAAATCGCCCACCTTCGCTGAGGCATCAGCTGCTCTATCCAGCATCGTTTTCGCGTTCTGCGGTATCCCTGCGTACTTCAACGTCGTGTCCGAGATGAAGGACCAGAAGGACTACTTCAAGGCCCTGTCGCTGTGCCAGTTCGTCATGACCTCGATCTACGTCGCCATCGGTATCGTCGTGTACTATTACTGCGGATCGTACGTCGCGTCGCCTGCGCTGGGCTCCGCCGGTGTCTTGATGAAGAAGGTGTGCTACGGTCTTGCGCTTCCGGGTCTGCTTGCCTCCGTCGTCCTGGTCACCCATGTAAGTTCCATCATGTCTCCTCCGTTTGCTCTTTGCGGACAGTGTACTGACTTCGAACAGCTCGTCGCCAAGTACTTCTTCATCCGCACCCTGCGCGGAACGAAGCATCTCAGCCACCCCACCACTAAGCACTGGATCACTTGGTTCGGCTTCACCGCCGCCGTCTCCCTGACCGCCTACGTTATTGCGTCCGCGATTCCCGTCTTCGGTGGTCTCGTTTCCCTTGTCGGCGCACTTTTTGGCACTCTCATGAGCTTCCAGCCCATGGGCTGCATGTGGCTGTACGACAACTGGCACCGCTCCAACCGCGACTGGAGATGGAAGGGTATGGTCGCATGGTCCATCTTCGTTATTGTGTCTGGCACGTTCCTCCTCATTGGTGGTACTTATGGATCGATTTCCGGCATTATCGACTCGTACAACAAGGATGGCGGCACCAAGGCTTGGACATGCGCGGACAACTCCAACTCGAGCGGTGGTCACTGAGTGTGGCTGTTGGAATGAGAACAATTACATGATAGTGCTCTAGTCCTGTTCTTTTAGCGTTGCATACGCATGATTTGAATACCAATATCTTACCTCAACCGATATGTGTCATACCGTGGATCTTTAAGTGCAGCAAGCTCTTGCCGTAAGATCGTTGCGTTGTGTTATCCACTGATGCCTGCAGTTCCGGATGAAAGGTGAGACGCGGACTGGTGGCTGCTTCCAGAGGAGACTGCCAGTACTCGCAGTGGCAGTTGCCCGAGCCTTCCGCACGATCTATCAAGGCTGTTGCGGGTTGGGTGCAGTCGCAATCCACCTGTCTTGACAGCATATGGGTGAAGAGATGCGGTAGTGCTATCGTGGCTGGCTTGGGTGTCGAGAGAAGGCGTTATCGCGTATGGTATCGTTTATCGTAGAAGGAACGAGGCGCAAGGGTAGCGACTTGTGGAGTGGACTTTTGAAGTAAACTTGCAATATAAAGACGCGGGCAAAGGTCAAAATGGCAGGGATTAATGCATGTGAGATTGGGAAGTAGAGACGCAAAGACCGATAACTCGCGCAATATCGAAAGCGAACCGAATTGCAGTAGATATGAACCACACGGCGACAATAACACCACCTACCTTGGCCTACGCAGGCGCCTTGGAGCCTAGTACTCATCCTCCGGCCCTGGGTGCGACGGGCTTCTTATCTACTTAACTTTTGCGCCCTACGCCCTCACGCCCTACATCTCGTCCTTCTCCGCAGCTTTCCCGCAGGAGATCCCCGCGGAAAAGTGGGTCCCACACACCGACTTCGTACCTTCCCTTTCTTTCACAGAATCTGGTAAGACCTTCCCATACTGGATGCGCTTTCCGCAGCCTTATCTGAAGGTCCACCATCGTTCGTTATGGCTTACCTGTATGTGTCGAGACACGCTCGAGACACTTGGTGACCACGCGACGGGACGTTGTCCACGCTACGGGAGACCGCGCGCCCTGCAGAGATCGTCGCGAGGCATCGCGCATGGTCTATGGTTTAGCAAATTAGAAGACGTGAAGTCGACACATGTTCGAAATGGTCCAATGTGGATTGTGGCTACATCGCAACGCTACTACGTGGCGTATTTCACAGCAAAAGTAACCGAGTCAAAGGTATCCCAGTCCTCCTCGCTCTCCTCGCTGCCGAAGATCCGCAGTGCGCTCACTTTCATTCGATACGAGCCCTCATCAAGTACCGTACCATCTGCCATCAGTCCGTTGAAGTATGCGCGCACTTCGCCTCTTCCGACGTACGTTTGTGGGAAACCAGCCAACGCACCCAGTATCTTGTTTCCCTGCAGTACCTCAACGCGCACCAAAGGCGACCCGACAATGTTGTCAACGTACATGTTTGGCGTGTTTTGCATGTCACCGCGGTCGGTGAATGGCGGGTTCTCGGGATCCGGTCGCAGGATTGTGTACGATCCATTCGCAGGAGCAGGCGAGTATCCTTGCGCGAGATAGACTCTGTCAGTCGTCGCAATCGGCACGTCGCGCATATTTCCGACGACACCCAGATATGGCAGATGAAGCTTGTCGCCAATGCTGAGGAAGCCGCTGTAGACCGGGAGCAGGGTCGCGTTAACACCCGCTGGTGGTGTGAAGTCGACGGTCACCTTGGCGGACTGGCCAGCGGGAACGTTGATACGGTCGGTAGAGAAGGAGACAGTAGCCCATGACTCAACGGCAGGGTTGGGGAAAACACCTGTACGTAGCTCAGGGACGTTGGGTTGCATGGTATAGACTGTGACGGCTTTGCGGTGGCCCAAGTCGAGGACCTCGTCGGTAGAGCCAGTGTTCTTTATGCTGAAGGTTCGGGTGCCGACAAAGTGCTCCGTATCGTTCAGCATGAGACTATCGACATCGAGCTCAAGAGTGGTGTGGGCAGCGTTCCACGCTTGTATCAGCCCAGCACCTTGCTGTGCGATTGGCGCCAGGATATCGGGGTGTGCAGTTGTGCCGTCGTGCCATGCGAGCGGCTTGGATGTGTGCGTGAGGATCCTGCGAAGTCGCTCTGGTTCCAATTTGCCGTACACTTCACCAAGCATCGCGTAGACACCTGCGACCAGCGGCGTTGCCATGCTGGTGCCAGTCATGACGCGGTAGCTACCCAAAGCTGTCGGGTACGTACTCAAGATGTTCTCTCCTGGTGATACAATCTGTGGCGTCATGCTCAGCTCCCAGCTTGGACCCCAGCTACTCAACTCGCCGGCGACGTATCCGCCGGTCTCGTTGTTCTCGAGCTCCTCGAGATGCGTTTGCGTTCCATTCGCTGGTATTGTCACAGAGACGGTGCTGCCCTGCGAAAGGAGGGAAAGCCAACGCTCAGCAACGTATGGGACAGCCTTGACTACTCCTTCGATCCCGTCAGCATAGACGTATGGCTCGTCCCGCATCGTGAGATTACTGCGTTCATAGTATACCATGAACCGTGCACCCTTCGCGGCGAGATTGGCGCCCTGGTCTTGCGGATAGCATTGGGTTGCCCGTGAATCCTTGAACTCAAGAAGCACGATGCGTTGGCTCAGATCCGGTGTGTCGTCGGGCAACGGCTTGCAAGCATCATTCACATCGGCGGCAGACCACAGCGGTAGTGTGGTGTCTGCAGTGAACTCAGGAACACCCATCAAGAAGCCGAAGTCGGTCGTACCATTGGTGGTAACGTTGGCATTAGTCGTGTAGGAGCCTCTCTCGAGGAATGTGGGGAATTTCGTGTTGGACACGGCTCCCGTACCCGTGACGCTGTATCCCGTTGCCGGTGTAGAAGCGTAAAACATGCCCTGGCCTCCGCCATTGCCTTCAGATACCACGACAGGAATACCGGAGTCGACAATGCGGGAGATGATGACAGCCCGTACATCCTGCGCCCATCCCGAATCATCGCCATTGGAGTACGAGATGATGTCTGCGCCGTCCTCGACAGCACGAGCAAATGCCAACAGCTCTATCTCGTTCGTGGAAGTGGATGAGCAGCCCCACATCCTGTATGCGCCTAGCTTTGCTCCGGGAGCAGACCCTGTGAAGCCGTACTCGTTGCCTTCGAGCTGAGCGGCAATGGTGCCTGCAACGTGGGTGCCGTGTCCAGCGCAATTGTCCATGGGATCATCGTCCGGCTCAGGCAGTGACTGCCCAGGGACATAGTCATCGCCGATGAAGTCGTACCCTGCTTCTACTAGACAACCCGGACCAAAGCATCCGCCGAGTGCTGGATGGGTGTAGTCGAGCCCGCTGTCAACGATAGCGACGCGGAAACCTTTGCCGGTGACGCCCTCTGCGTGCAGCTTGTCGACCTGGGTCATGACATGAGGGGAGAAGGTGCGCTCGGACGTGGTTTGCCGCTTAGTGTGCTTTTGCTGTGAAGGTGCCGCAACACTTTCCTCGCCCGAACGTGTGGTGATGCGCGTTGGCCATATGTTCTCGACCTGGGGTTGTGCCTTCATCTGACGCAAGAAGTCCCCACCAGTCGAGTTCAAGCTGAACCTCTTGACTTGGAACGAGACGCCTTTGAAGAAACGGAAACTCAGGTCCATGCGAGGCTCAACCTGTACGCCGCTGGCTGCAAGAGACGCGTAGAACGTCTCCGGCGTCTCATTGTCATCCGCGAACTCGACAATGTAGGCACCGGGCATGATGCCGCCTGCCACGGGCGTGTCATTTGCAGCTCGTTGTACAATCGCATTCGGTTGGAGTCGAGGATGGATTGGCGTTGAAACGGCGACTTGCGCACCCAGAACAAGGGCCGCGATGGCGCAAGAGATCTTTCCCATTGTTAGAACGAGCATGAGGGAGATGCGTGTCTGGCATCGCAGCCATGAGGACCATTATATCTGTACGAACACCAAGCCCGTAGCGTTATCTGGAAGCTTTCGGGACATGTAGATGTTCATGCGCACTTCGTATAGCACGGTCAGGTTGCCCAATGTGCCCTGTGTGTGGATAGGAAATAGAAACACCAGCATGGAGATCGTGGATAGTGTCCACTTTTCAATATTAGCTATCGGCCCCTTTCCCCGTTGCGGACTACCACCGGAGAAATGTAGGCAGCCTGCGGACCGAGCCCTGGCTGTTATGACGGTGACTGCTCGAACTCTCTCACACAATTTGATCCGCATCGTAAGATAGCCATGTTGCAGTGCGAACACGATGGGATAACGCGTGATGCGATTTCTTGGGGGTGAAGGACCGAGCTGTGTGCGGGGTCACGAAGGCGCGTTGGCTTCATTCAGCGCGCCGTGAGCGTGCCGCCTCGTATGGAAGTAACCTCACGAGCCCCACGGGATGATTACGAGTGCACATGGCATGTGATGGGAGGCGAAGGATAACGCAGTGTTTGTTCGAGGTTGAAGATGTGACCTCAGCTCATGTCACGCGGGGGTGGCGCCTTCACGGGGCGGGCGCGCTTGGCGCTAGAAGCCCCACCCCGCACCGCCAGTGCACCTTCGTTATCCACCACTCAACCTACGACATTGTCGCATTCGTAGCTTTCTTGAACAAAAAACTGATCATCGATCTACCGGGTACACTTGCGCTTGCAGTTCCATCACTCCCCATCGTCACCACAGCTGCACTCATGTCATGTGTATTGTCGGTGTACCACGCCCTCACATCCGGATACCCAGCCAGTGCAACACCCACACTCTGCGCACTTGTAGCAGAGTTGATGACCACGACTGCGACACTTCCGTCCGCATTGACAAAGGCGCCAGATTTAAGATTCACCCCGCCACTAGCGCCTACTCTCACCGCGCCCGGCCTGACGACGCGGAACTGCGCGAAAGCCCAAAGCCGTTTGCTAACTTGGTAGCTCTGGCCGTCAACCAAGATAAGCTTCTCGTTATTGTTGTTGTTCGTAGCGCGGTCTTGGACGCCTTCCCAGAATATGTAAGCGGACAGATTGGAGTTCACGATGCCGTTGAAGACGGTGTTCGCCCAGGTAAAGCCATCGCCAGCGCCTCCATTGGAATACCACGCCGTGCTCCAACCACCGTTAAGGTCAGAGTACTCGGTTTGCCAGACGCGTGCGGCGGTGCGCATAGTGCCACTGATGCGCGAAGTATACTCGTGTGAGGTGATGGCATAGACGAGGCCTTCGGCACCGGCAGATGCGATTTGCTGCGCGTGTTGGGTTGCGACGTTCCAGCCTGTCGCCTCGCAGCAGTTGATGCCCACGGAGGTCAAGTTCGCACGATCGAGTGTTGGACGAAGGACTTTGATGAAGTCGGCGGCTTGAGTACCGGATGAAAGCATTGAGGCGTACGAGGTAGATAGGTCGGGCTCGTTTAGAAAGCCAAGGTGCGTGACTTTGACGCCGGCTGACGCGTAGAAGTTGATATACGCAACGAGGTAGTTCGCGTAGGCTTGTTTCCAATCCCCGGAGCGACAATTGGTGCCAGAGACCTGTACTGTGTTAGCGAACGCGATGAGAGAACCTCGGGGATGCACGCACACCACAGAGCTGGCCACCGTTGGTGTCTTGGTTGTTTGTCTTCATGCATCCAGGCGCACTCCATGCATTTGCGTAGAAGGTGTTGACGCCATACTCTTGTGCTCTTTGGCTTAGGAACAACTGTCCGCTGTCCTTACCATCCCAGATGTACCCGCTGTAGTTAATGGTGACTTCAGCTGGAGTGCTTGGGCATTTGGGAAGGATCGTATTCATGAAGTCATTGTTGCTATTGGGTGTTGAGCCAATGCCATTGCGCACGATTGAGAAGCCAGCGCCAGTGGTCGTGTTGAAGAGTAGATCGAGAACCTCGCGCTGTTTGGGTTGCTGAAGATTGACGATGAGGTTCGCGCGCTGGAATGCACCTGAGAATCCGAAGCCGTCAATCATCTGGTATCTCTTCGTCAGGTCGATGGTGACTTTTTGCTGCGCTTGGCGACCTTCAAGAGAGACTGCCGAAGTGACATGCGATATGGCCCCAAGGGCCACAAGATGCGATAATACAAAAAACATGATGCGTTCAATGAATATGGAATGAAGACGGTTTCGGGGAACACCTTGCTGAAGTATACACTGCGGTTGACATGTGGGACTCAAACAGGCTGTTTATCGTATCGTTCAATCTGCGATCGGCGCGAATCTCATCAGTATCGTATGGTGATTTGCGGGTTATATATTGTTCCGTGCCTTCCGATCGAGGCTACTATATACACTTCGTATCAGACATGCGGAGGGACAGTACCCCACGATTCCGTTGCGCCGAAGAGACTGAGCACGGATTTAGCCGACATGTCGGGTCCCGCAAGGTGACGGACATCATGAAAGCTGAACACCAGAGAACTCAGCGCAGATCTCTAGTAGCTTATCTTGTGCCTTCTCGTCTTCTGTTGCCTTGTGGGGTGTGCCCTCTCGCTTGCTTGGATGGAAGTAGCACCCGCTCTTCTTAGCCTTCTCTTCTTCACCCTCAGCAAGCATGACGTAGCTTTCGACGGCCGCATCAACGCTGCCTGGCGCTGAACTGCCGCCCATCTTGGTAGCCACCCAGCCAGGATCCAATGCGTTGCTCTTCACGTCAGGCCATCTGCGGGCGAAAGCTTTGGCAAGCAAGACGTTGTGAAGCTTGCTCGCGCAGTAGGCGGCATTCGCGCTATATCGGCCTTCGCCGCGTTTCTGCCAGAGGACGTCGTCCAAACTAGGGGCACCCGATTGATGCATCTCGGAAGAGAGGAATACCAAGCGCTTGGGACGAGTGATCAGTGCGGTAAGCACATACGGCGCAACGGTGTTGACAGCTGCAAGCGCAGGAATCCCCTCGCTTGTCTTGCGGAATGGGCCTTGATAAAGACCAGCGTTGTGAATCACGCAGTCGAATACTCCGAGCTTGTTGACTTCGTTTGCCATGTTTTTGGTCTCCGAAAGGTTAGACAAGTCGCCTGTGACGACCGTGTCAGCCCCGGGACAAGCTGTGGTAGCATCCTTCGCACGCTGAGCGTTGCGCGCATGGAGAACTGCGTCGCGTCAGCGCTTATGTGACTTTCAAGGTGGTCACCCTGAATACCAACGGAGTGTCCATTTGCAACGAGACGTTGCGCGACGGCTGAGCCGAGACCATCGGAAGAGCCCGTGATGAGGATGCGCGCCATCATAGAGCGTGTAGACTGGCGTTTGCAGGCTTGAACGGAACCCGTGGACGTGAGTAAGAGGAGTAAGGTTAGTAGGACTGGCTGTTGCTACAATCTTTGTGGCATCATTACATCATGCCACTACAGAACTCCTAGATACGACGGGCTCGCACTCGCAGCTCGGAAGTTACGGACTCCCGCGTCTCAAAGTGGGCATGGCGGGGAACAGACGGGTTGGCCCCAGCGAAACCCACCGAACCCCAACCGCCCACTGCTTGCCAGGCAGCACTCTTTCCCTGACACTATTGGAGCACGAAAACATACCTTAATTCATACCATGTCGGTGCGGCGCGTTAGCCAGTGCTTATTTGCGATAAGCTCGTCGACCTACGTGCGCCTTGTAGTGATAGGTGTGCCACTAGGCTCGGGTTTCACGCATTTCGGGCCAGATTGAGCTCGGGTCAGGCGTGCCTCTGCGCATCAAGGCTGAGCTTTGGACGCCTTGGATGCAAGAGCATCACAACTTCAAGGTATATAACTAACATGTGTCGCGTCGATAACAATGCCTCAAAACATCATCGCCAAGCGTTTCATTAAAACCATGTCTCTCACCAAAACTCCCCAGCTCAAAGTTCTTGTCAACGGCGCCGGTATTGCGGGATCAACCTTCGCCTACTGGCTCGCCAGAACAGGTCTCAATGCCTCCATCACCGTTCTGGAGCGCTCGCCATTCCCTCGGCCCACCGGCCAATCCATCGAGATTCGCGGTCCAGCAATCTCCATCGTCGAAAAGATGGGCCTGCTGCCAAGCGTACTCGCACGCAACACCACGGAAGAGGGCACACGCCTCATCAACGCATCCAGCAAGATTATCGCTGAGTTTGGAAAAGGTGGTTTCACATCCGAGTACGAGATACTACGATCGGATCTATGTGGCTTATTCCTGGACGCGTCAAAGAGCATGAAGAATGTAAACTACGTGTACGGCGACTACGTCACGGCAGTACAACAAACGGACCAGACGGTGGATGTGACCTTCGACAGTGGAGCCAAAGAGAATTTCGACCTCATCATTGGCGCAGACGGCTCAGCGTCACGAATTCGATCCCTTATCCTGGATGAAGAAACGCGAAAGGGAAGTTACAACTTTATCGGGCAATATGTCGCGTACTTCAGCATTCCCCGCCAGGAATCGGACACGAAGCATTGGTATTGGTACAACGCACCGAAAGGCCGAGGCTTGATGACGCGACCGCATCGTAACGGCAAGACGATTGGATGTTACGTGATCATCACAACGCCAGCACATGGACACTACGATCCTCTAGTCGAAGCAGCGATGGAAGGCGGTCCCAAGAAGCAGAAAGAGATTCTTCATACGTATTTACACGATGCAGGGTGGCAAGCGGAGAGGATCCTGGCTGGTATGGACGCATGCGACGACTTTTATATGAGCCGCGCAGCGTATGTCAAGCTTCCTACTTGGACGAACGGTCGTGCTGTTCTTCTTGGCGATGCGGCCCACGCCACATTTGGTGTTGGCACTACGCTCGCTGTCGAGGGCGCATACTTTTTAGCAGGCGAGCTCGGCAAGATAGAGAGCAGCGACGACATTCCAGCAGCTCTCAAGCGCTACGAAGAGACATATCGCAAGGTCCAAGGTCAAGGTGCAGAATTGCCGCCTGGCTTCCCTCAGTTCGCTTTCCCTCAGACAGCCTGGGCAATCAGGCTACGCGACGCACTCGCCTGGACGTTCTGCAAGACGAAAGCGTACAAGCTTTTACCAGATGACAAGCCGGATGATTCGAAGCTGCCGCCGTACGAATGGGTCGCTGTATGAGGAGGGTATCACGTGGCTATTTGGGTTACTCCTACTTTGCAACAGCGATACCACATGCGATCGTTCTATCATCGCAACCCTTCTTTCTATCTTCAATGCGGGGATTAGCAAACACATGTACTACCGGAAACGCTCATATACTCACACTCTACTTCGTTCTGTATTCCATGATTCATTGCAATATATAAGACCTCTTGCGCTGTCTCGGTATGAGCAAAGCAACCTATCACAGCACCTTGTTACTGCATCATCTTCTGCTTTTCTTTTACAGCATTTTATAATCAGCGTTCTTAGCAAGTCTAGCATCAGTTCGCGATGAGTCCCCCGGAACTGTTTCCTGCGATACATGCGTTGATCGCACCACTACCAGGGACCAGCCACAGTCTAAAGATGTCTATACTACCCCTAACGAACCGCCTCGCAGAGTGGCCGATATACCAGTCTCTACAGCGCAATGCCTGTCTGTTCTCGTTCCTCTTCGTATTCCTCCTTCGCTACCTCCGCGTTCTCATCAGTCTATACGGCACTTATAGATACCGGCCTACACCCATACCGCTAAACCCCACATACCACATCAACGATGTCACAGTCATCATTCCCACCACAGACTTGATGTGCGAAACACTGCATAACGTCGTACGCTCCATCCTCAACCAAAGCGTCCCCAAGCTCATCATCGCAACCGCCGGAACACAAGCCGCAGAACAGTTCCGCGCTTTCCGGACTTTGTTCCCAGAGGGCAGAGTCGTGGTATTACATCGCGTCAAGGCCTCACGGCGCGAACAAACAGCACAAGCCCTAAAACAAGCTGACACACGCCTCGTCATCCTCCAGGACGACCACACATTCTGGCCCCAATCCCGCCGCTTCATCGCGTCCGTAATCGCCCCCTTCGAAGACGCCAAAGTGGGTGCTGTGAGCGCCGATTTGCAAGCTCGGCACCGTGGGCACCCCTTCTCCTGGCCCGGATTCTGGAACTTCATGGGCATGACTTACCTAATGCGCCGTTCATACGAGTACCGGGGTACCTACGGTATCGACCGCGGTCTATCAACGTTACCAGGCCGTTTCGGCGTGTTCCGCACGGCCATCTACGCGTCGCCCGAGTTTCTCAATGGATATCTAAACTCTTACATGCCGTTCAAGAGCGAGCCACTGAATTCTGATGACGACAAGTTCCACACGCGCTGGCTGATTGAGCACGATTGGGACTTTGGACTACAGGCTGGTCCTGATAGCGTTATGACGACGGAATTGGGGGAGTGGCCGAAGTTTATCGGGCAGGTACTGCGCTGGACACGGACGACTTGGCGGAATAATCCGCCGCAGTTGATGGGTAGGTTGACGTGGATGAGACATCCCTTCATGTCGTGGAGTCTGCTCATGTGGTTTTTTCGACAATCGCTCACGCAAGAAGCGTGTATGTACATGACCCTTCGTGGCACGCTGAGGCAGTACGGGAAGTCTGAGTACTTTGCTGTTAGCGCAGTTGCGCTCACGATCTGGATTCTCTCATTTAAGTTCGTTAAGATTCTGGATCACTTTCGCAAATATCCGGGCGATATTGTGTATTTTCCGGCGTATCTCGTGTTCGGTCACTTACATGCGTTTCTCAAGATATACGCTATGCTTACTTGCATGAACGCTTCTTGGACTACGGCGGAGAAGGTAAATGGAAATCTAGGAGCAGCAAAGCTGAGCAAGATGGAAACGGAAGACGACAGGCAGAAGGATGCTACGAAGCGAATAGTCTTAGGTGTACCTCCGGCTGCCCAGAGTATGCCAAAGCGGCCAGCCTTGTTTGTGCGCAGGTCGCGTTACTACTCTCAAGCGCCAGGCGTAGGTGGATGGTTAGGCTGATTACGTTTGGAAGCAGCTAGCATACCACAATCGAAATTGGTAACTAGTTCCCAGTGTCATTCTCGTTACTTCATGCATGTCAAGTCCAAACAGCCCTGGCAAAACATTGTTGGCGGATATCCAAACCCTTACATACCACGCCCGACGCACACAGCCAAAATTACTCGCGAAAAGATTCCAGTTTTGAGCGTGAAACCCAAAATAATGCTGATGACGAAGCATTGCTCACACCGTCCGGCCTGTAGCGTAAAGGTCAGTTGTGTGAAGGTGGTGTGACAGGGCGCTTGCTCGGCTGGGTAAAGTGCTGGGCCCCGCCATGCTGCCCTGCATGCATTTGCGTGCGGTCGACGTCAACGATCCATTTCGCGCCAGTGCCAGCGCAAAGCCCATTCAAGCTTTGTCCCATTGTCTTTGCCCTTGACCCTCTTAATCGCGGCCACTGCCGGTTCTACTTTCTTTTCGCATACCCACTCTCAACCCGCTTCTACGACCGTCTGATCTTTCCAAGGTGTCACCCGATACCCCGCAGCATCACGTCGCGCGACAGTTGTTTGACGCTCGTGTGTGCGACGGTGACCAGCTTGACAATCGCGTGCGTCACTAGTCTTGGTATACAGGCTTGGAAGTTGGTCGCACGCCAGCCCAGGCACAACTTCCAACCCTGCGGTCTGACAGTCAGCCTGGTCCCCGCTTGCAGTTCCCCACTGTTCTGCCCATCCTACCTGCGATCAGCGCTGCACTCACGTTTCAACCATGGAGAACAACCTGAGCGCCGCCCGAGCCTCTCGGCGCTACCTCGACGAGCGCCTTCGCAACGACTGGGAGTACCCCGACGTGCCCGCCATTTGGTCAGCCTCTGACGAAGAGGTCCGCGACGCTGCCGACTTTCGCGAGCGCTACTATGGCGAATCGGAATCTGGTGACTCGGATCAAGAAGACGAAGGGGTTGGCCCGTACAGGTTCGACAACCCAGAGAGTATCGGCGATGCGGTAGCGAGCACCAGAGAGGCGCGCAGAAGGCGCCGTAGAGAGAGGCTCGAGCGCGAGATGAAAGACAACGAAGGACTGAGGATCTGGGTCGAGCGACGAGACGTATGGACAGGCGCAGCGAGTGTCAAGAAGTACGGCACAAACCGACAAAGACAGGCGAACCGCCCTTCTTCTGCGGCAGGATACTCTTCCGAAGAGCACGCTGTCACACCCACAGGCTCCGAATCGCACTCCATCACGAGCGCCACGCCAGACACCTTCGACCTCGTCCCCGTCGCGCCGCGTCTTCTCGACGACAACCCGATCCGTGCCTCCATCACCCCCAAAGCCTACCGCGACATCTTCCAGAAAATCGTAGTCTCGTCGCGCACGCCCTCGGTCCCCATCAACCTCGCAGACATGACCAAGGCGCTGGTACAAGGCTGGAAGGACTCGGATGAATGGCCGCCAAGGGTGGCTGCGGTTGACCCTCTTGCTGGTAAGAAGCGCACTCTTGCTGGTACTCCATCCAACGGACATCATGGAGGTTTCATAGCGCGACACCCTCATCTGGAGAAGAGCGTGGACGGCATGAAGCGGATCCTACATCTCAACGGGCACCACGAGATTGGGCACGAGCATGACAAGGAGCACGAGCATGGTGGGAAAGAGGGTTGAAGCACCGTTTGGCATGAGTCAGTGCTTGTCCTTCACAACGCTGATGCATAGACCATGCAGAAAATACCCTCTTCCACGCTTACCGCGATATCAACGAAGCCCCGCCTACACCAGTGGATCGCACGAATCTGCTGCGCGCTTCCATGTCCTGGCGCGCCCCTCCGATCGATGCGAACAAAGGCAATTCCTGGTCGACGGGGTAGGGGTTGTATGCACGCGCGCAGCCTCTTAGTAGATATGAGCATGCCGGGTGTCCAGACTGTAGCATGACGACTTCGCATTAGCAGTCACAGATGCGCATTACAAGATTGATACTGCGCTGGGCTGCAAAAGATGAGATGATTGCTCGAAAAGAGCTCGCATGTATCTCGGCGATCGTTCTGATAAGATTGATTGATAAGATTAATTTTCCAAGATACCCCACATGAATCCCATCTTTTTACTACACATGACCCGCTGAAATCGTTCGACTTTGCCTGATGTACGAAGTGGCCGTCGTACTAAAGTGCTCGTCCGGATCTGCAGTCGAGAATTCGGCCGATAGTGTAACGTCGGACTGTCGGCCGCTGACGCGAGCGACAGCAGTCACCTTACGCCCCTCGTGCGGGGCTTGTATGCGACGCTTAGTGGAGTGTGGCCTTGACAGCGACGACAGCCTAAAGCCCCATCGCTCGCATCGTTCCCTGTACTTCGCTCTTTCGGGCTCGTCGGCCGCCGAGAGACCCTTGTGGACACTATCGAAGTGAGACTGTTGGTAGTTGAACGGTGGGTAGCCGCTGGACTGCAGCATGATGATCCTCATACAAGGTACAAGTGACGGGGTGTATTTGTCCCGCAAGCGCATAAGTGTTTGCGATAGCCATCTCTTTTCTGCCGTTATTCTTTCGCCTCGTTTTCTTCTCTCTGCTTGATAGATCTTCTTATCAAGACTCTTCTTTCTCGATAATAACCTACCGTGTCTCCTCAAGCAAGCGAACATGCCTGGTACACTCCAAACGCCGCAGCCTGATGGCTTCCCACCTGGGCGCCGCGGAGTCTATCTCCTCACGCACCCTCGCTCAGCATCCAATCTCTTCCAAACCATGATGTCCAAGCAGCCCGGCTACCAGAACTCTGGCTACAAGCTCTTCGACGGCGGCTTTGCTACGCTGATGAATCTCGAGAAAGGGCCACTGAGTGAATGGCCCGAGGAGGAAAGGAACGGGTTGTACGAGACGTTCAAGACGGGGTTTGGCAAGTTGGAAGACGAGTTGGACGACTGTGCGAAGAATGTAAGTAGCAAAAAAAAAACAAAGGAAGAGACGAGGTGAGATGTGGGGTTTAAAGGTTATAAGGGAGGCTGCGCCACAACCGCACATGCTCCCGTCGTGATCCGCCCATGAGATGACGTGCTCGGGCTGCCACGAACCACGAATCGCGGTTCATATCTCATTCGCAACACCGGCTAACAACCTCACAGGGCAAACAAGCCTTCGTAAAAGAACACACCATCTTCCTCTCGGGCCCTGACAGACTCTTCTCCACCGTCTACCCCTCGGACAAACCCCCAGCCCTAACCATCCACCAACGCAATGAATCCCCCTCACTCCCGCACACAAACCCCACCTCCGTCCCCGACAGCCTCCTCCTCTCTCTGCAACCCATCTTCCAAATCCGTCACCCAATCCTAATGTTCCCATCCATGCTGCGCGCCCAAAAAGATACGTTCCCAGACACAAAACCGCGCACCCTCTACACATGCACAACATACACCCTGAAATACACCCGCGCCCTCTACGAATGGTACCTCTCCCAATCCGGCACCTCAGGCATCGTCCCACGTATCATCGATGCCGACGACATCATGAACAACCCGTCCGCCGTCCGCCAATTATGTCTCCAAACAGGTCTCGACCCCGACGCCGTGCAGTACGAGTGGGAGGAGAAGAGTGAAGACAATCCGCTCATGGCCCGGTTTCTGAGCACGATCAATGCATCTAAAGGGATTAAAAAGGGATACGAGGCGAAGGGACTGACGATGGAGACGGAGAGGAAGAAGTGGGCGGAGCAGTGGGATGAGGAGTTTGCAAAAGATTTGGAGGATTTTGTTAGCAAAGCGCAGGCGGATTATGAGTTTTTGTGGGAGAGGAGGGTGACGGGGGAGGGGTTGGAGGGGAACTAGGGGGAAAGTAACGATATGGGCGCTTTAAGATTTTGTTGTGGAATTTGGTAGTAATTATACGGTTTGAGTTGGTATCAAAGAGATTGTACTAGGATTGACGGAATTCACCCACTCGAGATGTGAACATTGATGATGGGCCAGACAATGCAAGCCGCACTTCATGACGGACAGCATACGTACATGTTACTTGCATTTTGACTGTGTCGCTACAAAATATGCGAACTAACTAGACTAGCTCTGTAGGTACGCCATTCAGTACTGTGCGCTCTTTCCTGCCGACCTCTCCACCTCTGACAAACCTGACCATATTGTACATGTAAAACAAAAAATACACACTCATTGTACCTCCACCTACGAATCAACAATCAACAATCAACCACTCATTTCTTCTTCCCCTTAGGCGCAGCCTTCGCCTTACCCTTCCCCTTGGGCTTAACTTCCTCCTCCTCATCCTCCTCGTCCTCCTCATCTTTCTTCTTCTTGCCACCCTTCTTCGGCGCCGCCTTCTTCTTAGGCTGCTTGACGTATTTGTCTTTCGACAGATCAACATCCTCGTCTTCATCCTTGACTTCTTCCACAACCTCGCCATCGTCGGATTCGTCGATTGCTTCTTCGAGATCGGGCTTCTCTTTGGCTTGTTTCTTGGGTTGCGCGACGGAGGAGGCTTTCATGAAGGGGAGGGGGTGGGATTGTTGGTTATAGCTGGGGTTGTGTTAGTGATGTGATGGTAGGGTGATAGGATGAGGGATAACTTACAGTCGTGTAAAGGTGGACTTGGTCTGCGAATCAATCTTGACCTTCTCCTGGTCCATAGGTCCGACACCTAATTCCATAATCGCATCGAAGTCGTCCTTAGTGAGATAGTAGCTGTCCATCAATTCGATGACCTGCGGAATGGCGTCCTTGCCTTCTTTCTGCAGCTTCTGAACAAGATCTGTCCACAGAAGTGGGACGTACTGCTGCCGAACCTCGTGTCGATCGCCGGAAGAACGTAGCCTCATGTGGGCTTGAATCTCCTTGATCATCCGGCTCAGCTTGTTCGTAGAACTGTTCTTTCCCAGCCATGAAGTGAAGCGCGTCTGGTTTCCGGCAGTGCTACCAGCAACATAGCTTGCAGGCCGGACGAAACTGAAGACCGCGTGTGTAGGCATCAAACTCCACTGCTGCTGAGAGCCGTGAATCATGCGATCCACAAGATCACCATCGCTGATACTGTCGGCTGCTAGCGACGCTAGTTCGAGATTCTTCAGGTTCTTCTCTTTGCCGGAATAGTTCAAGGACTGCATTGGATTTGTACCGAGGTAGTTCTCCTGCAGCATCAACGGACTGAACTCATGGTCGTTGAAGTAGAGCTCAATCTTCTCGTTAAGTGTGGCTTTGCTGCTCGATGCAAACATGCCGCCACCGAGAATCTTCTGCGTGATGTCCCATGGCTTCAAGATAACATGCTTCTCCCAGCTTTTAGACATATTCTTGCCCTTGTCGAAATCCATGGCTTCTTGATCGAGTTTGGCTGTAGAAATCATGTTGACGACCTGGCGAATGTCGGCGTGGCTACCCTCAATCAGTGCATTGACGACTGGCGCAGGCATCTTCAGGCCTTCTCGGTACGCGATAGTCATGATGCGTGATCGTACTTGGTCGACAGTGGGTCGGCGGAAAGGCACGTCGAACGTAACATAGTCGAAGGGCTTCATCTTTGGCAGCTTCCTGTCGTTGCAGATGAGGATCATGGGAATCTCCGTCTTCTTGCACACGGCTGCGAGCGCACCGACACCACCACGGTCACCCGCAGACATACCATCGACCTCGTCCATGATCAGAACGAGCTTCTTCTTAGCCGCCTCAACCTTCTTTCCGTCTCCAGCGAAGTAGCCGTGGAGTGAGTTGGTGCTAAGGACGCCGCGTAGACCGTCCTCGATGAGCTTCTTACTTCGGGTATCACTAGCGTTCCTCTCTACGATGTCGTAGCCTTCCAGCTTAGCGACGAGATGCGCTGCGGTTGTCTTGCCAATACCCGGTGGACCATGTAGCATGATGGCACGGAACACCCCGCTACCATCTTTGCCAGCCAACTTGAAGCCAGTCTTGAGGTTTTTGGGAAACATCTGCAACCATCGCTGGATCCTCTCCACAGTTTGTTTGTTGCCGCAAATCTGATTGAGTGATGTGGGCGCATACTTGGTAGTCCATAACCGTGAGTCTACAGCCGGACCTGCACTCTGAGCAGCAGCTGTGACGGCGGAGGCTGTCTTGCTACCGGAAGCTTTCGCTGCTGCCGACAGCTCTTTCTGGCGCTTCTTCTCCTCTTGCTCAAGCTCTGCAGCTTGCTTCTTGATCTTTTCCTCCTCCTTGCGTTGCTTCTCAGCGTACTCGGCCTGGGCCTTGCTGTCGCCCTTGTTGCCAGCCGCTGTCAGCTTCTCAATGAGCACCGTCAGCCCATCTTCGTCGATTGTCTTGATTTCCATCTCCTGGATCTTCCGCAGTTTGCTCGGACCGGCATCTGTGCCTAGCACAACATAGTTGGTCTTCTTGCTTGGAGCGCCAGTGACCTTTCCGCCGTGCCGTTTAACCAGCTCTTGAGCTTCAGTGCGACCCCACTTCTGCAGCACACCAGTAAAGACGAAGGTAAGACCTGCAAGACATGTCTCCGAGCCTGATGGCATCTCGCTAGATCCGCCTCCGAGTGGTGCAGCTTCCCCACGACCTGCGTTCGCCTGCCAGTTGAACTTGGCATTGTCGTCTTTGGGTGGTGGAGTGGGCGCGCGCACTGTGGGGATGCTGTCGTAGATGGCCTGGATGTCTGCGCTATCTTCAACCTCTTCTTTCTTGGCCTTCTTTTTCGCTGGAGATTTCGGTGTCGCAGTCGTGGCTTTCTTGGGTCGTCCCTTCTTAGGCTTCTCCTCTTCTTCCTCTTCGTCATCGGATATTGGCGACTTTCGCTTCTTGCCTGCAGTCGATGTTTTCTTTGGCTTGCTCTTTAGTGCTTGCTCATCCTCGTCAGGCTCCACAAAGTCGTCTTCCGCATCAATGTCCTTCATGTCGATGTCTTCGTCTTCTGGGTCGAAGTCGTCTTCATCCTTGATCGTCTTTTGCTGCTTGGCCGGAGCCTTTGGTGTTCCGCGATGTGGCAGCTTCACGGGTACATCGTCGTCGCTCTCCGAGGCCTCCTTGTAGTCGTCCTTGCCTTTGCCCTTAATGTTGTCCTCGAAGATATCGTCTGCGTCGTCCAGGTCGTCGTCTGGGAACTCGTCCTCGTCATCCCGCTCGGCATAGGATGTGACGGGTTTCTTCGCACGGCCAGATGTCTTAGCATTGGAGGCCGGGGTAGCGGTTTTCGATGCTTTCCCGTTCGCCTTCGCAGGTGCCTTCTTCGGTGTCGCAGCAGGTGTTTCCGCCGCTTTTTTCTTGACAGGCTCGGTTCGCTTGGGCTTGTTCGAGCTGCCAAAGAAGTCGGATGTGGTGGTCTCTTCGAGTACAGGTTCTGGTGTCGGTTCGCGCTTGACCTTCTTCGCGGCGGGCTTCTTTGGAGTTGCTTTCTTCGGTCTGTACAATGTCAGGTTTGACGTCACTAAGTGGAAGATGTGTTCTTACTTTGTCTCTTCCTCATCGTCGTCGTCAGAGTCTTCTACTACACGACTTGTGCGACCCTTCTTCTTCGGCGCGGCCCTCTTCGGCGCAGGCTCATCTTTCTTCTCTGATCCCTGGCTGCCCTTCGGGGGACCGCCGCCAAAGAAGCTGCGGATGTCGGCAGGCATCTTGACGATAGAAAACGCGTACGATTAGTGGCTAGCAGTGTGACGCGTTCGCTGGCAAGCGCTGAGCCGAGCAATGGGTGGAAATGGGGTTTGGGTGGGTTGATGGACGACAGGCGCCATTGACGTGCACGACACGACGCGACTTCGCGCGGTCATTAGGCAATTAGGCAGGCGCATTGACGCCACACCCCCGCGCGCGCCACAGCAGCCACACCTACGTCTTGGCATCAGATCTTCGACACCAAAGTTACTGAACGGCCTGGTACAGGTCCAACATCACAACGCCATGCCGCCACCAAGGATATCACAAAGCCTGCTGGCTCAATTCGGTCGAATAAACATCTCTGCGTCAAGGCCCACACGTACGACCCCTAAATCCCACCTTTCACAGCTATGCTAACGAACCTCCAGTACTCCAGCAGACATGCCTATCTAAGCCCCAACTCTCCACTCCCAACACCACCCGCCTCTTCTCCACAACCCGTCCCGCTCTCAACTACCTCGCCCCCAAAGCCGGAGAATCACGCAAGTCGCGAAAAGGGCGATGTCGCGTTCCCACGGGCGGCAGCATGCGCGGCACAACCGTCGTCTGGGGTGACTACGGCCTACGCATGCGCGACCACGACCGCCGCATCTCCGCGCAACAACTCCGCATCGCCGAAGAAACCATCCGCAAGCGTCTGCGTGGAATGAAATTCCGTCTCTACATGCGCATTGCCGCCAATATCGGTGTCTACACCTCCGGCAACGACGTGCGTATGGGAAAGGGAAAGGGTAGTTTCGATCGCTGGACTGCGAGGGTGGCGGTGAGCAAGATCATCTTTGAGATTCAGGGTGATTTGCACGAGCAGGTTGTTAAGGATGCGTTTAGGCTGGCGGGGAATAAGTTGCCGGGGTTGTATGAGTTTGTGAAGAAGGGGGATGCGCCGGTTATGGGGATTACGAAGGTTGGGTTGAACGGGATTACGGAGGAGGATTTGAAGAGGCCGAGGAGGAAGGAGCCGCTTGAGCAGACGGCGGCGAGGTTGCCGGATGCTTCTTCGTCTGCGCCATCGAATGGACCGAGGGTGGAGATGTAGATGGAGCTTGAGGGTAGAAGCTGTGGACAAGAAGAATTGAGATCGTCTGATACTCCAGCTGCATGGGCGATGTTACCAAGTGCAAATGCGATACGCAGCACGTATTGTACTAGAGCATGTATTGAATTGTACAATTACGAAATCGACAATGGATAGTATGACCAAATCAAACTCGAAGAATGCAGAATCAGATAATGAATGGGTATGTAGGTAACTCTCCTCACGCCTTATACAAAGTGTCCAAAAACCCCTTTGCCAAATCCACAACAACGCTCTTATTCGGCAGACTTCCCGCTACACCATACAACGCAGCAGTATCGCCCTTAACAGCACCCTTCGCACCCTTGCCCTCTGCAATCCTCTTCCGCTCGGCATCTCTAACCTCCTCAGTAACCTCAATAAGATCCTCAATAAGCTTATCTACGACCGCGACAATAGGAAGAGTGACAGCAATGTGAATAGCAGGCGGGTTCTGAAGCGCATTCAAGTGCCATCCTTTACTCGACATGCCATCAGCAATGTCGTAGATATCGAGGGTGTTTGAGAGGAAGGATACGACGGAAACCATGGGGCGACCGATGATCTTAAGGTCAGCTGAAAGTTCAGGCTTCTCGCGAATGGCGGTTTCGATCTTCTTCATGCCTCCGACGATCTTGTGGCAGGCGTCTAGGTAGCCGTTTGCTCCTTGCTTGACGAGACTAGCCCAGCAGCCTGCGATTAGGGCACCGGGACGCGAGCCAGCGATAGATGGGGATGCGTATACGCCGCCGGACCAGTCGGGGGAGATGAAGTATTGGTACTTGCGGTATACGTCGGAGCGGTAGAGCACGGTCGAGTTTCCCTTGGGCGCAAAGCCGTACTTGTGCGTGTCGCACGAGATGCTGGTCACACCAGGCAGACGGAAGTCAAAGGGCTCGAATTCGAAACCCGCCTTGGGTAGCATGGGGATGATGAAGGAACCCAGGCAGCAATCTACATGTAGAGGAATCTTCTTCTTGACTGCGAGTTTGCTGAGGCCGGAGATGTCGTCGATAATGCCATGGGGGAAGTTGGGTGCAGAGCCGACGAGGAGGACGGTATTCGGGTTGATGAGACGAGAGACAGAAGGTAGGTGGACTTTGTAGCTCGGTGCTTTGCATGCCACGAGGTGCATCTTGATCTTGAAGTACTCGCAAGCCTTGCGGAAAGCCGTATGTGCGGTTTCGGGCAGAATCATCTCAGGCTGAGTGACGCCACGCTCAGCGTACGCCTTGTTGCGTGCGGAGAGACAGGCCATGAGGATAGACTCTGTGCCGCCAGACGTTGTAACACCCGCTGCATCGTCAGGTGCGTTGAAGAGGGAGAGCACCATGGCCACAATCTCGGCTTCCATCTTCCTCACGCCAGGGAACACATCCGGATGGATGGGGTTCGCAACAGTGAACTTGCCAAACGCCTCCGTCTGAAGCCTGATCAACTCGTCTCCACCGTGGTATACCGCACCGCTGACTCTTCCATCTTCCCACCGGGTATGTTCCATGTCGGCCAGTTCGCCTAGCTTCTTGCGCACCTCCTCTTCGCTCCATCCTTCGCTGGGCAGACTGGTGATGCGCTCGACGCCGGGACCGCTCGGAACAAGTTTGCGTTCGAGTTTCAGAAGCGATTCAGACACCTGTGCCTGTACCTTGTCGCGCACGCCGGGAAGTCGTAGGAAGACGCCGTAAAGGTAGCGGCGAATGCTAATGTAGGCATCGCTGATGGAGCCGAAGATGCCGCGTCCTTTGAGTTGGTAGAAGGTAATGCGTGTCCAGCGCAGGAGGAAAAGGACGAAGATGATGTTGCGCAAGCTGAGTATCTCATGTCAGTACTCCGCTCATTCACTTTATCCTTATCGGGTGGGAGGGGCGCATACACATCGATGTTCAAGGCGACGAGCTGGCCATTAGCGGAGCTCTTCCGCGCATTGAAAGTGTCGCGGAGGCTGACGGGCAAGCGCGACGAGCCGGGCATCGTGGGCTGAGTGTGAGTAGGGTATCAATCAAGTCTACGCCAAAGACATGATAGTAGGAATGTGGAGTTTGGGTCGCGGGTTGGCGCTCTGGTTAAGCATTCGCAAGAGGGCTTGCCATGTACGTCAATCACATGTCGCAGCCACTGGTGCAACGGCTTCGGACTGCCGAGGAACCCGCGTCCGAGATCCTGAGCGGGGCATTTCCTCTTCAGGAAAATACTCCTACACAGCAGCCATTCGCAGGTAGCTTCAAAGCCATAGTAGTCGGATTATATTACTTGCGAAAGAGGCAATGAACGAAATGTCCAAGTTCTGGTACGCGATGGCAATGGAGCTGCGGATGAATTCCACGTCCACCCCGCCTCCACCCCCTCACCCACCCTGCATTTTACACTTCGGGAAGCAGCGCCTACACAACAGCCATTTGGAGGACTTGGACACTGAGTGGAAGTAGATCAAAGTCATAGTACCCGGATTATATTACCTGTGGCAAATACAATCGGACATCCTTCTAACCACCTGCCTACTCCATCTGCGCATGCCACCTCCAATGCGCGCCCATGGCAAAACTCGGCATAACAGCACCACAGTCTTCGCAGCGGAAGGAATCGCCCTCTACCATATCCTCCTCATCCTCCTCCCAGACATCCTCAACAACAGGAGACCCAATCTTCTGTGACGATGTGGGCATATCCTCAGAACCTTGTCTCTGTAGTATCTCACCTGTCGGCCAAGCCTCGTCCATCATGTATTCTGCGCGTTGCTGCCGCGCTGCTAGCAACCAGGGCGCTTCGTCTGGTGATGGCGATTCTTCAACTTGAACATGCTCTTCACTCACAAAATCTTCTTCGAGTATCGCTGGCTCTTCATCCACCCTCCACTGCTTCAGCACCTCGTCCTGCCGCTTAAACATCTTACTGATATCCCGCCCAACCCCACCCTTCTCACTCGCTGCATCTGCCATGTTCGTCGCCGCGACATTAACAAGACTCAAATTCCAGCCTCGCTTCTCAGGATGCAGCTTGCGAAACAGCGGTAGCAGTGTCTCGTGAAGCAATTTGTCAATCACGGTATCCATGTCTTCTTTTAGGCTGAAGACAAAGGTTGGCATGGGTGTGGATTTAGATATACGTGCAAAGGACCGATTGCGGCTACCATCTGGGTTCTGAGGTGGGCGTGGTCGGGTTGATAATCGGAGTGTTTTCGGGTGAGCAAGCCAACGCTTTATAGGCTTTGAAGTAGCGGAAGTTGGAGCCGTGGATAAGTCGTGCGAATCGTCATCTTCTTCTAGTAGATCTGTGTGCATTCTCTCGAGCAGTCTCTTGGCTAACATGCGCAACTCTTTGATCACAGCTTCTAGTGTGTCCAGGCGCATGTAGCTATCTTCGATACTGATTTGACGCGGTATCTCGCGAGCTTGGCCAACTTCTGTGTCGTCACAGCCGTTCAGTAGACCCCACACTTTGGTTCCGGTACCATGTGGTACGCCTGGGCCGCCAAGTATTCGCTCGAGCGTCTCCGGACCGATGCCAGGATGTGTCCGTACATTGCGGACAAGAACAGTCTCTTTAGTACCACCATATACCAGCCCAGCATCAAATTCTGCCGGCCTCTGCAGTAGGTGCGTACGAAGCTTTTGTGCGATCTTGAACCCTATGCCGGGAATTTTGCCAACTTCATGATCGTCGATGAAGGCAGTCACATTGTCGACACTCCCATCGTCTTCAGTAGAGGTATAGGGCGGGACCAGTGTAGTCTGAGCCTTGGGCTTATATATGTTGCCAACGAGCTTTGCCAGAAGTTTGTTGGTAGAGATGCCAACCGTGGCCGTGTAGCCCTTCTCTGCCTCGAGTCGAGTTCGTATGTAGTGAGCTAAATGGCTTCCTAGAGCCAATCGGAGGTGCAGCAGATCGGGCGTGGTGCCTACGTTGGATCAGTTCTCCAACGGTCTGCTATGCACAGAATCTTACGGCGCATACGGTGGGCACCTGCATAATCGAATCACAGACTGTTGGTGGCAGTCCTATAGGCACGGTTGCTGGTCTCAGTAGCCGCAAGGATTCAGCAAGGGCTGTCAGCCTTGCCGTTCGCGGTCCATTCTATCAAGAAGATAGCTCTGCTACGCCACACCGTATACGTCGTGTGCAGCTTACCTAAGTCTTCAGAGGCCGTTTTTGGGTATAGATGACCCGTCAGCTGCGTCGCATCGTAAGGAAACCCCACAGTGGGATCGTTCCTGTCAAGACAAAAGAAGGCGTTGCTGAGGTCATTAGAATTGAGAATACTGACATTGTAGTCGATCAGGTCGGTGACATCTAAAAACACCTGGCCTGACTTAGCATGACTCGTAAAGACGATACGGTGAGGGAATGAAAAACAGTGGGACTAGAATGAGATTGGAAAAGGTGGCGGTGCTGAGACACGAGGGTTGAGACTGGAAAGAGCGACAAACCTCATCAAAGCCTAAGCGTTCACAACGAGAGTTCCAGGAAAACGACCGCAAGAAAGCATACAGTTCTTTGGAAGCATTCCGGAAGCGGGTAAGATCTTCGCCCAGGACGATGACTACATCTGGGCAGACCTTCTTCGCTTCGTGGATCAGCTGCAGCTTGTGCAAGCCCTGGGAGAGTCAGACTCGACCGATGACACGGGCACGGCGAAAGTCAAGGGATCGTACTCGTCGGCGGGCCTCATAGTTGCATGTGACGACTATCTGTTTTTGCTGCACGGCCAGTGGCAAGCGTCGTAATGCTGGGTTTTCATGTTCAAATACGCTGGCGTAGAAGCAGTCCTGTGGGGAGGGGCACGGTATACGTTACTCAAATGCGCAGACTCGGCCGCACGCGGTAAGAAGTACGTACGTAGTCCTGTGGGATACGAGCAGAAGGTTAGCCAGGTGAGGCCGAGTTAGGGCGACCAAGGCGTGAAGGCTGTGCCTGGTGCTTACGAACAAAGTGGACTATGACGGAGTCGGTCTGTCGTTTCAGTTTCTTCATGGAAGCAGAGGCAAGAGAAGCGCCGGTGGTTGTGCAGCCGTTGCAGCAAGCAGCAGCAATGTTTCAGCGGCGTGCGTCGAAGGTGGAGATGCAGCCGGGTGATGAAGCGCGCGTGAAGGCGCGACGTGTGTGGCCAGGCTCGAAACGCCGCCTGTGGTGCCAAGCGCCGGCCGCGGGTAGCCCAATTATGTTTGCCACGCTGCATCTATCTTTGGAGCGGCCTAGTGGGTATTTTGGGAGCAGCCCCAGCCAGGCGCTTCGTGTCCAAGTCCACCTCCGCGCGTTGGGACCCATGCCATGGATGCGCGCCGCTGCGGATCCACCACGACGGTTGGTGGCATGCAGGACATGTCCCATCTGTTTAATAGCGATGTGCCCCTCTAGCACTCGGCCTGTTTGCCTGTATTCTCCCTTGCCGTTGAACTTGCAGTAGCATCATCTGCCACACTCCCGGCACACGCGCTGCCCGCCCTCCACATGATGCTGTCCACCCTTCAGCCTTCCCACCCAGCATCATCTGCCATGTCCAGTATGACTTCCAGTATGACGTCCAGTATGGCCACCTCGCTGCCTATAATACCTCCGCGCCAGGCCCCGCCACGGCCCAAACTCTCCATCAACACTGAGCAACCGCGCATCCTGGGCAAAGGTGCCAGTCTCCGTCTGGAAACCCTCAGTGCCGTATCACCAACCGTCCGCAACACCTTCTCCAACGCCTATGAGCGCCCAGCGACCGCGCCCACCCTCCAGCGTCCCTCAAGACCCCAGCTCTCCATCGAGAGCGACGTGCCCGCCACTACCAGCGGCTCTACCAGCGCATCAACGCCAAGTTCGGCGTCTACCCTCTCCTCCACACTCACATCGGCCTCCAACGACTCGGCCACCCTCTCAATACCCTACAAGCAACCCCACAACCTCGCCTCGATCCTCTCCAACAGCCCCGCACGCTCGATAATACCACGCAAGATGGGCTCCAGTCGGCCCATGTTCCCCGCCGAGAAGCGCGTCTCATTCCGCACACCACTGGAGGAGGAGATCACCACCACCAAATACACCCTCGCACACTCCGACATTGAGTCTTCCGTCTCTACTCTCTCCTCCCTCGCATCCACCGCATCCACGACCACCGACTCTGACGCCTCGACCTCGCAGCCGTCACTAAGCCTGAAGGCTTTGAAGAACCCCTCCGAAACCAGCATATCGCCCCTTCAGCTCTCCCTCATCAGCACATCGTCGTCTGCGGAGAGCTCACCAAGACCAAAGTCTCCACGCACAGGCGAGAAACGCGACTCTTCATCCTCGGACGACGACGACAGTGATTCAGCTCCCGAAACTCCCGTCGCTGGACGACGGAAGCGGACGAGGGACTGGCGCTGGACACTCGGTCCCCTACCCTCTGACAACAAGTCGTCAGTATCGTCGGCGAGCGATGCGACGATCAGCGAGGACAGCAGTTGATGAGTTGACGGCACGCATGATTACGAACTGTACAGAGCGGGATGAGACGAAGACAAACGCATGCGGCGTTACATCTACATAGCATTTCTCGGTGTTTTATTTGTCACTTTCCATGATACCACATTTGCATATCCTATTGTCCTGGACGAGACAATCCCTAGCATTGCATTGCATTTACTATTACTTTAACTATTACCAAATCTACATATCCTCACTCCGCTCTATCAATCGGAGCGGACCGACACTACATTTTTACTTGCATATCACTATATTAAACACTGCAAATCACACTCTTTTCGACTCGACCCACGCAAGCAGTGCAAGTCTTACCCAAATCCCACCTTGCGATCAACATGACTTGGCCATGTGACAGGATCGTCTGCCGATCGAAAAGAACTGCGGTACGTGCGGGACAGCCCACAGCCACCGACCGCACATGACAAGGGCCCGGTGCCGGCAACACCGCAAGTCTACGCGAACACAACCACCAAATGACAACCAGGGTCTCGGAAAGCAAGCAACCAACAAACGTCCAAGATCCCGAAATAACCCTAGATTACATCAACAGTCAAAACGCCTTCCACCACTTGCCTTCGTTTTTGCCTCCACCTACATGCAACGGTCCTCACTTGCATATCCGTGTGCATGTGCAGCAACCATGACATCACCGCCATGGCCTCGGACCACCCAGCCACCAAGCTTACCTCAAGCTGGAGGCGCAATCTACAATGGCCGTAGCCTACATCCAAAGCGGGTGCGCAATTTAGCCATGGCCACTTCCGTAATAGGACGTCAGATCCGGATTCTCCTCTCGATGTCTACTCGGAATCGAGGGACAGAACCGCCGAGATGTCAGACTGGCAGACTCAGGATACGAAGTACGGCCGGCTTAGCAGTACTGGGAATGGTAAGGTGAGGCTGTACGTCATGGAACGGTTGTAACAGAAGCAAGGTATCTTCAAACGCGTGTCTTCTTTTCGTTTCAGTTTCATGTTCGTTCGAACACCCCCGCTTCGTCTGTGTTGTGTTTGCGACACAGCATGGGGGTCAGTGGGGAATGCGTTTTCTGAAAATAAGCCACAGCGGACCATTTTCTCTGCAGAGTCAGAGTCGCGAAATGTGACAGCTGTCAGATGCGTCGGAGGATATTCGCATCGCAGCGCAAGTTTCGGCCATACATCCAAACAATTCGTGTGACAACCTCCTCCCTCCATATCTAGAACAGCAGTAGACCCGGCTTCAATCTCCACAATCGATACCTAGGTACAAAACATACGGGTGCTGTTCGTATCGTGTTCGTGTCTCTACGACTCTAGCGCAAACCGACTTCACATGTTCCTGGTCTTTTCGTCTCAGAGCCTGCAAGCCCGGTAGAACTCGGTTTTCTTTTGCTTTTTTTCCTCGTACCTGCAGTACACTTGAATTTCTACCGAGCTCACTACCCGGCCGGCGATGGAGGCGCTCAAGCCTCCATTTGCCCAATCGCCGAACTAGACAACACGAACGAACGCGTAGGAACCAGCACCATCCTCGTCCGCATACACGTCGTCATCGTACCTGAACAAGCGCAAACACGGCAAATTGCATATTTCAACTAGTTCTACTAGCTTTTAGCGAGGACGCGTCCGGATCTCGTTGATGCAGTCAGCAATGGAGGTTTTTCACGCGGGAGTGCTAACGAAACGCGGCTTGCCAGGGTTGGCGGCTTAGTGTGGTGTTCTGGAACGCGAACCGCGTGGTCTGGGAGATGTAGATACGGGATCGGGAGGGATTGGGATGGGATTGCTTTTGAGGCTAAGAATAGCGTGAGAACCGCTAGTGAACCGTTTTTTTCTCCTGGATGAGATGAGTTACGATGCGATGCGATGGGACTGTTTGGGTGGATGGGAGTGGTGTCGTGGAAATTGCGGTGTTGAGTGTCGGGTTTCCTTCTCTTCTGTAGGGGGGTGGTATCACGGCGCATGTCTTGCACTTGCCTATACAGCCATCCATCAGTCCTCTAAACATCTTCCCGCAGGTATGGATTCTCGACGAGTCCAACCATGGTAGATCGTGTGAGCAAGTCACCCTCCACTCCACCCAATCATATCCATACAGTGACCAGCTCAGCACCCCCCTGTAAGATAGTGTTGTATCGATTCCAGTAGTCTGAACTACTTTGCCGAACCCTCACACCAACAGTACCAAGCGAAATGAAGATCTTCAGGTACGAACTCTACCATCCACCCGTGCATTCCCTCAACCACGCGAGAGAGATCTAGAACCTGCTGGTCCGTGTTCTAATATAATAGCGTGTGCGTACTAAGAGCCACGGAGCGGAGTCGGAGTGGGCGGAGCGGAAAGCACGGAACCACGGAGATGAGGTGCTAGGGTAGGGGTTGTGAGGTAGTGGATATTTGGGACTTGTTAAGATACTGGGTACCTATAGATGTTAGTATGGGAGTTGGGAGGTAGGCATGTGTATGAGTATGTGTATAGGTGTATAATAATTCTGTAGGTTAAAAGGTAAGTATTAGTAAATAATCGTTATTCGTTGAATGAGCGGAGTTGGATTGTTCTAGGATTTAAATCTTGCTGTCATTCATATCCGTAATCTAAGAGAAAAGTCTAGTATCGAAGCATCTCTTAAAGTAAGTTGCTGATACCACGCCCTTGGACCCCAAGGAACCTCTAAGCAGAGAAATAGCAAAAGTCTACCATCTTACTCTCACTGGCACCACCAATACCAACGCCAGCGCCTACCCTCCCATTGACTCCGTGACTCCGTGACTTTGTGTGGACACGACGCTTGCCATTACAATCCTATCCATCCCATCCATAAACGCCATACTCCATCCCCACCCCATCCCCCCAACCACCATCTCAATCCTAATACCCATCCCCCCAACCACCATCTCAATCCTAATACCCATCCCCACCCGCAGTAAAAACACTCTTCCCACTAGACATCAACCAAACCCCCACCCCACAAATCCCCATCAAGAAGACCGCAATAAACAACACAAACCACACCATACTCCTCCGCTTCCCCCAATACCTGGCTAACCTGCCCAGGCACCCCCTCCCCGCCTCCCTCTTCTCCCTCTTCTGTTCTTCTAGCTTATACGCTGCGGCTTCAGCGGTGACGCGGGCAGCGCGCTCGGCGCGCAGCTCTGCCTTCTCGTCTTCTGAGATCTCGGAGCGGGGGCGCCCGAGGGGGTGCTTGTGTGTGAAGCGTTTGGAGTAGAGGCCGTCGGAGCAACCGTTGGTGGGGATGCCGTCGGAGGACAGGCTTTCGACTATTTTCTTTGCGTTTGTGGTGTCGTGGGAGCGCCATGCGGCGTGGCGGTTGTCGAGTGTGCCGTCTTTGGACCAGACGATGATGTCGTCGATTGCGGAGGTTAGGTCGTCGCCTTCTAGGTCAGTGGTGAGCGCTGTGTAGAGCTGGAGGTCGATTTTGCCAATGTCGACGCCGGCTTTGCTCAGCGTATTCGCGATTATGTGCCAGGAGTTCTTGGCCGAGGGGTCAACGCCGGATACGTTGGCTGGGTTGCGGATGTAGAGCCAGGCCTGTGCATAGTCGACGAAGTCGTTGAGAGAGAGATTGGTTTGCTTTACGCCGTAAGCGGCTGTGTGGTTGAATAGTACGAGGCTGTCATCCTTGGTGACAAGACCTTGGGGGTACCAGTTGTTCTGTTGCTGCCGTGCGAAAGGGAGGGTGCGGAGAGAAGATAGGATGGCCACGAGGGCGCGGTCGCGGTCGGTGTATTTGTGCTGTGTCCCAGCAGAGATGTAGTGCGTGTCGTAAAGGGGGGACTCGGGCGCATGCGCGAAGTCGTCTTCGATGATGGCTTGGACGCGATCGATCATGTTGCGGGTGCTGAGTACTGTGTTTACGTCAGCAAATAAATTCAAGAAGTGTGGCTGGAAGACGCAGTTCTTGCATCTCCTCTTCGTTCATCCGTCACTCAAATGCTACTCACAGTAAGGCACAGCATCGCAAATCCGACACAGCTTCAACCCCATGAACTCCACCACAACATTTTTAGCCGGCTTCTCATTCGGCGCAGGCACGGTAAGTACCCCTTCCCCAACTCCTCCGTTCATCGTAGTCTTCCTCCTCGGAGAAGACGCTCCAGAATTGGTTTTTCTGGAAGCCCGTATAGTATGCACACTCGACGAATCAGAACTCCAGCCTTCATTGCCGGCAGGCCCAAGACGGTAGCCGTTGGGTGTTGTGTGTACTTGCTGAGGGATGCTGGGTTTGGAGAATGATTTCGGTGTGGAAGGCGAGGGAGATGGCGATGTCAATGTAGAGGATGACGATGTGAAGGGTTGAGTCTGTTTGGTGTAGCTATCCGCAATGGGGGTACTGTAGGCATTACATGGTTGGGCTGCCTTGTCCTCTTCGTCACTGACGGTGGCGGCCCGTGAGCGTTTCCATGCGGCTTTTGAGCTCGACTTCCCAGCGGGGACGATAGTGTCCTGATGCGGGGTCAATGGATATCTAAATGTGGTGAGCGAGTTTGCGTACCTTGCTACCATGCCGCGATGGAACGCCGTCGTTGCATCGCAATATTGTAGCCATTGCGATGAATGGCGGTCAATGAAGCTATGAATGAAAGGAAAGAAGACACTCAGTCCATCGAAATGAACTGCAAATGGGATTGAAGAGAGATCAAAATGCAAGAGAATCGAGGAAGGAACGGAATGTATCAAGTCGGCGTCTGGCCAATGCGTACTGGCATTACATGTCGACGAAAACCAGACCAAGTCACCGTCAGGCCCCTCACAATATAGACAATCATGTTCTCATCAGCACTCGACATCACTCATGTGTATGGGTACGTGTTGTGGATCGCTACCCTGGATCGCTCAACAACCACGGGATGTGTGACCCCTCATGTTGATCCACCCCAATACAGCTGAACAACCAGACTTGCTCAAGTGGAATGTTTCGCATGGTTGTTTGTTGATTCGTACTCGGTATTTGAACGCGCGTGTTGCCACCACAGTGGTCGGTTTGAGGACTGCGATTGTGCCGTTTCCAGCCTCAATTGTCGTCATTCAACGCTTTGGCATCTTCTACCGCTGCTCTAGCAATCTTCTTCAGCAGGGACTTGAAGTCCGCCTCCCGATACTTTTCCCAACGATCCAAACCCTCGCTCGCGTCGATTGATAACGTCTCGTACCCCTGCTTGATGACGGTGCTGACTTCTTGTGGGCTAAGATGCTTGGACCGCGCTTTTCCATTGCTCTCCAGCAGGGACTGGTAATGCGACGACACGTTGATGAGCGTCTGCATGGAGTCTGATTGACCCGACAAACCAAATGTGTCTCTGAACTTGATCAACGTATCGCCGCTTTCGACGAGCTTGTAGAATAAGTCGTCGTACGATGCAGGGTCCGGCAGGAAGTTCTCTCCGCTAGACAGTGCAAAGGCGAGTAGATTGACAAGTATGTTGATCATTCCGTTGGATTTGTAGTTGGATTTGATATCGCTTTCGTAGGTGGTGAGGAAGCGGACGAAGGACAGCAGGGTCCGCCACAACTCCGACCAATGGTATGTAATGCGGGTCTTGGTTCGGCTGAGGTGCGAAAGGAGACGTAACAGAACGCCGAGACAGAGGCTGGGTGTGAATTAGCCAGGCATGTGTCAGATTGGTACAGAAACTCACATGTAAAAGTCGACATCTAAACGCCTCCGCAGATTATGGCTGATGGCGTCGGACATCATGTCCAGGATGACAGCGGCAGGGACACGATCGCCCCTCACTGCTGGCAGATAGGGCTGTCTCTGACGGCACAACCGCACTGAAAGCTTCGACTCGTCACTGCATAGGCGCTTGGCGAGCTCTCGATCTTCGACAAGGATTTGCAGCACGAAGAGGCTGAGGTATGTGTATAGTGCGGCCCTGGCAGACCGATGCGCGTGTTGAAACATGTAGGAAGTTAAGGAGAGGTATGCGCTGAGTGGCGACGGCTCGCTCTTATCCGCTGGAGCAGACTTGACTAGGTTGAAGCAGAAGACTTTGTTGGCGTTGGCGAAGTCGTATGTAGAGAGTAGTACGCCAATTTCAGGTCCTGGTCTTGACAAATGTTAGCCATGAGCAGTGATTGCAGCCATGAGTTCTTACAGTGCAGCAAAGAGCGACTTGGCGTCCTCCGGAGCTGGCACGGGTGTCGTTGGCCGAGAGCTGGGAGCAAGAGCACCCAGACCAATATAACTCAGCGTCGAGCCCAGTGACCAGCCTTCTGGCATATCGTCCTGTACAGCCACATAGGCGTCGCGCAGCTTCGTACATGTATTTCCAAAACAAGCGACCATGTCCTGTATGATAGCCTCGTTGACAAAGTCGTCTAGCCGCAGCCTATACGGATTCTGAAACTCGAATTTGTTGTAGTTCGTGAGGAGGCCGAGGAGGTAGAGCGCGGGGAGGACTTGAGTGCTGTCGTCGCAATCTTGGATGTACTTCATGAGCGAGGGGAAGAGGTCGCGATGTGTAAAGTACGACGGAAGCGCAGTCTGAAAGCCAGCAGCGGTTATGGAGAGAGCGGCTCGGACAGCCCTCAGGCGCAAAGGAACTGCTCTTGGTCAGCCTGTTTCCTTGTAATACTCATTCCTCGGGACAGTCCCTCCAGAACATCCCCTCCGCACATACCATCCCTCCCACCCCTAATCACCCCATCCAGCACCGCAACAAAATCCATCATAACAGCATCCGCATCATTGAGCCCCGTAAGAACAGCTATAACATCGGAGCTAGGATTCGTGTATTTCTTCGTAAGCGCGGCATCGAGGAAGACTGTCAAGGTCTAAGCGGTAAGCGCATGGAATACGGGTGTGTGTGCGAGTGCGGGGCATGGAGTACCTCGAGGGCGATTTCGTCGGCGGGCGCTCTGGCTTGCTTGACGCGCAGGATGGCTTGCCGAAACAGTTGCTGGCTATGCGCCTGCTGGTGCAGCATCTCGTCGGGCGCAACCGAGCCGAGTATGCGCTTCAAACCGGCGGAATCGGGTCGGTGAAGAAAGAATTCCTGCCAGAAGCCTTCGGATAGCTCGACATCTTCATCGTCTTCCTGGGTCTGATTAGCACAGTGCGGGCGCAAGTGTTCCGAGAGGACACACTTTGAAGAGGGTTTCGTAGAGGTGGATGATTTTGGGTTGGAAGATTTCCGGCCGCGTGTCCTGCGTCAGCGGTGACGGCTCCATGGTGCTGGTGCGTGTGGGAGACTTTGGAATATTTGTCGTGGGGAGCTGCAGGGAAGGCCTTCAGATGGTGGCTGTCGCAGTCGCGTCGCGCAACATGGGGAACTAGCGGGCCGGTGGGCGATCAGACGCCGATAGCCCCACCATTCACACGTGTGAAGGTAGGCATGTCGTGTGAGGGGGTGAGTAGACAATATCTACTCGAGTTACCGTAATCGTGGACCGTCAATACATCTTCAAAGGAAGGCGCGACCAGACTGCCGGTACCCCGCGGCCCTCCAACCACCATGCCACGACCCCTCCTAGTCGGCATCTCAGGCCCCTCGTCCTCCGGCAAAACAACTCTCTCCCGGCTCCTCCGCGACGTTTTCCCTCTCTCAAAACTCTTCATCTTGCACCTCGATGATTTCTACCTCACCGACGCCGAGATCCCCGTCAAGAACGGCGTCCAAGACTGGGATTGCATAGAGTCGCTCAATTTACCCGCGCTCAAACAAGCACTGCAGCACATCAAAGAGCATGGTAACAGTCCAGAATGGCTAGTCAGTCAGGAAGACCAGAACAGCGTAGGCGAACATGGCGTCCCGGACACTGTGATCCAGAAGTTAAAAGATGATGTGTTGGGGTGGCTGAGAAGTAAGCCGGAGTGGGAAGGGCGACGTATATGCATCGTTGATGGCTTCTTGCTCTTTTCGGAGGATATGAAGGATATTCGTGAGATCTTCGATGTCAGACTCTTCTTACGGACGAGCTATGAGACTGCCAAGCGGAGGAGAGAGGCGAGGAGTGGCTATGTGACGCTCGAGGGCTTCTGGCAAGATCCGCCGGGCTATGTAGACGACATTGTGTGGCCGAACTATGTAAAGGATCACAAGTTCTTGTTCAAGAACGGAGATGTGGATGGGGAGCTGGATGAGAAATTCTGCGAGAGCGTTGGCATATATGGCATGCCGAAAGAAGCGGAAGGCGATATGACAAGATGTTTGCATTGGGCTGCTGGGTTACTAGAGGACGTCGTCAAGAAGACTTAAGCATTTTTTCGAGTCTGTATTATTATGCTTGTATCCATATCACTTTGGAGCTTTACGACTAAGGACTGCACACCCCAATCCCGTACCTGGATGTTACTACTCAAGAACGCCTATGCGCCATTAGACAATGCCCTAACCCACCAGCCATGCAGAAGTGATGATACACAAATGTCAAAGCGAAACGGCCGTTCTATCAAATGTTGGAGTCACCGCTTTTCTAGGTGCTGGACTTGACCTTGTCGATGTAGGCCTGTCCGGGGCTCTCATAGGTAGGCACAAAGAATGTGTTGATCTGCGCTTCTTTGGAGAGCCATGTCGTCATCTGGCTAAGCTCCTCGCGCAAGCGCGTGACAGCCTGGTGGTCCATGTTGGTTTGCGCGATGAGTTCGGGCATGGTGACTGTGAAAGCCTTGTTAGCAATATCCACATCCAATAACTCATTGATGCATACCCAGAAGACGCAGAAGATGCTCGCCGCCATAGATGTCAGCCAGCGGTTTTGCCGCAAGGTCATCGGTCGGCGAGTTGATGCGCGTCCAGATGTCGTAGAATTGCTCGCGCTCAAAACGATACAAGAGAAGACGTCCGACGCTCTTATTGAAGTACTCCTTCAATCCAGCTATGACTTCCTCGAGAATGTCTTGCTCGATGCTGGTGCGGTTGCTGTTGTCTTTGACATGCTTCATGTACTCATCCAGTATGACGCCTGCAGGATAAGCTGAAGGCAGCTGGACCAGCTGCAGGTTCTTGGTGATGTTCTCCCAGTCATCGACTAGGAGGCTCTTTAGCCTATCTGGCATGTAGATCCTGACAGCCAGCTTGTTCTGGAATGCTTCTTCCTAATGGGAGTTAGAGAGCGCGTTGGAAAGCGTAGGGCGAAATGCTGGGATATATACCTTCTCTAAGTCATTGTCACGCACCCTCTTCTGACCACGTGGGGCAGCAGTGACGGAGGTTTGGCGCTCCTCGCTACCGCGCGCCGAACCTTGTGCCTTCTTTTTCGCAGGTGCAGGCTGGGCTCTTGCGGCACGCTGGGCAGCCAGCATCTCGTGCCTGAGGTTATTGGCCAACTCCCGGTTCTCGGGAGACAGCTTGCGAAGCCGATCCTCAGGAACCCAGTCGTCCCAGCTGCGATGCGTTAGCTAGCGATCTCAAAAGCAAGCCGCGAGTTGTTGAATGTTTAGAAGAGTGGATCAAGATGATGTGCCGCTGCAAATGAGTAGTAGATGTGTAGTACATGGGTAAGAGTGAAGTGTATGCAAAGGCAAACGTGACTTCTGCAGTGGGAGGCGTGGTGGCAAGTAGATGGATGCAGACTCAAACGAATCGAAGATACGTACGTGTTCTTCCAGCCCTTGTAGTGTACCCTGTATTCGAAGCCGTTCTTCTTGTCTTCTTCTACAGGCCTAACTTCGAGCACTTTGGCCTCGTATAGCAACTCATGGTGAAAACAAAAGACCTTCTCATCTTTCTTGAAGGCAGGTTCTGGCGCAGCTGCGGGCGCCATGATTGCGATGGAATGTGATGAAATTGATGTTGATGGGTTTGGTAGTCAGGAAGGAAGCGGTAAGGGTGCGAGAGATTGCACGTCCACGTAGCGCGTCTTCGTGACAGCCCTGGAGTTATACAACAAGTGAGATTCTCTGCGCCGCGAGACTGGAGTGAGCGTCGCCTGATAACCGGATATAGTCGACAAGCTCGGTGAAAGACGGTTCAGTCGACGTTTGCTTGGAGTCGTCCAGGCACGTCTCACGGGAGTTTTCTGGGCACGGGCCACAACGCGTCGTCGCGCTTTCCTATGGCCCTCCTTCATTGGGCATCCCACCATCAACACTGCCATATCAGTCATTTTCCTGGGCACTACCCGGTCTAAAATCAACTTCTACCACTATAATCATGCCATCGCAAGAGGCCAAGATCCTCGGTGACTTCCTCCTCGCACCTGCTCCCCTGCGCGACTTCACCACCCTACGCGACTTCACCGACATCTTCCCACGCGCACACCGCTCCAACCCCGCTGTGCAGGAAATATATCGCGAGCTTCAGCACATACGCGACAAGGACATCGAGCTGATCCGTCAGGACATCATCGATGAGGTCAAACGGTCTAAACAGTTGAGGCGCGAGTACGCTCGGGAGAGGCGCCAAATCGACGATGCGACCATCGCCGGTCTGGACCCGATTGCGCTTCAACTGGAACAGGAGGTACTGCATCAATGTAAGAGACTGCCGCGTACTGCGCTGACAACCACCAGCTCTCCGGCCAAAGTCGCAAGAAACCGCACACTCTACAGACCGTCCACTCCGACATCGAAGAAGCATGCCAAAGCCTCGAGGCCCAGATCGCAGAGATAGAGCAAGAGAACAGACGGGCTTTGGCTGAGGTCCAAGAAGTCGTTGGCGCCCTCAGTGAACTGCGACATGGCCGCTTCGCTCCGTCATCCAGTGGGGAAAACATTGGAGAAGAAGTCATGGCCACGCTCAAGCGACTTGAAGCTGCGTGCGATGAACCAACAGAATGAGAATTGCGAATATCCGAGGATCGTCTTGACGAATACACCGTACAAACATGGAGGGCATGCTAGCGGTCGAACGGTTCAGTCTTCGACTGGGATCACACACCCTGCTCGAGCTGGCAAAACTGCGCATTACCGCCCAAGGCTATCGAACACATAACGAGGGTACGCTTGCGCACTATTCATGCTGGTCAGGCAAGCAGTACGCCTACAGAGATATCTGTGCGATCCCGCACTACGCCGAGCAGCAGACGCCATTCTTCAATCGTTGACAGAAACACCACTACTGGAAAGGAGGGAGACGGATCACCCCCGTAGATCTGGATCAAAGGATAACCTGTGATGTATCGCAGCACGTCGCAGTGCTTCCTCTCGACCCTCGACTCATCACCAAGGCTATGTATCCAGGATAAAGTCGAGCGCACAACGTAGCGGCCACTCCCATCCGCTGGACTTGCGCATGACGACTCTGGTACATGATTTGATCCGATTCTTATCGCGGCATATATCATACCATAATGTCTTGCTAATGCCTGATGTGAGGCTTGATGTACTCATTCTCCGGTGCATTGACCACGCGTCTGTATACCCGTTAGTCAGGAACATCACGAGCACAAGACAGCATGAACCAACCTAGTAAAGACTCTAGAAGGAATACCCTGTCGCCTTCCATCATCCCGCCGTCCAGGTTAGCGACCCCGCGTATACTGCCTGCAAGCACGCCGTGATTGGCTGCACGCACCACCGCAATTAATCTATACATATGAACATGCTCAATCCCGCAAGTATCAACACCTAGCCGCCGTTACAGAGATCTGTCTATACCAAAACTTCTACACGTGTTCACATCAAGATGATCGACTTATACCGCGTCGCAATGCAATTCCTTTCTGTCGTCTTGACGTCCATGCCATACTTGCAAAGATGAGACTCCTCCCATCACTCCTAACAGCATTACTATCCCTAACCACCTACCCTCCCCTCACATCCGCCTCCACCTCCTCCTCCCTCAGAATCACCGCAGACAACCACTCCTTCGGCGGCGTAAACTACCCGCAACTCCAATTCTTCACCCCCTCCCACCGCGACGCCACAATTCGCGAAATCATAAAAAGCGGCGCCCGAGTGATCCGCCTCTTCATCCGCCCAGATGCGCAACACTCCGATCCAGAAGGCGAACTGGGCGGCTTCGACAAGTCGCTCCTCGACCAATTCGATGACACGCTTGCGGCTATCCACCACCTCTCCAAAGGCCAGATGAAAGTCATCATCGCACCACATGACGCGCATGCACTTCGGGGTACAAATGATGTAGCATGCGATGCCTACTGCCAGAAACTGGACGGCGCGTTCCTAGACTTTTATAGTAGTGACGAATACCGTGACTTGTACAAAACGCGCCTCGAAGTTTTCTTCAACCACTACCCCTCCAAAAACTTTGACGGCCGTCCCTGGAGTACCCTATCCGAAGTCATCCTTGGCGTGGATCTGCAAAACCAGCCGTTCTCTGGTATATCGCCAATTCCGTCCGGCGAATCCTGGCTCTGCGACATAGCTACCTATCTAAAATTTACCATCGGTCTCGACGCAGCCAACATCGCTGTTATCAGCGGCGGCGTCTCGGGACCGCAGTCTGTCGACGGAAGCGAGAATTTCCCGGACAGCGTGTTTGACTGCAAGGCTATTGATGTGATTGGTATCCATGGGTATTTCGATAAGAGAGGGGATAGAACGGCGGGGACGGCCTGGGCGGATTTATTTCTACCAGGCAATACGTTGATGGGGCGGGCGGCGGGGAAGAAAAGGGGGGAGGGGAAACTGTTGTTGGTGGAAGAGTGGGCGTATGTGCATAATGATGAGTTTGGGTTGTTTTATAAGAAGGAGGCAATTTGGGATCAGGGGAATGCGTTGAATTATCGGGGGATTCCTTGGGTAAGTCGTGATCCATTTTCTCGCTTTTCTCACTTTTCTCACTTTTCATGGGAGAGGCGACGTGGTATACTAACAAAAAAATCCTAGTTATACTCCCACCTAACCCCCCTCTCCGAAGGAAAGTCCTCACACATCAACCCCCTCCATCCCCACTACACCACCTGGCCCGCCCTCGTCGACATCCTAAAACGCTCTTTTACAACCCGCAGCCCCTTCTCCTGGTCCAAATACCTCCCAGTCCCCTTCCACATCCTCGCTCCCTCGGCCGACGAAAACACAGAAGCCTACCTTCGGTCCATGCTCACTGGCTCCCAGACCAAAGAATGGAAGTTGAAACCAGCAGGCCTGTCGAACCTAACGTCTATCCCATTGAACCCGTATATCATCGAGCAGAGCGATTGTACATTTGGATGCGTGGGCCATCTATGTGACGCAGCGGATGGCTGTGCACCGGATCTTATTTGCAAGAACAGTGTGTGCCAGGTCAATTCGGAGTCGCAACCAGGGAAAGTGGGGGATAGGTGTAACAGTAAAGCAGTCTGTCAGAGTCATTTAAGGTGTGAGAAGGGGGAGTGTGCAGCTTGTTCTACACGCACAACCATTCAGCCCGAGGGGAAGAAGAGGAAAAGGACGGTGACGGGGGATGCGGCGACGCACAAGGAAGAGGAGGAGTATAGGAGGAGGAAGATGGTGAAGCCAAACGACCCAAAAGGAACATGCTACACAGACTCCCTCCCCCACCTCTTCGAAACCGTCAGACTCTCGTCCTCTTCTCTACCACCACCCATCTGTCTCTCCCCCTCGCACCACGCCTCACCCTGCACATCCCCCTCCCACTGTTCGGCGCACGAATACTGTTCTTGGGGCCTATGCACGCCCTGCTCTTCAACAGACTCATGTCTCGGGTCTCCCTGCCGCAGTAACAACGCTTGTAAAACCGGTTATTGTAACGACTACGGCCGCTGCGATTATGTGGCGAAGAAGAAGAAGAAGGCGACTGGACCGGGCGGCGCGAGGGGAAAGGTGGGTAGGGTAGCGGGCGTGTCGAGGGGACATGAGAGGGGGCCTGCGAAAGTTAGAGATGAGGCGATGAGGGTGAATATACCAAAGGAAGGACCGGCTGCTACTGCGACCGCATGATGAAGTGGACTACTGTGTGGGGTGGTGTAGAGGGAAGGCACAGGAAAGGACGGTATGTGTTGTGTGAATAGATATTTCAATCTCGACAATATATTCCTAGCTAAAATATGAACAAGAAGATTATTTATACTAGTGTGTGGGGTATCGATGCCTCCCTCCCTAAACTCCTTTTTGTGGTATCTGTAGCATGTACAATCATAGTATCTCTCCATCCTGATTCGTAGAACGCATGCGTAATGTGATTCTTTCTGCGATGGGGCCGTTCCTCTAGGAAGACTTCGTTCGGCGTGCTGTCGCCCAACTCCCGTTGCGTCGTCAGTCGGCTCGCGGCAAAGGATATGGCGGTAGCAGGTAACTGTCGCGTCCACTGCAGCGGCAATGCCGAGTTGTCCGCCATTACGCCAAATCATCCCATCGAAACCCGATACTTGTCGTTATCCTCAATCAGCTTCTCCAAGAAAGCTGCAGCCTCAACAAGAACCTGACTCTTGCTCAGCCCGCCACCGCGCACAGCGGGAACAACCTCATTCAAGTCCTTGTATCCCTGCTTAATCAAATCCCGACGCTTCTGCTCCGACAAGATATGATTGCTGCGCTTCTGTTCCTCGGTGAGGTTCTCGCGTTGTGTCTTCTGGGCCGCGGTAGATGCTCGCTTCTTCTTGGTACAATCTTCTAGCGTGGATGCTTTCCGCGCTTTGCCATTGCGCGCGACCTTCCTCGGCGTGTCTTTGCTGTACCGCACTTGACTCTTTTTCCGCTTCTTCGCCGGCCGGTCTTCGTCTTCGTCATCTGTTTCGGCGTCGTCGGATTGTTCGTCATCGTCTCGTGGCCCGCGGGTGTAGGCCGTAGGACTACTTGGCCCTTGGATGCCGGCTACCGCTCGTAGGATGTGGTGTGAAGTTTCTTCAATATCTTGTATTGAGGCCCTAGCCGCGCTCTCTGCGTCCGGGTGACCGTTGGGTATCGTGTAACCGGATGTGCTGTTGAAAGAGTTGTCCGTGCCAAAAGTATACGACCTCTTCAGATCGAGCTTCTGCAGTGGTGGGCCGAACTCGGAGTGGTGTTGTTGTGGTGCCTGGCTTGCTGCCCATTGTGAGGCATACTGTGCGTCGCTGGCTTGGGCATTGTGGTTGGGAACCAATGACCCCAAGCGTTCGTGTACAAGGCCGTGTTGCGGCATTGTCATGGGTAGCGTGTTAAGATTCAGATCGGGGGCCCTAGTCGCATCGAAGCCGTTAGAGGCGGTAGATAGCTCGTGGAAGCTGTGCGAACGGCCATTTGTGTATGAAGGCTGGGCCTGGTTGAAGAGTGCCGTGGCTGCCTGGAGCTCATCCTCGGTATTGCCCAGGAAGTTTGTGTGGAGCGACGAAGGGTATTGCTGGTCCTGGTGGAAGTTGTTCTGGAGACGGGCTTGATCTGGTATGGTGCTGGTAACGCGGTGGACCGTGGGCGGGGCTATGAAGTCTTCCCAGTTGTTGTAGTCGTGGGCGCTCGCCTTGGTGTCGAGGGCGGGTGGTAGGGCGGTCGAGTCGACGAGGTCAAAGGGATTTGTCGAGGAGAAGAAGTTGTCGAGCTGCTGGTTCTCCATGTCGCTGAGGATGGACTGGCCATTGTGGTCGTATGTGGCGGGTGGGTTGTCGAAGAAGTCGTTGGTGAAGGTGTCTGCTCTGCGTCAGTCAGTGGTCTCTGCGCGGTGGTCGTCAAGCGTACAGCCAAACGGCGGCGGGTCCTTGTCGTTCATGGCGGGTCGTGGGAGGCGCCTGGCCGTAGCACCCGCGAGCCCCGCGAACGACTGATGCGACAACGTCTCCAGCTTGGTGGTGCGATGGTGTGGAGTGAGGCCGAGAGACAGGCGAAAGTCTGCCCTCTACCGGCTCGGTCGGGCTAGATGAGACGTTGGTCTAGGCCGCCGACAAATCTCTACAGTGCTTGTGCGTGCGGAGGCGTCGAGACTGGCCTTGTTGAGAGGCGTTGGGAGAGTTGCGCGCGATATGACGTGAGGAACGAGCATTCGCAACGGCGACTAGTTGCGCTGCTGGGATGGGGTGCCGGAGAAGACAGTGCCGGTGAGCAGGCGCATCCCCAGCCGGCGGCGACACTGAATTCGCGTGATGTGCTGCGCAGTGAGAGACTCGGGCGAGAGATGTCAAGAGGGTGCATGCGTCTGGTTGCGCGTGAGAAGTTGGACCGCCATCACATGTGAAAGATGTCTTGCGCCCACCTGCTGAGCCCACTAGCGCCCACCACCTCGCTTGCTCCTTCCCTGCTCCCGGCCGCCAAGCTCTCCGAACCCTCGCTGGATGACATGCATCCACATCACATCGACCTGGTAACTGTCACCTCAACACGGCTCAGCAACAGCAACTAGCACCAACTATCCGCATGCTCCTTCGTGTGGCGTCCTACATGTGTGTGTCTCTGCTGCCCACCACCTCAATTTTGCTCGGACAAACCTTCTCACCGCAACGAGCCGTCTCGCCGGGATCCGAGTGCGCCTAACGATCAAGAAAGGCATCTCCTCCGCCTTTCTCTTCAATGGCGCGCAGCCATGTCCCAGCAGTCTTCTGCGGTCCGAAAACTGCAGTGGCGGCACACGACATCGTTTTCGTTGGCCGAACCTACCGTAGCTCCCGTCCGATCACCTCTAGTTCGCGCATCCCAGGGGTCAATCTGGGGAAACGATGACTGTTGCTACGGTTTATTCCCTCTCATCGAGCACTTAAACTTGTCGACCATCCCACTCCCGGTTTGTTCCGCGACTGCTCCTCATTTCATTACCACGTAGCCATTGTATCGGTTTCTGCCTCGGCTGCACACCGTCGATCTACAATGCTTGTGTCGAGTCCGAACCTCGTACGACACTACGATTTACTTCATCTCCAAGTACTAGCTGTTTCCCCATACTTCGTCGCCAGTTTCGTTTCTGCTTTTACTCCCAGAACTAGACTACTATTGCTGCATCAACATGCTGTTCCTCCGGGTATCACAAACCCTGAGTGACTGATACGACAGCATTTTGGGCCTGACATCGCAAAATATCACCAACATCAGATACTTGAGCCAGCCATTGGCATGCAATCCAGCATGAAATTTCATTCGGGCATGCGATCGGTCAGTATGGTAACGCTACGCGTCATGCGAGATACACTTGCATCGCCTACCCGTGCTCACCAAACACATCAAACCTCAGAAAAGACAACATCCATCCAACAGCTCTTACATATACCAGCCCTACTACCATCCGCATCAATGCCTTTCCTTGCGAACCTCGACACAGATTGCTGCTGTGCCATGTAAGCTGGCATGCATGGACAAACCATCTAACCAAACCCCGTCTAACCCAATCGGGTAAAGGCGCACATTGACCCGTAATCTACCAAGCCAACACCAAGCTACTCAGCCATACTCCAAGATACTTGCGTAAAAGTAGATTTGGGGACAAGACCGATTACATCCGAGATGCGGTGTCACCATCTGCTGCCAATACCCCTTTCATAAAGTAGGGCGTTGTAGTATAAAACAGACTTGTGGTCAGAACACTCAATTCATCTTCTTCTTCTCTCGTCTCCAACCTTCCCTGTTCACGTACTATGGCTATGGATATTTTTGCCTCGATAATCATTATTCTCATTCTTTTTACCATGCTGCTCTGTGTACTCTGGAGTCCAGTACCACTACAGCCACCACCAACACCGCCGATGCCTCTGTCTCCAGCTCACAAAGAACAAAAAGTACGGCCTGAAGACGTGGTCTAAATAACACATTAACATTATACTAAATACCAATCTACCCTGTCATCCCCGATCAGGCGAGATCGCGAACACCGCGAAGCCCATAAGAAACGACCCAGCCTAACGTCCACGGAATCCTACGTTAAGCCCTTTCGGGTCAAAGGTGCGAGTTCGACATACATACGACATAGATCCACTATACGGACAACCTCGCGGGATGGACCTCATGCGGTTGGCAGGCCCCTCTAAACGAGAGCTTTTGGGTAAAATAAAAACCTCAAACACTTCTCAGTATGAGTAAAGCCGCGAGTCAATAGCATAAAACAGCGTCGAACCCACAACGTCTCCTCGCTATCTCCAGACAGCACTCAGGGTTCATCATGAGCTACCTCACTGTTATCATCGTTATCCTAATCTTGTTTACATTGGCACTCTGTCTACTCTGGAAACCACCACAACGACCATCGCCACCACCGAACTCAAAGAATCTCCCACAATACAGCGCTGTATAATATTTATTTGCCGACCAAATAGGATTACAACATATTCGCGACAGACCAGTAGCGCGACAGCTTCCCTACTTTACCTCGCCGTTCGCAAAGTGGTCAGCTCGTAAGGATGCTTAACCCGAGGCATCAATGTCCCGACGGATACGCACCAGGCCAAGCGACCAAGGCTGCCAACCCTTCCGACCGACGAAGCCTCCGATGTATGGTTTCGTCAACGGGATTAGGACGATGATATCTTGCAATCTTCGCGAGAACAGGGAGGTTGGATGCGGAGGGAGGGCAGGAAATGTACGACTGGACATGGGATGAAGAAAGAGAGGCGATGAAAGTGTGTGTTATCCGCAGAGATGAAAGGATTCAAATTAGATAAGAGGAGGAGCGGATAAATAGGCGTTACGTCACAAGCAGTCGTTAGATCGGAATGTTAATGAGGGAAGATGCCAACCCTTCAACAAACAGTAACAGACCCACCCTTCCCTCTCGTAAAAGCCCATCTACCCTTATCTGCTTCTTCTCCTTCCATATCTACATCCACCTCCCCTTTCCCACCTTCCCACCATCCTATCCACACCCCACCCTTACGCTCCAACCTCCAACATCAAGACATCCAGAATCACCATCACCGCCTTCTGGCATGTGGCAGACAGCGCGTATAACCGTTCTATGACATGCATTGTTTACCACATGTGAGAAGACGATGTGGAGATGCTTGGAGCTTGATACTGAGATTTGAAGGGAGGGAGGTGAAATGGACACCGCGCCGGGCTTGCTGTTTCTTGTCCCGGGAGTGTATATCGGTGACGGGGGGTGGATGACGAGACAGAATGCAGCCCGTCGAGTTTGTTAAGCGGGCGATTGTGTATTGCCATCGTGTTCTAAAGGCATTCTGGGCCCTAGGGGTCAGAAAAAGCTCGTGTACCCCCGACTACCGCTCACACACTCTGGCGGAATAGGTTTGGTTGTCTGATACACCAAGCGTATGTTGTCTGCAGTAGCAGTGACGATTCGAGGACGGCTCTAGTGTCGTATATGGCCTGACTCATGCCGTGTGGAGCTTGGAGGCGTTGTGGCGTGGCGATGTCCTATTCCCCTCATAGTTGTATACCGGACAACCGCCAGAGGCCACAGGAACACGTTTCCATAACTGACATCGATCCGGCTCGCCTCAACCCAGGTATTCCATTTCGTGTCGACGCCCTCCTCGCATTTCATCCAAACGGGGCCAACAAGAGCGCAGCCCCAACCCCCAACGCAACAACCATAATCCCTACTCTTCTAGCCCTCACAACCGCACCCTTTGAAGGCAACGGCGCACCCTTGAGTTCCATATCCGTCGGTCTCGCCACCACATCCACAGCATCGAAATACGCATACTTGACCCTCTCGCCATCCTGCAAATTCTCATTCGTAAGCACACTCGCCTCATTCGGGAAATCCATTATAGGAACCGCGGGATAGAAACCCTTGTTCTGGATAATATACTGCGCTAGCGCGTATAACGCATAGTTCTCCGCATTGTTCGCCGCATCGTACGACATTTGCGTGGAGAGGACGGCGAGGAGCTTGGAGCGCGTGGCGCCGTAGGCGTATTTGAGGGTTTGGAAGTCGGTTGGTGTTTCGGGTTGTTCGTTGAGGACGCCGGCGAGGACGGAGGTATTCATTGCGCCTTCCGAGACGGAGATGAGCCATTCGCTCGTCGAGTTTGGGGGCGCGGGCATTGGTCGTTGGACGACGGCTGTGCCGATGGAGGCGAAGTGCATCACCATTCGTGCCCAGAGCGAGGCGCGGTTGTAGTACTCCATCAGTCGGTCTTTTTCCATTTGGTTGTCGGCTTTCTTGTTGATGCGGTTGTTGAGGGAGTCCATGCGGAAGTAGTCGGAGCAGAAGACTATGTGTGGTTCGTTGCCGATGTTGTAGGCGGCGTGGTCGCCTTCGCGTTTGTTGCCTTTGTCGCAGAGGTTCATGGGGTCGTCGCATCGGATGTGGATGTCTGAGTTTACGGCGCCGGTTCCTCCTTGTAGGACGCCAAAGTTGGCTGCGCGTTGCAGGTTCGTGGCTATCATGTCGGTGTAATTAGCGTTTATCGAGGGGCCGAAGAACTCTCTTGCGGGCTGAGAGGTGAGGTCGAAGGGCGTGGCGGCGGCGAAGAGAATCGTCATCTCGGAGAAGCCATCGCGGATGTCTTCGATCTCGGAGAAGTCACAGCCCTCGCCACCGGTGAGAGCTGTCGCGTAGGTAGGCCTGTCCGCGCCTTTGTCGTCGCCAATAACGCCATCTGGAGCTGCGTATGCGCGTGTTACGAGGCCAGCGAGGAGTATGGGAGGAAGGTGCAAAAGCGAGTGGAGCGTCAGCATGTCGACGAAGCTGCCGGAGACAGCTCGGTCGATCGAAATGTTAACGCGAGATGTTGGGAATTGCGAGCATGGAGGTTGTGCCGATCTTGTTCAAACACGAGGCAATGATGTACTGTCGCAATGAACCGCGTTCGTCACACGGGAACAGGGCGGAACGGGGTGGACAAGCTTCAAGGATACCGTTAGCAGAGGGCGTGAGGTTCGGATGGAAAAAGTAAAGCGCATGAAGGGGCGCCGTACCCGTGCAGCCATGCGAGGCTGATCCCCAGTTTTCTGACTCTGCTCAGACGCGCTGGGACGGTTAGATCCCGACACGAGATTCTGAGACAGCAGCGTTCGTATACCACCGGATCATGGTATTGGTCATCGACCCGGGGTTACAATCATGGCGGTTCCCAGTATTTGCCAGCGATGCATCTCATTTGAATCGCATCTTCGTAAGGATCGATATCGTGTGAATGTACTCTTTGTGCAAGCGGGAGGTGGTGTCGCAAGTCGCTGGATGAGGCAAGTATCGGCTGGCATGTGAAACGCGAAGCTGGCGCCAAGAGCCCACCGTCACCACTCCGCTATGCATCGTCGAAGACGTGACACCAGCAACATACTACTGCTTGATCCGAGGCAGACTGTGTCCGGATGCGAATACACACCAACCAGACCTTACTGGTTGCGAAATCTCCATGACAGTCGCGTCCAAGTGCAAGACGAGCTTGAGCCATGAGTCAGTGTGCTCGGCACTATCCGCTTCATTCTGGTGTGGCATGCATAACAGACGATGACGAAGACATGCGATCCGTCGTCTCTTGTAAAGTTGGCGACGGGCAAGTTCTGTTTCGTTTCGTATACAGTACTTCCGCTGCGTATAGAATGAAATCTGTATTCGATATACCCATAGAGTGCGAACACCCCACGGAGATGATCTCATCATCACATGCCTTAGATGGCACTGTATCGAAGTGCAGATGAACGTGCAGTAGCCTGAACACATCGAGCCACTATGACCGTTAGCCGCCCATGAGCAAGATACGGCACACCGACAGTTCGCCATACTGAGGGAACCAGTTCAGTGCCAAAGAAGCGGTCGGCAGAAGCGTGGGGAGGGTGTTCGCTGGACGGGCACCGCCCCGCTTCTGTTGGCAGCCGTCCGTATGCACCTTACCGCTCCAATCAATCCACCGCTTCGACGGCGCAGCGGGTCTTCGAGTATCCAAGTGGCGCAACAGCGGTAGTCTGGCGAGTAGCTCAGACGTTGATGTATGAAGTGGTGCGTAAAGACGGTGGGCGGCGGGGTCGTGTCCGGTATCTCGTCACCACAGCAGAGCCGCAAGTCTGCAAGTATTTGTGCTGCGCTTAGCTCCCCAGATGAATTTCTTTGCCTGGAATACAAGGACGCCATTTCGCGGTGACTGAACAAGTTAATCTTAAGTCTTAACACCAAGCGGATTAACCCCACAGACGGCGGGAGTCGACACGCTAAGCCCTACCCTTCCTGCTAGTATCGCCAACACTCCACCATGCCGGGCGAAGATACGACGCCCTCGCGAACACCCAGTGAGTTCTGATTCGCCTGCAATGCCACCGTTCGCAAGGCTGAAGACAGCCTTCTCTCCAATGAATTTGCGTAGCAGGCTGAGGCTGATTTCACGTGCGCCACAGCAGACCACCCCGCCAGTCCCTCCGCAGGCATGTCGCTGGCCGCCGCCCTCGGACTCGACAATCGCGTCTTGACCCGCCCGCTTGACGACTGGGTCCAGCAACCCGACGTTTCCGCCCGATTAGTCCTTTTCGACGAGGAGTACCTGCAGGGACTCCCGCAGACGGATACAGAGCATCTGTTACGTGCGACGAGTACGATTAAGAGCGGGTCGTCGATGGCTCCTGCCCTCCTCCATCAGCACAGCCCATCGACACACCCTCCTTCACTCCGCTCGTGTATCACAGATGCAACCGATGCCACACCCACCGAGACGAGCATAAGCACTGGGCTCGTCAGCCAACTTTCTGGCGTCCCGCTGCTCGAAGACAATAATGGCGTGCTGGAGATACCCCCCGCACACTTCAGAACACCCGTCTACGAATGCGCTTTCTGGTTCTTGAACTGCAACTACGTCTCCCAGAACAAAGACGAATGGGAAACGCACTGCCACGCACACTTCCGCGGCGAGGAACCACCCTTAACCGCCCAATGCCCGTTGTGCGACTGGGAAGTGACGTGCGATCAAGGTCGGCATGCGTGGAAACTGCGTATGGACCACTTGGCGTACGAACATACTATGCGCGGCCAGACGTTGCGAACATCGAGACCAGACTTTCGGCTCTTCGAATACCTGTGGCAGAGGCGGTTGATCGATAGTGAAGACCTGAAGGAGCTCAAAGGCGGAAACCATAATTTGACACGCCCGCCTGGGAATTTTGTCGAGATGAATGGGAGTAGGCGCGAGAGAGATGGCAGGAGACATCGGGCGCAGCATGCGAGAGTGTCGAGGCCACCCGAACCGCGCCGGTACTGATGGTGATGGAGGATGTTTGGTGTGCCTCACGCCATCTCTTGCCACCACTTCTTTCTACTCTCATCCTTCTTCTTGTTCCCAATTCCCCATATTTTCCCGCATCTCTTTAGTTCCACTCGATATCTGTCCGCAGAATGGCATTACCCCGGACATAAAAGCACAGCTCAGGCGTTCGGCGTATACCTACTTCTTTCTCATCTCTTCTGTATCTCTTTCTTTCGGGCGGTTCGGAAGCCAGCCGCGCAGGCAATGAGCCATCAGCTTCATATACGCGAAAGTCATAACCATACATAGTTCGCAGCGACGAAAATGGCTCAAGGCGCAATACAACTATATATACTCACCCCTCCCAATCTCTCACTAATCCCGCTTCCATCCCCAACACATTCGCTTCATCTAGCTCCCCGCCCCCAAACTAAGTCCACCGGACGTGATTCGTCACATTCGCAGTAACTTGACCTCATAATGTCATCTTCAGCCGCACGAAAATGGCTCAGGTCCAGAGCTGGAAATGCGCGCTGCGCGTCTGCCTGATTTCTCGTGTGTTGGTACTAATGTGGACTAGTCGGGTTGCCGGATGGGGAAGGGCTAGCCGTGAACATTGGTACCTTGGAACGCAAAAACTATCCACTATAATCATGAAACAAGGTACTTGAAGAGATTCGACATCATACTTAGAATTTGAGCAAGGCCGGTGGATTTGAGCGAGTACATGTTCTAGTAGCCAAGATGCGACATATAACTTTCCATCTACCAGAGACAACTATCCCACCGCTCAGTGTTTTCATCCACGACACCCTCGTATCCCGTTTTTCATTTCCTTCTCAATTTTGTTGGCCGCAGCGAAACTCCTATTCAGATCTTGTCTTACGATCTCATGTCCTTGGTTTTGTGTACCTCCCATGCCTTCCCAACTCGTAGTACCACATCGCACAGCTAAACTTGGAAACGCGCGTATCCCATCCCGTTCGCCATACACAGAATTCTATAACACGGGTTCTGTGCTTGACTGGTGGAGTGATACTGAGGCGTTGCTTCGAGCTCGAGCTGGGCATGGGCATGGAGTTCGTGCTGGATGTGGAAGGAGTGCGCTCTGTGAATGGCGAGGAGGGTAGAGCGGGAATGTAGATAATCTTTCGCTGTTATATAGCGGTATGTTGTAATCTGTATGTTGGGGTTTAGACAACGCTGTTCTGGTGGTGATGATTCGCGATGGCTATCTTGGTATGGATGTTTGAAGCGAGGCTAAGAGTGTAGGAAGGGGCGCGTGTAGATAAGTATGGATATGTCAGGAGAAATCGGAGAACAATAGATAAGATTTTGCTCTCGAGGGCCTTTATGTTGCATTTTGTGTTAACGACTTACCATCTTCGCCTTACTAGCCTTCTAATCTAACACTGCCTTCTAACGCCTTTTATTCGCTCTTCTTCTTGTTTAAGCGAATACTTCTTATCTATAAACAACGCTCTTTCCTTGCTTCTATTCATTTGTTTATCCTATCTCTAGTCGCTCCTATTCTGCCCTCCCGCACCTAACCTCCCTGTTCTCGAAGAGGAACACAACCGCCACGGAATGACTCTGTATAGACTCGGAGGTCGGATCGAGCTTTGTGTGGATATCGAAGCTTGTTTCACCGTTTTGATGTGATTCGTGGTTGATACCTGGTGGCTTGCAGCTGAAAGCCTTTCCTAATAGCCTGCAAGAAGTAACGAATGAACTAAATGGCGACGATAGATGACAGAGACGGCGAAAACGAGAGACAGGAATACAACAATGACGATCGCGGGTAAATCTGGGACCTCTCGTACTTAATGCGCGGAGACGGAAGTTAATGCTTGGATGAGTCGGCGCAATGTTAGGGCGGTCGCACGCCGTGGCGCTTCGCTAGCAGCAACGGCCGTAGCTACGGCCTCCGATGACGTTGAAGCCACACTTCTCGCATAGAGATGCGGGATGCTGGCAACATCATGCCGATTATCCTCCACACACTTCACCTAAGGCCGACCGCCACAGGCATGGAGGCGCAAACAATTAAGTATATAGACAGCAGGCTGCGGTGGATGTTGTTCAGTATCTCAAGCCTACCAACAGCTCTGCAACCACCTCACCACCAGTCGAACTTACCACCCTGAAAGACACCCTAAACAGATCTCCTCGACACAATGTCCAACATCAAGTTCAACCCTGCATCCGATATTCCCAGCCAATCTGGCCGAGTGTTCCTGATCACCGGTGGTATGTGGCGTCCTTTACGTCCAATCTGGCAACCTACTGACCTTCACAGGCACCACTGGTCTTGGAGCATCTTCCATATCTTTTCTCGCATCTCACAACCCTGCACACATCTTCTTCAGCGGTCGCAACAAGTCTCGCGCAAATGAACTCATCTCCAAAATCGCGAAAGCCTCACCGTCCACCAAAGTAACCTTCATAGAGTGCGACCTCGCAAGTCTTGCATCCGTCCAGTCTGCCGCCAAACAGTTCCTGTCGTCGTCCGGCCGCCTCGATGTTCTGATGTGCAATGCGGGTATCATGGCAGTACCGAACGACGTAAGCCAAGATGGTTACGAGATACAATTCGCAACGAACCACCTCGGCCACGCGCTGCTCATGAAGCTGCTCTTACCTGTCATGCTCGAAACCGCATCGCAATCCAACGCAGACGTCCGCATCGTCAACCTCTCATCCGTAGCTTATAAACAAAACGTACCTTCCACTGGTATCGAGTTCTCAAAGCTCAAGACCAAAGGCGCAAATTACGGCTCCTTCTTCAGCTTCAACAAGTGGGTCTGCTACGGCCAGTCCAAGCTAGCCAATCTGCTCTACACTACCGAGCTGGCCGCTCATCACCCAAGCATCACATCAGTGGCAGTGCATCCTGGCTTCATCAAGACGGATCTTTTTGCGAGTACGAACTTTATGGACCGCCAAGTTGTGAATATTATCTCCGGCGGGAATTGGCTCGATACTGAACAGGGTGCATACAACCAGACTTGGGCAGCTACTACCAAGAAGGAGAATTTGGTCAATGGAGCTTATTATGAGCCGGTGGGTGTGAAGACTACGCCGAGTACGAAACTGGGGCGGGATCAGGCACTGGCGAAAGAGTTATGGGAGTGGACCGAGAAGGAGTTGAAGGCGTGGGTTTGAGACCTGGGGATCTTGGTTAGCGTTGTGATTTGCGAGAGTATTGGATGGATCGTGTCCGTAGATATGCTTGTTGTACTTTTGTAATACTTAGACTTTCTTCATTGTATGCACAGCCCACTATGCGCAGCAGGTGGCCTTGACGTTCAAAATCTCCCCACTCGCTATTGTTACGCCTGACAGCCTCGGCTCGTCATTTGACAAGAGCTCACGGATACTTTTCCGTAGGTGATCATATAAGTAGTGGTGTTCTCGCCGCCGCGGTAGTCGTTGTCGCAGGAGGCGACACTTGAGCGCCCGCGCTCAAACAGTGCTGCTACCTACAGATTGCAGACAGAAGATCTCATCGGTAGCAATGATCGACAACGTACCAGAAGGATTCCAAAGTGCTGGTAAACCGTTTCGCTCCACAACCCCATGGGGTAGTGGACGTTTTCGCAATCCGGTGGCCACCTACCTGAGCTGTCGCACCCGCCCACCAGGTGAACACGGCCGTGAAGCACGAGGACGACCCGACAAATTCTCTTGAGCACATGGCCTAAACGATCTCCACTGCGATCCTTCCATTGCACAGGCTCGGATGAGGCACCGCTGCATACCAGCCGCATCGTTTAGACGGCAACTAGTCATTTACCAAGAACCATCAATGCGGCGTCTCTTTGTTTAGCATCACCAAGTACCGAAAGACGAACCCGGTATGCCCCGTGGAGAAACCAAGCAAAGTTGTGGGAAATTCCTTTGTTGGATGATAGCCAAGACGATGAAGGCCCGGCGGACTGACTTGGCTCTACGTTGATTGGCCCATCCCACAGCGGAAAGACATTTAGCTCCTTCTCCTCATCGGCGGCCTCGAGACGAAACCTCAGGCTAGACCGCAAACCAATCTCACTGCGGACTTATGTCATCCAGACGCACGGTAGGACCCATAAACCACGCACCGAAAGACCGCATCTAACACCCCATCCGTGCGACAAGCGTGCACGCCATCTAGTTTCCCCGCAATGCAGCGCAGCTCAAGATCTTGGACTTGTCTCGGCCCCCTTGGCCTAGGCCCAAGTGCGACATTGGCCTCGACTGACAAGCTATGAAAACACTTGACCTCGCGCGACATGGCGCAACACCAAGATTTCGGTGGCTTGCCAATGTGCCTTTTCTCTGCGACAAGACCACGAAGACTCCAGGGTCGGGGCTGGGCTGCTCACCGGAACCAGTCACGAGTAATGAGCTCGGAGTATCAATGCGACGTTGACGTGAGGAAAGAGTCTTGGTATTTTGCGGGTTACCTTCCCGGGACGAGTACCGTATTTCGTGTCTTCATCGCGGCGTCAGCCAGGATGGACTAGGAGAGAGGAAGAGCAAGGGATGGCATGATGGAAGCCGTCAACTCTACGCCAGAGTGCTACATCCCTCGTAGAAGGTTGTACCAACGCTACATGGGCGCTTACTCCCCGCTGAACAGGAAAGTTCACGACGCGGGCACCACTAGACCGAACACGAGACCACCGACCACCGGCTCCGACGTACCTGTCCTTGCCAAAAACCACCGGAGGCGGCAAAGCCAACCTGGCACTAAGCACGCCCAGCACCTAGGGTACGCCCTGCGAGCTTGTGTGCCGCACGTTTGCATATTCGCGATTCGGTAGAATTGCACCTGATAGTCGGTTTCCAAGACCAAGCAAGCGGGCAGACTTGCCTTCGGAGACCCCGCGACCCCATTCCCCAGCGCCATTCAGCCTCAAGTCTGTCCAAGGCGGCCGGAAGAAGCGCGCTTACATGTCTTGGAAGGTATGCAGGCGCGGAGGTACCTAGACAATTGTCGTGTGATTTCGGAACATGGTTTCTAGAGAAGGATCTGGGGCGAATATGGGATCCACTGCACTTGTGCGACGCTGAGGGCGGGGATGGAGGTGTATAAGAGTCCTACTCCACGTCCCCGGATTGTTGACTTCCCCAGATCAACCAGCTCGGGCTTCGGTGATCCAACGGGCGTCTTACCCACACCCTCCATACTTGATACTCTTATCTTTTCAGAGAGGTTCCTTGTACACCACCCATCATGTCTGAGAAGAAGAACGACGTCGTCATGCTCGAGCAGACGATGACTCGGGATGAGGAGCTCATGAAGCCTGTGCCCATTGTCGGCAAGGTGGATTACTCTGGTGCTTACGAGAAGACTGATCCACGAGAGATTGCGCTTGTCAAGAAGCTCGACCGATGGATTATGCCCATGTTGTGGAGCATGTACTGGCTCAACTACCTTGGTATGTCACTCCTCCTCTGTCACAGTAATCACCTTTCAAGCAGTTACTTACATACCGCCCTGTTTAGACCGCAACGCCATTGCACTTGCCCGACTCGACGACCTCGAGGAGGACCTAAACCTCAGCAGCGAACAGTACCAGACCTGCGTGAGCATTCTCTTTGTCGGATACCTCTTGGGTCAAATCCCCAGCAACATGTTCCTTAACCGAACCCGTCCATCACGCTACATGGGCTGCTGCATGATGCTCTGGGCCGTCGTCTCTGCCCTTACAGCACTCTCCAAAGACTTCACCGGCCTCCTCCTAACCCGCTTCTTCCTCGGCGTAACAGAAGCACCCTACTACCCAGGCGCCGTCTACCTGCTCTCCATGTTCTACACCCGCAAGGAAGTCGCCACCCGCATTGCCATCCTCTACACCGGAAACATCCTCGCGACCGCCTTCGCCGGCCTCATCGCCGCAGGCATCTTCCACGGTCTCGGCGACGTCGCTGGCATCACTGGATGGCGCTGGCTCTTCATCCTACAGGGTGCTGTTACCTTTGTCATCGCCGTTGTTGGCTTCTTCCTTCTCCCCGACTTCACGCACAACACATGGTGGTTGACACAAGAAGAGCGCGACCTGGCCACCAACCGCATGGCCCTCGACACCGTCGGTAACAAGGGCGAGACCTCCGTTTGGGCTGGTTTCCGACAAGCAGGCAAGGACCCCATGGTCTGGATCTTCGCTTTCATGGCACACATGCATCTTGCCGCCAACGGGTTCAAGAACTTCTTCCCCACCGTTGTCCAGACTCTTGGTTTCAGCAAAACCATCACCCTTGTTTTGACTTGCCCGCCTTACCTCATTGCCGGTGTCGTGACGATTGCTGTCTCGTGGTCTTCTGGAAAATTCAACGAGCGCACTTGGCACATCACCATTTCCAAGGCTGTTGCTACGTTTGGGTTCGGACTGGCGTGTGCTGAGATTGGTACTGCGGGTCGCTATGTCGCTATGATCATCTTCACCATTGGTACTTATGGTGTCAACTCGCTCATTCTGGGTTGGTGCGGATCGACTTGTGGTCAGACGCCCGAGAAGAAGGCTGTTGCTATCGGTATCGTGACCACGGTTATGAACGCTTCGTTTATCTGGTAAGTTCCCCTATACGCTTCTTCATCATCCCACGGAACCAGCTGCTAATAAGAATAACAGGACACCATACCTATGGCCCAAGTCCGATGAGCCTCGCTACATCATCGCACTCAGCTCCTCTGCTGCGTTCTCCGTTGCGACTGCGCTGTTGGCGTGGCTAGCGAAGATTCTCTTCACGCGCAAGAACAAGAAGCTCAGGGAGCAGGATAGTGAGAACATGACCTTCTACGTGTACTAGATGTGCGTACGTGGTTGCGACTCGCACAGTGCGCGATGGGTGGGGATGAAATCGGCTGGCAAGAGCTGGCGCAGATTAGATGGAAGATAGTATATCACAAGCTGCGAGAGCTTGATGAATATGCATACACGAATGATGAATTATTCGATTTTGAAGACTAGCTGTTTGCATCGACGTGATTGCGCGGTGTGATGTCCATTCCACGAAGACCAATACATAACCTGGTGGGAGCCTGCAACCCTCCTCCTCAACTTCCAAGATACGAATTCGTCACTGCCACATCTTAATCCCACGTCCATACTATAAATGGATTCGAAATCCAAGAAGAGTTGAACCCTTTCTTCTTCTCCAGCAAAGCCTTCCCATGAGCGATTAACGCCCTCTCATCGCACTGGGGAACACCAGCTTGAATGGATAATTTCCTACAAGCAAGACGGACCACTTCGTTGTAGTCGTATAAACGCATTGGGGTGAAAGAGGAGTCTTTTGGGTTAGGTCTTGATTCGAATGCAAGGCATTCCAGGTCCTCCTTTCTTAAGCCGAAGTACTTGATGGATTTTGACACATTGATACACGTTGTCTGGGATGCGTCTAACGAGTCGGGATTTCTCCGTTTGTTACGAAGAACCCAGTTGTTCCAATTCGTCTTCCACTGCGTAGGAGTGTCCCTTGGTCTCAGCAATGCTGCTCTCAACGCCGCGTCATGGTCAGCCTCTTGCCTGGCTCTCTTTGCAGCGGCTTCGTGTTCTGCGCGGGTCGGAGTCGGCGTTTTGGGTGCTATTTTGACTAGTATACTGGCAGGTTCGACCTCCCTCTTCAATGACACGAGGCTGGTCGGCGGCTTGGGTGCTATCGTTACTAGTATAGTGGCGGCTCTGGCCTTCTTGCTCAGTACTACAGGACTGATCGGTTCATCGTCAATATCATCGGGTGTGGCTGGGCGTTTGCGTTTCGATGCCCTCACTACTGTAGGATAATCTTCTGTTTCGCTTTTCAAATACAATGGCTCGGGCTTGACATTGATGGCTAAGGAAGGTGGGGTGAGCAGCTGTGGTGCCAGGGTAGGCGAAATGGGTTCCTTCTTGATGAGGGGTTGTGACTTTTCGCTCACCATTTTCGAATCGCGGCGACAGGGTGGCATACTGAGTGGATGTAAAAGAGCGTTATTTAAAGAAGAGGCGGTAAGAAAATTCCAAAATGTCAGTAAGACAAGTCTAAGGTGTATGAGACAATGTGGTAAAGCTACTCTCGGAATAAAGACCTTGGAACAACTGTGCCTCTTATCAACTTGCCTTCCGAATAAGGGATGGGTTTGCTGCATGCTGCGGGGTAAATGTACCAAACAGGTTATCTTCGATGCCACGTCAAGATGCATTGGGATATCATTAGACTACCACAATCAACATAATTGGAATTCTTTGGCATGATGGTGCACTAGTATAGCACGACTCCGGTAACGTTCTCGTCAACGTTCCGACAAGACCCTTATTCGCGAAAACCGGTTCGCTACACGAACCCATACACGAAAGCCGAGCTTTCCAAATGACAAGAGTCTAGCAGCCACTCCATTTGTGCTGGAAACTTGTATCATCTCCATATTTCTCCCACATCAGCCTATCCTCTTCATCCTCACGCATCCGCCTGGCTTCGTCTCATCGGATCGACTCTTTTTAGTGTAACACATCGACCCCCATATCCGTCCCAAAAGTTCCTCCCTTGGCTTCCGAGAGTTTGGTGTAGTCACTGGAGAGTGTTAGCATCATTGCAGCTGCTATGTGAGTCGGTAGCTCACCCATTGGCGTGTTTATCAGCAAACAACTTCTTTTCTTTGGCGAGGAATCCTTTCTCATTCTCTTGTGAGGTTCCAGCAAGTATAGATTCTTTGCGAAAGGCTAGTTTCCCGCAATCATCCCATCTGAAGTTACGCTGAGGCATCCTGCGGTTGTATTCATTCATGGTAAGGCAATGTGGGAGGCACTTGAGTTCATCTTGCTTCAGATCGAAGAATGTCTTCCCGCCTCTTACGTTTACATGCTCTCCTAGCTGTCCGGACCCGAGTCTTTCGTCGGTCGGTTGTTGAATACTCAATCCTTCCACTCTTTCTTCCATTGCGCAATTAGCTTTTTTCCACTCTTTCTCGGGTTTCTTCGCGTCTGCAACTTCTTTTCTCTTCGTCATATTTGTGGCTTTGAATGCGGCGTCTTCGGCTTTCTTCTTCGCCGACGCGAGCTTCTTTGTAAGCGCTTCTTCTGACTGTGCCGCTCCCTTGGGTGTTCCTGGTTCACGCGAAGCTTGGCTTTTCCTCGCTACCTTCGAGGGCGTCTTCGTTTCGGCACAATCGTCGTCCTGTGCCGGTCGCTTGAGGTTGGGCGTTTGCGCTTATTCAGCTGGTTTTAGCGGCTCGACCGACATCTCTTGGATACCCGTTGCTTTGGGCCCGTGCTCATGGGAATCCGGAGGGGGAGTTTGGAGTTGCTGGCGGCTCTCCATTGATGATGCCATCGCTACATCGGAGTTCATGATAGCGTTCAAGAAGGATGATAGCGAACCTTGGAATCAACAGAGTGAAGGGTCACTGGGTCTGAACGGAAGGCTGAGAATCCTTCTAATATTGGGAGCTAAAGATTACAGGTACCTGATGTGGCACTTGGAAGCATGTATACCGCGCACTGTGTCCCGATCAAGAGACCCTGCAGCTGTGTCAACCTTATCGCGTTGCGCTACAGGTGGGGTGGTGCCCGTGCCGGAGCCGTTGCGCGGTGGTCCGAGACACCCTCTGTGTGATAACGCTCGCATCAATGATATCAGCACCTCCAAAGTCTTTTAGCAACTCGAAATATAGCTTTACCCACCACATAATAGCATCATCCGCACCTGGGCAGTATTACAACACTTCTGCCCCGCACTTTGTATCGACACTAGCGCACCAACGTGTGCTTCGTTTCGGTGAAAAGAGGCTGTCGCGATCAAAGTAGAGAGTCTGATTAGAAAGCTCACTTCGGTCCATACTCTTAGCAACCAAGCGATCCAGGTAAAAGCAAGATCGTTGAAAGCCTTGCGCTGACCAGCGCCAACTTCGTGTCCACTACCATACAACGAAGCAGGTTCAAAGCGGGTATCCAAGCAACGGAAGAGAAAAGAATGGAAAAGCGTAAAAATCGCGTCACCGCGTCACCGCGTCACCATCCCACCCATCAACTCAACTCCTTCAAGCTCTCCTCAACATTCTCCCACGCCTTTGGCGACATAATCAAGCTCAGCCAATACCCCCCCGCATGATCCTTCCCCAAAATATGCACCAGCAGCCTAGCTGCAGGATTCGGTTTCCTACTCGAGCAATGATGAAAAGCAGGTGTACCAGTCGGATTACTCCTGGCCTCACTCTCATCACCAGCCCTCACAACAGCAGCCCCAAAGTCCACAGTGGAGAAGAACTTGGCTTTCGACCAATCGGTAAAAGGCACCAGCATCGCATCTGCGTCGCTGTAGAGAAGCGTAGATGGGTCTCCGGAAATGCGCTGCTCGCGGATGCTGGCGAGGGCTTGGCCTTCGGTTGCTTGCTCGAGGAGACTTTGTCGATTGTGGAGGGCGGTGGGACCGAGGGGGCCGGTTGACATTTCCGGGGAGACGAAGATGAAGCCCGGGACGAGCATGTTTTGCATGTACATACCTTTTGCGTTGATGAGTTCGGGGAGACGGAAGCGCGCGTTCATGGCGTGGAGGGCGGTCAACGGACGGGGCGATGGCAGGGAAGAAGCGATACAGCGGAGTGTCCATGCGGTGAGGACATCGCCATCGCTGATGAACGGTTTCTCGTCCAGGCCACTATCGTTCTTCTGCATGAGGAGATCTTTCTCAGTCGCCGCCCGTAATTTCGCCACGACATCCTTTGGCAGGTAAATCGTTTGTGATTTGGGTGCGGGCCCAGTAATCATATCCCATGCGAACCTCGCTCCAAACTTGACCATACTCAGCCCTTTGAGTTGTTTGGCCTTGAGTATGTACTCCTCTGCCGGCTGAGTCGCGTTATCAGTCAGTGCACGTAGCGCGTCTTCCCGCGCACCTAGTACAGGCGGTACTTCGGACTCTTTTCCGGCTAATACCAGAGACCAGGCGCGGAGGAGGTTTTGGTTGCCCATTACGTCCATCAGGGTATGGGGCCAGGAGAGCCCCACGAGCGTCGCATCTGTGAAAGATGTGATGTGAACTGAGATCTGTGGCGTGTCTCCCGCAGTAAGATCTTCAAGCGTCATGGGCGCGTCGGCGCGAGCGGCCAGGTCGCCGAACTCCGTAGGTCCTGGGCAGGTCACAATGGCTCCGTTGGCTTTAGGAAGCTTCTTGGCCAGTTCATGTTCTTCGATGGAAGTATTGATGGTGACATGACTGTACGAGAAGGCGGGTCGCGCAGATGTGAACTGGCGTGGGACGTGAATTTCTAATGCGCCCTTGTCCTATTATCTAACATGTCAACCGTCTTACTTCTACGAAGATGTAAACAGAGATAGCACTTACATTGAGCCTCAAGCGTCCTCCAAGTTTCTTCCAATCCCCGTTTTCCAGGAGTTTTGCCAGAGAGGACTGGAGCTTGTCCGCGTCAAGAACGTCGTTGAAGCAGAGTGTCCATGCAATTATGATGCTACGAAAGGTCTTCGTGTCATCTAGTCCATGCACTGGATAGACGTCGTCGTCTGCATATGGGTCCGGTGTAGCATTGGACGGTGGGGAAGACTGTTTCGTGAATCGCTTGAGGAAGTCCATTGCCGAGACGCTAAGATTGGGAACTGTGAAAACCGATCAACGATGATTGTTGTTTGGTGATTCTATCTACTTCTCTCCTCTGCTTTTATTACTGTACGAGAATGCTTGGCCAGATTCGCGTTCGGAACACGGATTCGTTGGTAGCCGGAGAATATGTTCTTATCGTTGTATCAAAATAGGGGCTCGCTAGATCGGCGCCTCATCCCCAGATTCTTCGTCTCAGGTAAAACTAAGCGCACGTGCCAACAAGACATGCAACCGGCTGGCGGACACTGGCGATCCGCTTAAAGGGCCAGTCCAAACCAGGCATCGACCTCGTCGCCTGCGACAAGCTCTTCATCTTCGTCGGCATCTTCACCTCTGCCCCGCCTGAGCCTGAGCCTGAGCCGCCTCCCTCTCACCTGCCTCGAAGACTCATTCCGCTTCTGCAATGCCAGTCGCTTCGCAACTTCATTTGCCTCGACTAGACTAACCAGCTTCCTCTTCTGTCCTTGACTCTTCTCGGCAAACTTTTTGCAAACTTCCCACACCTTCGCCGGAGCATGTCGAGTATCTCGGGGCTTTTCGACGAAGGATCCCGCATGTCGTGAAAGCACATTGGGATTTGCGCCCCCAAGATTGTGACGACGATTTCGCCCTGCCTCGCTGGGAGGCGGAGGGTTGCTGAAGACCTCTTGAGCTAGATACGTATCTTCTGCCATCTCAAACGGCGTACGTCCTGATGCGTTCTCACGGAACAGAAGGTCGGGACGGCACTGGAGCATAACGCGCAAGACTTGATCGGCACCGCGCCGTACGGCAAGGTGGACAGGCGTATCACCTTCGCCGTTGACGATGCCCAGGTCGTCGCCTTTGTTGAGCTCGAAAAGGAGTTTGAGGATGTTCTCGTGGCTCTCCGAGTTGAAGCCCGATGAGTTAGAGGGTAGAGCGACGTGAAGCCAACGTGCAAGAGGTGTAGCTGCGCCAGGAGCCGCCGTTGTGCGTTCGGTGAACAGGCTGGAGAGAAGGCGAGTGTCGATGAGCGCCAAAAGCTCGCGAAGCTTTTCTAGGCTCATCTGGTAATGCAAACTGTCGTGCAGGATTGAGTGGATGATGTTCGCTCCGGCGTTGTCACGTGTGGTTTGATCGGCACCAGCTTCCAGAAGAACCTTGACCATCTCGATACGGTGCTTAGAGAAAGCAAGCTGCAGAGGCGTCATGCCGTTCGCAGAACGATGTTCAATCGCTTTAGGATGAGTTTTGCATAGATGCCGAAGCAGGCTGACAGACCCTTCACCCTTCTTGCCCAAAACCACCGAATGGAGCAGTAGATGCGAGCGTAGGTCGAGCCACTTTGTGATAGACGACTGCAAGCCGCCTTGGGTCTTCGCCAAGTTCTGGATAAGGATATCGTCTCGATGACTATCCGCAAATTCCATGTAACAGCGCGAAGCGGTGTCACTCTCGAACCACTCGACACTCTCCAAGCTTGCATAACGGGCAGCATGAAGTAAAGGCGGGTGCTTCGCCGAAATTGCTTTCGTCTGGGTCTCTCTCCCTTCATTCGCCCAGTCCGCTCGCTTCCTTCCGTGAACCGATAGCCCTTGGTAGTACTTTGGCTTCACGGGTATCTCGATGCCGCTCTTTTTCACAAGATCGTCCAAAGGAATGCCAGCCCCAGTGTTCTTGATGATGATTCCCAACAGGCGAGTGCGACTTAGGCGGATCGCGTACCAGAACTCGGCTTCGTCGAAACGGAAAAACCTCGGTGCAGTCTCATCGTCGAGTTCGGTATTATGTTGCGTATACTCCTCAGCTCTGGCGATCAGGAATTGCAATAGATCGACATCGTCCAGGTAGATTGCCAATTGGAACAAACTATGCGGTCGCACATCCTCGGGAATCTTGACGGGTATCGGGTTGCCATTAGACGAGTCCAAAGGCAGTTGGCTACGAAGGCTACCTGAAAGCTCTTGGTGTGGAAACCATGGTGAGACTGACGCAGCATCCTGTTCGAGAAAACGAAACACCGGGCAGGTCCACGACATCATCTTGAGTGGCGTCACATTACTTTTGACTTGACTTTGCACCTCTCCAATGTTCTCGATAGTGAAGCGATCATCCACAATCTCAGCATAGATCTCGAAATCATCCTCACCATCGTCACAGCTACCGTCGTCATCGTCTCGAGGCTGTAAACTGTGCTTGACTGTTGGCTTCTCTTCGGGTACATATTGCGCATGTGCAATTTCCAGGATAGCACGAGCGATTCCATAGTGCTTTCGCAGAATGGCGATTGAAAATGGCGAGTAATTCTGCGAGTTTTGAACAGCGATTTGCAGTGGAGTCTGATTATCCCCCCACATCGACAAGGTAAGCTCTTTGATCGTCGGAAGATCGGCATCCCAGCAGGCTTGGAACAGCTTGAGGTAAGCTTCCCGCCGTTCGTCGGTCAAGTCAGAAAGCCGAAAGGTGAGCAATGGATTCCACGGCTTTGGAGGTTCAGATCCATAACTACCATAGTTGTACTGTTGTGGTGGAGGTATCTTGATCTCGGTATCTGGGTGCAGCTCTTTGAGGGTCTTCGCCTGTCGTCTCAGCAGCTCCGACTCCAATGCTTCAAACTCTATCAATAGCGCTTGGACAGCCAACTTCTTCTCACCCGTACCCTCGGGCTCTTTCTGGGACTGTTTCCACTTTTCGTGGCTCTCCAGGTCTCGCTCGTAACGCCACTTGGCGCTGTCGATTTGATCTCCCACCATCCAATGAGCGTAGGTGCCCGGTTCGAGTCCTCCTAGATACTCAGCATCTTCCTTGAGCGGTACCGGGGCGAATTGCTCGGCACGCCGATAGTTATCAATGCGGTCTACCCAGCCCTCTGAGCACAACCACCCATCTTGGCCATCGACTTTGCCCGTCTCGATGAAGGTCTGTAGTTTCCGCACGTTATACCGAACAATATCCAAAAGGGTACCCGTATCGTTATCGTATGTGTTGTTGCTTTTGTCCAGCGCGCACCAAGCTTTGGGAGTAAGACTGTTGATATCTGCTCCAGCATCCAGAAGCTTCAAGACTATCGACAGTGCCTCATGACGGACCGCAGTAAATACTGGCTGCTCGATATTTTCTCTGAACGCCTTCTGGTTGTGTTCGGCAGTATTGTACGTTGAATAAAACCCCTTGTTTTTCGCAACGGTAGAGTAAGTGGCGAAGTCAAGCTCAGGCTTCGCGCCCAACTCTAGAATCGCTTCAACTCCAGCGGAATCACCATGTTCAATGGCTGTCTTCAGAGGACTGTTCACAGTTGGTCTGAACGAATAGCCACTCAGCGATATGTGATCGGCGGCTTGTTGCGCCGCAGGCCTGTTTGCGGATATCAAAGTGGTGAGCAGATCGACGCCATGCGCAGCAAAGTAGTGCAACGCCGTGATGTGGTTGGTGTCGCCCTGAGCCGGCGATGCGCCCAGGCTGACGAGTAGTCTAGTCATGTCCTTGGCCTTTTCGGGCGAGAGCTGTAAAGCGAGGACGACTGGCAGGATGGCCGCGCGCGGAGACTTGTTGTAATCATTGACAAGCTTGACCGGCAATAGTACATCGGCTCCAAACTCCTGAACGAGAGCCTTTACAACGTTGGTGTGGCCATTTGCAATGGCTAGATGAAGCGCAGATACCGGTGCGTCCCAGGCAACTACATTAACGTCGTATACATCCGGCTCGTCGTCATTCGCATCGTCTGGAAGGTTATCGTGGTCTTCCAACTTTTTGCGGTCGATCTTGACAACTGAGCCTTCAGTAGTCGCGTCGGCATTCTCGGAATCGTCATCAAGCAAATCGATGTCGTCGTCCTCATCGTCGTCGTCGGAAGCGTGTTCCTCGGAGTTGTTGGTATTGGTAGCATCTGGTATTTCCGGACGGGTCTGGTTCTTCTTCTTAAGAGCTTCTTTTTCTGCCTCTTCTTCTTCGTTGGCCTCACTCTTGATGAGGAGAGCTCTGACCATCTCTACCTCACCACGCATGGCAGCGAGATGGAGCGCGGTCTTACCATCGAAGATGCGAGCGACGATACGAGCTCCAGCTTCGATGAGAGCTTGAACGACCTGCGGAGTTGAGGCCATAACCGCCAAATGAAGTGGAGTACGCCCTGTGTAGTCCCTTCGGTTGGGGTCAGCACCCTCTTGGTTAAGCCAGTCCTGGACATGCTCGAGATCTCCGTCCACTATAGCCTGACACAGTCGCGCTGTATTGCCGACATATGCCATCTCGGTCCAGTCATCATCAGTCAGAGGGTGAAAAGAGCCGATTGCTTGCCGTCCAGGGTTATCTTTGATGAAAGACAATATGCCAGATACATAGATCTTGCTTTCCTCTGCCGCAATCTCCTGATCTTCTGGTGTGGTTGGCTCGGGACAAAAACCACAACAGTCCCCAATTACATCGATTGCATTCCCAAAGAAGGAAGGGTGTCGGTGTAGAGTAGTTACTCGGTCCTTAGGGCGGTTCCATTCGGCGTTCAGTAGCAAGTCTTTCGCAAAGAGTAACCTCTCAATCTTCCGAGCATGGAACTTCGGCCCGTATGGGATAGTGAAGGTATGGTAATCGCTAACCTCATCAGTTTCTACCCACTCGGCAACATCTTCGTCATGCTGTTGCTTGATATCGCCTTTCAGCTTCTGTGTAGCCCAACGATTGATAGCCGGTCTGCCACGTTCAGCGCGGCGCTGGTCGACATAGGCGTCACGGTCCGTACTTTTCGGAAGTTTTTCAAGTACTAGCAGCCTGGCCAGTCCCAGAGTGCGACCGAAGGAGCGTTCGAACAGTGTGGGATCAATGCGCGAACGATCAAGGAGCGGCCAGTAGACTTCGAATCCCCGGCGTGCGTACTTGGATAAGCGATTCTCGTATGAAGGGGAGCGACGTGTCAGGTCGATGGTGTTGATCTGGGTCATGTATGCAGCGATCGCACGGGGACTGGCGTAGACTTGCTTGCCATCATATGCCGCACAGGAGCAATCAACATCGAAGCCTGTAAGGATTTCAGAGATCGATCTGTAGATTCGTAGAACAATCTGCACGTGTCGAGTTGGATACTGCGACGCGATAGTGATGGCGTTCTTGGTACGGACAGTGGTTGTCTCAGTCAAGATCGAGTCCCTGATGCGTTGTTCAATCTGCTTGATCTTCTCAATCGCTTGCTCCTCGGTGAGGTCGTAGAGAAATAGGTCGACATCGGAAGCCGGCGCCAATTTCTGATGATAGTATTCGCGTAGGGCGCGCTTTGAGCCGCTGTGTTGCTCAGGAACCGGCAGCAACGAAGTTACTACAGCGCTACCTGCGACCACCACATTGGACCAATCCATGTCAACGAGAGATGACTCAGAGAAGAGCTGGAAATTGGTCTGGAACTCATTGAGCGATTGCACAACTGCCGGAGAGCCAGTCGGCTTGCGATCCGCCTCGTCGAGAGGCATGAGATAGCGCTCGCGCTCAGCCTCGGATTCGTCCTCGGGGTTGCGAGCGCGGATCTTGAGTTCACTTTCGCGGCCTGTGAATATGGGAAGGATGCTGGGCTCTGTAATGGCGGGGTGTTCTAGTTGCTGAGCGAACACCTCGCGCAGCTTGGAGTCATATTCCTTGTAGGGTTCGAGCAAGGTGTGCAGTGATGTTTCCGGATGAGCGGCGACATGAGTAATCCAGTCGGTATGACGAACTGGAACTGAAGGAAGCTCCATCATCGTCGGCATTTGCTCCTGGGTCGCCATGGTTGGAAAGGCAATGTGCGAAGTGGTAGAAAGCGCGTACCTCAAGATGAAATTGAGATTGTCGAATGAAGTCTCTGATGAAGACAGAAAGACGACGGGTTATATATTCTCGCCAGCATTGACATCTTCTTTGCGCTTTGGTACGGCAGCCTGTGTCATGATGGAATTAGACGCTGCAGCGGTGTGGCGTGTGGATGCAAAAGAGTGTGGAGCTAGGCAACGGCGCGCCGTGCCCCATTCTAAGGGCGGGAAGACGTGTTTAGGGACCACAGCAGCCTGAATAGACAGGCAGCAGCGAATCATGGTTAGCAGCATGTGTCGAGTCCAACACGAGTTGCACGCGAGTCCATGTGATGCATGACGCGATGGGAGTGGCAAGTGAGGGTAAATCTCGAGGTTTGCCAGGAACACACTTGTGCAGAAGAAGGATGGCGCAAACATTAGCTTGGCACCATTCGCTGGCAGCAGCGATCTTCGAGATCTCGCCATCTTCGGCATCATCATCTTCCACCGGTTCTCGGTACCGCGACCACCATTACCGTGATCGGTCGCATAAGGCTTCTCCACGCCTTCAGACGATCACTACAACCCCTACTCTCTGATCGGCGAGTAGAGAGAAATCTGTCCAACGAAGAACATGATAATCGTCAGAGCCGCAACAGCCGTGAAAACAATCGCAACCTATCATCAAATCAGCGTTGAAACCTTTCATAGTCGCCTCGAGGCACTTGAGGTCATACCTTGTCCCCATCGTCTAATCCTCCAGAATTACCCAAATTCGACGTGGCACTCCACACGAGCATAAACATGCCCACAACCATGCAGATAGTCGCGGATATGAGAAACATGACTGGCATCTGCCAAGTCAAGACCTGGACAAGGTTTGGCGCACGACGACCAGTTCGTTTCCAGCGACTTCCTTTGCCAAGTAGCTTATGGAGATTGGCGAGGCCATCGCGGTGCGACGAAAGCCGATGTAAACGCACGGTCTGGTCAGCTGCGCTGATGATGGAAAGCATTGTGATGATGATACCACAGTACCAAGCTGTCCGGACATACCACGGAGTCGGTCTGCCGGTGGTGAGGATATTTGGCCAGCTACCTGTCGAGGTAAGGACACCCGCAAGTAGGGCGGACTTGACCATCGTCAGCGGTGCAGTATCATCAATGGATGCAGTACATACCACAACACCAACAAAGTTCAGCTCGCTTAGCTTGTTGTCCCTCCATCTTTCGACAAGCTCATCCCTCTCGCTTTGGTCATGAGTGTTGAGCAAGATTTCTAAAGGGTCATACGTTGAAGGATCCGGCAAGAAGATGCCACCACCGAACATTTGCGGTGCGCAAAAGCAGCTGCTTTGTCGCTTGCGTTTGTTATTCGAGGTCTCGGGATGCAGTGGTACTTGTGTAACAGCAGTCGGTCTTTGATCTGCTGCGTTCCATTCGACATCGTCTGGCTTAGCATGCGCACGTAACATGGCTGACTCGGTATCTGAAAGTTGGAAGATGCTGTAAATATCGGCAACAAAGCCCGTTACTGACCTTTATCTAGACAAAAGATGATGAAGGTCTGCCAGAAGCAAATAATGCTGCGGTGTTCAAGAGGTGTTTGCCGATTATGACGCACTTTGCGCCGCTAGGCATAGCGCCGCAATGCAGCCAAGTCTATCAACCATGCAGGACGCTCAAACTCAACAACGCAAGCGTTCGATCAAACCTCGATTGTAATTATGACCTCGGCTACCTACTTCAATGCGTCAACGCCTGTGGCGCACAGGTCTTAGCTCTATACGGCCAACTCAATGCATAACCACAGCCACATGGTCGTCCATGTACTTGGAAATATCACCCAAGAAGCATGCCGCGATGATGCTGACTCCGCCAAATGCTATGCTCACGTAGTACACGTACTTATACGCCTCTGCGTACGCGAGCTGACCAGCGTACACAACCAACTCGTACGCACCCGGCACATCCTTGATACCCGGAAGCTCATGAAGAAGCGGGAGAAGCGATCCACCAGTGATGGCAATTGCCTCTCCGATGATCTCTGGGGATGTGATGTTGAGCTTGGTCACCATTGCGCCGCCGATGTAGTAGGTTGCGGCGGGAACGAATTTGGAGATGAAGACGTTGTAGTACACACAGTATCCGATCGAACCACCAATAACTCGGATGGCAAGAGTTAGGGCAGCAATTGTTGCGATGAGGTCGTCTGGGCAGATGATGGTGGCTGATGAAATTAGCGGATAGTCCATCGATTGATGCGACGTGAAGCTTACAGATAATAGATGCGGGCACGACGATACCACCAATACCGAGACCAGCAAGAACCAACAATCCCCATAGCTGGTACAAGTTGTCGACACGACCGATAGAAAGGGCACCGCAGCCTGCAGTCATCATGATCGATGAGACGATCAAAAGCTCCTTGTTGTGACCACGGAGCAATGACAGCAACCACAGAACGATACAAGCACCAGCCAGAATCGAAAATCCAACTGGAATACCTCGGATACCAACCCCGACAGGATCATGGCCGTAGACGTTGAACGCCTGCGTCGGCCAGAACATAAGGATGGAGAAAAAGTTGGCTCCGGAGATGAACGTGATGACGAGCGTGAGACCAAGAATCCGGGGCTCCTGGCGAAGACGCTTGGGGAACATGGGATGTTTGGCTCCGTAAGCTTCCCAGAAAACAAAGGCGACAAGGAACGCGACACCCAGGATCAAGGGCGCGAGTACGTGTGCGCTGGACCACTTGTACTGGTAGCCACCCCACTGCATGCCCATCATGAACAAGATCATACCAGCAACAGACAGGAAACCACCGATGTAGTCGATCTGTGCGAGGACCTCTCTGCGGCTCATACCCACGCTGTTAACGCGAGGAGGAGGGTGGTAGAACACTGCCGTTAAGACGAGACCGATGAAAGCCCAAAGACCTAAACTGTTAGTTGGCATGTTACAAGTAAATTGTACATCGAAAGTCACTTACCACACCACATCCCAATCCACCTCCACGCCCCCGGACTCTGACTAGCAATAAGCTGCGCCCAAAGCACACTCGGACAAAACGGCAAAATCGTGAACACCAAAATAGCAACATACTTTCCCCTCTGACTCGTCGGCGCAAGCTCACTCGTCACCGCCAACGCCGTAAGCTCGTTAATACCCGCGCCCACACCGCTGAACACCATACCCGCGATGAAAATGTTCATAGAATGTGCCGTCGAGCAGATAATCATCCCGAGAATCAAGAAGCAAGCACCGATCATGGCGACCCAGCGGCGGCCAACGATGTCGGAGATGGAACCGACGAAGGGGCACACGGCGGCGAGGGAGAGGAGATTTGCGAGAATAAACCAGATCCAGCGGTCTGTTCCGCCTATGTCGGCGTAGATGTAGGGGGGGACGCCGCCGAAGAGGTAGACGGGGATTTGGCTGCCTGTCCAGACTGTTTCGAGCGTTAGCGAGAGAACTCTAGTGTGTATCAGTGTGTGAAGGGCTCTACGTACGAAAGGCCATGGCAACTAATGCCATCAATCTCTTAAAGTTCATAGGCTGCTCGGCATCGTGGTCTTCGCCGTCGCCGGCTGTGCGCAAGCCATCTTTTTCGTAGTAGTTGGTGTGCCCGGGGACTTGCTCGTTTGTGTGGACTTGCTCGATGTGGTTGAAGGCTGGTTTGGAGGCTGAGGGCGAGTGGTCTGAGATGTCTGTTGTGTTGGGTTAGTATGAGTGTTGTTGGGTGTGGAATTGTGGTGTAGGGTTACGCACCAGAGCCATCGCTGTGGTCTCGCATTGTGTTCTTCATGGTCTACGTGTGGAGAAGATTCCGTAGACAGAAATGGAGGCTTTGAACAGTACGAACGAAACTGTCAGTCCTGCAAACAATTGTCGTTTGGAGGCTCAGCGGGGCTCTTATGCATGTCTACAAACCCACCCTTGTTCCACCACGCCCCCGTCCATCACATTCCCCACCCACGACTCAGTCTGCGGGGTAACTCCCATCTAGTCCTCACATAGTCCGTCTTCCTCCATTTCCCTCCATATCCGTCCTTCTCAATCCCATTCCAAGCCCTAGTCCCCGGTCTAGCCCACCCATCCACCATCTCATCCAAGCATCTGGATTCGCCCTTCGCACCATATCCGCGGTAACTTTCCTACAAGCCTAGCTGTCACTTCCGCCACGTTGCTGCATGCCTATCACTTCCTTCCATACCATGTCCATGGGACTACGGGGGAAGTCTTGAATGGGGTTAGAGAGGCTGTTAGCGCACATGTACCCCGCAATTGCTTGGTCGAGCTTGTCGCAACAAGCAAAGCAGCGGCTGAACAAGCTTTTGGGTTGGTTTGTCGATCTCAGATGGCTTCGTTCGAAAACCTGGAGACGGGTAAAGGTTCACGGCATTGGAACGGTGATCGGCGGAGACGGTGGGTTGGTAAGCTGGTGCGACGTTTTTGGAGGTAGGTAAGGAGAGGGCTTGGATGACATGGATATGACTTGGGAACCTCGGGACTTTCTTCAGTCGCTCACTCGCTGTTCGCTGTTCGCACAATACATGTCCGCGCGGCTTTTACCTTCGGTCCTATTCGCGCGGAGAAAAGTCCGCGTTAGATATAGGGGATTGTGGCTTCACCTGCCGTACAGATGCATAATCTCTAGTCCCGTGAGCTATACTCGTTTTCGCCTATGTACAATAGCGACACCGGAGTGGATGCTTAATACGCCACAATCACGGCTGTCGGCTACGAGGTCATGCAGACTGCGTTTTCAACTCGAGTTGCCTAGGTAAAACAAGAGGATGAGAGGTCTTGTCAGATGTCAACCGCCAATCTTTCACCGTGATTGAGGTGCGCGCGCTGACTTGGGAACGGACATCGCTTTCTGGTTCGTTGTAGCACTATCAATGTAGTAGGCAATAGTACTTCTCATCTCAAGCCATCCATCTCCAAGCTCACATTATCCGCTCTCGAACCATAAACACCACCATCCAAGATCCACTGCTCATTGTCATCGTTATCATCCTGTACCCGGCGCCACGTCTGCTTCCTTCCCCCTTCACCCGCATTATCCTTCCCTTTACTCTCTTGGACCTTGATTGTCGGCCTAATCAGTCCACCCAATAGCGGATTCTTGCTGAACGCTCCGCTACCACTCGATAGCGTGTTGCCATCTACAGGCCGTTGAGTAGGTTCTGGTGGCTCGTCTTCGCTCTCGGGTGTAGCCGGCCTCTCGGTAGCAGCCATGCGCTTGACAAGCTTCTTTCCTGAGAGGTCGATGCTGGCGACTACTTTGCGCTTTTCATACTCCGGGCGCGCATTCCAGTCTTGCTCTCGCAGTGCTTTTTGCTGGCGCTTGAGTTGCATGGCGCGTTCTTGGGGGCTGGCCCACATGCTGAGTCCGGCTGTTGTGGTTTCGAAATCGGCCGCTTCGTCGTGAACTTGTGTTCGTTTGGCGTTTTGGGCTTGGAAGGCGAGTAGCTTGTCTCTGTGCTGTTTTGCTTTTGCGAGCTTCTCATTTTCGGATTCTACATCTGAAGCGGGATTGGAAGATGCAGGTGTTCCTGCGCGGGGTGTTGAGAATGGACGGGGCGCGAGCGAGACATCAGCGCGCTTCTGGCCGGCGTTGTTGGCAGCCATCTTCTCTTTTCCACGCTCTTCGCGGAGAACGCGGACCATAGACTGGATGTCTTGTGCACTGAATAAGGCCGAGTTACAGAAAGTGCATGGGCCAATGCCTTCCTTCACGCAAATGATCTTTCCGCAATTTAAGCAGTTTGGCGCGGCTTCGAGCAAAGGATGCCTGGTAGCCATGCAGTTGCATTTCCGCTTACTGTTATCTTGTGGTGCGAGAGTAGGGTTCGTCTGGATCTCAAGCGCTCTGATTGCGGACTCCAGATCATTGAGTGCCGTCGAGGCACCATGCATGGGCGTGCCACCGGTAACATTGACCTTTGCCTTTGCTTTTGGTTTCGTATCCGAGATGAGTTGGCCTGGAAGTTTCTTCGCTGGTTGCGGAGCAGGTGAGACAGCACGAGATTTGGGGGTTGATGTCCCCGATGACGTAGTGAAGGTTGGTAATTGTAACCCATCGGGTTGTTCTGATAAGCCGAATTTGGCAGCTTTGGGTTTTGAGCTACCCGCCATGTAGTCCTCTTCGTCTTTCTTGAGGTATGCACCAGATACGTTGCCATAGTCCTCTACCTGCCGTGGTGGCGGAAGTTTGTTCAGACCGGGCTTCTTCTTCTTTGGCTTTGCCCTGGTTACTTCTGACACGCCATTTGACGCCTGAACCTGACTTGAGCCACCGGAAGGTTTCGGCTTTCTCCGGTTGTTAAATGAAGTGATGAACTCAAGGGCTTGCGGGCTGTCTCCCAGTAGGTTCTGCAGATGCTCCGCTGATTCTTTTGGCGATAATGACTCAGTATATGATATTATCTGCTTCAACGACTCGGCATCGAGAGGAAGAAGCTTCGATAGCTGGGGCAGTGCCCAATTTGAGAGATCCATGGTTCTGTTCTCGAGGTCGCGGTTGCCAAATGTCGGAATACTTCGTTAGCTGTGAATCATCACTCTAAGCTAGGAGCTGTGGCGCAGGAGTGTGGCTGGTCAGCGGTCCGTGCTCCAAAGTTCACATGGAATTCCAGCTCGTGGGGAAGCTGCCATCACAGTCCTCATACCCTCAACTACACATTCACCATGGCTACCGACATCGCACTCGATACCACTATTGTAAGTTCGTCTTCTTATAAGATAAACAACCTTACTAATCAAAGAAGGGCACCATCGTCATCGAACTCTACAACGACCACGCGCCCAAGACATGCAAAAACTTCTCGACGCTCACACAGCGCAACTACTTCAACGGCCTGATCTTCCACCGCATAATACCAAACTTCATGATTCAAGGCGGCGACCCCACGGGTACTGGTCGAGGAGGTGAGAGCATATATGGCGACAAGTTTGAAGACGAGATCAGCCCCCAGCTCAAGCACACCGGTGCAGGCATCCTCAGCATGGCCAATTCCGGTCCGAACACCAACGGCTCGCAATTTTTTATCACATTGGCACCCACTCCGTGGTTAGACGGCAAGCACACTATCTTTGGAAGGGTCAAGAGCGGGATGCAGATTGTGAAGAAGCTGGGCTTGGTCAAGACGGACAAGGAAGACCGCCCTGTGGAAGAAGTCAAGATCGTCAAGGCATACCTCGTAGACGACGGCGCGATGGCGATGCAGCGATACTAGTGCGAGAAGAAGGATTAGTTGGGCGCAGAGGCCGTCGCATGGCAGAGTGCAACAACGCGACACGAAATGCCCAGACGTGAGTTTCTCATTAGAAGAATTACAAGTTAAATGCTCATACTTTCAGCTAGTTCAGAGCTCCATTCGGATGGATCAACACCTTCGTATACCCCTCGATCCTCTTGTCAAACTTCTCGTATGCCGTCGGCGCGTCGTCGATATTAATCTCGTGCGACACAACGAAGCTCGGCTTAGCCTTGCCCGATACAATCATGTCGCGAAGATACCTGTTGTACGCCTTCACGTTACACTGTCCGGTGCCAAGATGCAAGCCCTAGGGTCGTCAGTGGTGGAGACACAGCTTCAAGACACGAACATACCTTTTCGAAGAGTTTGCCGAATGAGATCAGAATTTGACCTTTCTTGCTCTGCTCATCTGGCGCTCCTGGATCGGCCGGCACATACAAACCTGGAATACCCAGCCCTCCCGTTGGCCGGGTCACCATGATCAACTGGTCCAAGACAACGTTTGGCTTCTCCTTGCTACCCGACGCGTCCACGGCTTGATAGCCGACCGCGTCAACAGCGCGGTCCACCATACCGTCGTTGAGCTTGATAATTTGCTCAACCGGGTCGCTCTTCCTGAAGTCAATAGGAATGCATCCGATCTTCTCCGCAGCTTGCAGTCGCTCAGGCACTGTATCGACTACGAAAACCTTGCTCGCACCTCGTAGGATACCACTATAAGCTGCCATCAGGCCAACAGGACCTGCGCCGAACACTGCAACACTTTCGCCGGACTGGAATCCAGCGAGGACCAGCCCATGCCAGCCCGTCGGGAATATGTCCGCTAGCAGTATGAAGTCGGCTTCGTGCTCGGTGCCTTTGGGCAGTTTCAGGGCGTTGAAGTCTGCGAATGGAACTCGGAGATATTGCGCTTGGCCGCCCTGGTAAGGGCCCATGGCTACGTAGCCGTAAGCTCCGCCTGCGAAGCCTGGGTTTACTCTGTTCTATTGTTAGGACAGGTGAATGATAGCCTTGTTGGAGGTCCGACTTACCCAGTACAAAACGCTGTCTTGCCCTCTTCGCAATTGCGACACCTGCCATCGGCGACATTCTGCGCACCACCATATTAGACTCATCACACTACGCATGTCTTCCTGATACACTTACAAACGGTAACACAATCCTATCGCCCTTCTCCAACAGCGTCACGCCCGACCCGACCTCGATAATAGTACCCATGTTCTCATGACCGAAGACCAAACCTGCTTCCGCAGCCGTGCGACCCTGGTACATATGCAAGTCCGACCCGCAAATCGCCGCCGTCGTAACCTTAACAATCACATCATCCGGATGCTGTATCTTGGGCAGTTCGACATCCTTGACCGAGACCTTGAACGGCCCCTCGTAGTGCACTGCTTTCATCTTGTCGCCGGACATGTTCGGGGATTATCGCGCGTCGCGTACGAGTTACAAAGTTCAAAGATATAAAGAGTCTGCCCGGACAAGATAGCTGTGTGCCTTTCGTTGAGAGGGAAATGGTTGCAGATGATGGAAGGCACATCGATCATGGCTGGAGCGCGCCCCAGTGTATGATGTATGACGACCCCTCATCTTCGGTACTTGCAGCTTGTAGGAGTTGGGACCAGAGCGCCTGGCTGGCGTCATTATTGAGGGGCTGACAGCGGAGGATGGTCGATCAAGTGTGGGGTACGGGTTCCGAATCGGAAGAGGCTCGGAACTTAGCGCGTTGGTAGATACTAGCCATGGACGACAGGAAATACCGGAGTGCGTGCTGTGTTTCTACTGTGTAAGAGTATCATATTCCGAAAACTCTGAGGCTGATTGGGGAATACATGGTGTACATTGGAAAGAGTTTGTGAAGCAGCATGATGGATTGCTGCATACAAGTACCCCAGACGCCCTCCTTCTCAACCCCAATATCACACCCAGGCGCCTACATGACATACCTTCCCTACCCTCCTCCATTTCCCTCATATCCGTAGCCACCGACTACTCAACCACCTCAACCTTGACCTTCTCCCCACTAACCATATCCGCCAACTTCGTCTTCATAACCTCCAACTCCCTCTTCGCATCCTCGTTCTCCCTTCGCGTCGCCCTCTCATCCGCGAGCTCGTTCTCTAGCCCTAGAACCTTCGCAGTCAACATACAGTTCTGTTCGCGCGCCTCAACCAACCGCTTTTCCATATCGTCGTCGGCGACACCCTTCTTCGCCTTCTCAGCCGCAAGTTCACGCTTCAACGTCTTCATCTGGGTATGCATCTTTCCCTGGTCCTCGATCTTGTCGTCTAGCCTCGCCTTAGTACTCCTATGCAGAGTATTCAGTCCCGTGAAACGCTGCTGTAGTGTTGCCATCTCAGCGTCCTTGGCTTCGATAACGCCGCGGTGGTGGGCCTCGAGCTCAGAGATCGCGTGGCGGGTTGCGCATAGTGAATTGATTGCTTCGTTAATGCGGTTGTGGGTGTTGGTTCTCTGATTGTTGTCAGTGGACTGAGACGCCTACGACTCATTAAGGTATAGTGGACGTACAGGGTCGGGGATACGCGGCAGACGACGGGCTGCTTGGACGCTGTGGCGCGCTGAGAGTGGGTGGCCTGGGGCGGATACGGACAGGCGATTGGGTGGGGGAGTCGGCGGTGGCATGGTGGGGGAGAATTCGGGTGTTGTAGGTGTTGATGGGAGGTGAGTGTATATGAAGTGCTTCTCGTGTGGAGAGAGATGTCGCGCGAAGTGTTCCGAGCTGGCAATGAGGTGGTGAAGAAGAAAGAGATTGTGAGAGTGAGCGGGGTGTCGCAAAGCGTGGCACTGAAGCGAAAGAACGTATCAGAAGAGGTGGGAGAGGTGGTAATGGAACTAGCAACCGTAGCGCGACCGACATCTTGAAGTGAAGGTGAGCGGTCGACGAATCAGAGGTGCCCGGGGCGTTTGCACTGCGATGCGCTATTTAGTGGGCATCGTCAGTACATATGTAATTCGGTCGTCAATTGCGGGCCACAGGCTTTCCGTTGATGTGATCAAGGTATCCGAGGATACTGAGACTGATAGGAATGGGCGATGAGACTTCCAGCCGAGCTGAAATTGACCACCTCTAAACCAATGTAATAGTACGTGGTGGTGAATAATCCGAAGCAGTCAACTGAGGTAGTTGTCTTCTGCCACTCTGACCGTCGCCCGGTGCTCTCGCGACGGTAATCACACCAATCCGGCAATATGTGTCGGCCGTTTCTTCGACATTCTTGATACATAAACCCAAGTTTGGGGTGATCATCAACGCACTGCAAGACTTGTACCAGACGAAGTCAAACCTGATTGCAGCTTTATTCTGAGTACCGTCCGCGAGCGTAATGATGCATTGACGATGGCAACTGGGCGCCTCGTCTTCAGCGACATCTCTGATTTCTGTGACCGGACCCGTGACTCGGGCGAAGCCAGCTGTGAGTGCGCCAAAAGGGTCCAGACCGCTGAGGGTAGTGCTACACTCTTCAAGACGGGCACAATACCCAGAACTTAGGCCTGTAAATGGGTAGCTTATGTTTCCTGTTATCGATGCCCAAGACCAGGATGGAGCAACCCATCCTTTGCGTCTTCGCGTTACTCCAGGTTTTCCCACATTTTCTTTGCGTGAAACGAAGTCTCCCTCCAAGTACCATAGAAGGCCTTCAAGGAAATGGCGCCTCCATAGACCCGCGTGATATGTGTCTCCAGTGTTTTTTTGGATTCTCTGAACAATTCCAGATATGGCTGGGAAGGTATCCGTCTCGTAGGTCAATTTGCGTTCGCTATATAACTTTGTAAAGAGTGCCCAAGCACTCGATCGAAACCGGTTGGACATAGGGTGTTGCAAGCCTTGCAGCATGTCTTCAAAGTCTGTTCGGTGAACAGGCGTGACGGCTGGCCCATCGTATGCTTCAGTTTCGTCGATTTGAGCGCAACCCCAGGTCATCTGATCTTCGCCAAAACCCAGAACACGATGGGAGAGCAGGCTTTCCTGGGCAGCCCATCCACGACGTTCTAAGGGTTGGGAGTACTAAACATGATCAATCTTTAACAAATCCATACTCTTGAAGTTCAACTAACCTTGACAGTGTTTTCAATTTGCTTGCAGAAGTATAGCTCGAATGAGCCCTCCTTATCTTCAACGCATACGTGGAGCGAGGAGTGTACTTTGCGAGTGCCGAGAAATCCTTCTCCACAGTGCTTTGCTCGTGAAGCAGCTATAGTCAGGTAAGCATTGGAGTATATATCTGCCATATGTGCAGCTTCGTGTTCCCAGTCTGCCTTTGAGTCCTGTAGGATGCACAGGCAATCAATCCAGATGTATCCAATATCAAGGTATCGTACCACCATGACAGCGTCCTGCAGGGTTTGTGGTAGCTTCTGGAAGCCGATAGCAGACTCATGTGCTTGTAGGTTTGCTGTAGTCGTTTCTAAGGGTAAGTCGTCACCCCAACAGTAGCTCAGAGCAGCATAGCGTCCGCGTTGACCATTCGTAGTTTGTACAAGGTTGCAATTCTCTACCTGGAACAGTTCTCGCCAATTTTGATGCTTTCCAAGCATTTGTTCGGGTCCGGGAAGCATGCTCACATCCAAGATTCGCGTTGGCAGCGGGCCGACTCGGCCCACTGACGGATGGGAGCACTTGTAATGGCGACTGTCACAGCTTTCTACCCAGGACAACATCCGGCGAAGTGTGAGAGGGTGAAGTGTCTCTTGGAGCACGACATAAGGGAGTCGACTCGTCAATGGGCTATCTGTATTACCCAATTAGTCCTTATCGCTTGATGTTGCGGCGCATTGTGGAGTTACCAAAAGACTTCCGGAGAGTGAAGTTCAGCCAATCAGTTGCTTCCCGACTGGCGGTGCCTAGGCTGATGCTGAGGCACGGGTATCCATAGTGATCGTTGGATAGTTCCATCCAGACCGTAAGGCTTTGTGGAACGAGAGTCTTGATCTTTTTCCATCCAACGGTCTTGTCAGTGCTCACCAGAATCCATCTGTGATGCTTGACAGTCATCAAGATGAAAGCACAAAGGGAGCAAGTTTTAGCGAGACAAGCAATCTCTGTAATAGCGCATCGACGTTCGTTCCAACATAGCTCGTCCAGAAAAGCTGATGGTGTTCGTCCAGCCTCGTTAAATCTGAAACCGGCGTTCCTCAGAGCATCTGCATCACCAGCGATAAGTTTGCGGAACGGTATCGATCTGCAAGTTTCGCATAGAGACATGCTCGCTGACGTCATGTGTCGGGTGTAATGTGTGGTACCTTCTCCACAGTGCAGCTTTACACGTTGTTGCCTCCGGGACTCAGCCTTCCCATAACGTGATATGTGCGCTAGCCTCATCTGTCATTCGATACTGTCCAATGACAGACATGATGACTAAAGCTACGGTTTTGCGAGAATCTCGTAAATTGGGCGATTGTCAGTGGCATTGTAATGTTGAAACCTCATAATAAAAGAATACGCTCACCAATGAATTCGTTCCATAAGAGGTCGTATAGATAATCATATTAAACTTCCGTAACGACTCTCGTGTCTGCGGTTGGAACATACGTAGACAATATGAACCATTGCTAACACAGCATAGCCATGACCTGAGCGAACCGCTTCTATGCGCTCAACATTCGGCTCTGATCTCCACTGATCTCCGCACTCTTTACTCTGTCCTCAAGACTGAGCTTGCTCTGTCGTCTTGCGCATGCGTTTCTCATGTTTCTTGTGCCTCTTCTTTGTCCTCTTTGCGTACTTCTCCAAGGTCGCTATGCGGTTTTTTGCCCAGTTGGACCCGCGTCGGGAGGCGGGGCTGTAGAAGGGCATTGTGGTTAGCCAATGAATCGTATAGGTATAGAACAAGGCAGCAAGTGGACGCCTTACTTCCAATGTCCCCATTAAGCAGACGCTCCTTCTCGCTCTCTCGACGGTCATGTTTCCGTTCGAAACGTTGGTGACGGTGTCCAGACGGTTCCGTGCGGCAGCTCTGGGTGCGCTTCGGGTTTCGTGGTTTCGGGTCGTGCGGGTTCTGAGAGGGCATCTTGGTGGGGTGCGAGTATTTTCCCTTATGTTGGTTAGGTATGCAATATGTTACTCAACTTGTGTCTCTCTTCTATACCTTGCCAGGATACCAGTACGGGTCGTTCTCTTTGGTGTAATTCCGAGTCGAGTCGCGTCTAATGCTCCTCGCGCTGTCTTTTCGATCGTCATGCTCATCATCTCCAGTCAAAGGGCTACATTCACGGTCTCTGCTTTCGTCACGACCAGTTATCAGCCCATCATCCCGATCACCCCCAGGACTGCGTGGACGACGCTCCCACTCATAGCTCGGTTCGCGTTTGAAGCCGTCTCTGGAACGATTGCGTGGATGATAATCAGATCCGCGCCTTGAATCACGTCTGTTATCGGCGCCCCAGCGGTTGCGTGATCGATCATCGGATTCGCGCCTCGAATCGCGTCTATCATCACCATCCAGACGATTGCATGAGCGGTCATTGAGATCACGGCTGCGGTCGCGCGATCGGTCACGTCGCTCACGCTAGACTCGCGTCTGCGGTCATCTCCCCAGCGGTTGCGATGGCGTTCCTGACGCTCACCGATAGGCTCATGTCTGCCATCATTACCCCAATAGTTTCGTGGGTAGCTCTCGCGTCCCGCTGGCTCGTTACTCGGCTCGCGTTTGACACGATCATTGATGGTATCCTGGAGGTCCGACATTGCGCCGCGGGATGAAGCAATGGAATTGCAGAGAATGCAATGCACAAACGAGGAAAAGGAGAGAAAGAACTGCAGTGACGAAAGGGGGACTAGAGGTAGTTTTGAGAAGCGACAAAAGAAATGACTCTTCGCTATGAAACTTGGAGCCTCGCTGTCAGGATGAAGGAGGAACGACCGCAGTATGCCGAAGGGAGCAGCGGGCCAGCAATGCCCTAACCACGCGTGCCGCGTTGAGTGCGTATGCTGACACTCTCAATACCAACGCGCAGTCCCAATCTGGAGACGGTCGAAGTATCGCAGTCTCCACACTGTGAACGCCACATGATGACTTATCTCAGGAGCAAGAGGAGAAGAAAGTGGCCGTACCCCATGACGTCATCACGCTAGTTCGCATCCATCTCGAAAGGCACGGCCGAACACGAAGGTGACAAAGCTGCAAAACATTGTTGCCTTCGATTGCCATATACTTCCACAACATCCGCCACAGTATCGTATATACACATATCGAACACAATGCATCTCTTAACACCAAGCTGCACTATCGCAGCAACTATACACTTACAATCGAAATTCTCACCGCGGACCAAAGATTGAGAAGCATCTAATAGCGCCTCAACCATCTCTCCAAGATCGCGGTATGGACAGCCTTTACACAGTCCGCGCCTCACCAGGCGAAGGTCTAGGCTGCTTCGCGACAACAACCATCCTCCCCGGCACGCTCATCCTTAGCGAAACACCGTTATTCAGCATCGCCGAACCACGCAGCAACCACGCCGTCACATCCGCCTTTGCATCCTTGGACGACGTGCAAAAAACCCAGTATCTATCCCTGTACGCCCAGAAAGACTACGACGAAGGGAATGAAGATAGGGATGCAAAGGTAATCGACATCTTCAATTCCAACGCCTGGCAAACCGGGTCTCGAACATCCATCTGCCCCCTCGCCGCCCGCTTCAACCACTCCTGCATCCCCAACGCAAGTTTCGCATTCAACACCCTCACCTCAAAAGTCACAATCCACGCCATCGTACCCATTGCGTCAGATACCCAGATCAGATTAAGCTACGAGCGGCCCTACCAAACCACCCTATCCCGACGTGCAAAACTATCTTCCTACGGCTTCACATGCACCTGTCCCGCATGCAGCGACCCCACTCCCTCTAGCGATACTCGGAGAGCGCGAATGGTCGTGCTGGACGCGCGTATCCGGACGGGGCGGCGCCAGCTGTGGAGAAGCCCTGTGCCGAAGGCCGCGCTGGAACTTGTCAGGTTGCTTAAAGAGGAAGGTTTGGTGGGGGAGGCGTTGGGTCTTGCGTATCATGATGCAGCGGTGGGGTGGAAGAGGCATGGGAGATTGGACTTGGCGGTGCAGTGTGCGGTTAAAGAGGTGGAGACGGCGGTGGTGTGCTTTGGCAGGGAGAGTCCGAGTGTGGGTGTTAGTGAGGCGTTTTTGATGGGGTTGAAGGTTGAGATGGGGATGACGGGGAAGGGGGGTGTTGCTGTAGAGGCTGAAGAGCTTGCGACGTGCTAGAGGTACTATCTTGGTACATGGTCAAGATTTTGGGATCTAGTATTGAAGCAAGTTCTGGGCATGCCGATTCATCCATACTGCATCTCGCTTCCTTGATTTGTGGCGCAGTGACGGTATCAGTATGTACAATGTGCCACATCCACGAACAAGCTTCCACTTACAGTAAACAATGTCCCACCCCTTCACATATTTCCTCCTCGCAAACCCAACATTCTTACTCTCCTAGACCGCATCATCAAACTTCCCAGCACCTGCACCACTACGTCCCCTCCAAGTCATCACCACCACCACCGCAGCAAGTAACCGTATAATGACTAAAACTCCCCGAACTTCCCGCAAGTCTTCAAAAGCCGATCATATCGTCCGCCTTAAAAGCATTGTTCAGCCATTCGCAAGATACCCGTCTGCTCCCGAATCCAAACGCCTGTCAACCCATCAAAATACCAGCATGCCACACATGTCCGAATGGCTATGCCCTCACTGCTCACATATCAATCGCGGCGAAGGCAGTAGTGGAGAGAAATGCGGTGGATGTGGGAAATGATGGATATGGTGAATGTCTTCGGTTTGAGGAGAGGAAGACCAATGAGGACAGATGGGGAAATATCAAGGCGTGGCTGCCACGATAGAGGACTGTTGTAGACCAGGGGATGGATAAGGAGATGATCTCTTATTTCATCGAAGACCTAACCTGAACAAGTAGATATTATCTTGCAGGGCTGGATATGCTCTCTTCCCAAACTCCATCGCTATGCACAAATGAATCATCAGACATAAGCCACCTTCTCTTTTCCTCGCTCACATATTTTATCTTCCCCTACCTGACCCTGAGCCTCTTCCCAGCAGGTTCAACACCCCCCTCTTCCCTCGCCGAACTATGCGCCTCGGAACCAGTCCAAACCTGACTCTTCACGTCCGTGGGAACAGTCGTGCCATTCCCATTACCCTCAACACCACCCTCACCCTTCCCATTCTCCTTCCCCACAGCCGTCGGCCCAACTTTCTTCGGCCCCTCAATAGAAAATGAAAAGATTTCCCTCTCCGGTCTCCGCGACTTCCCCGTCGCCGGCTTCTTAACAGCATTCACATCTTCCTCCTTAATCCACTGCCCCGTCCTCTTGGTCGCTTCCTTACCAGCCTCCGTCGCTTCTTCAACAATCTCCTCGCTGTAATTCCACATGAGGCCAATCTCGCCGCGCACAAGAGCTGTCGCCCAGAGACTGAGTAGCACGCCAGGAACGAGCCAAAGGAGAGCTGGTTGCGCATGGTTCATAAGATGCAGCGCGGCGAACGTGGCGACCAGTCCACCTACATAGCCCACCAGCGAGGCGTTAAAATATGTCTTGGGGAAAGTAAACGGCGCTTCTTCCTTCTCGTCTTTTTGCGGTGCGGCAGAAGTCCACAGAGGTCGTCCCATGAGGGAATGCGTCCAGAAATGGTCGCTCCACCGTCCCGCCAGGGGTGTAAACTCTGCCTTCACAATAGTGTCCTCGCCTCCCTCAATCGTTGCTGGGACGCGTTTCTGGCGGTGGAGGTAGAAAAGGTGGAGATCGAAACGCAGTGCAAGTCCTATCATGAGTCCCGGTATGATGATATCGCCCAGACCGAGCATGGCAGCGGCGTTCTTGCCCGAGGGCGTGGTTGCGGTGCCGGGTTTGGGGAACATGAGTTTGATAGGGACGTCGAGGGAGGATGCTACTGTTACCATTAGAGGTCTGGAAGAGGTGATGTTAGCTGTGCTCTGTGCGAACGGATCGAGAGGGAGGAGTGTACGTACGTGAAGAAGACCATATAGATATCGTAGAAAAAGAGGCCCACGAGTATCGCACTCCCCGTAGCAAACGTCGTCGGACTAATAACCTGGATACTGCCATACGCAAAGCTAAAACCCAACAGGTTCGTCAGATACCACGTCTTATCCACCAGGTTAAAGTAGCCAAGCGTAGCCAGCGCAACCACAGCACCGACAAGCGTATGCGCGCCTACTCGAGCTTTGCCCGCCAAAGCGCGCTCAAGATAAAGCTTGATTGTCCACTTATTCGAAGGCATCGCGCGGTCAGCCCAGAGCCATTGTTGCGCTCCGTCGGACAGTGGTATGCGTGCGAGGAAGCCGGGGAGCGGGCTTGTGATAGGTCCGCTGGCCTTGGTGTTGCCAGCGACGGGTAGGGCTTTCGCTTTTGTGGCATCGACATGGTATAGCGCGCCTCCGAGAACATGTCGCCTTGGGAATATGATCGAATGCCCAATGTCCAATACATCGCTCACCAACTTCGTCACAGCGAAGAAACCGAAAACGGCAAAGTACGCGTTGAGCGCTTTACTCAGTATACTCGGGTCCTTGAGCCATTTCAACAAAAAATACAGCGTCGCCAGCGAAATCCCCGCGAAGAGCGGAAATAGAATGATATGTCTCGGTGAGAGTCCTTCCATCTCATTCTCCGGCTCCTCCTCCTCCTCGTCTTCAGAGTCGCTGTCTTCATCTTCGGCAGCGCCGTCGCGCTTGCGGTCTTTTCGGCTCTTCTTGGGCGGTTTGGCGGCGGTCGAGGGGCGCGTGAGCGAGGCGTGGGCGGCGGCGTAGATTGGGAAGAGGGAGGCGAGGATCATGTGGAGGTAGACGGGGAGGAGCGGTTGCACTTTTGTGAAGGCGTAGGCGGCGGTGCCGAGGGCGCTGGCGACAAGGCTGGGCTCCGTGTCTGCCATGGTGTGCAGACGTGTGGGTGTGTGTTTCCCGCTGGTGGATGTAGCTGGCGGGAACTTATACAACGATGTGGTCGGAGTGAGAGTGGTGGTGGGTGGGGAAGGCTGCTGGTGAACCCAAGGTTACAGAGCTCTCTACCCACAACGTGGCCTATATGCAACCAACTATAAAGACCGCGACCATCAATGAATGTGCAAACAGCCAGAGTACATTTCACATTCCTCTACCGAGCCTCTTCCATCGCGCATCCAGACAACGACGCGACAATACTCATCAAAGCGGCACAGTCGCGTCCCTCGCAAACAAATTCCCGATGCAAACCAATCAAACATGACGTCGCCACCCTCGAGCCAAACACCCTGATCGGCGTTCATGCATGGCCAGACCCAGAGACGGCCCAGACCACCAGCCCGTCTCCAGATCGGCCTGCACGAGCGGGACCTTGCATGTTTCCCCCCTTCCTTCACCGCTTTATATTATCCGTGCAACGACTGCCGTGTATCATGATTCATATACCTTTTTTGGCCTGACCCGGGTACTCGGTATGGCAGCTTTTGGTGGTTAATATTAGCATCACTTGGGGCAAAGTCTGGAGAGGTGCGGAGAAAAGCATGAAGTAGATGCGCAAGTGTGTTTGTATTGCTACCGAGTGTGTATTGTTGTGTGTTGCAAATGTATGCTGTGTGTTCTTCTGTTTCTTCTTGAGCTAGACTATGCCGAAATCCACTGCCGCCTGGCTATCGTACTTGCATTCTGCTCCTGCCTGCGAAACATCTGCCCTCCTTCTGGGCTGTAACAATCTCTCCAGAACTCCTCTTCCACTCCGTTGATTAAAGAATGAATGGAATTCGTGTGTCGCGTACACTCGTGATGTGCTGGAAAGACGCCCCACAAGAAAGAGAAAAGATAAGTTCGTGTAGAGAAAAACAAAAGAAGCAGAGCGCCGAATGTGCTAAATCAAGAAGCCGAAACACCCCACTTCCACAAACAAAGGAAAAAGCTTAGCAGTCTGATAAACGCTTGTGTGAAACGCCCGAAGCAACCAGATTACAAGAGGGATATTTTGCGTGCAAAAGACAGGGAAGAAGCAACGTAAAGGAATAGGCCGTTGGGTGTGGTTAGACCGGCTGAACCACAGCTTCTGGCAACAACAACACCCGAACGCGCGCGCTAGTAAGACAGGGAGATAGGCAAAGGTGTGGTAGTGTTGGGATTAGCAAGGTGTGAGCCTGCTGGAGACGTTCAGGTCGCGCAGCATGTCAAAGGACATGCCGTCGACGTTGACACGCTGCTGTGACTCAACGTACACATCGTGCACGCTGGAGAAGGCGTTACCCTCCCAAGGCGATACAGCAGTAAGCCTCTTCTTGTGTAGATGTGGTGGTGTGACTGCCGCAATGACAGCCTGCTTCATCAGCGGGGTGATGGCCAGGCGCTTGCAGTCAAAGTACGACGACGACGACACCGAAGACGAGGTATACGAAGGTGCTGACGTCGAGGTGAGCTGAGGTTGGGAGGGGCAAGACGAGGAGGGGTAGTCGGCGACGTCCTCGTCATCATTGTGCTCTTCCTCAGGTGAGGAACGTGGTAGTGCTGACGGGTCAGGAAACTTGAAGGCTTTAGCCGTAGTGGGCTCTGACTCTTCCTCTAGCGGCGTCGACGAAAATAGAAACGACGAATTGTGGTGCGAGGTCTCGTAGTAGCCTAGAATCGACGGCGTGAAGTTGCTTCCCTTGGAGTTGGGGCCTTGTTCACTGGAAAAGGTATACTCCGGGAGGGGAAGCGCCTCGTCATCCGTGTCGTCGTCAGTGGAGCTCCAGGCCGAGAACTGACTCTTCATCGGTGGTCGCACCGGTGGTATCTCGATAGCTTTTGGTCCATCGGTCTGGCGGCGTGCATTTGGGTTTGGTGACGACGGCCCTTGTGTAGGAAACGATAGATCTGGACACGACCGGGGAGAGAGGGATGAGGTGGGGCGGTGGTTGGATTGGTACGTTGGTATTGACTTGAGTTGGTTCTTGATGAAAGCGGCAAGGTTGGCGGAATAGTCGCCTAGCGTGGGCGACAGATTCCGAGGTTCGCCATCGTTTACATGTGGGACCACGGTCGAAGTGCTGTTATCCGTGGCATCGGATGGCATGCGAGAGTGAGACCATTTTGCGTCGAAGGGGGATGGTTGATCTTGAGGCGTAGGCAAGGCGGCGAGGCCTTCGAGAAACTTGAGGTGGTCTTGGGGGTTGAAGAGACGGTTGACTTCATCGTCGACGGACTGATTGCGTCGAGCTCGGCGTTTCCGGACGGCGGCTCTGCCCTCAGCAAGAATAAGGAGTGCTTCTGGGGTTGAGCAGCCCAGAGCCTCAACGATGGGAAACGAGTTACTTCTTTGTCTCTGCATGCTGTATCTGGGACTCGCCCTGCGAGGGGATGGCGAAGACTGGTGGGAGTCCATTGTGTATATTAGTCCGGATAGAGCGGGAGAGGATGCTAGTTCATGGCCGCAGAGCCGCGGAGTGAGTCGATGCTGGGAGCGAGGAGTCCTAAATACACAGTGCAGCTTCAGTGCAGACTTCCAGGGGGTGTTGTGACAGTGCTGGTCCACGGAGCAAAAGGAAAAGAGAGTTGCCGCGTGTAAAACGGATGGCAAGGCTACTTTGAAGCCAGAAAAACGGTCGACGGATCAGGTCAGGATGGCATTAGTGGCCCATCTCGCTTCCCAGGCCCCAGGCAGTCCTAGCCTGGCAAGAAATGCTATGGGCCCAAGCCGAAAAGTACGAGTTGGCAGGCAGGCGGACGGGCACATGACGTTTACAGCCCTCGACCAGCGACATGGGTGGGTCTTGCACGGCCTTGGAAAAGCGCACTCGAAGGATGAACTATGCTGCACCCCTGGATGGCGTGCACCCATCTGCCGGATCCCGCTGGCGTTTCGCGGCGCTGCCCAATGAGGGCCGAGAGGGCGTGCGGCCTGTCATGCGCCGTCTGCTACCGTCGTGGCAAAGCACCGGAATCTCCGTTTTGCCATGGAGAGTTCGCGTTGGAGCGCCTGATGGTGAGAATTGTTGCAGCCTGTCAGCGGTGGTGGAGGGCCTGCGCAGACGTGCCGCGACAGCCTGCGTGAACCATCGTACCCACATCAAACGAGGCCTGTTGCGTGAAGTCGTGGTGATCATGATCGACGCTACCCTTGCTTTTTTCCCTCGCTGTGCTGTTTCTCCAAGGCCTGATCAGCCCTGCCACTGATGCGTTTGGCCCGACGATCTGTCTCTGACTGGCCGCAGCTAAGATAAAAGTGCGATCGATCAGCACCGGCCGCGCAAGCGAAACTCTGCTGTACATACAAACGGCGGTTCACGTACCCTCGCGTCGTCGTGATGTAGGAATTACACGTCAACTGCGCTGTATATACGGGCACACTCGTAATTGTCCGAGGTGGGTGAATGTGCGCCGTACTAGAGCAGGTACGCCGAAAAAAGAACAAACGGGCCGACTCGACCAGACGCGACACTGGTCCGAGGCTGAGCAACGCGTTCGCATCTCGAAACCCAGGATAGAGTTGGATTTCCAGGGTCCTGAAGAAGAGTCATACCTCCGTGCCGATGCCATTTGGTCGGATATCCGGTGCCGTGTGGGATTCGATAGGTCCGACTGTGGCTGCAATACCGCAATCACTGGCGACACCCCTCCAGGCTCTGATAGACTCGAGCTGTCAGACTGAAACCGTCGCACCGACAATTTACTTTGTACTGCACTCTGCGACTCACTGGTAACCTCGTGAACTCTCGTAGTCAACACTGTCACCCCTCATTTGCTTTTCTCGTCGCCTTGTAAGGCTTCGGCTGTGCCCTGGTGCTCATCTTACCCCCGTCCAAGCGTCGCTTGCTGGCAATGTCGGGCTGTTTCCGCATGCAGCTTTGGTCGCCCGGGCATCAACACCGAGTCTTTTTTTTTTCACGATTGACATCATCACCGCATCCATGAGTTGTGCGCATGCAGCAGCCTGATCCGCACGGTGCTCAAGAATTGCCCGAACAGCTCGTCGTGACATGCGAAACCACGCCGCCCGGGGCCACCTTACGAGCCTCGCCGCCGTCGCTACCGCAAAGGGCTGCCTGCCCAACGGCGTCTTCCCGGATTGCTTCACTTTCTCGCTGGCACCTTCTTGCGTTGTCTGTGTCTCCAAGTGTTTCACCACCCTCGACGGCAGCAGCTCCGCATGGGGCATGCCATTGTGTAACAATCCCATCTACGATCCCCACCACCACCTCTCACCACCTCACCATCCATTCCGACACCTAGTCGCCCATTTGGCTTTGCATCCTCACCCCATCTCACGTAATGCGTTCGACTGCATCCTAGGCACCATCGCCAGCACCCCACCGGTCCTTTTTCCTAGTCGGCACGATCCGAACAATCCATGCTATTCGGCAATTATATCGCGGCCCTTGTCATTTTCTCGGCGCTACCTCTGCTTTTTATCCTGGCACGCTTCTACTCAAAGCGAACGGGACTACTGCCCTGGACTATTGACGATACGTTTCTGGTGTTGGCCCTGGTATGGCCTGACCCCTATACAGAAGGCACTCTCTAACCACGTCGGGTAGCTCCTTCTCTACGTGGTTATGGCAATGTTTATTGTTTGCGAGTCGCTCACGTCTGCGGTTCATACTGCGTTGCTAATGTGATGAAGCAATGGCTGCTAGTCTTGTCCGTGAACACATGATGCATGCTGCCATGGCGGACCTCAAGCGAACGCTGATAGTAGGAAGAAATTCTTAATGTGAGGCAAGAGCTTATGTCTACAGATTCTGTGGCTCTTCCGGCTTCCCCTAGCCATCGGCATGGCCTTTACTCGATGCGCGATCCTCATCTTCCTCATTCGGACCTTATATACTAGGACATACAGCTGGTTGAGATACGGTGGTACTGTCAAACCTTACACATCCATCAACATCCGGTATCCACATGTTTATTAATCCGACCCACAGCTCACTTTTGTATCATCATGGCAATCGCCTTGGGACTAGCGGCTGTCATGGTAATGGCGCTCCACTGTCGGCCGATCAAGTACAACTACACATTACCCTTCGAGAATCCACGACACTGCTTCCGGCTGAAGCCAAGTGTGGTCTGCATGGCAGTGCTAGGAGTAGTCCTGGATGCTGTCATCTGGTGTCTCCCGCACTATGTGGTCTGGCATCTAAAGCTGCGCCTATCCCACAAGGTGGCTGTGTCGATCATATTCGCTTTCGGATTATTGTACGATCAGGGACCGTCTTCGCTCAGCCATGGCTGATAAGTGTAGCAACATGTTCATTGGTGCCTTTCGCCTCGACTCACTAGCCGGTGTCGCTTATCAAGGCGACGTAACATACGGCATGGGCAACACTTTGATGTGGGCAATCGCACGGATGAGTACGGCAATTATTGTAGCATGCCTTCCTCATTTACGTCCTTTGTTCGATTGCATCTTGCCGCGCCGACTCATTCACCTCAGCACCCGCAGATCTAAGACTCGATCCAAAGCTTCTCAGGTCTCAGTTCAGTCTGCCCTTGTCCCTCCGATTATCCAGAGCAGGGCTGGTTCCATTGTTGTCACTACGCAGATCGCTGTTCAGCCCGGTTCGCCACAGCTGTTACCACCTCCTCCACCGTCGATAGACATCGTGGATGGGCAGCTTGACCCTATGGGTCCGATATTCCACGTTGAGCAAGGACCTGCAAAGCGAACGAAGCGAGTGTCGTACGATTGTGGAGGGCCGTCGCGTGGTTGTGGCCTTCCTTGCTGAGCTGAAGTTGATATCTTGTTCTCCTACAAGATGCGCACTGTTGCATACACCTTACCTCCGCCCCGCACACCTAGTCTGATACCTCCCTGGGTGTTATAAATCTGATAATATAAGATAGTTATTCTTCGAGTGTCACAACATAAGTGGACCATCCAGCTGCCGCCAACTGGATGATTCGCTCGTCCCGCAAAGCTGTGACGTCTTCAAATCTCTTCTTGGAATCTGCATCCATTGCTAGACCCAGCTGGTCCCTGCTGTTGTCTCCCGCCGCGAACAAAACTCTTTTGACTCTTCCTTCCGTCTTACACGTTTGGGCTGCCACTAAGATGTGGCCATGGCCAACCGCTACATCATACGCCTCTGCGTTCTGACCATCTATCCGAACGTCCAAGCACTTGACAAACTCATCTTGCTCGTCATCGATAGTGATGCCTGTTACCAGTGCGCTCGTTTCAGCATTGCCATTCAGCACGTCCAGTTCTTCATTTGACCCAGGACATGCCTGACCCCATAAGAAGAGTTCGCCGTCCGAGCTCAAGGCCGCGCTCATATACCCGCCTGAGGCCACCTTCGTGACGTAGGTTTCCTCGAGATATGGCACGGGCGCAATGTCTAAAGTGCCATCGTACGGCCGGCCCAAGCACTTCGAATACCTCGGATCCCTTGTCTCTGTCCAAACGTGCATATCGACGTCTAGCGCAGTCATCGTCGTAGCATTCACAACGCACAGCGGAGGATCGCGAAGCTCGTAAGGAAGGACCGCTGCTCCGGTCCCCTCACCCATCTCACCGGCCTCAAGATAACGCCGCAAAGCCGCAAAGTCGTTGAACCGCAACACCGAGTCCACACCCCGGGAACGTAGCTCAACGTGAACAAGCACATGCCCCTCACTCCCAATCTTCACGTCCTTCACGATCTCAACCTGATCGCTTACACCGAAAACTTGTACGTCTGGTACACCAGTATCCTCGATCTCAGCATCGGTACCAAACAAGACGACTTTCTGATCCGCAGCGTCCCGGGCATCTTCCCCGCTCTTGACAGTCAACACATACCCCCTCAATCCATCATGCATCGTGCTACCAAAGAAGATGACCTCGCTTCCATTATCGCGATCTGGAGAGAAGGGAAGCGCTCGTTTCAGATCGCTATCGCTCATCAAGTATTCTTTCTGAGCAGCCGTAAGGCCTGTGCCCATGTACATGATCATGAGATCCCGAACCCGTGGTTCCCCAACACCAACTTTACCACCACCATTCTTATTTTGCTGTCCAACTCCAGCTCCAACCCCATCTCCATCTTCATTGTTGCTGCAAGCGATCACAGCGTCGCACCACCCCACCCAAATCACTCTGATGCTCCGTGCCTGCAAAATACACCTTCCCGCACTAACCCCAGGGCGAGCACCCTCGTGTTTCACACCAAAAGCGTACAGACGCATGGCGGACCTGCGACGCACACTGGAGAAGCAACAACGTAAAGGTAGAATTTAGAAACGAAACAGAACGACAAGCAAAAAAATGAAAACGCAGCCGTTGAGATCTGTAACCAATGGCCGATCGTACGCCACGTCCCGTGTCGATCTGCGGGCGGCGTCGCGTTGCGTGGGGTACGTGTGGGTGGGATTTGTGTGGTGGGTGGAGTTGTACCGTACCAAACATTTACCGTCGCGTGCCGTGCTGACAGATGGCCTTAGCGCGACTGGCAAGTATCGACGCGCACGCGTTGAGGCATTGTTCTAGCGCAGGCGCGTACGCGTCCTTCTTTCCAGTGGTCCCCGTCGGAAAATCTTAACCCTCGCTCCACACACACACAGCGCTTTGCCAGCGTCTGCGTTTCCATCATTAATCTTAATTAAAGTTGTCAGTTTAGTAGGTTGTCCCGCGAACAAACTGTAACAGTGACAGCTGCGGGATGTCATCCCGACGGGAACCGTTGCGTTGCTTTACGTTTTATTTCGAAACGCCGCCTTCTTTCCCGTTACACGGCCAGTTTCCCCAACTGTGGGATGACGTAGAACGGTTGTGGGGAGATTGCGATGATGGCAGAGCCTCAGGATAGCATAAGGTGGCGAACTACTAATCAAGGACGTGGACATTGGAAAGGAGGCATGAGGGGAAGTTGGAAGGATTGGATTTAGGCGCCCTACTAACACGACTGCAGACAGCACAATGCCACCCATGTCAATCCTTCCTTCATGCGAGATACGCGAGCGGAAGCATTAGAATCCTTCTGCGTCATCTGCCGTTCTGGATCTGGCTGTTCCCCCGCGTCCGCTTCCTTGATCTGTATCTCAGCTCATCCGAGGTGGTCTGATCTTGATCGATAGGAGGAGGAGGAGCGAGAGCGCACGAACGGATACGTCAACCCCTCACTCAACCAGCTGAAATCAACCAACAACCCAGTGCCACTTCACCATACCCAGCCGCTGGAAAAAGGAAAACAACGACCCTTTCGGTACAAGGCCAGCGTAGGTCGACTGCCACCAGGAAGCGAAGGTGCCTGCATTGGTACGCGCATTAGCCTTGCATTCGTTGTTCAATGTTCAAGTCCATTCATCTCCTGCATAGTTTCCAACTTTTCTTGGCCCCCATCTCATTCTCGTCGTTGCTTCTTCCCAATTTCCACGGAACGCAATGTCGCATCTTCATCCCCAAATTCCCAAGGCACTGGAAGCGATGGAATTAATATTCATATACACGTACCTTCGATTGGCCCCAACTCTGCGAAACCGAGCGCTTCCAGCACCCACGGCGCGATGATGGCGAGGACGCCCAGGGCAATGACGGTACACATTACGGGGTGCTCGATGACGAAACCCTCAATGGCTTGTGCTGCTTCACAGGCTTTGGTATAGGCGGTATGGACGGTGGGACCGAGTTTCTCGTGAGACGCCTGCAGGGCCGTGGTGAGTCGCTCGAGGACGCGCTTTGCAATGTTGGTGCACCAGCCGGAGGCGCCGACGAGGGAGTCGAGGTGCATACGCAGGGCTGCACCGGTAAGGTGAGTAGTGAGGAGGGCATCGACGACGTCGTCTGCGATCTCGATAGCTGGACGTGGGTTGTCGTTGGCGGCAGCGAGTAAGGCTACTTTCTCGTTGGGGTGGGTCTCGTGCTTTGTCTCCTCTGTGCCGCAGGGGAAGCAGGCGAGAAGTGCTTGAAGACGTTCCATTGTCATGTTGCCAGCTGATTTGGTGGTTGATGGTCAACGGTGAGGTTGCGGTGGTTGTGATGCTGATATGTGTTCAGGCTTAGCGCTTGTGGCACTGCTGCGCCGCATGGGCGGTCATGGTGAGGGTGATACAGAGCAGCCTCGCCCAATCGTTTTTTGAACGCCGCAAAGATGTGCTGCACATGAGCTTGAGAGGTAGGCTGCAAGGCTGCAGGCAAGGCGCACTCTGTCAAGGTGCATATCGTAACAAATCCGAGGTTGATGTGAAAGGCAGCACAGTGATTTTGCCAGGTCTCGGCGAGCGTTTCTATCAGATACTGTCTTTGGCTTACATGTCATAGTATGAAGCAGTGTAGCTCGCGGAAATCATCTCCTACGGGGTTCATTTCGCACTTACGCCCTCGACGGTCGAGTCTTGGGTAGTCCTGTTCTCTCCATCACCATAAGGGTAGAACAGTAATCTTATGGCTGTCAGTTGGTTGATATAGCACTGTTACTACTCGACGCCTCATGGTAAAGGTAAGGCTCGATGAGATTGGGGTCGCGTATAAATTTGTGATGTTGGTTACGCTGAGTACTTGCCGTGTCGTCTGATATTCTCTTACCGCACTTGACACCGCTCGGCTGCTCTTACCTTTACTTCGTCTTGCAGCACGTTAGATTGGTATATATCGCATTAAATTCATACTCATCATCTATTCATCCATCTTCTTCTCATTTGTCACTTCGAATCAGATACCCTTAATATTTGGCGGAGGCTTAGACGATACTATTCACTACCTCTTCATCGACTACCGCACAACATGGGCGGCCATGCCTTCAAAGGATTGTATTGTCCTCGCATTTCCCAAGTTGTCTACGAAAACGTCAAAGCAGAGACGAAAGCTGCGCTGCAGACTGTCTTCGCGCAAGTCGTGGTGCCGACCGAGATGCCTAGCAAAGTATGCTCGAACACACAATATGCCATCTCCGTACTGATACGAATAGGATGACTACGGCGACGTCGATTTCCTAGTCTGCTCCCCTCTCCATTTCAAAGGCACCACCACACTCGACACATTCCCATGGCAAAGCACCGTCTCCCTCATCAAGGACGTCCTCGACACCACCCACGGGCGCCAGGGCTATCTCACCAGAGACTGCATGTACTTCGCCATCGACTCGCCTCATGGTGAAGAGAATTACTTCATCCAAATCGATGTCAAAGTTTGCTTCAAGCCAGAATTGTTTTACTGGTGTCACTTCGAGCTCAACTACGCAAGCAACAGCAAGATGCTCGGCAGTATGATCAAGCCACTTGGTCTTACTATGGATCCTGAGGGTATACATATCCGTGTTGAAGAGATGGAAGAGACGAACTTTCCTGGTAGCATGGTGTGGATTAGCAAGGATCCGAAAGATGCGCTACGCATCGTGGGCTTGGATTGGAGGATCTTGAATGCTGGATTCAAGACCAAGGAGGAGAGTAAGTTATCGATCCGCGTTCTTCATGATTTTCACTGATGATATCTTTAGTCTACAAGTACTTGGCCAGCTCATGGCTTTTCCATCCAGGTCACTTCGCCGCACGACTAGCCGAGGGAAAGTACCACGAACGACTTGAAGACCGAGCACCGTACTGGACACACTTCATCAAGGAATGGGTACCCGAGCACTTTCCCGGCTACCTTCACGCTCAGGATAATGGCCACGACAACGGCAAACCCAGCGAGCATGTCTATGAAGACCTCGAAACATGGCAAACCCGCACCAGAGCAGCCGTCCGCGACAAAGTCTTCACCATGTTCCCTCACATCGCAACCGAATACTACACCAAGCGCGCCACTTGGGTCAAAGAACGCGAAGAGCAGAGACTGCGCGACCTCATCACACAAGCCATTCCAACCGGTAAGAATGGATGGAGTAGCGACATCTCCATTCCAACCATCATAGTCAAGTATTCACAGCCCATGACCCCCGATCTAGAACCCACAGCGATAGGCGAGATGACACCACCTCTGACACCACCGCTCACACCCAGCTTATCAACTAATGCCTCGCCGACTTCACCAAGCGCCCTGGTCTTGACTCCCCTCTCTCCACCCATCACCCAGCCCACAAACCCAGCCGTGTTCGTCGAGCCCCTCCCTCGCACACCACCAGTTTCATTCTCCCCTTCCCCGCCTCCACCCAACATGTCACTTTCAGCTAAACTCCTCTGCCTCTTCCGCTGGACACATTTCTGCCCCTCCACCGGGTCTCCTTACCTCACCACCGCGCCGCGCGACAAAGACTTCCAGATGCAATGGACAGATGCGCAACTCGCTGACGCGACGGATGAAGTGCTCGTGCAATGGGCGAGGGACATGTGGTGGAGTGTTTGGACCAGGCAGTGCGTTGTGAACTATCGAGGGATGTGGAAGAGGAAGTTTGAGAAGGAGGCTAGGAAGGTACAAATGGAGGAGAAGGAGAGCAAGGTGGTCGAGATTAGAGGAGAGAGGGTGGAGAAGGTTAGAGGGAGGTTGGGAAGGTTGAATGAGGGGTTGGAGGGGTTGGTTTGACGAGTGGGATTGTAAGGCGGTGGATGAGGGGATGGTATGTGTGACCCTGCGTTTTGCGGAAGATCTGCGTGGCTGAAATGACTGAATGGTTGTAGTGTGTCTGGAGACCTCATCTTGTCATTCATTTCTTTCCATCATCATATCGGCAACACAATTGTTTACCAAACTCTCCATCTTTCCTCATGTATCTCCATCATTGCGTCTGTGCACCACCCTGTTGCAGAAGTGCTTCTCTCCTCTGTCTCATCCTTGTCTCTTCCATCTCCAACCACTCCACTTCTCTCTTCCTCTGCGCTTCGACATGAGGTGAGACCTGTGACGTCGAATTGATCGCTCCTGGTACTGGCAGCGTTTCTACATTTCGACCATCGCCTTCATTGTCCACTCCAACCTCTCTGTTCTCACTTATTCGCCCATGTTCCTCCATCCCATTATATGGCAACTCGCCCGGCCGATCCTCAGCCCTGAGCTCGTGCGCTCCTCCAATCGCGTATTTGTACGAGTGCGACCGATTCAATTCCTGCGTGAGGCCGTTCCCCGACATTTCTTGGTATTCCGTCTGGTCCGCTCCCGTTCTGGTCACATTATTGTCCGTATCGAGTACCATTTTGTCGCCGCCGCCTTCTCGCCTCGCCAATTCATCGTCGGTAAGGGTGGTCGTGGGTGGTTGCACCCTCCGCTTCTTCCGCCGCCAGAAGTACCATCCGCCTATTATGAGGGCGAGAACGACAATGCCTCCTATCGCTATACCGGCAATTGCGCCACCCCCTATGCCTGGCTTGGAAGTGCCGTTTTGGATAGGTTTAGGGCGTGGGGTCCGGGTAGTACGAGGTCGCTTGGATGTGGTGGTGCCTCCATTTCTTGTTGAGAACGCCGAACTTGGTGACGTATTTATCGGAGCTTGAGGCATGTACAGAATTGCCGCACTGGGGCTTATTTGGAGAGCTAGGGTGAGACTGTCCACTACTGCTGTTTGCGTTCCAGTTATCGTAAGTGGCTCACGAGAATCGCTGGAGAAGAGTTCAATTAGAAGCAATGGCAATTCTTTGATCAAAACCGTAGTGGACGATGTTTCATCTATGGAAAGAGTCATCTTATACGTGGGCCGTTGTTCATCCGGCGATGGGAGCGGGACGGTGATCCATCTTGGTGAAGAAATTCGAGCTGTCATTCTCGGCAATCATGCAGTAGACTGCGGTAACTAGTCGCTGCTCTGACAATCGAATGAGACGAATCCACGGGCGTGCGAATGTAATGATGAAGAGGCTCGGCAGGTGGAGGTCGACAGCAGCAAAGGATTATCTGCTTTGATACTATGCACAACGTCTAGGATATATCCCCGGTAAGGGCCACAATGTGCATTTTTACAGCCTGATTGAGGCTTGGAGAGCTGTCATCGCGGCAAAGTTGAAACCATCAGTATATAGGTTGAACGCCGGATTTAGTTAAGCCGTTACTCTTCTGAGCACTGCCAAAATGTTGTGTTGGCTGCGCATGCCGCTCATTCGCTCCACAAAGTTTTGGCCCCTAACTATGTGTATCTAGGCCGACGGTGATTCGATCTTTTATTGCCGTGTCGCGCGGGGGAAGCATGCAGCTTACGGTACACGACATATAGCCTAGATTCAAGCCACAGTCTACGATTATCATAGAAGTGGGCTCCAAAATAAAGGCAAGCAGCAGTCAACATTAGATACTCTTGTTCTTCGTTGTTCATTCACGGTAACTGCGTGTACCAGTCTCTGCCAACAAACCCCGCGACACTCCTACATCACCAAATCAGACTATTATGTCCCGATCTCCTTCACGTGCGCCAGACTATAGTCCCCCTGTCACTCTCCTGCGCTCCTAAGACCGTTCCCAGAAAATGTTCATCCACCCTCTCTCGTCTCATCAAGCTCCCACTGCTCAGCAATAAGAGCGTCTCCTATATTTCCCGTATCTCCCCCTAATGGACAAACAATCGGTTTCATTGCGCAATGGGTCTTTCAGCATTATGTACACTCGTCTGGATGCTGCGCTTGAAGTAAGGCTGTACAGCCTTAAAGAGGCTAGTACATTGTGGCACAGCTGGAAGTCTTCGCGCCATGCAGGTTCCATGCTATATGCAGTCAAGCAGTTACCGTGTTTAGCTACATTCATGATGTGCAAGACAGAGAGCGAGTCGTTGCGCGAGCTTTGCTGGCCCCCAATTCTCCACATGCGATTGAGCGCTGATCCGGCGTCCCTCAGACCGAACATGCGGCCAACATCACACATGACCTTCGATCCTTTGGGCCTGGCTGGTGTCGCCCGTGCCTCACGATCTCGCGTTCCAATTGCTCGAACTAGAAATTATATTAGAATAGTGTGTACTAAGCAAGACTGGCATCAAAACCACAAAGGCGTTATGAATTCTTCCCGCCTACTTGCATAGAAAGCGTCTCCCTCTTCTTCCGTATCCTCTCTTCCTCCATATCTAACCACTCCATTTCGCGTCTTCTTTGCGCCTCTACATTTGGTGATACTGCAGCACTCCTTGTTCCGGCTTCCTCACCAGCGGCGGTCTGAGCTACCGGTGTTTGAGGCCTGTGAGGGTGTACTGCCGTAATATCTTCCTCTCCACCATGTGGCAGCTCTGCCGTACTACCATCAGGATGAAGCTCATACGCTGGTTCGTATTGATACGATGCTTTACTCGTAGAATGCCGTGCTGCATGCGTCGCGTATTTGGCGGACTGAGCCGGATCCAACTCTTGCGCTGGCATGACTATATCCCCCGGCATTTCTTGATGATGATCTGGAATGTGCGGTTGTTTCTCTGTCGGAGAGTACTGTGGAGGTGGCCCTCCAGTGCTTATGACCCTCCTGCCCTGTTCATCGTCGCTCGGCCCCGAAGCTCTTGCTTTTGCACGCTGTCTTCGTCGCCAGAAAAACCATCCTCCGATTACGAGAGCGAGGACGAGTATACCGCCTATAGCTATTCCGGCGATCGCACCGCCTCCTAAACTTGGACTGCTGCTTTCGTTGGCTGATGCGGCTACAGTAGATTGGCTGCTACCTCCAGATTGTTTTCCACTCGCGCTGCTCCCCGAGTCTGAACTGCCTGAATTCGTGGTCACATCGGCCGCTGAAGCTGTGTGATCCTCGCCTCCACTCGTGGAAGTTGGTCTCGGGAGTTCTGCTGGCGGTATCAAAGTCTTAGTCTCGATGCTCGACTCTGACTGCGTAATCGGAGCGCGGCGATACCATATCTGGTCTGGCCAGTACGTGAGCCAGATTTGACAACCAGAGACGTCGTAATATTCTGAAGCAGTTATAGTGTGACCATCTGGAGCCACGACACCGCTCATGGTGGCGAGGATTGTGATTTTCAGGGTTGTGGACCAGTCGTCTTCAGAAATTTCCGTGAGGGATAAGGCAGTTTCGTGGGCAGTCCTGTAGGAGGACCATGATTCGACATACCAGGGGTATGTGTTGAGATCGGCTGGTAGGTTGGACATGGCGGGATGGTGCGTGTGACGGCAAAGAGCTGGTAAGGTGTATGTAGCTTGATGTAAGCTATCGAAGCACAAGTTCGTACAACTATCGAGGTGGAGGGGCAGATAAAGCCGTGCCTAGCAGGACTTTCCAGCATCTATACATCATCGCAGGCGGGCGGGGTACCTCCACACACTGCTGGACATCGTCACAAACATGTCTTCTATGCGATAGGTCAAAGATACAAGAGTACCCACCTCCATACACGCCGAAAGCTATGCATCGGCCCTTCCGCACAGGTCGTGTGACGTTCCGTCGAATCAAACGCGGAGAGAGTGTTTGCGGCACAGTCAAGCGAGCAAGACTGCAATAAAGGACCAACTTCTCATTCGACGAGAATATCTTGTGTACCGGTACAATCAGGGCATTATCGTCATTCCAATGCATGCTGTAGAGTGGTGAGTATAGAGGTCGCAGTTTGGGTCGCAGGAATTCGTTGGTTGCTTTTGACTCGGTGCGACGCTTCGGCAGGCGGTAACATTTGGGATGTTCTGGTTTTGAGACATGGACGAGTATATGTATGCTATTGTTTCATGATCATTGTTCCTTCAAAGTCGAAGAAGGATAGATTCTGCTGTGCCTGTTTCATCAGCTGTTCGCGCCACCTTGCGCTGCAAGCAACTCCCGCCGCTTCCGTATTCTCTCCTCCTCCATCTCCGGCCATTCCACCTCTCTTCTCCGTTGAGCTTCAACATTCGATGACAGTGTATTGTTCGTCGTCTCCATTATTCCAGCAGCGGGTCGTTGCGGGTCGTGTTTGGTCACTAGTGGTGTATGTTCGCCTTGCCCATTCAACAGCTCAGCCGTCGCAGAGTCGGCCGTGAGCTCATGGGATGCATCCGTCGCGTACTTGGATGATCGTGTAGTATTCGACTCTTGCGCTCGCGTTGGACGGTCTTCTGGAAGTTCCTGCGGCAGCTCCATTGTTTCGAGCTCGGGTATTTCTGCGTCTCCGTCTGTGTCTCTTCCGATCTCGTCGTCATTCTTGGTGCTCGTAGGCTTCCCTCTCGTGCGTATTCTTCGCCGCCTGAAGAATTACCCCCCGACAAAGCCGATGGCCAGGAGCCCAATAGCTATGCTGGCTATTATGTCTGCTGTTCGTGCAGTGCCGCTACCGTCGTCCCGGTAGAACGCTGACGACACGTCGTCGTCTGACGAGTGTGAGGCTGATGCACTGTCGCTACTTCTCGTGCTCGATGCCAATGATTTTGTAGTTGAGCTGACAGGTACCAGCTCAGAAGCTACTGACGAAGTAATTGAGCTGGTGTCGGATGGCAGATCAGGTAGCTCTAGAGGTGTGAACGTCCTGATAACTGTAACGATAGAAGGATTTTCACCGGCACCAGTCGGCGTCACCGTGGAGACGATTACCAGCGTCGAGGGAGGGGCGGAGGGTGCTGTAAACACTGACGTGTTCACGTATTCGATGGTGTCGGATGAAGTTTGTTCCATTGGAGATCCGACTTGCGACATGATCGAGTCGACTTGCCGCTTAGAAACGTGGTCGTCTTTCGATTTAGGCTGAAGCGGCCGTGTAGAGCTGGAATGCATATGAGCAGTCGTCATGGTGGCGTTAACGGAAGGAACCCGCTCTCCACTGGTTGATGTAAGGTAGTCAGGACCGAACGCGAGTTACCAGGCCGAACGGCGAGGTAAAAAGCTAAGGCTATGTTGATCCGAATGCGGCCAGGGGAGAGGACCTTGAAGTATCGAAAAGCGTGTTGTGGAACAAAGAATGGACGTTTCGTAACGCTCGTGTGACTTGTCGACGAATTACCGAAAATGCTGTGCTTGACGAACAGCTATCTGATTAGATGCAGAATTTGAGCCTTTTCACATGATCGGGTAGCTGTCATACATCCTTGCTTTTGATGTTACTGTGCCCTTATCGCGAGTTAGCACACAACAAGATACACAACAGCTCACCACCCTCATGTAATAATCTTCCATTCAAAATCTACCCACGCAAATCAAACGATGTATATACTCGTTACCCACATCAAATCCCCCCATCACCCCCCAACCCCCCAGTCAAACTCTTCATCCTCCTCCCCAACAAATCATCTTCACTAGCCAAACTAACCAGACTCTTCCTCCTCCCCCTATCGCTCTTCATCCTGCCTCTCTCCCTTGCTGCCCCCCTCGCACCAGCCACACCATCACCCCCGTCTTTCTGCGGACTCCTCCTTCCCTTCCCCAAAACCGTCATCTCCAACGGCCTATCCTCATCCGCTGAACTCACCGTCCCACTCCTACGGTGATGTCTCCTCCTTGTAAATTTCGTACTTGTGAGTCCGTCAATAGCATCTGCGAGGCCTATTGTGCCAAAGTAATCGCCTCCTTCTCTTCCCCTCATGCCTGTTGCTGTGGTAGTCGCAGGCGTGTATCCTGGAGTCTCGGCATCGTATCCATACCTCTTCCCATCCATCTCTTCAAAAGCTTCGGTAATCCATTTTCCGCATTTGAAAATATACTTCCAGCCTTCGGGGAATACGCCGACGAATTGGAGGAAACCATGGCTTATACCAGGTACCAGATCCACGACCACACTTTCCTCGTTGAAACTGCCTCGTGCCCAATCTAACCCCAACTCTTTCGCTGCGACCCATTCCGCGCGTTTAGCCTGTCTCAGCCGCCCGGCGAAGATGACAGTGTCATCGACCAAGGGGTCGCGCTCCCCTGTCAACATCCACGTGCGTGGGAACTTTGCTAGGAGGGATTCCGGAGCGAGGAGCGGGGAGAGGAGGTAGTCTGTGCTAAAATCGGGGCGGTGGTGCGGGCCGATGTAGAGAATGATCATGGCGCGCATCATTTCGGGGGTGAGAATGCGGTCGTTGAAGTAAGATATCATGCTGGACATTGCGAGGCGGGTTTTGATGGCTGTGGCGGGTGGTGCAGGGAGGGTAGCGGCAGCGGCACCGGGAGTGGGAGGTTGAGTTGCGAGTGGTGTGGGTGGGAGACTTGATTTCTGGCTGGGAGGCTGCTGGAGTGTAGCGGTGCTGCTGTCTTGGCCTGTGTGTGCGGCGGAAAGTTTGATCATGGTCTGGGGGGACGTGATGTCGCCGCCGTTGGTTTTGGGCATAGTTCCATTGACCATGCTCACTTTGGTGCGCTCGTCCTCACTATCCGAGTCATCAGAGCCATACGGTGTATTTGGTGCAAGTTGTCGGTAGTCGTCGCTCTTATGTCTTAGAATGGGTCGATTTGTCTTCCTCACTCGTCGATCACGAATGAGAGCCATTTGCTCGTCCGTCATCCAATTGCCAATGTTCATGTCCAGCGCTGGGTAGATCAATACCACGCCGATCGGAGGTGGTATAGGGGATTCGCCCTGCCATCTCCGCGTCTCGGTGGAACCACTCTGCAGTATCATGAGTATCATGGCCACAGCCAAGTTTCCACCAGCTGAATCACCCGAGACGACGACCTTGGGCTCTGCTTCTCCCGACAAGCCCATACAAGTTCCTCGCGACGCGACAATCATGTGATAGACATCGTAGCACTCGTTCAAAGCATACGGGTACGGGTGTTCAGGCGCCTTCTTGTAGTCCAGACTTAAAACAGGCAAGCCCGTCTTACCAGCCCAGCCCATGAGCTTGTCGTCGTGATTCCTCGGGTTCATAGCAACAAAACCACCACCAGGGATATCCAGGACAACTTTGTCCTGCTTCTTCAATGCACTCCGCGGACCATTGAAGTACAACCATCCCGTCACCGGTTCCTTATACGAACTAGCTCTCGGTCGTGGTATACGAATCTGGCGCGGCGGATACACCATCAGTCTCGGTCGCATCATGCTCGTCAGCGCACCCAGATATGGTGTCGTCCCCTTGTTCCACGCCACGCGCAGATGGTCCACGGTGAGCGTTGCTCTAATCTTCCTGACTTTCTCATCCGCCTGCTCAGCACATATCATGTAGTATATGCTGAAGACAATCGACAGCAGATCCCTCACACCTTTCCGTTTTATCCGCATAGCAGACCAGAAGCCTGCGTCCAGCGCAGTCGTAACCCATGTCGCACGGAAGTATGATCGCGAGTACAGGCTTGCGAGGGGCTCGGGACACTCCAGACCAACGAGCTTGCCGAAGTTGCGGGCGACGTAGAGGTAGAGGAGTGTTATAAGGACCGATTGCCAGACGGTGAGTTTCCTGGAGAGGAGGGCGGATACGCGGCGGAGGATTGGTGGGCCATGGCGGTCGCCTCTGCGTGGTTATTAGTATATAATGATGTGGTTGTAAGACTAGATGTTTGCTTACCTGTAGAGGTAAAACGACCAAAATGACACTACAGCCAGCACTTGTATCTTCCTGAACTGCACCGACGGCCGCCCTAATACATGATCTATCATGACTGTACCTCTCTCCCAGCACAAACAGCTTTATCGAACCCAGTGAATGCAGTCGCAGGTCTTTTGTGCGTCATGAAAGGCGTCAAGTCGGATCTCCACGTGGTGTCGCAGGGCTTACGATGTCGGTAATGTGTGTGTTGCAATTCGTAAGCATGTGAATGTCACGTCGCAATGTCTAACCCGGTGTGGATCCGTCTGGGGTAACGGGGAAAGGCGTGGTAATGGGCAAAGGCTAGGTCAGCCGTCCTGCGTGGTTTGTCCATGACTACAGCCATAGCCGTTCAAGCCGTCGACAAGCGACGGCGCATTAGCTGGTTTGAGGCTGTGTGGTTGGGCGAGCGTCAGGCATGTGACAGGTTTGTGGAGGAAGCGTGCGTGCGCTGCCATCATGTGAAAGCCGCGCTATGACATCTTCTCGGCTTTGTTGCTGTTCACCCCGAGGAGCCTAGCCGCGCTAACGTTATCCGCCTCAGCCGCAGGACAACGTTACTGCACCGCCTTGTCACGTTCTCTTTGTGAGAATTTTATATGATTCCTTGCGACCATGCCATGTGCTGTCATATTCGATGAAAGAGATGGTGGTCTTGAGTGTTTGGTGTGATGACTGGCGGGAACAAGCTATAGCGGAAGGATTGCTAGGATAGAATATGATGTGTTAAATATGAAGACATATAAGAAAATAGTATACATGTGAAGAAAAGACCTGGCGACCTCCTAGCCTAACCGTCATATACCGAAATAAACACCCTACTATACCGAAAATTCCACTCACCTCCTTCACTCAGATGCTTCGGCTTCTTCCTCTGACTCCTCCACCTCCGCATCACTAATCACATCGCTCAACACCTCGCTCTCAGCATCGCTCAACCCACTACTCACCGCATCACTCTCATACTCCTCCACAACCTTCTTCTTGCTCTTCGCCTTCTTCGCACTACCTCCAGCACCCTTGACAGGACTACCCCCACCATCCTTCCTCCCACCAGTCCTTTGAACAAGATGATCAATCGGACAACCCTCATCCCAACCCTCGCTACTCTCACCTGTTATAGCACGACACCTAGGACAGCTCTTTCCGTGTTTGATAAGCAGTTGGTGAAGCGGGTACTTGAGGTGGTCCGGCACTCTGACTTCGCAGTGCGCGTATGTTGAGTTGCGGTTTGCGCCTGCGAAGGTACCTTTTGCGCCGGGAGCAAGGCCTGCAGGGTCGCCGGGAGGAGGTACCCAGCCGAGCCATTTGCAGAGACGGAAGACGTGGGTGTCGACGGCGAAGGAGGGGCGTTGGAGGCAGAAGAGGAGGACGCAGGATGCAGTTTTGGGGCCGATGCCGGGGTACTTTGTCAGTGCATTGAAGGCGTCGTCGTTGGAGAGGAGGTGGAGATGGTCGAGTGAGACGATGTTCTCATCTGCCTTCTCAACCTCTGCGTGTTTCTCGGCTTCTGCTTCGTTCGCGGAGCCTGGGGCTTTGTCTGACGAAGATAGCAGCTCTTCACGTCGCGCCTGGTTTTCTTCCCAGACCATTTGTAGGATCTTCTTGATGTCTTTGCTCTTCACATCTGCGAGTCCGCCACTCTTAATCGCCTCGAAGATCTCCTTCTGGTCTGCTTGTCGCACTTTATTCCAGTCTACGCTGCCTTTTCCAACGCCTTCTTGCAGAATGCCAAACTTTGCAACGAGACCGGCGAATGCGCGAGAAGAGTTGGCGCCGGATGTTGCTGCCGAAAGGCGCGTTCGAATGAGGGCATCGAGGACAGACGGTACCTCTCCACAACCAGAGACTTCAAGAGAAGGCGCGGGGATGGTCTTGGGAGCTTCGACCTTGCCGTGGACTTTCGAAAGGAGACGCGTAACCTCTTCGCATTCTTCGGCTGTAGGATGAGGGTAGTTTGGGTATGGTGTCTGACCGGGAGTAAGGCCATAGCCACCAGTCTTGGCCTTACTCTTCTTCTTTGGCGACGGATCGGTGGTGGCAGTCGCTTTGGCAACGAGGTCATCGACTTCCTCTTTCTTCGGTTTAGCTGTCTTTGCAGACTTCCTCGGCTTCTTTGCTGAAGGCTTGCTTTCGTCTTCCTCGCTCTTGGTGGGAAGACTGGGAATCGCACCAAGGTTGTGTGGGAGTTCGTTGATGTCTTCCTGCTTCACCGCCGACTTCTTGACGCGTTTGTTGGTCTTCGATGTGACGGGTGCTTTCTTGGAAGTCGCATCTGGCGAGTCCTCGACCTTGACTGCTTTCCTCTTTCGTCCATTGCGCGCCTCTGGGGTAGTCGGTGGACTCGACAACTGTACTGGTTCCTGGTCAATGGCTGGCGCTTGCACGGCTTCGGCCCTGGCGGAGCTCCTGGTTGCTCGTGCCATGCTGGGTATAGTGGAGATGTCAATTCGATTCGATTCGATCGTCAAGAGGCTTGGGCGCAAAGCCAGCAGTCGCTTATAAGGAAGTTTGAATGCGATGGTGAGGAGACGTGCTGGGCAAACGAATTGGAGATGGGTGATGAAAAAGGATCACTTGAGGTATCTCGTGAGCTGCAAACCTCGAAAAGTGAAGGGTGAGCGACCGGAAAGGGGAAACTACGCGTGAATGGCGAAGGCAGGTATCATGACGTCGATGACGATGATTGGAGCTTTGGCCCTTGTCCCTGCCTTAGCGCGCATGACGAGGACGCGCCGAGGTCCACTTTGTCGGGAGTCCGTCACCTCTGATCAGAGCTACCCCACGTTCTATCGATCTCTCTCAGGATACTCTAGACCAAACTCATCATGGCTCACAAGGCGCCGTTGGTTGTTCCTGCACTCAAGCGACACACGGCCACTGTCATCGTGGCACATGGACTGGGTGACAGCGGGGCTGGCTGGTAAGGAGACTCAACACCATGGATGCAAGATACTAACCAGCGTAGGATATTCCTCGCGGAGAACTGGCGCAGGCGCAGCAAGTTCGAGGAGGTCTCCTTCATCTTCCCTAATGCGCCAAACATTCCAATCACGCTGGTTCGTTGACCAATACGGGCGCAAACACGGCATATCGCTGATACGCGACACAGAACATGGGCATGAGCATGCCAGGATGGTACGACATCAAGTCGCTCAGCACGCTAGATGACCGGGACGAAGACGAAAAGGGCATCGTCGAATCCCAAAAATACTTCCACTCCCTTATCGACCAAGAAGTCGCAAAAGGCATACCCGCGAACCGCGTAGTCGTTGGAGGCTTCTCGCAAGGAGGTGCCATGTCGCTGCTGTCCGGTGTGACTTACAAAGAACAGCTCGGAGGTATCTTTGGCCTGAGCTGCTACCTGCTACTGCAGAAGAAGATCAAAGACATGATTCCGACTGAGAACCCCAACCAGAAGACGCCCATCTTCATGGGCCACGGCGACGCCGACCAAGTGGTTGCGCACAAGTGGGGCAAGCTGAGCGCGGACGAGCTCGAGAAGCACGGGTTCAAGGTCGACTTCAGGACTTACAAGTACGTCACGAGGGTGCAAGTATGAACGTATTACTGACAATGCGCAGGAACCTGGTGCATTCCGCCGACCCAGATGAGATCGATCACCTCGAGTCCTACCTCAACCAGCAAATACCTGCTCTCGGCGACAAGTCAGAGCTCTGACTCTCTCATCCTTCCCCGATCATGTCGACCGAAGCGACGACAACTCTGGTGCTTATGATTACACTGGCCATTGCTTGGTTTGCGTCGTACAAGCGTGATGCTATACTAAGGCCGCATGATGAGACGGACTGGCACGGGCATTGAGCTACATATAATGATTGGGGACATATGGTAGAATGGTTTGGACTCGATGTATACATGAACTGAGGCATGTCCGCATGGTCTTGACTCACAGGCGCGTCCTCGAAGTTCTTGGTGAGCTCAGTCATAGTCATATACTCTGATCAGGCATTTCGTTACCACCTCAGCGTAATCTCGTAGCATATACCAACGATACCAAACATGTACTCCACAATCAACATTTTCCAGTCACATCCACCTGCCCATCCCACTAGCTCCTTCCCTGTGTGTGAAGTTTGCAAAATTTCTTCCCCCTCGCCCCACCCATCACCACCACAACACCACCCACCACCAACATATCCCCTCTATCTCTCCAGCCCTCCATCAAAGTCCGATATGGTCTAGTGGCTAGGATTTGCCGCTCTCATCTCGCAGAGTCAGTTCACTGTACAGTGCCGGCAAGGCCCGGGTTCGGTAAGTTGCATCACAGTAACATGACTTCGAAGCGTGGTTCTAACAGTTGACCAGATTCCCGGTGTCGGAAAATACCTTCTTTTTTGCTGGGTTTTGGGTAAGGGGGAAGAAAGGGAGGGAGGTTGAGGCATGGCGTTGGGGGCCAAGATGGAGATGCTGGGTTGAGTTTTTGGAAGGGGATGTGCGCTGGAATGTACCACCGTCGAAGAACTTTAAAAGCAGAAGGACGCGTGTGCGAAAGGTGAAATTCATTTTATTTGGCATTGCACGGCGTGGAGGGCATTGACATCACTCCTCGCTTGGTGTGTAAGTAGGTTTTATTGCTGGAGAGACTTGCAGACGTCTGCCTGCATACATGCGCGATGACTATTACCTCCTTCGAAATGCGGCTCCTAGGCCTCGGCTACGATGCGCCTTCAACAACTATTACCACAACCCCAAGTTATAGTTCCACTTTCGTCGTGACATGCATCTCGTGCGCTCCTGCCGCGCGTATTCAATGACGCGCGCACTCTCCAATCCATCTTAGGAGACTACCAAGCACCGCATTGCTCACCTGAGCCCAGCAACTCTGCTTTTTCCTTATGCCGAGCTTCTCCAACTACGTCTCGATGCAGCTCCTATCGATAGCTATATTTGGAGCTCGCTACCAGCGACACTCGGCCACCGTCCCAATCAGGCGTCCAACAACGTCACACACTACCAACGGGCATGATGTGGATTGCACGGGCTGGCCATTCGTACGGACTGTCCAACATTCCAGCTGGGACTCGCCTGGCTACTAAGCTCACGCCTCAAAGCTTTGTACCACGGCAAAGGAGAAAGAGTCAGGGGTCGCGTCGAGTCCAGCCCAGCTAGTCAGCATTTAGCGAGATGCTTGATTTCTTAGGGCTGATTCCCTTGTCGGTTCCCACTCGTCGCAAATCTTCCCAACCCGCCGTCTGGTTCGCTCATGAAAGTGAACTTTTTGTCGCGTTCAACGGTTAACGAGAATTGGGTTTCCATGACGCTGTCGTTCGGCGTCGATCTCGGTAGATCTACCGCGACATAACGATCAACAAAGCGAACCCGCAATCACGATGTAGTCATCAGCCCAAGCCGTCCAACCTCGTGTGAGTGAGATGCCGGCCTTCCCGATCAGTCTGGCCGAAACTTGCCATTGGTAAATTTCCGAACCTGCACGCTTTGGGAGGATGTCGCATCCGTGCGTTCAGGCACGAGCGGCCGTATTTGACATGCGCCTCAGCGCTGGTGCTCTTGTAGTGCGGGCCTAAGGCTCGCGGACAGCGTCAGTCCATGTGGAGATGTACGAGCGCCGTAGGGCGGGCGGTGTTTATTGGGTGCGTGGGACATGGGTCAATACGAGAGGGGCTGTTGTTAAAGAGCTGAGCTGCTGCTACTGTGGGTTTGTTCCTTCACTATCTATCATCAAGGTTGCTTGTCCTACTTTACTACTTTTCGTCGACTCGCTATTGTTTCGACAGTCCACTCGCTTCTATACGCCAATTATTTCGAGATAGAATAATCATAATCAAGATGCGCTTCTCTGCCTTCGCCCTCCTCTCGCTGGTCTCGGTTGCCTTTGCTGGTAACTGCGGACCTCAAAATGGAAACGCCAAGTGCGCTGCCAACGAGTGCTGTAAGTCTGCGATATCCTCGTATCTCCAAACTTTTGCTAACGATATATCACAGGCTCCCAGTACGGCTGGTGCGGAACCACCGCCGCCCACTGCGACGCAAAGAACTGCATGCACCCCTTCTCCGGCGCCTCCTCATCTTGCAAGCCCACCGCAACCACGATGAAGACCTCCGCAACCAAGCAAGCCACCTCACCCGCAACCACCTTCCCCACCGCTGTCCCCGAGATCGACGTCTGCGGCCACGCCCAAGGCGGCGTCACCTGCCCCGGCGCCGGAGCCAACGGCTACTTCTACCGCTGCTGCTCGTCCGCCGGTCACTGCGGCCCCAAGAACGATATCCAGGACCAGAACCTCTACTGTGGCGACGGCTGCCAGGCTGGCTTCGGAAAGTGTGACAACCAGAAGGCGCCTGCTGAGCCTACTGCCCCTAAGGGTACTTCTGGTGCTGGCGAGACTTGCGGTCCTATTGTCAACAAGAAGTGTGGTAACGGACTTTGCTGCTCTGGATCTAACTTCTGCGGCACGGGTGAGGACTTCTGCGGAAAGGCCAACTGGTGCCAGAGCAAGTGGGGAAAGTGCAACTAAGATGTTGGATATCAACATGGGGTTGGAGTACAGAGGTCGGGGGTAGAATAGAGTAACGAATATAAGAGTCTTTGGGACAATGAAAAGACATGAGAACTACACATCATTTTTGTCCGAGTGGACGACATTACGTCGACGTCCTTTTCACACGCGTATTCGAATTCCACATCATGCCATGCACGGAACTATTCACCAAACGCTTCACAGACCGAACACGCGCCCAAAGCAACCCCATCCACACCCCCACAGCACCCCCATCAAACACACTCCAAACCACCCGTCGCACCACCCAACAATGCCAAAGCACGATGGAGAGGAAGAAAGACAAAGCTCGGTGGCAGGATGATAGAGATGTTTGGTTTGATCCGTAGAGTTCTTTTCTCATGCGACCCGAGTTTCGAGGTGGCTCCAGACATAATGAAGGATTGGCAGAAAGAGACCATGTTGCAAACTACATATAATAATGAAGAGGTGACCTGTATGTCAAAGACAGTATTAGCGTATGCTGGAGTAGACGTGATAGTGATAGTCTCGTGCATCAAGTTACATATCATTTGCCCTATCTATAAGCCTTGATCTCTATAGTCATAACCCAGTATAAAGACCGTATAAGCACTAAACCATGCCAGACTCATGACGCTCACACCAAACACGCCCAATCCCCGAAAGAAGAATAAGAAAGAAGAAAACCCCCTCATCAAACCACCCAAACCACCCCCGCCCCTTCATCCCTATCCCTATCCCTAACCCTTAACCCACTCACCCACCTCAAACCCCACCCTCCTCAAATCAGCGTCCGCAAACCTACCTCCACTCCCACACGCCTTCCAAACACTCAAACACCTAACCCCCTCATCCATCTCCGGTTTCAGTCCCACCTGCCCCTCCTTCGGATCAAAGCTCTTGACATACAGCGTCAAATCGGGGCCTACGGTGCCGCGCCACAGCGTCGCCATCCACTGCCAGTGGTCGGTGGGACTGTAGGCGTCTTGGATGGGGATGCGGGAGGCGTAGGCGATGGAGGCGGCGAGCTGGAAGGTTGGGAGTAGGATTACGGGTTTGATGGTGGGGTTGGTGGAGGAGAGGGAGGGAGAGGGACAGGAGGGGGGTGTGACGGAGTCTTTGCTGGTGTCTTTTGTGGATATGGCGATTGTGTCGCTGCTGTTGGAAGTCGGGGTGTCCGCGGACGGGGGTGGCGTGGTGATGTATTTGATCATTTCCTTGCTCTTGGCGTGCCATCCTTTGATTAGGTCTAGGTAGTCTGCGAATGTGACTTCTTTATCGGCATTGTCGGTAGGGGCTTGTGGTGGCTCGGCGATTTGGGGGCCATATTCTTTCTGCTTGATGAGGTATTCGTTGAGCCATTCTGTGAGTTCTTTGACGGCGGCTGGGTCGTCGCCTTCGATCGCGATGATGGCACCGCGGTTGGCATGGTAGGATGGGCTGGAGGAACCGGGCTCTTTGTATTGATAGGGAGGCGTTATCCGTCCGAGGAGTTTGATCTTGTTGGGGTATGGAAAAGCACTAAGTACCTCTTCCACGCTTTTGGGACTGCCATCGGATTGCAGAGGTCCTAGCTCAACCATTGACTGATGGCGCATCTCGCGAGGGGTTCGCGGAGGAGGCATCGTTGCACTGTGCGGCGTCACATGAATGGGCGGCAAAGACTCGCGTCGATAGACAGCGTATTGCTGAATTGGGCCATTATGCGACGCCTCCGGTCTACGACCGTTACCCGTTGGCGGAGGCCCTTGGTCGAAACGGCGCTTCTTGTTCGGCGTCAGAGGGCTATACATCATCGTGTCTCCACGCATAGACGGAGTGAGTTGAATGTTACTGAGGCTTGGTGGAACAGGACCTCGGCGGTGACCGGGCGACTCAAGGCTGAGGTTACTCATCACGGGCAAGTAACGGGTTGTTGGCGTGAGGCCTTCCGAGATGTTAGGAGGCGGCAAAGTCGGGGTACCAGACGCGTTGAGAAATGGACTGGTAGGTGTCCGGAGACTGCGACCACCACACTTGTGACAACGGTATTTGTCTACTGTCGTATGCTGGCCAGTAGGATTCAATGGTGACGATCCAGGTTTGCCAACACGACGCGGTTGGTAGCGATAGTCGGGGTATTGTTCCTGGTGCCTAGCCTTCTCTTCCTAAACTCATGTTAACAAAGACAATGGAGAGAGGCACTAAGGGCTACTGACCTGCGCAAGGTCTTGCCAAACCTTCTTCTGCTCTTCGGCCTCAGCCTTCCACTGTTCACCGATAATCTTTGAGATATCGGGATTATTGAGACCTGGATTACGGGCGGTAATGGCCTGCTGGTGATGCTGGCGATAAAGAATAAAAGCTGCAAGGTAATGGTCAGCAGGCTGCGCAAGAACGGCCGCAAACAATGATGAGTGTCTTTGTTCTGACTCAAATCCGAGTCAAATACCCCGATTAGGGAAGTGACGTACTGAGACAAAGGAACACAGCATCGACTTACCATTTCGTGGGCGCGGTATTTTCGGCTCTGGCTGACACAAGCAAACATGACCCGAGAAGTCTGGAGAGCCACCAGCAGTAACAGACGAAGCACTTGGGGGAGGTTTGTCGTCAGTCGGGCTGACCAAGTCGTCGACCCCGTCAATCTCAATCAGCGGCGAAGGTCTCTTCCTTGTCGCCCTTGGCGACGACATAGCAGGAGAGACCTGCGGCTCATCCTTCTTAGTAAGCTCGGCAGTAGGATTGGACGTCGAAGTTGGGAGCGTCTCGTTGATCCGACTGCTCTTACGCAAATTCCTAGAAGGCTTCGATTCGTCCATCGGAGATACTGGAGAAGTATCGCCGACCTGCATGGTAGTCTTGACGTACCGCCTCGGCACGTGAGAGAAGGTAGCGACAGGCTGAGAATGGGGAGAAGAAGGAGTCAAAGTCCAAACAATCGGTGGCAACACTCGACTGGCTAGCATTTTCAGAGTTCTAGCGACGCAGCTGATCTAATGACTCCGATGGAAGAAGGCGCGGTTCATTGTCTTCGGTGGGACACGAAGGGAGGAAACAGCTGCGTTGGAATCGAACCATTAACAACGTCTCCGTATCTTTGAATGCATTATCCGGTAGCTAGAGGTGGTGCTTGACGCTTTGACGATGGTAGCCGCCGTGATCCAGTAAAATGATTGTTCCAGTCATAAGCAGCCGATCTGCGCTGGCGGTTTCTTTGTTCTCGTTACTTCGGGAGCGTGCCAAGACGAGCTTCCACCAACCGCGAGACATGTACATTCCTGTGCGATCTATGCAAACAAGAGCCGGGGCTTTGTCTCAGACCTGGCGTGCTCACGATGATTTCGAGATCAAATAACACACACCCGGCCGCTTCGCTCTGAGGGTCGGCTACACCACCACTAGAACGACTGGGGAGATACAAAACGAGCTGTGGCTGACCAAAATCAACGCGAAGACGACAGGAAAGTTCAAAGGCCTGCACTACTACACCGGGGCCTGGCCTTGTCTCGCGCTGGTATTGGACTTTGGGGTGCGGGATATGCAAGGGGTGCCAACAATGCAACATCTTCTCTTCCTGCGACGGCTGTGGCTTAGCGGTGAACGTGTACAAAACCTCTCTCAGTTCGACTGATGGTACTTACAGTCAAAGCATGAAGAGAGGCGCGAAGCACGGAAAGGCAAAAGACCTGAAAGAGGAGACATCCACCTCCACCCCGCCGCCTCCCCTCCGCCTCCCCCACCCACCCGGCCAACAACGCGACACCTTCCCGCATCACAACGGCTGTGGCTCAGCTGGGCAGTGGATCTGTAGACGGTGACCTCATCTCGCTCGGCTGGTGATGTTCACAGTCAAAGCATCAGAAGACGAGCGCGACACAGGAAGGCAAGAGACCCCAGAGAGGATACTTCACCCTCTACCCCACCGCCTTCCTACCACCTTCCTCCACCTTCCTCCCCCTTTTCCGCTCACTCGCCAAAAACACGGAACCCTCTTTCACAACAATGACTGCGGCTCGGTCTCGGAAACGATGCAGTCATACTGCGCCTCGCGGCGAGATGCCGTCCTAATAGCGAGGCGCAATCTTCTCCGTGTCGCGGGGGACCAGAAAGCCCTACGAAGTTCTGCGAAGCCTTGGTTAAGTTCCAGACAGTCTTTGGCAACATGTGCCAGTATTCGCGAGGGATCTTTCGCTCTGTCGGCGAGGTCTCAGACACCTCTTAATGGCTTGCAGTAGTACTCCGGGGAGACTTGATGTCAAAACTCACTCCTTCTTGCTCGTCGTGTTTGTCCCTGGTTACTGTGTCCGTGTCGCGGGGAACCAGGAAGCTCTCCTCAGCCAGGCCAAGTTCCAGACACTGTCTTCAACAACGCCGTGCTAATACCCCGGAGGAAACTTGAGGTTAAACTTCTTCCGCTCCTCTTCCTGCTTCTTCTCTTCCTCACTCTTTTCACGCACAGCATTAATACTCCGATTCCCGCGTACCAAGTTTGCGGCATGCTTGCCAATAAGCTCGTGAGCCGGTCCACTAAGCTGAATATTATCCCTATCACATCACCCTGTTAGCTTGAAACATCCACAAAGGCCGTTTGTAATATCTGTGGCTTACCAGAACAAGTGCTCAGTCGGGGCCGAGCATTTAACCAACCCACTCCCCCTTACAGCATCCAGACAAGGCGTATCAACATGTTCGAAAAGCGGTGCCTGAGCCCCCACACCAGTCGCATCAGAAATCTGTCGCGAGTGTAACTGTTTGGCACGGACTTCGTTCATGATGAGGTCATTGGGTACGGGCATGTAGATATTGCCTTTTTGCCATTCCGAAGCAGTCCGTTGTAAGACTGTGTTCCAGTACGTCCACAGGAAAACCATTCGGTGCTGAGTCACCGCAAAGTCGGCTTCGCGCATGGCTTTCTTTTCTAACTGGAATTGCGGGAGGAAAGACGCGTCGATCATTTTGGGTATGACGACGTTAGGCGGATGGGCTGCGTGTTCGGCCAGGATGTCGAGACTATGAAAGAGGGAGTCGATGCTCTTGTCCACCGCGGACATGGCCGCGGGTTTCTCCAATGTAGAGTATTCGAGCAGATCCCACAGGCCGAAGAAGACGGTGAAGAAAGTCCATTCGTCGCCTTTCCGCAAGCGTTCGGGGATGACTCGTCGCCCCTTGTCGTAGGCGACGTACTGTTCCATTTGTGTCTTGAAGTCAAACGACGTCAAGGTTGTCTCGTTGTTTCCCGCGCCTTTCGTCTCCGTGTGGACGGCTGCGTCGACTAGCGACCCGATGTGTGCAGCCGCGGCTGGCTTGGAGTGGGCGAAGTTGTCAATGGTGTCGCATGCGAGCTGGAGTGTGTTAGAGTGTGGTTTTGTATGAGGGCATGACTCTGACGAACCTCTTTGCATAGGGTTTCCACCCATAGGTCGCCTCGATCTGCGTCGCGGGCTACGACTGCAGATAGCACGGGTGAAGAGACGCGGTAACTTCCTGTGTCGGACCAATCGTTGCCGAAGACTACTATGCGATGTGCGTTACCGCGCCATACTGTGTGGACGGTGTCTTCGAAGTTGGCGGAATGGACCCAGGCGAAGTACAAGATCATGAGAATGGCAAGAGCCGCACAGAGGTGCAGCCGCGAGAAGAACCTCATTGTGTGGTCGGCTAGGCAATGCGATAGGTGACAGGCGACGGGTGTGAGGGTGAAGTGGTAGCAATGCGATGCGACCCAGCAAATGGAAGCAAATAGTGGGCAGCTTTGTGAAGCAGTGGAAGGTATAGGCTGCTAACCGCGGGAGTAGCCAGCGTCATCCTTGACAAGCGTTAAGGAACATGACGACGCCTGTGCAGTGCGAGCCTTGCTGTGATTGCGTCCCCAGGAATACATGGGTCAGAAACGTCCGAATGTGGATACATGTCGCGTGCGCGTCGCAGTCAGGCCAGCAACATTTGACTATGGGATTTTGACTTATCGATCCGATGACTCGCCGATGAGTAGACTTTCCTTCGACTCACTTTCCATACTCAGCATTCCCCTTTTCCTGTACGACCGCCGCGACACCGACGCCGACATTACGCAGCGCTGTCGTAAGAAAATGCGTGGTCATCGAAGTTCTGACCGCGCGGAACCCACGGCCACTCGGCATCTCGCCCCACTTCTCGTGGCGTAATCTGCGGAGCAGAGTTCAGGACTTACGTATATAATTTTAGCTAACGATTATCAGTGGAGGATGCAGTTGTGAAAGCCACACATGCAGCGACGCGCTATGCCTCTTAGCGTGTCAAGTGCTTATCCTGGCATGCTGCCGCCCGTTGGATACGATCGAGTTCGGAAGATACCAGCCGCTTGTCAGCCCGCTTGCTGCACCGCCGACTCCTCCTCGCCATCGCCAAACTTCAAGTTCGCGAACCTGTCCATCAGAAAATCTCGCATCGCACCTTTATCGTCGATCCACTGCGCCACAATGAACGCCTGTTCTGCCCATTTTCTAGTTTTCACGTCGTCTTCTGACAAGTAAAAGTCCACCGCGCGATTGAAAGTGGTGCTTGCGAGCCATTCGAGCTCGGTTTGGGGGTAGCGGTTGATCTCCTTGATGCACTCGTCAGTCAGGTCTGCAGCATTTTCGTTTGTTGCGAAATCAGAAGATGGCGGTGGTGTGTCCAGTCCGGCTGTCGCGATGGTAGGATGGAGGGTCTGAATGGGCTTAGGAATATAATCGGGGATGCAAAGGTGTGGGAGAACTCACATTTTTCTGCTTCGCTGCGAGATGCGTTACCTGCTGAATGCACTTGATACTGACTTCCTCGTCGTACTCAAGTGAAAGGCTGAACATGCATCTAAGCCAGCGTGCCAGTTTCGTGATGTCGCGGCCTGCTGGTTGGCGGCAAGTCAGGTTGATGATTTTCTGGAGGACCGATAGCACCTCTGTCGATTTTGTCAGTCTATGTCCAATGAGCCAATTAATGATCTTACTCTTCTGATATTTGACGTCCAGTCCCGCTTTAACGATGCAGCCATGCACGACTAGAACAAGGTCCGCCAAAGTCTCGTAATGATCCGGGTTCTTGTACTTCCAACACTGGTCGAAAAGATCGTCAAGCTCATCCCATCTCTCAAGCTTGAGGACGGCTTCAAGCTCTAGTTTAACAATCTGGAAGTATTTTGACATGATGTCGTCTTGAGAGGTGCCACCAAGTTTGCTAATGCTCTCTGCTACGGTGCATCGGAACTTCTGGCTATGCTCATGGGCTTGGAGGTAGTAACCAATCTGTAGTAGTCAGATGCTGGTCGTTCTGGCGAGATGCGCGACTCACGCCTTGCTTGGTGTTGTCCTCTGCGCGGGCCAGGGTGGTGTAAGTACAAGCAGCGAGGAACTCGCAGAATCCCAGCCGGAGGCAAAGATCGCCGTCTGAATCTAGTTGAGTCTTCTCCTTGAGGAGCTTAATGAACTACAAGGGTCAGCGGTATTGCTTCCGTCTTTGACGTTCAGCTCACCTCAGTGCAGCAGCCGAGCAACCTGACCAGGAGTCCTGGTGGCATCTCCGCGCAGTACTTCAGCGACATGTTGTAAGCGTTCTTAGAGAACCACTCGAACTCCACAGCTGTGAACAGTTCCTTGGCTGGCGTGCTCGGCCTGGTACGAGATGCTTTGGCTTGAACACATGCTTTGATGATCAGTAAAACCGCCTCCTCCGGAAGTGCATCATTACTTACCTCCCTCGAAGACGTTGCATATCTGTTCCAAGATACCGGTATCAATATTACCGTCTTTGGTAAGCTCGGACTCCAACATACGTGCGGTAGACCTGGTCACATATTAGAGGCGCGTAACACTTCGGGTGAGCGACGTACCGTAAGAGCGCAGGGAGATGTATCCCTGCCGGCGCACTATGCTCGTACTTCTCCAGAACTTTCTCGAGAGCATTGATAGCCTGTCTTTTGCTCCCCACACTCTGAGCCTCCATGACGCAAGCGTAAAGGAGCGTAGCGTCTTTCGCGGAACTCCGACAGACATAATCGAGACATTCAGCGGCGAAGATCTCGTCGCCGCCTCGCAGACCTGCCTTGTACATGAGATAGCGAGTCACCGGGTCGTCTTTACCACTCTCAGACATCTTGGCGTGCACTTCCCGTGCAGCTTCGTAATCTTGACGTGACAAGGCGCACTGTATGATCTTCCTCGCAACCTTGATTCTGTTCTGAACGCCAGCCTTCTCAAAGATGTCATGAAGGCATGCTCGACACCAAGCCTCAGCGATGTTGTGTCGTTCCTGGCTGGTCGCGGCCTCCACCTTCTTCCACAAGAGGGTTTGCGCAGCATGTGTGGCAGGCGCAGAAAACGAAACTTTAGAGTTCTGCGCCACGGTATCGAAGAGGTCTTTGAGTTGCTCAAGCGAATTTTCGGAAAGACTGTTGTTGATGCCAATCCAGATACGCGTGATTACTGCCTTCTCGATCCAGGACTGGTTTTCCTCTCGGAAGAGGCGGATATCGATCAGGTCGTCCAGTACTTTGCAGGCGGTCACGTTGCTAGAATTGGTCAGCGAGACGCTGTAGGCGTGTATGATTATGTGTACCTGTGATCTTTAAGCTTGTGAATGTAGTGCATGATGCTAAAATGTGTTACTCAGACTGAAGTAGAAAGCGTAACGGGTAAGGTGCATACGTTTTGAAGTTCGTATCGTTCAGCACGATGGTGCGTATCATCCGCAAAAGAACTGAGGGAATTAGTGTGTGATGGAGACCAGATTCAAGTAGCTTGCCGTTATAGAACTCGGACGTTTCCATGGTCTCGGCTTCGGACAGCAGCTCAATCTTCAGCAATGAGACTATCATCTTATCGCCGAAGTCCTGAGAGTGTCAGTCTGCGGTCACAGCGATTCAGCTTCTTCATGAGACCCACAGTCTCCATCAACTTCACCATCTGCCATGCCTTCTCTTCGGCGATGGGCGTCTTGGTCTTCATATATGCCTTGACTGATACTCAATTAGCCAGATATTCATCGCCATGTCAACTGGGTATGCGTACCGAGACTTTGCATAATACAGAGTCTCAGCTCGCCAATCTCCGGGGTAAGCATGTCCAGGTCCTGCTCCCCAAGAACATCGAATGCGCGCTCTAGCCATCTCGTAGCAACTTCGTAGTCGCGCTTCGCCAACATAGCCTTCCCAATCTCATATAGCAGATCGGCAAGCTGCTCAGTGATGGCAGAGGTAAAGCTCTTCCCAATTTGCTTGCACTTCTCGAACATGTGCTCTGCCATGCCTATCTGATCTTGACGCCACGACAAGGTCATTCGTACAGCGAAGTACTGCTCGCGCAGGCCATCTGCGAGCTCGGTGTCCTTCTCAGGCCTGCCGTCGGTCCCCTTACTCAGAACGCCTTCATACTCAGCAGCGAGCTTAAGTAGATCCGTCGCGATACTCAGCTCGTTCGCCTCGATGCATACTCTTGCTGCTTTCAGCGCGACCTTCATAAGACGGATGCAGCTCTTGCGTTGGCGCGCGTTGTTTGGTCCGCGACCACCAGCTGAGTCCAGTAGCAGAAAAGCGAACGCGCGGAGGAAAGGTACTATGTCGGTCTTGTTTGCTGCTGAATCCTTCGGCCGATTATTGACGACGGATGTGTCGCGTCGCAAGCGCGTAGCCTGGTTCCAAAGCTCAGTTCCCAGCTTGTCGAGTTCGTCTTGCCTTGCAGTGACGGCAGTCGAGGTTTTGAGTGGTAGTCCAAGGATTTGCGCTTGAAGCTCACCAACGATCGTCGCATGGTGGCCAGCTTCAATGCGTTTGCTGAGCGTTGAGGCGAATGCTGGTGGGAAAGTGAGTGTCATGCGTGGGACAGGAGCGAGCAATGGCACTCACTAAGAACCGCCTTCAATTTCTTCTCACGCTCCAGTTTGGCTGCTGATTGCGCGGGCGGCATGATGCATGTCCGATGGCAATAGGAAGGACGTTAGTAGAGACGCGATTGTTGGGGGTGTGAAACGTCAAATCGCGACTGCCACTCTGGAAGGTGGCTCCACACGCACGTGCAGAAGATCAGGAAGGAGCACACCCGTGGACGCGAGTAACACTGAATGCAAGGCGGAAGAACAAATGAATGAAAATATGAAGGCAGGCAAAAGGATGCACATGTTGAAGTAAACCTGTGGATATCGCCACACTTGCAATTACCCTCCCGAGAGATGTGCGCACTCTTTCTGGCCGATGCATCAAGACATCCAAGTCAGGTATTACCCTATTCCCAACCCATTGTACAGCAAAATTTTACAAAAACACTTGTTCGGAACGAGGTTTCCGCAAGGCCCTCTCCTTTTTGAGCTCGGAAACGCTCAAATCGGTGCCGTTGAAGATAATGCGCTCGCTTTTCTTTGAATTCTTGAACTCGTAGACGATTGATGAAGTCATTGTTGTGATTCGTGGTGCGCCTTCGACGGCCTCAAGACGCCGGTAGCGGCCCTGATGTAGCCTCGGTGATAGGAAGGAAGTTGCCCACGATCAACGCTGGTCTGTAAGAGTTAGTCTGAGCTCGAAAGTCATGTCCACTACCACTCACATGTTCCAAGCATCGCGCTTGACGGTGAAAGAAAAGCAGCAACGTATCTCAGGATCCTTAGAGTGCGGGTCGGGGTTCTTCAAGGAGCAGCTCGTCAGGATGGCTTTTTGAGTATGGTCGAATGCGATGGCGCCGAATTTCTCCCAGTACGAAACGAGTGATGGCTCGGCGATGATCTCGTGCAGAGCGATATTACCCTAAATCCTGTTAGCTGGTGTCATATTGCAAGTGTTCGTGGTCTGGCGCTTACATCTCGCAACTTTGACATCGGTACGTGGATGAGCCGCGCCATCTCTTTGTTGCCACGATATATCTCGCCTGTTCTTCTCCAGCAACATGCAGGTATAGCCATGCTTGCGAAGACGCGGTCATACTCCATCAAGCTCTTGTCAAACCACATCTCGATGCGTACCAGGTCCACATCGGTCAGGCTCTGCATCCGCTCTCGGAACTTAGGTCGGAAGCGATCCAGTTGGCGCAGTACTCGAATGCGAGATGCCTGCTGCAAGTTCTGCTCCATGTACTGGTTTAGCCGTGCATAACCCTTGACGTAATTGAAGGGCTTCAGCAGTCCTGCATCGACCTTGGCCTTGAGCAGCTTGTTCATGCGCTCTTCAGGGCTGTCTGATCCAGCAGGGTCGGCGGCCGTGACAAGGTACCTCTCTCTAGCCTTATCGGTAGGGACTCCGCCTGCTTGTCGTGATGCAGCATTACCAGCAACACTTTGCGCGGGTGGTGGGAGTAGTTGATGCGGTCTTGACGCGTTCGAGGTAAAGGCAGAGTTGTTGTTCAACGAGCCCATCTGATTCATGAGTGAGGCATCGGAGAAGAGGCTGTGGAAGTCATTGCCTCCGTAGAACGCACCGTCATCCATGAGGCTGTTGTTGAGGAAGTCGTTGAGGAGGTTATACTCATTACTGACTTCGGAGGTATTGAACATATATGAGGGGTGGAACTGCATGTCCTGAAGGTTGTTCTGAGATGAGGAGAGCAAACCATCGTAGCCCAAGACTTCCGGCACGTCAGTGACGACGACGACGACGGGGAGCTGAGAAGAAGTGTAACTTACAAGGCTGACTACCAGCTGTCAGGGCAGGTAATTGTGGCGCGGATACGGGGTCAGGCTGGGTACCTGACGTAGTGCTGGCATCCCTACTAGGAGGTACTGGGTGAGGCGCCAGGTTTAGCGCTGCATCCGGAACTGGAGGAGCGGCTGTCGATGCGGCATCGGAGGGAGTTGGTTCGACCTGAGTGGGCTGAATCTGTCCATCGCCATTCTCTGGCTCGGACTTGGACTTTTTAACACCCTCACGCGGCTCATCGTGACATAGGTGTCCAATATTCCGCTTGACACAGCGTGTGCATGGTCGCTCCTACATTGGGCGAGCTCAATCAGCTTGCGAACAGACGAGGTCATACTCAGTGCACTTACGAGGTCACAGGTCATGTGCTGATTGGTGTATGTCAGCAAGCAGTACCAATTGTCTTACATGGAAATACATTGCATGCATCGAATGCTGGGGAATTGGCTGTGGCTCACCGAACGTCTGCAGTAGATGCATGCTGAAAAGAAGCATATAGATTAGCAGGGTTGCAGATGCATTTGTGGGTACACAGCATCGATGGCTTACCATGATTTACTTTTCTACGCTTTTTTGGCTGTTTTGCGGACGCCTCCGGATTGGTCGCATCGGGCTTGCTCTTGGAGGGTGAATGGGTCTTGGGCGCGTTGTTTTCTGCAGCGACTTTGTCCTTGTCGGCTTCTGGTGGTTCGGTCATTTTGACTGGCGAAGCTCCATTTGATCGTCGTGCAGCTTCCGACATCAAGTGTGGGTAGTGGGTCGGTGTCAGAGCCGGGTGCTTTTCTTGGAGACGCGCAGGTTCATGTGTGTCACGACAGGGGTCTCGTCACGCACTCGAGCATCGAAAAGCGCGCAGAAGGTCGAGATGTGCCAGGAACACGTTCTTTGGTGGCACAGCAGAGCCCGTAGTTGCGGTAGACGAGTGGCGGAGAGGTGGTCTCAGAAGCACGAATGAACAGGTGAATGTTCGCGGTCGCGTGCTTTGCCGAACCGAACCTTGGAAGGAAGAACCCGGAGAATCCCACGCCCAATCGCGGAGAAGTGCACCGACCAACCTCCTAGTGGAGATTTTGACAGCTTCCCGCTGCAATGCGGGTGATCTCGACGGGGCATTCGAATAGCGACGCTTGACATGTTGTAGTTTGCACAAGTTTCGCATAGAAGGGCTGCAGCTGCAGAAGTGGCTCCGCTCTGCCGAAGCCCTGGTGGAGCCAATCACGCCCTTGCATTGCTACACTACATGATGGAGACGGCCGCGAACGCGCGCATTCCGAAGACCATACCGTCGGAATCGCAGTTCTAAAACTGGGAGTAAATTGACAGACATGGATGGTTTCGCTGCCAACTCCAGCCAGCCGCCACGCTGGACAGCCTGGTACGGGCCTTGCTAACCTAGCCCATGCCTCACACAAAGCTTCCTTTAGAGTATTGAAATTACGCCGATGCCCTCCAACGCCATACACCTGCCCTGATATCGAACCCAGTACCGTATTCACCACACCTGCCCCGAGCCCGATCCATGCGCCGAGCCATGCATGGCTATAGAAAGAACAATGGTCATCATGGGACCTGCATATCGATATTTTGTACGGCAGCATATTGCGCTGCGCTAGCGTGCCTGAACAAGACGGCGTCCAGTACTGCTTGCGCGTCGTTGATCGTCGTATCGAGACCCTCGACCTGTGTATGGTTGCCCTGCATACTCTCCAGGCTGCGTCGCAACTGGGCGAGCACGGACGCAAGGTCATCATCGGGCGCATCGAGGAGTGAGAGAGCTACTGGTTCTGATCGCTTCAGACGGATGTCGTCAGGACCGTCGCTATGGGCCGTCGTATTGCCTTCGTCTTTGAGTAAAGGGTGGATCTACAGCAGGTTAGCAACAGATTCAGCTCGACTGGAATAGACCGACACGCACACGTCCATGCTTCTTTTGGTGCTTCCACTCGGCTCTCCAATTCTTAACGTTCTTCTTCAGGCCGTCTAGATTATCCTCGTCCTTCTTCAGCAAGTGCTGGGCAATCTTGACCTGCTCGCTGAGCAGCTGCTTGGAGTGCCGGGCTGTCGTGACCTCTCGCGACACTTGGGCGTTGCGCTCCGTGAGCTTGTCGATGTTGAAATGGATGTCTTTGGCTTGTGGGGGTATCCGCGACTCTGCTAGTTGGCGCGCTAGCTTGCGTACCAGGGGATTGAGTGTGTTGTGCGCGGCCATAATCCTGCGCTCGTCTCGCTGCGTCTCGGCAATATCCTTCTTCGCATTGCGTATCACCGCCGTGATCTGCTCCAAGACCTGAGGCGGCACTTGTGGCCACGTGTCTATTTGCTCCTGCGGTATCCTCTTCGTCTTGCTCTCCAGTTGCACGTACTGCTTGCGCGACTTGGCTTCGGGTTCAGCGATTTCGTCGGATTTACGCTTGCGGGGTCTCGAGGATTGGGCTGGCGCAGGTTCAGTTATTGAGAGCTCATCCTCGACTTCTTCCTGGGCTTGTCCCTTCCGAGGCCTGCCCTTCTTTGTTGCTGACGGCTTTGATACAGGCTTCGACTTGGCCTTCACGACGGCGCCAGAATTGCGACTGCCCGGAGGCCGGCCTCGCTTTTTCGCCGCCTTCGCATCCTTGGAGCGCGTAGGCGCCTGAGTATGATTAGTATGCGCACACAACACCCGATCGTTGAGACTTACCATGACGGTGTGGTGGAGAAAGGACGCGACTGGTTAGTGTTGACATCCGCGTTGGTGGGGAAGGAGCCCAGTAGCGCGGCGCCTCTTCACGTGCGGTCCGTTTGGCCCCTCACACTTCCCTCCGCACCTGTCCACAACTCAACCGCCTCCCGAGTCTGCGACGATGCACTCTCGGCCTAATACCTCGGACGTAAGAATATAGCGTGCAGACGTGTCAGCGTTCTGTCTCAACGTTCAGTTGCTTCCACTTGCACATCTTCAAATGACAAACATCTCATCTTATTGTATTCTCATACTGACAATAGAATATATACATGTCACTGCATTGACTAAACTTCCTCGAGCTTGAAGGCTCCAGTCGCTACTTATCACCATCAGACTCCTCCAAGTCTCGCACCATCGATCTACCACAACAGCCGACCACGGCTTAGAATTGGGAGAAGAAGCTCCAAACCTCCTTGGGCGTGAAGCTCTGCGGTCCGACATCGTTACCAGCATCTCCAGGAAGCGCAACATGGTCTCCGTCGAAAGCAGTATATTGCGTCGGGTACTTGCACCCATCGTACACCGTCTTGATACGCTGTCTGCTGTTCTTGGCAGGCTCTGGTGCGTTTTTCTGTTGGCATCCGTTCAGCCTCACAAAGCGGTCTCTGATCTCCCTTCCCATAGCGATGGGTAGGACGCTATCCTTGACGCCGTGCTGACCGTAGTACGCAATGGGCGTGTTTCCGCCATTGCAGCCTGAAAGAGTTGCACCAGAGAGGACGGCGATGGCCCGGTACTCGTTTGCACGACTGCAGGCCAGGCTGAAGCTCATTGCGCCACCGTAGGAGAAACCGAGAGAGAAACGCTGCGTCTCGTCCACGCATAGGTCATCCTCAACTGCCTTGCGGACTGTGTCGAGGAAGGTGATGTCTTCGCCATTCGTGTTTCCCCACCCCTTGTTGATACCATCGGGTGCGACGAAGATGGCAGTCTCGTTTGCCAGAGCGGCAAGGCCGTAGTATGGCGCGCTACCGCCCGACACGGATGTCATGTCGCCATTGAGCCAATGGAGACCGAAGATGAACTTGTATGGGTGGGAGTTGTCATATTTGTTCGGAATTCGGAGCGTCCACTGACGTTGCTTGCCGTTCACCGTGACCCTTTGGACGCCGTTGGTCAGCCTTGGCGCCTTTCCACAGCCCGCTGTGACAGCGGTAGCCTGATCAAGCAGTGCGAGGAACAAAAGGGCGCCAAGCGCGAAGAAAGAGGTTGGATGGAACATGGTAATGGATCCCTAGGCTTGAAGGCTGCGATGTCCTTTCTTAGGTCTCACAGCGGACGTTTAAGTATGTTTTCGCATTCTACATTCAACCTCACTACAAGTCCCATACTCGCGACTCCATCAGTCGATCTCTTGGTATATTACGGAGTTATTGCCCATTCCAACTGCCGTACGAGAAAACCAAGACTTCTATACAATCCGGAGAGAGTCATTCCCCATACCTCTGCCTTCACGCCCAATGGATATTGTCCAAGTCGCATTTTCACCGTCTCCTGGTATTTCAAGTAAATGATGCCAAGCGGAGGAAACTCGCCAAGAAGGAGAAATCCACGGCACTTGTTCGGAAACTTAACAGGTGATATCCTTTTGTGGAGCAGTGCTGCATCATGCAAGGTGATAAGCGTTCCCCATGGGGTACATACTTACTTAACACGCTGCAAAGCGCCGAGTTACGCCATTATGTAGCTCGGATATACTAACCGACTGTCGGACTACTGCAAGCCTCACAAGAAGATCGTTGCCAGATTCGGGCTCCTACATGTGTTACTATTCATGCAGCAATATCTCCACTTTCCGGTCTTTCGTGAGGTTCGTGGAAGAAAGACTTAAGACCCGCGGCTGTTTACGCTTGCAGCACCGATCATAAGTAAACTTTCTCTTTAGCCTCCAGAACTCGATACAACCTTCCCTTTGAGTAGAGTACGCCGTGTCAGTAAACCTGGGCGAGGCTATCACATGCTCAGTTCCGCCCGATTGGTGGCTGTCACACCCGAAGAAAAGGCTACAGTTATACCACCTGCAACTCCACAGAGGTTTCCACAATGTCCCAGTCACCCACGACGAAGGAAGACTTTCGAAATCCTCAACAGTCATGTACACCATTGTTGAGCTCGCTTCACAAGTTTAGGCACAGTCATCTACCGACGAACATAGCCGGAGTACGTACAGCATCTCCACACCCGACTTACCCGTCGAGACGGCCAAACCTTGACAACCACTGTATACCCCTCACGAAAAAGACTCATGCAGAAGCAGCAGCTGGCAAGCAAGGTGAGGACGTACGAGCTTCTTCCACCGGCAAAAGAGGCCCCATGGGGAACCGACAAAATGATCGACGGCCCGCCGGGTATATCCCTCACTGTTCATACTAGACATTGAACTAGCATAGCTTCTTGAGGGTAAGCTTTGTCGAAGGTGATGACGCGCATGTGTAGCCGAAGGATGGTATGAGCCTGTGGCGTCGACAATGAAATCTAGATACTTAAGCTGAGGCTACGATCGATCGGTTGCAACCCCAGCATCAGCCAAACACACCCTTCCAATACTGTAATTGGGCGGTGTTTCAAGATGTTGTTCAAGATCCTATCAGCTACAGCTGCCCTAGCAAGCACAGCTATAGCCCACCCACTTTCCTGCAACACCTCCGCCCCACAACCCTGGGGCTTCTTCACAAACAACACCATCTACCAAACCACCGGCAGCGAATCAATCACCTACCCCCGCTACACGGAACTCCAAGACGGAACCATCATCGCCACCGCCTCCCTCTCCGGCCACAACCCAAACTACTTCCCTATCTTCGAGTCGAAAGATGGTGGCGCCTCTTGGGAACATGTATCTGATCTGCACGACACGGTCAACGGGTGGGGTTTCAGCGCTCAACCTGCGTTGACAGAGTTGACGGAGCCAATGGGTGGCTACGCCGCCGGAACCATTCTGGGTGGAGGAAATAGCTGGAGCAACAACGGAACGAGAATCGACCTCTACGCCAGCACGGATGGAGCGCGAACCTGGGAATTCGTAAGCCATGTCGCTGAGGGCGGGCGCCCAAATACTACGAATGGCGCCACACCGATCTGGGAACCATATTTCCTGTAAGTCCCTCCCCTTCCCATCACTTCACATATACACATACTAATGATGTGTACAGCCAATACAAAGGCGAACTAATAGCCTACTACTCGGACCAACGCGACCCCCTTCACGGCCAAAAGCTCGCCCACCAAACCTCTTCCGACTTGAAAACCTGGGGGCCAGTCGTAAACGACGTCGTCTATGACGAATACCTCGCGCGCCCCGGCATGACAGTCGTAGCCTACATCCCGCCGCTCGACCAATGGATCCTCGTGCACGAACTCCCCATTGGCAACTCCTCGTCCTATGGCCAAAACTACCCCGTCTACTACGTCATGGCCGACGAGCCCACAAACTTCCGCAATTCGGTCGGCCGCCCCATCGTTGTAAACAACAGCACGGTGCCAAATGCCAGTCCGTATGTGGTTTGGTCCCCACTGGGTGGTCCCAACGGCACGATTATAGTGAGTGACGCGGATAGACGCCAGGTGTATACGAATTCCGCGGGCGGCGCGCTGGACAAGTGGGAAGAGCATGCGACGCCTGCTGGTGCAGTGTATTCGCGGGCAATTCAGATTTTCAAGAAGAGGCCGAATCACTTGTTGGTTTATGGGGGCGAGACGTATGATGGCAGGGCGGAGGGGCTGCATACGCCGTTTTCGGCGACGGTGGTTAGGCTGGATGAGGTGCTTAAGGCGCCGAGTGTGGAGTAAATATGGGAGATGGGGAAAGGTACCGTTGAGATGTGGTATGCTAGATGGGAAGTATGGTATGCACGAGAGGGAATCAACTGTTGGCCCATTAAGAAGACTTTTTCTTCGTGATTGAGTCCCCAACATCGACCCTTCTTATCAAAAGCTTCCAGTGTTTCAGCCTCGGTACCTCCCTAGTCTAATGCCTCATCTCTCGAGCAGCTCGGGCACATGCTGAGAGCTATGTTGCTCATATAGAATGAATAAGACTACTGAGTAATAATATCCTTAGTGGTATTACATAACGGGACCGATTTAAGATTCAATGATAACCCTGTGGTCATTTTACGATGCTTTACAATTCATGGGATCATGACCTATAAACATGATGTTTTGATAAAGACTTCCACTATGTCGAGAGGATGAAAAAAACGTGACACCGCGTGCAAGTCGATCAGGTCGATCTCCCGCACCACAGTGATGCAATCATGACCTGCATCATCATCTACCCTCTTCAACGCGTTTGAATCGCGAATTTGCGTACATACCCCTCAGTCTGACTCTCAATTTATCTCATTTGTTCCACTTGATTTCTGGTCTTTTATTTCTGAAATTTCGTTTTCGCCATGTCGCTCAAAATCCCACACGTCACATTGACGCGCTTTGCAACGCGGTGCTCATACCGTGACGTCAGACCATTTACCCGCTATATCACGACTTCTGCAACACGAAATTTCCCCTCTTCATTCTCTGCACTTCCAAATCGCATGCGATCAATTGAACGCACGAAACAAATTACGAATCAATTCCAACCACAGAATCATCAGCGCAACTACGCAAACATGGCTCCTACCAACAACGCCGAACTCCAGATGGGCCAGGTCTTTGATGTCAAGGACAAAGTCGTTCTAGTCACCGGTGGTGGCTCTGGAATTGGTCTCATGATCACACAGACGCTTGCTGTCAATGGTGCTAAGGTTTACATTGTTGGACGGACAGAGGAGAAGCTCGAGAAGGTTGTTGAGGTGCATGGCCAGAACATTGCAGGACAGGTAAGTCTTCGCTACGATGAATATATGAGAAATGTAGACTAAGAGTCCCTAGATTATTCCCATTGTCGGAGACTGCAGCACCAAGGACGGTGTATCGTAAGTTGCGATTGGCATCTGACAGAGAAGGAAATGCTAACTATCTCACAGCAAGATCAAGAAGGAGATCGAGTCAAAGGAGAAGTGCCTCTGCGTCCTCGGTAAGCATTCCCCAATCCCTTCTTCATCTCAAGAACACTCAACTAACTCTCCCAGTCAACAACGCGGGTATCGCCCCAGGCAAAACCGAAGTAAAAGGCACAGCCGAAGACCTCGTCTCCAAGCTTTTCGACGGCACAACCGAGCAAGAATGGCTCGACGTCTACCAAACTAACGTCGTCGGCCCTTTCCTCATGTCCACTGCCTTCCTCCCTCTCCTCCAAAAGTCCACCGAGACGCATCCCGGCTACTCCGGCACCATCATCAACATCAGCTCCATCTCCGGCCACATCAAAATCTCACAAGGCCACTTTGCGTACAACTCCAGCAAAGGCGCCGCGATACATCTCAACAAGATGCTTGCGTCTGAGATTGCGAAGAACGGGATCAAGGTTAGGGTTAACTCGATCGCGCCTGGTGTTTTCCCGTCCGAGATGACGACACAGGAGAGCAGGGATGATAACCAGAAGAGTGAGATGCCGAAGGAGCATAAGGAGGGTCTTCCTGCACAGAGGCCTGGTAAGGATCAAGATATGGCCGCGGCGATTTTGTTTGCTGTTGGTTGCCAGTACCTCAATGGTCAGACTGTCACTGTTGATGGTGGATATGCGATTCAGGTCGGTAACTAAGCGTGCTCCTTTTGTTACCTTATTTTTTTACGATACTTCTACCTTGCTCGAGGATGAGCTTTACGGTGTACGATAGTTGATATGTCGATACTGCATGAGAAATGCATGCATATGGCTTCGCTAGCCGCGACTCAAAACTTCTCGGCCTGTGTGAGACCGGTGAGAGATAGTGTCAAAGCCGAGAGAGGCGGCGCAGAGGTCATCGCAGTACGACGTTTGAGCTGGCTGCTATAGATCAATTGCTGTCTGGCAACCACAATGGCGATATCGTGCATGACAGTAGTTGGTTCATCTCATCGATGCCCACTCATTCTTTGTGATGTATGCATACCCCTGAAGCTCTTTCCTGTCTACTCCGTACAGCCATTCCATATCAACTTGCCATTTCCAGGTCTAGGTCCACAAGCCAAGGCGCGTTCCGCGGGTTATACGTCACGCTCATAATACTCGCATTAACCATCAAAGTCTCCCGCCCAAACTCAACCGCAGTATCACTACCCTCGCCGATATCAACGGCAGCCGCCCTCCTCTCCCTAGCCGCATAGTGATCAACTGGCACAGTATCGAAATCTTCGATATGCTCTTCAATCTTGACATCCAGCCCACCGGCATTTTTCCACCGCACTTTCTGCGCGCCCCACCCCTCATGTATATGCCCAAAGCAATGCAACCTGGGTTTACAGCGTCGAGCAGCGCGGAGTAGGTGCTCGCAGCCGACGTGCTGTCCTGATGTCGTCGCATCCATGACACCCATAGGCGGTCCGTGGGTCATCATGATATCGATGTTGGGGAAGTCTGGGACGGGGTTCTCGGCGATGGGTTTGGCATTCGGCGTGCATTGGTGGGGAGGATTGTAGCGATCTTCGTTGCGGAAGTAGGGGAAGGCGTAGTCGCAGAATTCTGGCTGGTAGGGGGACGCGTAGATCTGGGGTTGTTAGCTTTGAATGGACGCGTCGACTGTCTCAGAATGCGCGTACCCGTAAATTCGCGCCATTTTGTAGCTGGAATGCATGCGTTCCCTCCTCCAGATACGTCACGCCAGCTTTCCTAGCCCGCTCACCCGTCCACATCTCTCGAGCTTTGGCGGGGAGATCTTTGTCGTATCTGTCTCCTCTGTGCATGTATTCGCCTTTCCTGGCGTAATACTGTTCATCAAGGGTGATGTCGTGATTTCCGGCTATGACGAGCTTCAACCCCGCGTCGATACTCTCCAGCATTTCCAGGGTCTTTTCATATTCGTCTAGATGACCGATCATGGTCAGGTCGCCGCAGTGAAGAAGCACATCTGCCTTGGGCAATGGCGGGCGGAAAGCAGCTTCATCATCTGCGATATTATCGGAAGGAGATTTAGAATGGGTATCTGAGATGATGAGAAAGCGTGTCTTGATGCGATCAGGCGTTATTGATGTTGATGTCGTTGACATGACGGAGACTGGGAGCTTCAAGCTTCAGCTGGCGCGCGATGAGGGGTAGCGGGGTTGAGAAGCTGTGACCTTAATAAATCGCGAGTGCCTACAACAAAAAAACCTACTACGTTTGTAGGCAGTAGCATTACCTTCACGGACAAAGGAAAGACTCACTATCGCCGTATTTCTACATCGGGGACAAACTCGCAACACTGCTATCAAACTCGTTGCTTCCCATAGTACCTACAACTTCGGCTACGAAATAGTGCCGCTGCTCGCATTCAGTCTGAACACGTCTACGGCGTCTATGGAGGAGTCTCATGCAAGACTACGATTCTTTATGATGTACTCGCCAAGGTCATAGAAAAACGCGATGGCCACGAGCTATGGGTATCCTTGCCGGTTAGACTTGCTACTTCGGGTCTCGCCGGGCCAGTATCACGCCACTCTCACGAGCTGCCTTGCGCCAACCTCAACATAGCCACATCTGCATTGTGCAGCGAGAGAACTTTTCCATTTTCTCAGCCTCTCTCGTTAAGTCCGGACTATTCCCTTGGATTACCACAACAGCGGAGACGCCTGTTGGCGCACGCCGATGCCTAGATGTGGTACCATGACAGGTGCTCGGAGGAAACCTCAACCATCATCGGGCAAAGCACAAGGGATGCAATACCAAGGAGTAAGCGAACTCACTTGTTGTATCTAGAAGCGGCGCGTTTCATCCGTATGCATCCGGGAATCCACCATTGGCAAGAATGAGGCTTTAGAGAGCCTTTGCTGGCACTGACCCGTCGATCGAGATACCGCATAATACCTGCTAATGAAGCAAGCCGGTAATCAAATTGTGAGGGAAGCCATCCGGCATCACAGATGGTTTATACGATCCGTCCCGAGTTAACCGCGTACAAGCGAAAGCAAATCAGATCCTGCCTGCATGGCTTTGTTGAGTACATTCTGAGACTGCAATTCGCGGCCTTGCCGGGATCAACAGGGTAATTTAGGTTGCACGCACATGAACGAACATCACAGTCGTTGCAATGCGCGCTCAGAGTCATATCGGAAACTCGGGTTCGGAGCATACGCGCAAACCGACTTTCGGCGTAGTGGAGCTCATCCCGGGACTACGCGAGATGCTGCTCCTACCGGACTGCGCCGATGAGGTGCTTATCGTTCGACGTTCACAGTCATTGTAAAAATTCAATCCCTTGAATGAGTAACAGATGTTGCAGTGAAACTCGCGGAAGCGGAAGGCTTACTTAGCCGTGCCAATAATGGTTGAGGGTAGGACGGATCCACAATTAACTTGCGATTTTGGGTTTACCGTACAGCTACTGGAAGCATCTTGACTGTACTGAGCCACTACACCGGAACCTGATCAACCTTAGTGGTGGATTCCCAGCGAGTCACGAGGACCTCTTACCTACTCTGTTGGGTGTGCAGTTCTCGAATCGTCGATACAATTACGTCCTCGTATTCTTATAATACTAAGCCTTTCGTCATCCCAGGCGACGTCGATACATCAACCACCAAACAGCAACGAACACATCCACCGATACACGAGTCGACACAGTCTTGATGAACTTCCCGAGTGATGCGCAGGGAACCAAGACCGAACATACCGAACACTCTCCACCACAGAACGCCATGCCGTACACCAATTACTTCGACAATCCTTACCTTGGCGGGCCAGCCCCAAACGAGTCGCTGAACACCTTCTTTGACTCCGATACATTCTTCGATCAAAACCTCACATCCATTCAGGGTGTATCCGACACGACATCAAAGACACAAGAAGGTTGTAATGCGACATTCTTCACAAGCAGCATATCGACCAGGGATAACAACCAAACGATGACGCAAACATTCAACACCATACACCCCAGTCCATTCGAGCCATATCCATTCGACTTCACACTAGACACCAGGCCACCACAACCGAACGAACCAGACTGTTTCTCCCCCACGAGCACAACGTCGCAACCCTCGTCGCACGGTGGAGACGCGCCGCAACCGCTCATATCGCCATCTCTCTCCCCACACATGCTAAAGCACGAATCCCCATCCTCGCCAACCTCTGCCTCCGAATCATCCACCCCCAAACGCCCCACGAGGAAGCGGGGTCGCCCGAAGATGGACCGCAGTACCACCGACAGCCAAGTCATGTCTTCTCCGACTCTAAAGTATCAGCGCTCAAAACGGTTACCGCATAATCAGGTTGAGCGCAAGTACCGTGAGGGCCTTAATTCGGAGCTGGAAAGGCTGAGACAGGCAGTGCCGATATTGAGGCAGAGCGATGAGCTTGGTGCGGTTGGACAGCCGAAGCCGAGTAAAGCGATGATTTTGGCGAGCGCGATTGAGTATATTCAGAGTATTGAGAAGGAGAGGGATGCGCTGATTGAGGAGAATGATAGGTTACGGAGGGGGCAAGTTGGAGGGCCGACGCAGGGGGATTGGGAGGGAATGAACTTTTGAGGCTTGTTCCGCATAATTTTCTGGCAGCATCATGACTATCGAGGAGGTCACGGAATGCGGCGACGCAAGAGAGGGGTCTTGAGGACGGCGTTTGAGTTTATTTTATGAGTGAAAGGACCGCACCTTGTGAGTACACCGTTCGATGTTGATCTTTCGCATAGATTGTACATTACGATGGGATGAAGCCACTCTGGGTATGAAGGCGATCTGTTAGCCAAAGACAGTTTAATAAACGAATAGCTTTCAAACAATAATGTAATAATAGATAGCTTAGCGGCAATACATACACTTACCCTGCATCACAAACGTGTAGTGGTCATAGTAGTAGATATCGGAGCTTTATGTCCACTATATCGCTTTGAAGACCGCTGTCTTTTTGGAACTGCTAGACCCAGTTCCATTCCCCTAAACTTCGCGATACGTAGGAACCAAGTAATGTCTAGCTTCAAAGATCAAAATTCTTTGTTTCGGTCACTGCAAGACGACAGAATTTGGGTCGCATTCTGCAAGTACCATGCAAAGCATAAGATAGGTAGAAGCATACATGGACTTGGTGGCTATAGTCTACTTCAGATTGGATAGCACATATGCATCAAGCAGTTTAAATTCTATCCTCCCCCACTGGCGTAACAAACGTACTAGATACCTATTGCAAACGCGGAGACCTAAAAGCATGTATACACGCCAAAGCGAAGTATAAGTCTGTCTCTTTACCAGTCAACGAGAGCATCAAAAGCTTCACCTAGGCTTCAAAGAGAGCCATCTCGTAGCATTGTTGGTGCTGGTTCGGTGTTGGAATGCAATCCCCTGCTTCGATGCGGCGTGGTTCGGCTAACTACAGAATTTTTCTTCTACCCCACCTTTTAGCCCAAGATGTCCCACCAACACATCAAAACCGATAAAGAATCTTTCGTGTCCCTTCAACATGCTTTTGATATCGAAGTATGCTTTTATAAATTTTATAATTTCCAAAATCTCCATCAAATCATCAGATTTCATCAAATCGCCCGGCTAGCTCAATCGGTAGAGCGTGAGACTCTTAGCTTTCACGTCCTAAAGACTCGATTGGTTATCTCAAGGTTGTGGGTTCGACCCCCACGTCGGGCTTTCCTTTTGCTGGCGTCTGGTACATGTCCTGGGAGGGAGTGGATGATGTGGTGGTGGTGGTGGTGGAGAAGGATGTTTTTTTTTTTCAACTATTTGGAAAACGATACACGACTAAAAACAAAACACCCACGCGACGGTGGCAGAGACATGCCAGAGAGACGCAGCACTATGCTAGCTATATGTAGTCTTTGTATTAATTTGCTTCTACATGGTGAGTGCTTTTTCCGTTTTGTACGAATCTGGTAAGAGCTTATCTTCACTTTATCAAGGGACACTGTTTTCTTGGCTTCTTTATAACTTTATACAGATTTAAGCAAGACGTCGAGAAGCCTGTGAAGCTTGCGATTATTGATAACTTGTCTTTGTACTTAATAGCGTTTAAATTAAATAAGCCGGCCTACCGTCCTCAAGCAAGGACAGCGGAAACATACTGCAGTGAGTAATCACGTATGAAGGGCGAGAGGAATATCTCTTTTGGTCTCGTTGCTACGAGACAAAAAAGCCTGGAAGGCCGTAACGTGCAATAGTAGTTGGTAAAGTCAAAGGAAAGGGAAGACACGGGTAAGGCCTCAATACTATATGGCTTTGGTGTACCTCCTATATTTTTTCCCCTCTTCCTCTGTCTTACATGTCAAGGAGTAAGCCCATGGCATTTGCACAAACGGTGCGCTTGTGGAGGTACGAATTTGCAACTACCTTTGCATGGTATCATAAGATTAAGGTATGGACCACACAGAACACGCTTCTCTATAAGCCGTGCACGCCAATGTAGGCCCCTTGCCTGTCTCATTTTCACGTACTCGATAGGCTCTCGACTGCATCTGTTCTCCGCTTCCGCCAAGGTTCAACGATCTCAGTCTCACTTCAGCGGAATAGATCTCTCTCGAGCTACGCTGGATCTGCGCGAGACACTGCGCCTATAGTCCCTAGCACCATCAGTGACCATCTTCATCGTCTTGATAGGGCACATCTCCCCATGCGCATGAGTGCTCTCAATCACACCAAGATACCTTAGCGAACACGCATATAAGCTACCGGCATTCTCCTAGCTCCAGACTCTGTTTCAACATCCAAACAAGCCTTTACGCATCTGTAGTGATCAGCAGGCGTACAGTAGGCAGCCAGCGGCTAGCTCAAACCTAGGCACGCCGCACCGGTTACTGTAGCAGAGCAGCCGGTGGAAGAGCATCTAGTCTGCAACCCACATCAAGCACTATTTGACATCGACAAGTTTCGCTTGCTATTCGGACCGTCTTTTTCTGCAGTTTTTTTTTTGGAATTGTAGGCGTAAGGGAAGGTCTTTATCGGGGTTGGGTTGGAAGACACTTAGGTAGTCAGGGGGGATACGGAGGAGTTGCGCGGATATCCGCCTTCTGAGGGATAAGCTAGAGGAAGGCCATCGTGGTCTTCCTATCTCGTAGTAGCGGTGCATGATGCGATGCAAGAGACAGCTTCACTCTCGATCAGTATCTCGAGCGAGGCACAGTATCCACTGACACCGGGATGGCTTCCATCCGCCGAAATGACTCGCATACTGTCCATCTTACCTACCCTATGGTTCAGCCATGTTACACTGGGAAGGCGCATGCACAACATCGCCCTGCCCGCCTATAGCTATGTGGACAGGCATGCAGGTACTCCACAAACCGCCAGTCCGGACATGCAACCAAAGCGTCGATGCCATAGCGCGCGGATGTAAGTTTGCGCGATAGCGCCATGCGTGAAGCCAAGAGTCTGGAGTGCAGCACGCGCGACATGTGCGTGATGACACATTCGCCAGCAAAAATCGCGAGAGAGGTCCGACCGCGCATGATGCATTTGCAGCGGACCCAGAGATCAGAATCTTTTGACTGCTTGCCTAATGCAATGTCGTGTGTGCTGTTCATCTACAGGTACGTTTGGGGCGTAGCTCGGAAATCCTGCCCGGATCGGATGGAAGGATGTTAAAGTGGACTTTGGGAAGATGGACGGCTAATGCTGGAGCCGTGGCCTCGCGGCGCGGCGCAGCATGGGCGCATTGCGTGCAAGTCACGCTGCTTTGTTGGTATGCAGTTTAGATTGTTTGACAGTCGTGATAGTTGGGTCAGAGACGCGAGCGCGAGGTTATTGGGTGGTGTGTGAGAATGGAGTGGCTGCATGCTTTCCGACTCGTTGTATGTCTCGAAGATCCTTTAGGCGTACATGGCCGCCGGGGTGGTTGCAGGCGTTTATGCTTGATGTTCGCAAAGGAGGCCGGATCGTCGAAACCGCGTCAAAACCCAGCGGAACGGGAGGTACGGTGCGCGCTCAATGACTGACAGGAAGCACGGATAGACGGATCTGACAGGGTTCAGCTCCGCGGCTTTACACACGTGAATTTTCCATGAGTAACAGGCCAGTGACTCTTGCGGTTGGATATACGTCAGTCGAGCGATGGGGAAGGTTGCGTTCCCAACCTTGCGTGCATGTTCCTTCAGCTTTGCCCTGCAGACGCGCACGAACGCGATTGCGACACTCGTTGCAATCTTCCGTTGCAGGGGTTAGATGCCGATAACTGTCATACGGTAACGGCCGGCTTTTACGACGCTAAGAAGCTGGTAATCGTGGTGGACTGTGATGAAAACAAGCTGGTGTGCAGACCGATGATGCTGAGGATCAGTGTGGATACAGTACTACTGCCGGAAGACATCCCGCCAGCACGCCTAACTGTGACAGGACAAACCTCTGGTGCCCCAGTATCCTGCATGGGAGAAATGCGCGATTGGATGCCTAGACATGCCTCTGAATCCTTCGAGAAACCCTGAACTTGTGTCACCAAATGATGTAACATTGTGCAGCCAGTATGTCGTTCGCGCATAGGGCTGCAATGGCTTGCGCGTACATGTGTGTAACTTTGAGTGTCTGCGCGCATGAAGTTTGCGGTTGCTGAGTGGTCCGACAGTGTCGCTGAAACTTGTAAACGTGGTGACCACCAGCTCGTGTACGTAACTACGCTGAATTCGACTAACGTGGGACTGCGAACTAGCGATTTTTACGCACGCCTCTCCACAGAGACCCTTGAGCCCATGCAGTAGCCGCTGCTGGGAATAAGCAAAAAAATGCACCTCCTCACATCGTGTCTATGCGCTGAGCCCACATCCTCCTTGTCTGATTTAGTCCATACAGGCACACCTCCACATTTGTGGTAAGAGCGCCGAGAGGAGTGACAACCGAGGCTTTGGAGGCCCATGATTCAGCCAAGCGGGATCAGCAAGAACACGGTCGGAAAAGATCAAGGTTCATTCCGGAGCAAACGTCGACGGGCCTCCTACCCGGCTGTGTGGTAGCGGGGAAAAAGTCAAGTCCTGGTCCAGCAAAACTGGGAGCCAAAGGCAAAAGCAATTTCCGTTCCTTCCGCAGCCATTGTCTCATGGTCCGGAATTGAAGGAGGATTATTCACAGTCCGAGCTTTTCCCAGTATCGTAGAGAAGCGACGAGAAAAAGTGGATCAACAGCCACCTTGAATGACCGAGGCTCGGGTACGTACTCGAGTTGCATACGACAGTCTCAAGAAGTCTGGACAGGAGGCCTGGGCGTCTGCGCAATGTCCGCAGGTTTGGGCTGGAAAGCGAATTTATTCCGGGTCCTGGGATAGCAGCTTCGCTTGCACAAAGGTCAAACGTCATGGAAAGTTTGCTGATGAACATTGACTTCTGAGATTATCCAAGGCATTTATCAAGGCTGAAAGACCAAGGTGATACAACCGGTTTCTAAAAATCGCAGATGCAGGTACGAAGATGATACGGTACAGCTAGTTGCGTGGCCTCATCATCGCGCGTACAATGAGGCTTCAGTGCGATGCCATTCGCTAACAGCCGGTCCGTGACCTTCATGCATGGTCTGATTGACACATAGGTAGTTGTCGCCTTTGCATTGCTGATATTGAGGCAGAGGATGTGTATGAGATAGACTTGTGCAGAGGTTACTGATCATGGTACTTCCGTAAGAATGATGTAAGTGTAGATGTTCGGGAATACAACCGTAGCTTTGCTCGTGTACGCCTTGCTTTCGCCGAACATTGCGTGTATGCCTCAGGCCAAAGCCAAGATAGCCATGCCACCTTCCAGAACAATACTTTCATTGGTGCCAGGGAGTGCCATGTTCTGAACCTAGTTATGGCCTGCAAAGTACCCGGTGGAATTTGACAAGTCGGTTTCGCATTGGTGACCCCGCGGTCCCCGTGAAACCATCTGGGTAACGTATGCTTGCTGTAGTTGCGGGAACGCCATACCGCGAACGACAGAAAACAGGTGTCACAAACGTGCCGAGGTGCTCAAGTAGTGAAGTAGCGATGTGTTACTATCTGGGTATCGAATTCGGCGCATATGCTTTCGAAGTATTCGGAAAGCTACATGTAGCATCTCTTTAAATGATCCTCCAATCGGCGTTGTTTGTACATGTGATAGTGCCTGTCAGATGCTGATTGGAACTGTGAAACGAAACCGCCGAAATTTGGACATGAAGGCTGCCCAAGCAAAACCTGAATGAACCTGGAAGAATGACCCGTTACGGAGTCTTTGTGAAGCTAAAAATCAAAAATTGCAATGCTGGTAACGCCCAAGTTCACTTATTGGTCCATTGGAGAAGCATGATCTCCCAACCATGTATCGTAATTCCAGTCGTGTCGCGCCCATAACTCCGGAAATGATAGTTTTGATAATGACCACTCATATCGGAGAAGTCACCGAAGCAGTCCATGACTCATCCCGTGTATCGCCATACAGAGTGTGTAAGATTGAAGTGTGCAGCTTCTGGGGCCGCAGAAGTTGTGTTGTTGTAGTCACAATGCGCTTGGTGGTCAATTAAGCTCCCGAGTAGAATTGCGGTAGCCCCTGATGATGATACGCCATTGGTGGTGTAACCTCCTCCTGTACCCGGTCTAGGTGTCCTGGTTCCCCATACCACTGCGCACTCATGGAACGCCCAGCTGTAGGCATTGGCGGTCCATGGTTGGGCATGGCGTCGTATGATGACCAAGGAGCCGGATAATAGGAGTGATTCGGAACAACGGGTGCAGATAATGGCGCAGTCGTAGATGCGCCTATCGTGGTCGCGTGGATTGTGGAAGGATTTGTGTCTATGGTAGTCGGATATGGATACGGAGAAGTTCTCCGGTAGTTTTCGTGCTGAATACCGAGACCCTGTCCTGGGTATTGTTGCGGAAGTCCTTCGATGTTGCCGTATGACATCGAGCGTGATGGTGGTTGAAATGATGGTTGCTGGCCCCAATGAGAGTCCTGGTGACCGTAGGACATCGTCGAGCTCGTACTCATCGCTGCTGGTGTGTGACCACCTGAGACGTTCGATTCGCTGCCGTATGCTGAGTTTGCTGTTGAAGGTGAATTGCGCCACGTGGGGCTTTCGCCTACGGTGGATGAAGGCAGGAAACTATTCGTTGGTGGCCAGTGGGTTTCTATTGGGGGAGGATAAGGATAAGGAGGGTGCTGTACTGGGACTTTATTCGTCAGCGAATGCGGGCCCGAGGCAGCATTAAACCTACGGCCGCTGGTGACAGAGGCATGGTGAGGATCACTTTCGTGGTCGCCATGATAGCCAAAGCTTGGAGGTTGCCCATTCGACGCAGGGCCAGAGAACGGTGTACGGAACTCACCCATGGCATCGCCCGAAGAGGACAAGGGGTGCCGAGGTGAAGTAGAGACAGGTGTAGCTGGTTGAACTGCACTGCCCGACTTCGACGGGATAGTTTGGGGCTGCGGCATATCAGGGTTATGCTCAACTGGGTAGAAGTTGCATTCCTTTTTCAGCCGAATGCAGTTGGAGCAACGGCCTGCGGGATCGTCGGGAGCTAAAAGGCATCGTATCTTTCTGCGCCTGCAATGCCCTGTTCCCAACAGTCAGTGATCGAGAACAACATCAGAATGCGCTGTTTGTTCACTTACCACAAGCAACTGAGGTTCTATGGTATCCTAGCTTGTTCCTCGGTTTGTTACTTGTTGGCGACAGGTCACCAGGGTTTCCAAGTGCTAAGTGGCGCATGTGTGGAGTTGATGAGGACTTGCGGAGCTCTCCCGGTACTTTGCTCTTTGAGGAGCGTCTCTTCTTATTCGAGTGTTGGTGAGGTTGGGTAGCGGGTTCCTGACCGGTCGCAGAATCATGGGCGGACTCGAGTCGATCTGTGGGGCTTGGTGTAGAAGCAGTGTCGGCGGCATGGGAACGCCCAAACCCAGTGTTATGGTTCGGGGGGTTGAATGACATGGCGTCCTGAAGGGGCTGTAAAAGCAACGAGTGCTCTAATCTAGCTGCCGTCTTCTTCGCGCGGCGTTCTGTACCCACAGCCATGTGAGGCGTACTCTTGTCGCAAGACCCGAATATCAAGACGCGGCAACACGTAGTGCATTGAAGGACCTGAGGGTATAAGCATTTAATGTTTAAAGTTCAACAAGGCCCCACAAAGATCCATGATGGACAGGAAGCTAAACAGTGTACATACCTGGGATGTCAAACGAGGCGACTTCTCAAACGCTGGAGCCGGCACTACAAGATCTTGCTTGCGGAGCGGTCGACGGGACACTTGCTGATCTACCGTGCCATGGGATTCTCGATCTAATCAATGCTTCGGAGGCGCACTGACAGCAGGGGCCAAAAGGTAGTAATAGTCAAGAACCAGGTAAATAACCAAGTAGCAGAAGCGATGGTGAAGCAGTTGCGCACCGACAGTGACAGCTCAAGGCAGCTAGTCGTTACCACGGCCGTTCGTTAGCGGGGGCGCATTGCAATCTTCAGGACAACAGGCGCCAAAAGCAAAAGCCTGCATACATACGAAAAGAAGTAGGGACCGAATATAGAAATTTAGACGACGCTGTTTGGTTGAACAAATGGATGATTAAAAGTGGCGAAGTATATCCACGCTACTACGCAAACGGACTGCTGCGTTGGAGCGCCTCTTCGCACCAGAGGATTTCACAGGGTTCATCAATCCTCCTTCCTCACAAGCACAAGATCATCTTCTAGAGGCCAAGCGACCAGGTTGCTGTTGGTGGGCCCGCTTGGACCAAGTGATGTGCGGGATGGATGGGTGTGCAGGCCAGCAGAGTCCGAGCGTCATGACTTTGATGGCTCGGACCCTTCGCACAGTCGCTGTTTGGGATGCTTTGCCTGTCACGTCTCGACGGTGGGATGCGATGACAGCCAGCGGTAGCCGCCTAGCGTCAGCGGCGGCGCGCTCCACTTGCATCGTCTTGCGTGGAAGTCTAGTCAAGCCACCATGTGGATGGCCTTGGATTGGTGAAGAGACGGATGTAATGTCTGCCTGACCCCGATTTCTGGTACGTATGTAAGGGGCCTATACAAGGCAGTATGCTAAGGAGTATGCAAGCTGTGAGGTTAATTTAGCATGGCTCTGTGCGTACGAACGTCGCCGGGGAAGCGTGGTTGAGCCAGGGTGGGATTCAACACTGTCCGGATCTAAGATGATGAGGACGGCGATAAAGGCCTCAATGGAGACAGGGCCGAAGTGCCTGAGCGAGAGAGCTGACGCAGACTGGAGACTGGTAGGGCTTGGTTTGCGCAGATGAGGGCCCAATACGCACACGTCGTGACGTGACCGCCCAGTAGCGAATGCCCGCTGCGATGATCCCCCGATGCTCGCGGTCGTTGGAGAGGTCTCGAAGTGTGGTGCAGGGATGACGCCGACGTGAACTGCTGGCGCTGTCATGGTATGCTATCCTGCGACAAATTGGCTGCGAAGGCGCGTCCTTCTCCACAGTGTTCATCTCGCTAGCAAGGCCCTGGCAAAGGCTCGACTAATCTCCACTCGCGTCATCGCGATTGAGGATAATCAGCGATTCCACAGTTGCGTTGCACAAGCGTGGTCAAGCGAGCATGTCACTGGCCAAGCTGGATTGCAGTACGTGATGGCCGCCGGTCGTCGGTTAATGCGCATGAGGCCTGACCCAGCGCTCTGGCTACGGTCGCTGCATGACTTGCACTCCAATAGTACGGGCGCTGTCCAAGACAGACGATTGCACGTGGAAGACCGATCTGATACAAAATCACTTCGGGCCTATCCATTCGTCTCGAATTTTCGGTGGTCAGACGGTTTCCAGCAGGCTTGCTATTTCCCGACGGCACCTGCACAGCGTCTCCCCCCACCGGTCCGCAGTGGCGCGTCTATGGTGAGGCGTAGGATATTTCTTTTTCCCAGTGCGCCTCCGCCGCCCAAGAAGCAGGGAAAGCTATCCCACGTTCTCCATTTTTTCTTGTCTTGCATGTGTCCGCTACTCATCGTGTTCGCGCGGTCAGCACTGCATCCTGCCGGTGCCGACAGCCTGTGTTAGCTGTGCACGTCATTGGAGGGTAATATCGATTTGACGCTTTTAGACCAGGTCGTCGGTAATAATGCCCTCCGGTTGTCCAGCCCTTAGGCCTAAGGATGCGAGTCGCCTTGGTCGTGCGCAGAGTTCAGTCATGTATTCTGGCTAAATTATGCGCGGTAGTGTAGTGTATCTGAAACGTACCGGACATCAACCGATCGATTTGGCGGAGCGCCGGCTATCAAGAAGTCGGGGATAACATGGTGATCAGTAGTTGGTGTTTGCGCCGCTGCACAGGCGAACGGCGCTTCATCCGTTCGTGAACGCTCGTGCGAGGCTTGCATCGTGCCTTCCCCCTCGCTAGTCTTGGCTCGCTTAATCGCAACTTCCACCCTGGGACATTGCGGTGCGCGCCTGCCAATTGCAGTGCCATGATGCGGGCAGATAGCGAGAGCTCCAAAACCCCGCGCGTCCTTCACCTCGACCACCAGCACCCCCTGATTGGCCGTGGTGACATGCGCCGGCGGCGCGATATCAAGCTCCTCCACCTCACTGTCTGTTCCACCGTCCTCACGCATACAGACCAGCACTCCTCGACACTACTGCTAGCCTCTTGTAGTAGGTGGCAGCGGACATGACCGACAGTAACCACCTCGTTTTCAAAGCACGAGTACCAATATCGCAGAGTCGTATCAACGTTGCGCAGCTTTGGTCCTTCCTGCCTATAGCAGGGACCTACACAGTGCCCCCACGTTGGGGTTGGGTCATGAATGTCAGCATTGCAACCCCACTTGTCTCACTACATCGACAATCATTGTACTGCGGTATCTCCGGGACTTTTGGAGAAGGGTGTACGACTATGGCTGCATCACAGCCCTGCACTTTGCGCCATGGCAACACGGTGGTGCAACCTCCATCTGGTCAGGCTTCGCCGAGGTAACAAAGACATAGATGCCGGGCGTTCAGCGAATCCTTCGTCAGCTCAAGCGATACGAAAGGCCCGCCAGACTGGATATGTCACATCGCAGAAGACATTTCTACATTCCATGTGGGTTCTTCGTTCTACGCTCGATTCGACGCTAGCGATCATCACTTCCTGCGCCTGTGCCATATGAGCAACTATCGACACCACGGCAGTTCTTTCGCATGATACACTCACTAATCCTTGCGCATATGCAACATCTTCGTCCTTATGCAACGAAAACACACCATACTCCGTATATCGGCGTATTGTTTGGAAACCACGCGCGAGACATTTCCCGGCTCTGTGGTTGCCGCATTCGCTTTTCTCAAGAGCTAGTTACGGGCAGATACTCGGACATAAGCTAGTCACACAATGACACCTGGGACTGCTCATCGTCTACAAGAAAAGCATCTCCAAAAGTAAGGGCGTCTTGGTCAAACCTTGAGTAGGCCGTTGGAGGTCAGGATATTCGTAACAATGACCGTCGCTGCCCGAAACCTGGGGGTGGTTGTGCTCGAGCATGAAGAACCAATCGCATCTCTTCTACGTCAGACCAGCACATCGTTGAGATGGACGTTTATCACTACTTTGAGTTTGCTGAGGCCCTCACACCATGCTTCAACACCAAGGCCATATTAGCTTGGCAGTCACCACGTTTTCTAGCGCATCTCGAACGTCCAGTCTTGTCGCCACGCTGCCTGCCCGACATGGCGGAGCCCCATACCGAACCTCTGGAGATCAGCGTCACGTTGGCTAGGGTCCGCTTTGGTAAACTCAGTGGATGATCTTCAGGAGAGTGTACGCGACACGTTGACAGCCGCGCAACACCTCGCCTATAATTCACGAAAATAACGCCGACCGCGTACTTCTAGACGCGCTTCGACGTTGGCACAGTTCCTCAGCGTCCGCTATCAACAGCCGGACTCTAAGCTTTGCATTATGATCGACCAGCAAGCTACGGAGCAACTTCCGCTCAGCAGTTATGGTCGATCACGTCTTGGCCGACCCTCCATCGAAGTGCTCGCCTTGTGGTTAAAGTTCGATTGCTTCGGGGACACCTTTCCTATTTCATACAGAAAGCCGGTATACTAAAGTCTCTATTCTAGCGAGCACGCAGCCTCACTTGCTGACAAGGCTCTCGAACCCTTGGAATACGGGTCTTCTTCAACTAATCATCCGATTTCTACGTCATATGTTCCCGGTCGCAGCTGGGACGGAGTTATCCGCGACACCCTGTGAAAATAAAATTCCGCCCCGTTGCCTGAACCATACTAAGTTACCAAGGCTGGAGATAGTATGGTTCTCTGCGTATAACGGACGCATCTCGAATCGAAAAGCCGATTTGAGCTATCGGTCCTTCGTCATGCTGCGCTGGTTTCACAATTCTACCTAAATAGAGCGCAGTAGTATTAGAAGCGTGAAAAGGCAAGTCCCGTTCGCTAACCACGCACCATGCACGACTCGGCAGACACCCTCATGGACCCTGAATCGCTGGTCGCCAGTGTCTTCAAAAACCGTCTTACTCAAGCAACCAAATGCTGAGCAGTGACAATATTGTTCAAGGATGTTGATGGCATCACCAGAACCATTCACCCATCGGCTCTGCTCGGGAGATTTGCCCGTGCCACCGGTAGAGATTCCGATCCGATACGCGGCAGTTGTCATCGGACTCGCACCCGAGAACCATGATTCGCCCAAATTACCGCATTCAGTATCATACAGATCCAGTCGCGAAACCCATCGATATCTGTGCTGCGCTCGAAAGGCCCCACAAGCGCCCACATCCATCACGTGGGCATGTCTTTGTCCTGATTTCTAAATGCGATGCAAAACCTGGTAATACATGCATCGACTATCACGCCACCAATCTCACTCACTGCCCACGGCAATCTCCACGCACCACAGCTCGAGATCTTACAGGCGGGGCGTCCCCCGAGCGATCGAGGGTGTGGAATCGCTGCTAACGATCTTCACGCATGGAACCTAAATGCGGGGTTCCACTAGTCAGCCCACCCCCTTGAACAACTAGGTCGGATCACCAAAACCTCAAATCGTCGGGTCTTTAGTTCCGCATCAGGATCTCTGCTCGCCTCGCTGCCAAGTGTACATGTTGCCGGGAGGATGTATACCCGGGTTCGCGCTGGTATGGAAAAGGAAACATGGTGCAGCCACGATAGCCTACGCGTGGGTTAGCCATCACAACCTAAACTCGTCTACGCGCCTTACAACCAGGGTACGTGACTATGATTTGTAGATTAGGAATCTACAAACCAAACCATCTCTTACGACTACAATATTACTGTGCGAAACTAGGTTTTCCGGCTTCCCCACCCCCTGGATAATCCCATCCACGCTTGCCCCACGAGCACCACATGGATAGTTCAGCATCCGAAAGTCGTCCGCAAGCACATACTACGCTCGACACCCTGCCCTTGCTAAATCATTTTATTCTCAGAAAATAGCATCGGTTCTGTTGTCTACAACGGGTACTATGTCCGTTTACCAAACGCGTGGGAACCTAGATGATATATACACTTTGGACATTACTCGGGGTCGCTATCGTTCCTCAGATAGAGTGCTCACGGAAACCTAATGGTGATCCGTGAGAAACCTTTAATCTTTGGGCATACGCAGCCCGAAGCACTTGCCGACGAGAACTGTGCCGTGAATGCAATGGTCATCGATGGGACTGTGGAGTGTATTCCTTCGCAGCCATATTTCCGTTGAAGGATTCATCCCCCAGTTGCGATATGCGATCAGATCAAGATCCACGGCGATTTCGACCGCTCCTATCGCTTCTATTGAGACTGCGATCCCTTGATCCTTCAAGGTAGTAATGCCGCATGCGGCACTACTACGGATCGTTGTGTATGCGAGAAATCGGCATATCGGCATCGGAGGAATTAAGTGTACGTTTCTGTGTTGGCTGCCCTGGCATAACATTCGACTCGACCATCACTCACTTGAAAGACTGACAGACAAACGCTCCACATTCACAGACTCCTCATCGACTAATCTTTGAAACAGCTTGATAGGTCTTGATAGTTTCCCCCCTTCCTACATAATTCTCACCGTACCACATTCTCCATTTCGGCCTTCCATTATCTCTCTCCCCCCCTTCCTCAATGAAACTTCGCACTAACACCCCCATACCTCACCCCATCAACTTTCAATTCAAACACCAGTCCCGCACTCTCACACCGCATATCCAGCGTAAAATCCAGATTATCAAACTCTACTCCCTTCGTCGTCGTCAACCGCGTAAACAAGCTCTTCGGCACTGTGTTCAAGTCCGTGGTAAGTGTGCAAACGTTGATTAGACCCTTCTTGAAGGAGTCGGGCGCTGTATCCGCGTCGCAGGCTATGAGGTCGTCTTCTACGATGAGGGATTGACCGGGCCGGAAGTTGCGCGTGTAGTGGAAGGATATGGGCCGGTTTTCGGAGACTTGTGCGCCCTGGTAGGTGTTAGTATGCCGTGCATTGGGTATGATGGAGGGGAGGTACACACCTTTGCGATGTGCCATTGCATCCGATCGGACACCATCCATCGCTCCCAGAGCGGACTCCAATACCGATCGGATATGGGGTGCTTGGCTTCATCGAAAACTGTCGCGTAGCTCGTGCCATAGTGCCAGCGACTTCTTCTGCTAATGACCATGTTGCCTTCTAGCCCGCGCAGTACTGCGCCTCGTACTACCGCTGTCCACGCATGTATAGGATGATATATCTCGACGGCCTGTGAGGCGTTCAATGCAACCGCGTGCGTGGGCCTTTCTGTGTAGGGAGGTGGAGGTGCGCTGTTGAAGTGAGACTTCATCCGGCCGTAGAGGTAATTGCTCTGTCCGAAGCCTCCCACCAGGACAATTCCGCACACCAACCCTCCCTTTGCTCTTATGCTGTGAACTTGACCTTCCACCAGATCTATCACTTCTTGAACTACCGGGTCGAATAGTTCCTTGACTTGCTCAGCACTCATGACGAGGAACCCAGAGTCAAGCCCCGCTTCCTCGTCGTCTGGTAATCCTGGGAAGGGTATGTTGACCTCGTTGTGCTCCTCCTCATTGAAGTTGCGCTTCACAAACTCCTCAAAGTACTTCAACCCCATATTCCAAGTCTTCATCTTTTTCTCGCGCATCCAATTATAGCGTTCCGCACCAATGCGCTGCTTGACATGTTCTTCGAAACGATAGTTGATAAACGTCGAACCACAGAGACCGCCAGTCCCAACTGCTGACTCCTCGACACGGAGAGGATGCAATTGGGTGATCTTGTAGGCTATCAAATCAACGGTGCCACCACCAGCATCGCAGACGACGAAGTTGTCGCCAATCTTCAGATGGTTCGGTTGTATCGCCTTGAGAGTATATACCGCCGCAGCCTCCGGTTCTGATATAAGCTTCAGCTCGTGCCTATTGCCCATACCAGCTTTCTCCGCAGCCTTCAGCGTCGCATCCTTTGCCGAGTCTGACCACACGGCAGGTACTGTCAAGACAAACTCAACCTTGGTTAAGCTAATGAATGTCTCTCCGTATCTCCGTGTCAATGTCTCCATTGTATGTTTGTATATCTGGGACAGATAGTCCGACACTGCTTCCATGACCGTCTTCTCGAACTTGCGCAATTGCGCAGCGGTTTCAAGCGGCGATACGAAATGCGGTAGCTTCTGGTTCCTGTCGAGGAACAGCTTTATACAGCGGAGACGCGTCTCCTCGGGCTTGAATTGGAACCCCCATTTTATGTTCTGTGCAGGTTTCGCGGGCGCATCGAGCGAGGAGACCGATCCGTTACGGGAGGACGGTTCGCTGTAACCGATTTCGGTTGGTACTTTATCGGATGTGATACCTGCGCGTATATATCAGTTCGTGGATGTGCATTTGGTCACCGCAAGTAGAACATACCGTTTCCGCCAGGCCACGTCTTGATGATGTCAATGTCATCAGGGGTCGCACTATACACGGCAGCCACACCTATCGATCTTCAGCGTCCAATCGTATCGGTCGCATACCGTGGAATAGTTGCTACCAACCGCTGTAGGTGGTTCCAAAATCGACACCGACAACCAACCTATCCTTAGTGGTACTGTCCACTTCAGGCACGCTGCCTACGTCAATGGTCGCATTGCTCCCCGGATTGAAAGTATACGGAATGCTACTTCCTCGATTAGGAAACGTGTGGTTCTTGGCTATTCTTCGGTGTATTGATCTTTGTTGTTTACAATGCCGGCTTCGGCAGATCGCGTGGCTGTCGCGTGGGTCGGACCGCGGGGCTGAATCCTACGAAAAGCACAGGAGTATCATGGGCGTGAACGTGGATACGGGGAAGACGTCGAGGTCATGAGTGTGTCTGCCTGACGGACATGGAATGATTCAGGCACCGGCGGAGACCTTGCGCAGCGCAGTGTGATGTCGAAGCCTAGGAACGGCGCGCGCTACCCACTGCTGTAGGAGTCGCCCAGCTGCGGGCCCTGGTTGGTGATCGTCAGCTCGCGCAAGGCTGCAGGATTCAGCCCGGCCTGGCACGCTCGTGTCGTCCCACGTGAAGCCATCCAATGGTGATATTCTTCGAGAGGGGTGTGGAGGTTTGGGTCCTTGACGCCCACTTTGAAGTTCGTTCCGATGCGCCCCTAGGTCGGAACGCGCCCGGTCCCAGCTATGACCGAACGAAAGAGTTCTGGCAAGCCTCAGCACTTCGACATCACGCTCTTAGCATGTATTGATATCTTCAGAATCTACTCACCGCCCCAGCGTGAAGCGCGGTACGAGACTCATCTCGAGATCTACGAAGAACTCCACGAACAACGTCGTCACTCCACCGAAAGCCGCCGTAGCTGCTCCCAATGCGAGGAAAGACGAAGTACATCGACGCCGATACCCCTTCAATGATATGCTGAAGCGCAAAAGTGAAGGTGCGGTAGATCTCGAGAGAGACACTGCACCTTCAGGGCCTAGCAATGAGCTTTCAAGCAAGTCGGACATGGCGTCATCAGGCGATGATGCCGTAGACACGCGCATGGCACACAGAATCGCGGATCTGGAACGAGCTCTGGCGATTGCAAAAGAGGAACAGCATCTGGCTAGAGAGGAGCTGTCGAAAGTGAGACAATACCGAGCAGGAGATCAACATGCGATGGAGGAGCTGAGGGCGCGACTCGCTCAGTCGGGCTCGAATACGGATAGAGTCCCATCTGCTGGATCGCATGACCACCGGAGGGAGATTGAGGCGCCGGGAACCGCGGCACAAGGCGATGGAGGGATACTACGTCAAAATTCCGAGTTGCGTTACCGACTGACACAGCTTGAAGAGCGGCTCGAGTCGCATGGTAGATCGCACCAACAAAACCCCGAGCGACCGCAGTTGAAGCAGGAGGCGGGCGACCTCCGACTGCGCCTCCACGCCGCCGAGAAGGAATCACAGGAGAGGCTCCAGCAACTTCTCGCACTCAAGTCAAGTATATCATTGCTCACGCGCATCGACTCTCAGATAACAGATAGCGAGCTCGCAGAATCATTCTCGCAGCTTGCGAACCGCGTGCGTGAATGGACTGTGTCGAACTTCAGACGATCAAGATTGACTCTCGATAATCTTCCGAAGGAGACGGAGGAAGTTCTCAGCGCGTTGAACCCGCTGTATAGTGTCAATATTCGGAGTACGGACAAGCTTGCCTTGTATCAGGCTATCGTGTCGAATTCGATTATGCGTATCTTCGATGCTCCTATTGTGTTTGGGCTACCTAGTACAGGGCCGTTTGGGACGCTGCGGCCGTTCGTCGAGCACACACGGCATCTTGGTACCACATATCGGGAATGGGTGCGCGCTACAGTGCAAGTACTTGAACGCAGCGAAGCCAGCAGCGACATAGAAATCGAAAGACAAGCCTCATTACACCGACTCACCGGCGAGATCAGCCACACACTCTTCACCCTCACATCCGTGAGCCTTCCACCATCCGCTCAGTCAACACTCACCGGGATACTGAAAGACGCCGTGACCTTGCAGCGTACACTGGCTCTGCAAAAGGCTCGTTACCAGCTGCTCTTCTTTCGCTGCCAAGATGCTAGTATGCAGTTCGACGACCGCACGATGGAAGCTGTCAATGACATTGATCCTGCTGTGGAAGATGGTGCTGACATGGATGTGGATCGGAGATTTCTGTTCTGCGCATTCCCAGGTCTGGTCAAGTGGGGTGATGAGTGGGGAGAGCATGCTGAGACGAGTAATGTCTTGTTGAAAGCTAGGGTGTGCTCTGGTGTGAGCTGAGATGAGAACGTGGTTGGGGTTACGTTAAGATCAAGATTACATTTTCTCATCCAAGTACGAAATCGATGAGTTCCCGATCAGCTGCTTCCCATGCTTCTTTGGTGACTTGGCCGACGGCTTTTCTGTAGGCGATACCGTGTGTCCACTCAATCCAGAGAACGTTGTACCGCTCTTTCACACCATCGCCAGTTCGATTCTTTGTGCAACGGTCTCCCCTGAGAATCTTTCCATAGCAGTCATCGATATTTCCTTCGGGACTGTTGGACATCGCGATCAATTGGATTTTCTGATTAACTTTTGTTGGACCATCTGTGCCGCCAAATCCCCAAAACCTGCCCGAATAATGTCCGTTGCTATCGAGGATGGGCTGCACTCCCCAGCTCTCAATGACGCGCTCTCCAGCCAAATAAAAGTACGCGCGTTCGGTCTGACCTGTAATCACATTGGAGATTGGTTTTGGTATCGTTATAGTTGATGGATCTACAAGTGGGATTGGGAACCGGAATATCTGCCCTGGTGCCGCCGGTGTGGTGTAACGGAATGTTTGCTGTATGTCGGAACTGGCCGTAGAAGGCGTGATTCGATCCCATCCTAAAGGTGGTGTACTTTCGCTGTCGTGAGCAAAGTACCTGTACTTATGATACCCATTTTCGATTGCGATCCGAGCCCCTATTGCGCCGATATAGGACCATCGAACAAGGGGAGAAAATACCACACCACTAGATAAATGGATGGAAAGACTAACGGGTGTAGTTTCCAAGAAATCAAAAAGGCTGTTCCAGAAATGATAGGCTAATTCTGCACGCCAGGACATCCCCGACCAGTTTGGTGCCCGAAGACTCTCATCAGACTTTGTGTCAATCGTCCTAATAGCCTGGATCTCGTTAAACATCCACATGAGTGCGACGTCAAAGTAAATAATGGGAAGGCCGTACAAGAAACCACCAGGAAAAGTCTTTGCAAGTGCTGAAGCAGTACCTGCAAATGCTGGGACGACGTCGGAGTCGTAAGTTAAGTATCTTGGAACATATGAAGTGACTTCACTCGCATATCGTGAGAAATCGGGCCAGGTAATCGGGCCTATGGATGGCCATAAAGACGCAGAATTGAGACGTTTATCCAATTCGTCCGTCATGTTATCGCGTATGTCGTGCCACCAAGCTCGCTGATAATCCCACGATACATAATCGGAGCCATCTTGCCCAAAATAAGGCGGGCCTAAGTTTTCATGAGTCGCCAGGGTGCTTAAGAAGTACATAAGACGTCCCGCGAACCAACGCTCCTGGAAGATCCTAAGATAAAAGAGAGCGAACTGTTAGTATAATCACACTGAATGTGAGTAATAACAAGCCACTTACCATCCTTGAGTATTCCACACAGTTTCCGGGGATTCAACAGCGTTTCTTACTCTGGTGTCATGAAAGTGTTTATCATAGCGAGTCGGTTTATTCATGACCGGACATTGGTATATCCATTGCTCGATATTATCGGGTAGGCCAAAGTCTACCGTGCAGCCCGCGATAGCGACGAGAGTTACATAAGCATTGGCATAAATCTCCGCCATGTGCGCAATCTCTGCTATTTTATGCTGCTGATCATCCTGGACGATGCAAAGCTGATCGACGAAGATATAGCGTTCTTTAAGTAACCTTGTAACCTCTAGGGCTTCTCGTATTGTCCTGGGTAGAGTGCATTCTTCTTTAGTGAGACTTCTGGGCTGTCTCAACCGATCGACGTTGTCCGTAGTCAGCTGTAGGGTCTGCACTCCGCCCCATACGTAGCTCAGTGTGAGATAACGCTCGGAAACGTCGCCTTCAACAATGTAGGCGTCCAAAACATCGATCAGCTACGCAGGTCATACAGTTACATCTGCTTTAGGTACTACGCAAGAGGACCCGTGGTGCTCATCGCAAGTTCTGTTCTAACTCTTCATGATATCCAGTCGCGTCCCTGCTTCGACAGCGCCGTCTTGTAGTGACATGGTGAAAGATGTGATATGAGGTCGTACGAAGTCGAGGTGGACGAGAGGTATCATGAGCTGTGCAACGCGAGGTTAGGGCTTCCTCTTTGACTGTGCTGCACGACGACATGCCCCGCACTCTTCCTTGATGCTCCCATTGCACAGAAGTCGCAGGCTTGTCCAGTACGGAGAGGGGTTAATAACTTGTCAAAAGTTTGTGAACGTCATTACGATTTCTGAATACACTTTCTTCGCCTGCAGAGTTATGTAGATGATGCATGCCTTCGTAGCATTGTGCGTTCTGATGAAGCGCCACTTCGTGGGCTGAACTGCGAAGAGAAATAAGTGCCGAGTCGTTAGTATAATGCTAATGTATCTGACCAAATTCGCTGACGGCAGTTGGGTACATGTCCGCAGCTATTCGCGATGCATCCATCTAGCGTATCGCGATAACGTAGGCAGTCGTGATAAAGTCGAGATGACGTCATGACACAACTGTATCCCACCATGAAACCTTCGCCCTCGCCCAACTCACGGCCGGCGAAAATGCAAGTTCTTGCCCTGCAGAAGTGTTCAGTGCGCATGCCGAGTGCGTCCTTTCGAGCGATACATGCATTTGCACTGATTAGTGATGGGCCTGCCAGTGACGGACTCGCGGCGGTCGGACAGACCCACCCTATATTTGTTTCATTATCAGGAGAGCCACGAGTCGCTACGCCCAACCAGACCGCCATTGAAGTCGCCATGAATTCGCACTAGAACGACGTCGTCCGGTCCCAATAATGTTGAGTAATCTGAGCGCACCGGCAGAATTGGGAAGGGGCGGTGAGTGCCACCTCGCTACTATCGACGTTCTTGACCCTATACACAACATTGGCACTCTTTACGCACATCCGGAGGCTATGCTTCTTCCATCCTCAGGTACGCCTTGTTAGCGCTGAGGCTCCGAGAAACAAGCATTTTACCCCGGATTATCAACGTGCCAACCCAAGCTTTTTCTCGAGCTGCCTTTTAGCCAGAACGGTTCGGCTCCACGCCGGTACACCATCTGACCACGCGGCCGTAACGCCATCCATCTATCCAGCGCGCGATGTGCCGAAGGCACTATACGTTGCAGCCTTCCATTTGCTCGCTTGCTTGCTTTTCCCCCGAAGACACTGGGATTCATATGTACCCCAGACGAGCTCGGCTTGGTCCTGCATGAAAGAGACGTGGGCTACGGCAATAACCCCTGTCGGATCTTCGTCACAGGCCGGCGTGACTGCTCAGATAAATTGCGAAGGACGGATGAAAGGACCATCTGTGCACCAGGAGAACGCAAACCAGTATTCTGTACCCCACCGCTACGCCATGATGTATGGTTGAGACGATTGATTCTGCCTAAAGAACAGTCACTATGGCCAGGTGAAACTGTCTTTATAAACGCATCACCCGTTGCCCAGACTTGATCATCACGCTTCCTTGACATCTCATCTCAACCCGAAGCAAAGTACCCACTTATCCAAACGTCAACATGAAGTTCGCCGCAGCAACAGCTCTCTTTGCTGGTATCGCCGCCGCCGGCCCCGTTGAGCTCGCCGAGCGCCAGAGTTGCCCCAAGGTCTACATCTTCGGAGCTCGTGAGACCACCTTGCCTCAAAGCAATGGCTACGGTACCGCCGCCGGGCTCGTAAACTCCGTCAAGAGCGCCTACCCCGGTGCAGGATCTGAGGCCATCGTTTACCCAGCTTGCGGTGGAGGATCATCCTGCGGAGGCATTTCCTACGACAACTCTGCTTCTCAGGGAACTGCGGCTGTTGTCAAGGCTGTTACTGCCTATAATCAAAAGTGCCCTAGCACCCAGATCGTCCTTATCGGATACTCTCAGGTATGAGTGGTGCCATGAAGTCCAAGAACGCCAAGTACTAACGGTCCATAGGGAGGTCAGATCATGGACAACGCCGTCTGCGGCGGCGCCGGTTCCACTTTGACCGGCACCGCCCTGGCAGCCGTTAAGGCCGCAATCTTCATGGGCGACCCCCACAACCGCAACGGTCTCCCCTACAACGTCGGTACCTGCAAGGCCCAAGGCGTAAGTTTGCCACTTCCTCATCCAAAACTACTCCCACTAACATCTACCACAGTTCGCCGCCCGCCCCTCAGGATTCTCCTGCTCGCCCGCAAGCACCAGCATCATCCAGAGCTACTGCGACTCCCAGGACCCATACTGCTGCAACGGAAACGACGCCAACCACCACCAGCAGTACGTCAACATCTACGGAAACCAGGCTCTCACCTTCATCAAGAGCAAGCTCACTGCTTAGACGTGGCTTGGATGCGAAGAGGTGGAAAGGAAAACTGGCTGGCACCTACTGTAGGTGTAACACTTCGATGTAAATATGAATCAAATGAAAATGTACATGCTACACGATGAAGGGTGACTTGCTTGACTACAATCGATCGTCACAGTACTTGTGCTTCTCGAGCTCTACTCCCAAGACCCAACCAGGCAGATCAAGTAGCCCCTGTTTCCCAGTATCCCCAATCGTTGTGTCTGCATCAATATTCCTTGTCCAATCTAGCACGTTCTGCATATGCGCTGCAGCTATTCTAAAATGTCTTTTGTTAACTGGGCTTAGAGTTCGGTATTTCTCTCCTTCAGACGGCTTGATCTTACTGCCATCAACATTTCTACTGAGACATATGCGCTGAAACTTAAGCACTGCATCGTAGATCTCCTTGATTACATCGCCATCTACGAAGGTTTTGGGTCTCATGTTGAACATATGCCAGATAATGTCGTGGTATAGATAGTAATGGGTTGATCCGGTAAGTTCGGTCGCGCTATGTACGGCGTATGCTTGCTCGCATCTTCCAATACGCAAGCACATATACCACCTTTGACTGAGTGTTTGCGCTCTAACAATTCAATTCGATTCAGATGATGATCGCACGATTATTTGTCGATGTCATACCCTTATTAGCGCCCTTCTTTCTACTCCAACTCCAGCATCAGTTCCCCATCCCAATATCTTCCAAGCCCCAACATGTCCGCCTCAGGCCCCCTAGCCATGTGCTATACCTATGCATGCTCCTGCATCGATCCGTTTTTCTTCCTCACCACCGAAGCCGAAAGAATGAACTGTCTTGCCGGAAACGTGATGGATGCATTAGAGAACATGAAGCACGTGTACTTGGGTGTGTGGGGTAGAGACAAGTTCAGAACGCTCAATGAGGAGAAAAAGCGCCATTTCAAACGCTGTATGAGGGAGATCACGGGATATATGGAAGAAATGAATGAGTGGGTCGATGAGATCGAGGTGGAACTTGCGGAGAAGGATGGAATGAGGCAGAAGGAGATCAAGGTGGAAAGGTAGGATTGTTATTCACAACATCCGCTATGTAAAAGAAGAGTAAACGCCAGCCCAGGCGCCATGCAAATATGCAACATCCACTCATTAACTTCGTCAAATCCTCTTGATACATATTACAACTTAGCCTTCGGCCACTGATCCAGCAGATCCGTCATCTCGAACCTAGGCCAGTCGGGGTTGAGGCTAGGCGCCGGCCTCTCACGATCCCACGCCCACTTCTCCTTAAGTGCTGGTTCCAGCTCGTCTTCCAGCATTTGTACAACGTACTTGCCGAGAACAGGGAAGAATTTGTAGCCGTGGAAGGAGCCGCACGTAGCGACGTAGAGACCCTTGGCGCCAGCGTGCGGCGAGATGATGAAGTCGGATGAAGTTGTGAATGCGTCCCTGGGTGATGTTAGTATTGATCGAGCAGGAGATATACATGAGTGCGTATGAAGCTTACCAGCAAATGCGATGCTTCTCCATCTTCCAGTTCGCGCCCTTCTTCCCGTAAAACACATCATTCGCATGATCGATATCCAGTTTCAACGGGCCAGGCACATCCCACTGGTTGTAGTCCTTTCCAGATGGCGGCGCAGAAACGAAGCGACCAGGCAGTACTTCATGTGTGTTCTTGAAGATCTTCTCGCCCCACCACTTGAGCTCGCGGTCCTTGGTAGGCGGTAAGCTGCCGATGAAGGGTCCGTATGCGGCGGTGTAGCCCTGCACACCAACGGGCATGTCCTTGAACTTTTCGTATGACTTCTCGTCTAGAGTCGTCATGCCGGTTGTGATACCACCAGCGACAATTCTTGATCCAGAACGGAGGTTGGCGTTGCCGCTTTTCTGGGCGGCTTGCTCGAGGAGCTTGGCGGTGTAGGCGCCGGTTGACAGGATGGTGTGCGTGGCTTTGATGGTACTGCCTTGCTCGGTGTTGACGCCTGTGCATCGGCCTGCGTTGTCAAAATCTAGGTCTTTGACCTTCTCTGTGATGTACTTGACGCCCTTTGCGATCGACCACTTGGTCACTGCTCTTAGCGCGTCGCCAGCCTGTGCCCAACCGCTTGTCTTGTTGACGAGTACACTCTTTGCGCCGTCATAGTTCGCATCCTCGAAAAGGCCGCCGAATAACTTCTTCGCCTCCTCAATGGTAACTGACTGCAAGTCTGCTTCGCGTCCAAGCTTCTTGTAGTTGTCGATGACTTCTTGTGCGTAATCTGAACGGCAAACCCAGAAGATACCGGTCTCGTGGAAGTATGGTTGCCATAATGGGTCCTCCTTGAAAACATCTTGGGCCTCTAGAGCAAGTCTGCAGTAGATGACATCGTCGTAGTCGGCGCGTACGACCTTGTTCCAGTCCCACGAAGCTGCTACGCGGTTATCGGCGTCCCACGCATCCTGGTCGACAACGGTAACTTGTCGGTCCGGGTACTTCTTGATAAGGTGGTAAGCTGTCGAAATGCCGAAGACGCCGGCGCCAACGACGAGATATGAGGGCTTGCTGGACGACATGTTGTTCAGTAACCAGGGTTTATCGTCGCAGAGCATAGAAGTGGGAGAGGTTTGATGCAGCGATGACCGTCCAAGACCATTGCACTGCGTATTTATATCGTCACTTACTACATCTATCACTAGCATCGCAAGCGGTTAGTGAATATAGTGGGCCGAAAGCGGCCATGTCGTTGTGGTCGCTGTAGACTAGGCGCGGGGCATTCGTGGAGGTTGTTTCCTTATCGAGCAAGATTTTGCGACGGGCAAACTCCGTCGCTTTTCCCGATGCCCTCTGCGCCGGCTGCCATGGCTCCAATTGGACATGGCATGTGATTTATCGCCTGCGTATCTGCTGATATCGACGTCTGAAGCGTTGCGCAGTCGTCACCGACGGTTCCGATTATCGTGGCCGTTGGAGAGGTCGCCGCATCTAAGCGAGATGGCGGCCGTAGCGTGCTAACCCGATTCAACCATGCGGCGCGATGAGTGAATCTGAAGTGCGAGATGCCACCTCGTTGAGCTGTCGAAATCTTGTAGTGTTAGAAGGGAAAGATAACGAGAGATCTAAGAATTCAGAATGCACTGGTCACTTCAAGACATGCGTGTAACAGACACATAGTGCTACATCAAGCTCGGCAGACCATCGCGATCTTGTGCTTTCTATGGAACACCATCACTATAATCATGCTATTCACAACGCTTCTGGGATATGCCTTTACATGTTCCGCAAGTTTGAGGCGCTCAGTTCGTATTGTGCTAGCATCGCGCGTCACTATGGCAAGCAGGACTATCGAAGCTATCACTTCCATGCGAAACACACTGCAACTCAACTTTCCTGCAAAATACATATCCATTCGTGCTAATAAGAGCCTTTCCGCTCATGCAAGGTTAAGATAGTTCAAGAGAATTGTGGGTATCCTGGCCAGTGACAAGGGGCGCCAGCGTGTCGGCAGCGTATAAGCCAGCCACACTGACAACAGGTACATTCCATTCATCGACTGGAACGTTGAGTAGAAGCTTCCAAATGCGCTAGGCGCATATGCTAATGCAATGTCGATGTAGTACGGGCAGACTAGGGCACACAGCGTAGTCCAATGGCCCTGCGGGATGGCGTCTCCAGTCTGCTTCGCGTGAACACGGTACATTAAACGACCTAGTGCAAAGACCTCCCAGCAAGTACCCAATGAGATGACTCAACTGATCATTCGACAGCTGCCCCCCAAGATATCTAACCGACGCCATCGTATTACTCGCTCATTGATGACCCTCACGATAATCTACGCCTGCGTCTGGCCGTAGGTTCCTAGCGGACTGGCCACGACGCAGGAAAGGACTGCGCCAACTAACCGATTCTGAGTGTTCCTCAGGTTCCGGGCTCAAAAGGTCGATGTATAAGCCCGCGCGACTCGCTGCCGTGCCGGTGCGCGGTTTCTTTGCACTACCGCGCTCGGTGGCTCCAGAATGCATTCTCTTGTTACGTGGTTTCATCGTGTCGGTCTTGGGTTTGAGGATGTATATCTCTTGGTCTGGTTCGTCGCGGGTCCGGTAGAAGTCGTGGCTTCCGGGGAAGCTACCACCCCAATCGAGCGACTTGTGCTCAACTTTAGTGCCGGGAACTTGTGATGCGTCAGTTTAAGGAGACAAGATTTTAGTAATTAGGTATACTGACCGTAGGTGTCATTCTTCGAACGTTTTGTCAAGTCTACCGTTACCTCGTTGCTACGCTCCTGTCGTTGCCTAGGTCTCAGCGGCGCTGGCAAAGGCGGTGTACCAGATGGAACTGATGCAGATGCACTTCTGCTTGGATATCGGTAGAGATAGGCGTTGTCTTCCATTTCAGCTTCTTCGTTGACCTGAGGAGTTTGGCTGTTGTCACGCGGATCGATCGTATCTATAGTGACAGGGCGTGAACCAGACTCGACCGAACCTGGTTGTGTTAGCATACCCAGCAAAAATGACAGCGGAACGATGTGACTCACTTAGAATGGGTGTTGCGTTTGCTTTGGGGGTACATGGAACAACAACGTCATGCGTGAGAGGCGCTATTGAGCCCAGAAGTTCAGAAAAGAACGCCCCCTCCACGTCTCGGAATACGACAGGAAAGTAACATTTGTCGGTCTCCAAACCAGTGAAGGTGATACCGTCACTGACAGCCTGAGATACCTGACTGGGGCAGCAGCAGCCCCGTCCTGTTCGCCGTTAGCTTGAAAGGACGCCAAACCCATATTCCTCGCGTTATACTTACTGTCATGGTTCAGATAATCCTCGTCCTTGTCCATCGCTCGTACATGATCACAGTCGACCCGATGTAGAATGTAGAATGACCCTGACCGTCTTGTGTTTGTGCCTGTGTGAGTCTGTAGACTCCCACGTGACCACAAGCTCACCTTTCTTCTGTGTCTGACGGCACTCAACTAACCTTGGCATCTGCGACAGGCGGATTCTTGCCATAATTTTCAGCCAACGCTCCTCAACAGCTATACGAGGATGTTCGCCGGTAGCTATGAGCTGGGAGATCATGATGTCCCACAGCTGCAGGACTGCATGATCGCAGGAAAAGGTCCCCAATTCGTCTTCTTCGCAGAATGCTTGCTCGTGTGCGCCTTCCCAAGTAAGCCATTTGCTATGTACTTTCCAGGTACCTGAGAAGAACCCAGTGTCGATATTCAGGTGCTCGCCGTTTACAAAGGTAAGCTCCATATCTTGGGTGGCTGAGGAAGAGAAAAGCAAGCATTCCAGCATAATGCGCATGTTTGACGCAAAGACACTTTCCGATTTAGGACTCACGACTTCCGCGGACCTGAAGCGATGGAGTAGCTCCTCGCGTGGCGTTCTGCAATGAGAATACTTCCTTAAGATCCTCCACAAGTCGGGGTGGATCGGAGTAGGGGTTTTGCGCAAATTCTTGCCGATGACGTGGACTTCCTGGGACGCAACAATTAGTAGTTTTTTTCAACAGAGCTTGTTCGCTTACATTTTTGCCTTCGTTAGCTGAATAGTAGAAGGCTGCCTGACCCTCGGCGTCCATGTTGAGCGTCAACATCTTCTCCCAGACCTTCTTAGCAATATCTCGAGGCATAGGCTCAGAGCCATCGTCGTTAATAAACATCATGACATCGCCCTTCTTACTGATCGAGCTCAGAAGCAGTTTGGTATAATCTGACAGTAGATCTAAATTGCTCGACCCATCTGCGCGTATTGTAGCTGACCAAATGGCGGTAATGCCATCGCTCTCTTCTGCTGAGCCAGAAAGCGCATCGCGATCGGCACTGGTATTCCCGGCATTGAAGTTGTATCCGTATGCGTATTGGTCTCCCTGATTTCCGCCGCGCGGCAATAACAGACCACGTAGATACATGCGTGCTTGGTAGTCGGGATCGCGGATGAGATCGCCGTGTATGGTCCGGATGATATCCTTTGGCGGATTGGTATCGAGGGTGATAATGATCCATCTCTTGAAGTCGACGATGTTGAGCCGCTTGCCCTGTGCCTCCCACCCACGAATATCCTTAGTTTTCCCCATGTCGGCAATGACCAAGCAAACATCCTCCCAGGCGTGATGACTATGAGTCCTGGGTTTGCCTTTGTCCTTCTCCTTGATCTTTTTCAGGTTCTTCTCGTTAATCCGACTGAGAGAGCAGGCTAAGCCACCTTTCTTGTAGATGTATCTCCAGGCAAACCCATCGCTTTCGTAGCGAAGATTATAGCCATTGCGTCGGTAGACGAGAGACGAAATCTTCATGCCATCGCCATGTTGTCCGGTCGGTCTAGGGTCGCGGGCTTTGGAAGTCGATCCCGTGCCCAAGTCAGAAAATCTAAGGGTGGCTTCGAAGTTGACTACCTTCAAACCTCCCACGCAGTTTCCATCCTTATCACCTTTGAAGTGAATGTAGCCAAGAAGCTTTTCGTTATCTGGATGGCGCGCCTCGATGATGATTTCTTGTCCGTTCTCGCTGTACGTGGGTCGGAATCGGGATTGATCAAGGTCGAAGGATCTCAGAATACCGTCTCTCCTGTCGCTAATTAGAGGCTGAGTTCTGGGGAATTGGAGCGAATAGACTCACCAGTTTTGATAGGACTCGCGGAAGGCTTCGATGCATGTCCACTTTGGTCTGTAAGAGTTCACAATGTTGAGATCCTTAGTGGCACGTTTGACGCCAATAAGATCAGTGTTCAGGTCCAGGTGAAGGTCATCTTCGTCTGAGAACTCGTCAAAGTCGCCGCCTACGTCCCACAACCATGGTGTTTCATGGGCCATCTTGCGGATGCCGAACTCGTAGTAGCGCAACCCTGGCAAGCTGAAATGGAGGAGACGAAAGTCAGTTTACCATCCAAAAGAGAATATTGAGGTCAGATACTCATGAGAGCAAAGTGAATGAGTGAGAGTCAAAACAGAGCAGCGCCCGATCAACGCCCGTTTGCTACCGCACAGACCCCCTTTAGCGTACCTTTCGGTTGCACAGTGACGCGCGCAATCACGTGGACATGGCGGCTTATCGAATCAGCGATACTTGTTACTCGTGCGGACAAAATTGGAAGTCCAGACTGACTTGTCTGATCCGCTTTATCGCATTACCATAGGCTGAACGGCGAGTGTCAACTCGATTTGTCGTTTCTTAACCCCAACTAACCAACACACGCAACCTCAAACAGCTGTGACCGTCGCATTCCCCCTCAAATCCATCGAACTAGCCCCGACATGCACAACAAAATCCCCCTTCTCAACCACATACTGCATCTTCCTATCCCACAGCCCCCACTTAGCCACATCCAGCTCTATGCTAACATCCACCGTCTCACCCGCCTTGATCATGACCTTCTTGAAGCCCTTGAGCTCCTTGTTCGGCACCACAACACTAGCGAAAACATCTTGAACATAGACCTGCACAACTTCCTTGCCATCCACCTCTGATTCGTTCGTTACGGTTACGGTCGCAGTAATGGTGTCGCTGGGGCTGACTTCGGTCTTGGAAAGTGTGACGTTAGAGTAAGTGAAGTTTGCATAGGAGAGGCCGTAGCCGAATTCGTATAGTGCCTGGGGGCTGTTGAGGACGTATTGGTGGCCGAATTGGAGGGTGCCGTTTGGTAGGATGGCTCCTGCGTCGGTGGCTCGGCCGGAGTTAAGGTAGTCGTAGTAGATTGGCAATGTGCCGACGTCGTATGGAAAGGAGACCGAGAGTTTGCCAGAGGGCGTGACATCGCCGAAGAGGACGTCGGCTAGTCCATTGCCGCCCTGCTCACCGGGGTAAAACTGTTGGAGAAGCGCGGCTGCATTATCAGAGATCCAAGGCTCGGTGACGGGCTTGCCGGAGGAGTAGACGACGATGGTGGGCTTGCCAGTCTCGATGATGGCTTGGACAAGCTCGCCCATGGCACCGACGAGATTGAGCGATGCGACGTCTACGTGTTCGCCGGTGGTGGCGTTCAGACCTTGCCAGAGCTCTTGCTGATCGCGTGACCAGGTGCCGACGACGACTACTGCGACATCTGCAGCCTCGGCCGCAGCGACCGCATCGGGGAAGCCGGACTGGTCGTTTGACCAGCGCTCGCAACCCTGGGCGTACGTGACAGTGCCGCTCGATGCGCTTTGAATGCCCTGCAATGGGGTAACATTGGTAGGATTGTACTGAGAGCGGTAGACCACGTAGTCTCCAAGATTAGTGATGTTTGCCATGGGACCAATGACAGCAACATTTGCAGACTTCGACAGAGGTAAAGTGCTGTTCTTGTTCTCGAGCAAGACGATGGAGTCAGCCTCAAGTGTTCTCGCAAGCTGAACATGCTCTTCAGGGTGGATGATGGACTCAGTCGCATTGGTGGAGAGGCCTTGGTATGGGTTCTCGAACAGACCCATTTCGAACTTCGCACGGAGCTGACGGCTCACGGCTCGGTCGACGATCTCGATGTCTAGCTTGCCTTCTTCGACCAAGCGTGGGATGTTCGCATAGTTGTATGAGCCTCCACCCATCTCCACGTCGTTACCGTTTGGCAGAGCCATGAGTGTTACGGCCTCGCTGTCGATTGGCGTGTCTTCTGTTTTGCATTGGCACAGCTTGAAGTTGCAGCACAGCCTGTCTGTGGCTCCCGCATCCGAAGTGAGCCAATACTTGTAGCCCCATTCCTCGCGGAGGATTGTCTCTTGCATGTGGCCATCGGCGATTGAAGGTATTCCATCGTAAGAGTGATAAGCACCCATGATGTTCCAGGCACCAGCGTCCATGATAGCACGATGAAAAGGCGGCAGCCACGTGGTTCGTAGCTCCCGTTCGCCTCCATGGACAGGTCCGGTGTTAAGACCTTGCTCTGGATTACTGAACCCGGCGAAATGCTTAACTGTGGCGCTAACATTCAGACTTTGCACTCCCTTGACGTATTCGTATGCCATCTCGCCGGCTAGGAAACCGTCCTCGCCATATGTCTCCTCGACTCTTCCAAAACGTAGCTCTCGCGCTAGATCCGCGAGGGGAGCGAACAGCTGATTAATACCAAGAGGAGCCGACTCCTTCGCAATGGCCACGGCCATGTCGTGGATTAGCTGCGGATCCCACGAGCATGCCTGCCCGATCGGACTATTGTAGATGGTCGCATTACCGACGAGCAAACCATGTATAGCTTCCGTCTGAACCATTGCTGGAATTCCCAATGTCGTATTATGCAGAAGGTAGTCCTGGCCAATCTTGACGCCATTGCTGATCCATTCCGCAGGTATCGGATAGCCGACGTAGAATTGACCCGCGCGCACGCGAAAGTTCCATTCGAGACCCGTTTCGTTGACAGCATTAGTAGTGGTGTTGATCCAATTTGAGATGTCTCCCTGGATGAGCTGAGCTGTCTTTTCCTCGATGGTCATGCGGGAAAGAAGATCCGCCACTCTGTCCTCGACTGGTGCGGAAGCATCCTTGTAGGTCGCATTCGCTGCTTGTTGTCTGCGAACCAAGTCATATGCGCTGCTGGGAAGGAGCAGAGCGCACCCAGCGATTAGGGAGGCTGAACCGGAGAAGAATTGCCGCATGATGGTATGGAGTGTACACCGTCTAAGTGCAGTCTCGCCCGGATACTGGGTTCTAGACAACGTACCGGAAGTCTTATAGATGCTCTCCAGGGTCTACGGGCCGTTGGACGGGGTACATGGAGACTCATGGAGGTATTGCGGATAATCTTCACCCGAGACGCTCATTGTATATTGAGGTACCGGTTCAATGGGCGACGATCTATGTCATACTTCCCAACCGAAATGATGCCGCCGGTTGTTAGGCTGCATGCAACGCGTGCTGGCTCCTCGAACGCGGCCCAGGCGCAGATCAGAAGGCCTACTACAATCGCATTTCTGTTAGAGACGCGTGCAGTTTCGACTTTGCGCGTGGAATCGAGGCGAAGAAGGCCATGTAGAGTACGTGGAACGTGAGGTTTGATTGACGGAAGAAATGGTGGCTTGCGCTAGCCAAGGCGCTTCTCCCCCGCTTCTGATCTTCAACGAACAACGCTCTCCGCATCACGACCCCGGATCATCTCAGTCGTTGAACCTTTCTGACATAGTTTGATGTACTGATCTTGCTCTTTCGGAAACTAGGGACTAGATCCGTGGGCTTTGCAGCGCTGCTACAGTTAAATGTAAAGTCGATGACGTCGCAGATTTGGAACACAGGAGGGTAACTTTACTTTGCTTCAGGGCTCGATTCAACATTATACAATATCCGCTCAAACCTTCAAGTCTACTCTGGAGTATCAGGACTACTAATCATGCGAACAGTCCACGAAGGCCATAATTCATACAAACAACCTTTATCCCATCAAAAGCCGATCGTTCTACCAAAAACGCCATGTATGCGCCACAAAACCTGGTATATCCTCCTCTTTCCCCCATCCCATCCCGTCCCATATTCGCCCCAAATTACTCATACAAACATTAAATAATATCGTTATAATAAACACATAAGAATCATAATCGTCCTCTGTTCCTTACACTCCTCTCACACCCACCTTACCCCACCTACGCCAAAAGCAACAGCGGAACAAAGAAAGCCACCCACCACACCCTCTCTTTACTCCTGTCACTCAGCATGCCGCTCGCACCTGCTGCGCTGGCTGCCGGTGGTGCAGGTGGAATGCCTGTGTATTGCGAGATGCGTGTTGAGGTTGAACTTGGCGTGGTGGCGGTGCTGAGCGTCGAGCCGGCGACGAGAGCGCTGGAGGGTTCGGGGGTGGGGCGTGAGATGGGGGATGCGGAGCCACGGGAGGCAGAGGGGTTGTAGGAGAAGGGTGGGGCGGTAGGGAAGGCGGTGTTGGTGTTAGTATCGGATGGGGATGGTGGTGTTGAGGATGTGACTGTGACTGTGGAGAGGATGGTCGATGCTGAGTCGGTTGGTGACGATGACGGCTCATCTGAAGCGGCTGTTGATGTCGAGATTGGCTGCTCCGCTGATGTTGATGCGGAAGCAGACGTGAGTGTAACTACTGTCGTTGTTGTCGCTGATGCAGTAGATTCGACGTCTGAAGAGGTCGAGGGTAGCGGGGTGGGTAGAGTCAAAACCACAGTAGTTGTCGTGGTAGTAGTCGTAGTGAAGATGGTTTGGTGGTTGACATCGGGTATTAAGATCGACGACAGGAGCGGGAGGTTAATGGAAGAAGCAGCCGGCTCGTCAGCTTGACCAACTGCAGCTATCGCCAGACCAGGATGGATGCTGGCAAAAGCTGACGAGGGGGTAGCGCTAGGAGTTACCGCAGTTGAAGCAACTGAAGAGCTCGGCGATGCTGAGTAGTATACTGTCTCACAGACAACTTCGACTACAATAGGCACATAGCCTGGAGTGGGAACCGAAGCAGGTGAGACAATGGTTGCTGAACTCGATAGCGACGGGTAGATATATGTTGAGTTTTGAGTAGTGATATTGAGCGAACTTGATGGCGACACTGCCACTGGAGATGTTTCTGGCGACGAGCTGGGTAGTGCATATGGAGTTGATAACGAGGGAGGGGCGGCGACAACTGATGTATTTGATGGCGACGGAACCGGGTACGGGACGATGATGGTTGAGCTTGGCTCTGGTATTAATGTTGATAAACTGTATGGTGGTATTGGTAGTCCAGTAGCGTGTACGTGCGGTCGTAGTGCTCCAGCGGTGGTAGCTATCAAGGTTAGTAAATCGCAAACACACAAACAACCACTCCATGTACTTACTACTATTCATCTCGTAGGGCTTTGGTACCGCATCACCGATTACACCTACCGACAGCGCACTCAGCACCATTATTGTTGAACTTCTCCTCATGATGAACGAATGTGGGACTGTGATTGCGCAAGGAACGACGTGCTGCTATTGGCCAGACACAGATCTCAAGAAGATCCGACGAAAGGGACAAAAAGAGTGCGGATTGACAGAGACACAGAGCGTTGAAAGAACTACTCCGACGAACCAGCCCTCTGTTCATATGTATTAATATTGGGGGGCTGATATTGACCGTTGCGAGAAACCGGGGTGGCCGGTCATGCCAGCCACCGGCCGATCCTACGAAGAAGCATGTTTGTCGCACACCAACATTCGGTGTAGCGCAGCGCATGCACAACCTATGCACCGTGCCAGCGGCAGCTATCTGAAACTTTACAACTTGTCAGTTTAGATAGAGGCGATGGCGGTCGCGATGACAACATGTTGCGGTGAGTGAGGCGACGATGAAGTTTGACAAGGAAGGCGCGTCGCGCACGGACCTTCACCACGTCAAAAACTTGGTGCGACGCGCTACGTTGGTGTCACGATGTCTTGTCGCGCTGGCTACTCGCAGCAGAATCTGCAAATCGCCGTGGCACTGGCCAACCCACGACAACTCAAGTCGTGGTAATCTCACCGCCAGCGCAAAGCGCGGAAAGCGATAAGTCGTGGACAGCCCTGCCCGGGCTGTAAGAGTAGCAGGCCCTTGAACGTGAAATGAAGTGTGACGTTGACGATGCTGTGGAATAGAGTCACGGATGAGAGCACATGTGCAGTGGAATAATGTTTATTGATGCGAGTCTAGTATGAACGCGTGACGCTGAGTGCACGCCGCGTGGGACCTGTAGCCTCTCTTATTAGCAAAGCTCTCAAAGGAAGGCATTTCAAGAGTAGAAGTATTCGATGCGAATCAGACAGCAGTTGGTACAATTTTTGGTCGACAGTAAATTCCGATCAGGTCTGTGATTAAAAGGTGTTTTCATCATTGCAAGAGGGTGGAGAAAAAGTGTAGACTTACCATTCACAACATCATTCAACTTTAAGACGCTTGAAGAAAGTCTCGATGCTCTTCTGTGATGCATCATGACGAGAACTTCCGATACCACCCCCGGTGCGCTTGAGACTGCGGAGATGGTCCTTACCGTTGATCGCAAGGATGGTTGCAGACCACACTTCAGCGAGTCGCGGTGCGATAGCCGGTGAAGCTTGACCAGGTACCCGGATGGGCGCTTCTGAGTCGTGCTGGCATGCGGGGCCACGTCCAACTACCGCTTGCGGTACTTTGACCTCGCCCAGACCTTGATCGGTTGCCGACATCTCAACGGGCGACGAAGAGGGCTCTGGGGTAGGCGCCGCGCGCACGTCTGCCGAGGTGCTGTGATCGCTAGGCTCTGCTCTGGTCACGTACAACTCGAGGTAACCAGTGTTGGACCAGCCACCAAGATGCTCGAGCGACGGTCGCGCCGTTGCTTGGAGCTTTGGAGAGAGCGCAACACTTTGGCGTGGAAGGCGCAAAAGCAGTCGCTTCCAAAGAGTAGAGAGGAAGATGCCATGCGAGACTATTGCAACCACAGTATCAGCGTCTTCCGACACTTCGCCGAGGAGCGGCAAGAGATGCTCATCAAGGAACGCATCGGCTCTGTGCGCCATAGTGTTTTTCGACTCCACTTCCACAAAGCCTGGTGTATCCTTGTTGTCAAGTCGATCGTAGAACTTCTTCCCCTCCTTGGATCCGAAGTCCTGCTCCATCAACGCCCGTAGCTGCACGACATCCGGAACCGCTTTCGCAGTGTTATCGTCGCTTGCGGGCATCAATTGAGCTTCTCGGATCTTGCCAGCTGTTTTCACAGCCCGCTGGAGGTGCGACGAGAAGAGGTGGGTGAACGTCAACCCAAGGGCCTTGAAATGCTGACCAAGGCGGGTGGCCTGTTGGTAGCCGTGGTTGGTGAGTGCTGAATCTCTGCTACCAGCACTGTAATAATTAGCAACGTACGCTGATGACGACATATGGAAAGCTTACTAGAGTTGGGCGACATTGTCGACCGTTTCCCCGTGCCGGATCAGAAACAGCCTCATCGATCGCGCCATGGTGCCCACATAGGGCGGTATGAAGCGCCGTCGAGCTTCATGGATGAGTGAGGCGGGTAGAGAAAGACTGAGCTCTAAGAAATTGCGCGCGACAATCTGAATGACATGGTCCGTGTTAGCGTCGTAATGACTAAGCCCGATCTTCTGGTTTGCCAACCTTTGGAAATGACCCATTTCCTCAGCGCTGCAACCATCACTTGCACACTACAGCAGACTTTCGACTATCTAACAAGACGCTAATATATACCTAGGATAACTATATATATCTATGTTATCTAAAATGACGTGAGTAGGGCTGCAATCTACTACTACAGCTGCACATGGACACATCCATCTTATTGTAATACGGTCAAATTTTTCTTTCAAGGTGGCAGCGTACCTCTTGTCATGCACCAGATTATTGCAAGCTTTTCGGCGCGTTGTGCTGTGCGTGCACTTCACGCACTCGGTAGAATACGATGAGATGCGCAGTTGCAACAGCAACAACAAACGGCTACGGCTACCGGAAGACATTTGTACGCTACACAGTATCCGCTCATCAACTGTGCAGAACACTTTCTGCGAATCACAGTATGTTGCTTCGAAGAAGTTTTACCGTGTAACTTTCTGCTGCTAGATCCGCTGCCTTGGACCTCTGAGTTCACACTGGACGAGCTCTTGAAGGGCCTGCAAAGCAAACCGGAATTGTCAGCCCTTCTTCTCTCGCAGTTATTTTTCAAGATGTCTGTGAGGCATCCAATATATCAGGTAGTGTTCCTGACACAGACCCTACATAGCCTCCGCATCCTTTCCCCGCTTTTTCGATTGCACACATCGACGTCGCATTGACCCTCTTACACTTCGCAACCTTTATCATCTGCTCCCTCAACATCTACCACACTATCTCCAAATCGCACACTACCAAGTCCGTAGAGTCAGACTTCTCGAGCAGCACCACGCCGCTTCAAGATGTAGCAAGATACTTCGCAAGCCAACTGACTCCCAAAATTCCTATTTCGGCCCCACGTTCTTACCACAAGTTTGAGCAGCGCCAAGATTTCACAGATCAATCTTACCTGGCAACCCAGACCCGGAACAGCAAGTAGCAGCTGGCACTTATCTTCTGCGAGTCGTGCGATATCACCTGCCAGCGCGAGCTAGCTTTACCCACGCAAGTCTCTGTGACTTTATAAGTCTTCCAACGACATCGCATCACCTTTTCCTCTCAACCATCCGTCTTCTACCAATCTGCACAGTTTCCACAGCCGCGCAGCAACAATTGTTCACGAAAAACCTATACTTCTCAACTTCTGAGGATGGCTCAGATGGTCAACCAGAACATGCCACCAAAGCCTGAAGTCGAATTCGACTTTAATCTTCCGCACGGCATTGGTGGCGAAGCATCGCTGAGCAATGAACCCGATAGTCTCATTCCACAGACCGACCATGAGCCGATGGAAGATGTTCAGCAAACAGTGGAGCGAGATCATGACCTGAATTTATCTCATGAGAACTCAGCCCAACACGACATGAACTACAATACGCTCGAGGAGGGATTTTCCGACGACGATGATGCTCCCAAAGCATTCGATTGGTCCTGGACCGCTCATCAGGCTCGGAGGTCTTCCCCCAAAAAGAAGAAGTCACCAAGAGCCGAAGATAGCGACGATGAAGCCAGTCCTAAGAGCAAGAAGCCGCGCCATTCACTTTTCGGGGGCTCAGCGGAAGAGGTCGAAGAGGACGACCTCGAAGATCTTTTCGAAGAACCGCCTGAAGATCGCCTTATAGACGAGGCTGAAAACTTACCTGAGACCGAGTTGCGCAAACATAGCATCGGCAACCGCATGTCTAGTCTCAATCTCGATCAACAAGAGAGAGAAGCTAGTCCGCTCGAGCAGCAATTCAATGTTGGCTTTCAGCAACCCGGAGACTCAGACAGAGAGGGCATGTCTTCCAGAGGATCTCCAGCGCCATCCGACGGCGAGGTCATCATTCCCCCCGATACACAGGTGAGACTGTTCATTCTATAACCACTGTCACAGTCAAATACTTACTTTACCAGCCGGCCTATGGATTGCGACAAGGTATCGACCGAAAGAAGACTTACACTTATGTCGATCAGGACGCGTCCGGAAACTTCGATCCCGCGCAAGAGACCCAGAACAAGGCACTGAAATTGAAGCAAGCAAAGGCTGCTAAAGCTGCGCATCGTTTCAAGAAGGGAAAGCAGCGCGCATCTAAACAGGCGGTAATGAAGTGTATTGCCAGACTGCTCTTCGAGAACTTCGGTAATGTGAGGAACGTTACCAACGAGGAGGATAACTGGCCGGCCGATTGGTCGGACATTGATTCTGAAGCTGAGCGCGAGCTGCAAGAGTATCGAGATTTCTTCCGCCGCAAGAGCCCCGATCGCACCATGCAACATCCGATCGAAGATCCCCTCGCCGAGGTAGATGATCTAACAGGGTATCCAGCAGCGCGAGGTTGCATATCCTGTCGCAACAACGAAACGAGTTGCTCTCTAGTAACAGGTGGTACATATCCTTGCCAGGACTGCTTCGACATGGCTATAGAATGCGATCCCATCCTTCTGCCTACCGAGAAAGGCCGCTGCAAGCAATGTGCCGAAGACGGCAACGAGCGCTGTTCTTTTGAAGACTCGCCTGGTCAAGCTATCTGCGACCATTGCGCTGACAACGAGTACATATGCGAAGCGCTACCGCCGGTGGGCTACCGCGCTGAGAGGATAATTATCGATGAAGTTATCTATACTGAGGATCGGCCCCACATACAATGCACGAATTGTCGCCTGGAGAAGAAGCGCTGCAGCCTGAAGAAGAAGACCGATAAGCCCCCATGCAAGCGCTGCAAGAAGAACCACATCGGCTGCACGTTTTGGGACATCCCCAAGGTCGTCAAAGAGAAGAAGGCAAAGGTATTGGGACCGACTAAGGGAGACGCACCGGAAGTTGCTGTACCTGATCACGACTACTTCACGAAGGAAGACCTTGAAGATCTATACGGAGAAGATGTACCGATGTTCTCACGCTCGCCGACTCCCGAGCTCGAGATGGAGGATAACGCCGGCCACAAGGGTAAGCTGACAAAGATCAACACCTGCTTCGCGCATCCTATTCAGTTCGGTGGGCAGAAGAACACTAGCGACTGCAACTTTTGCGAGATTCCTAACTTTGGGTTCACTGGGCTGTTCGAGAAAGAAGTCCATGTTATCCAATGGCATAACGGGATGGGATACACTGAAGTTGGCGGTGGACATGCGGAGAACAGCAACGGCGGTACGACTATGTGCCAGGATTGCACGATGGGTAAGCTCCATCTCTTGCTTTCTTCAAAAAGAATTTTGTACTTCACGATCAATTTCACTAACAGCTCCACCAGGCAGAGTGCAAATTGTGGCTTGCGAAGGACATGAGATTCAGCACATATTTCCCAACGGCATGACCCCAGATTTCGATCAGACAGCTACCGATCTCCTAGAGTCTGCTGAGACATCGGCAGGAGTTCAACAACAACTCCAGCGCTGGTGTTCGATGTGCTTCACCCCTGCCACATTCGCCTGCCGCAAACACCAGATATCACTGTTCGATCAAGAGATTGAGGGATGCGGGTTGAGGCTGTGTATCGGCTGCCAAATCAGGCTCACACAACAGTTCAACAACGACAGTAGCCTCATGGCCGAGACGCTTGACCGTGAACCGAAGGCTAGCGCGGACGAGGATATTGATCCTGAGAACAACATGGTGGTCAGGGCAGACGTTGGTTTACTGTGCCAGCAAGGTTTACTTATGAGAAGTCTTGTACATGAAGCGGAAGAGACAGATAGCTGAGTCGGGATAATGGTACTGGTGTGTTGGTATGGGAAAAGGCGCCTCAATGCTATGATGCGCAAAGGTGCTAGGTGTGGAGCCAATCTTCGGAGTCATGCGGAGTCAGCATCCGTCTCACTTACTACACGATTTCATCTTTCTCCCCAATATACATCGTTCAACTGATCGGGGAGTATTCTTTCTCTTCTGACGGCTTTGTGATATTCTGGGCAAGTACGCGTTCATGGGCTTTCCTCCGCGCCAACTATGACGTACGTGATCTGGCGTACCTCCTTCCTTCCCCAACCTCGCCATTTGTCCAACTCAGACAACGTCACTTGCAATGTCGCTCAGTCATTGATGCGATATCGTGTCTCCTGTTCAATCAACAAGACTTCAAGGCGACACAAAAAAGTTCCGATGGCAGCTCTAAAGAATCACGCGTGTACCTATGGGGCACATCATCTGTCGCACGACTGACTCCGGACATGCCATAACTCTCGAGGGCAATAAAAACTTCATTTATCATCGCACACTAACTCGACTAATACTCAAAGCCAGCTGCCTTCCGCTCCTCAACATCAGTCTCAAACGGAGCCTCAGCCTGCGGAGTAATCCTCGCCAAATGCCTGCGCGCGCCATCATCCCAGTCAAGCAGCGCACTGTGCGCCGTAACACGATTATCCCAAACCACAACCGTGCCAGGCGCCCATTTAACGCGTGCCTGGAAGTCCTGTCCTTTCGCGATATGATCGTATAGGAAGTTGAGTAGGAAATCCGACTCCTCTTTCTTGAAGCCTACGATGCGTCGGCTAAACTGAGGGTTCACGAAGAGCGCTTTCTCGCCCGTTGCGGGATGTGTTCGCACGAGCGGATGGATTGAGGTTACTGGGTCGCGACGCACGATGCCGCCTCGGTTCTTGCTTGCGTCGGCTTGCTCGACAGCTGAGGTGGTGTTAGTATCTTTTGCAGCGCGTTGTCCGGCGTCGATGCTTACCTGAGTGAACAACTCTCAAGCCGTGCAGTCGCTTCCTGAACTCTGGCGAGAGTCTGTTATACGCCACCGCTTGGTTCGCGAACAAAGTATCGCCTCCTGCCGCTGGCCCATCAAGAACATACAGGAAGGTAGTACCAGGTGGCTGCTTTTCATACGTCACATCTGAGTGCCAGGTAATCGAGTTCGTCCGCTCTTCGAAGAAGTCTCGCGCCGTGGTGTCGTCAGTACCTCGATGGACGAGATGAACCTCAGGATAGCCCTCAGGAGCTCCGGATGTAGGATGGATGTGGTGTCGACCGAAGTACCCACCGAAAGCGATTGCGTCTTTGATTGGGATGTCTGCGAAGTCCTGATCGCGAAACGCTACGACTTTCTTCTGGGCGACAAAGAGTGCGAGTTCATCTTTTCCGGCATCCGTTAGCTTGCTTAGCTGGACACCATGGACTTCAGCGCCGATGTTCGCTGTGATGTCGGCGACAGTGGCATTTGCCAAGAGGTTAGGGAAAGAAGGGTCGGCATCTTTTCCGTGCTCAGTGTGCTCGAATGGCTCCCATGGTGGGTATCTGAGTTTTTGGTTAGTCTCCAGCACCATTGATGGCATGGCGATACTCACTTTCTGCCCTTCTCATTGTCCCAAGTCGGGAGGTAGTGCGGATACTTGGCAGGCGCATGCTTTTCAGTGCCGCGCAGCTCGAGTTCTTTCTGGAAGACCTTCGGGCCACCAAAGGCAGCTTCTTTGTACTGACCAACTCCAGACTTGTAGCCGACAGTAGTCTGTTCGGTGACCTCTTCGATGAGTGCGGGAGCCATGTTGCTATCAAACGATATCACTTCGGGTGATGGTGAGGAACGTCAATCTAGAAGTCTATCACATCACCTGTGGATTGGCCTTATATGTATGAATCGCATCCTAATTGTGAGTAGCAATGCTTCATTGCGACTGGACATTAGCTACTCGCAACCCCGCTCTTGCGAACTCAGCGCCAAGTTGCCACAATCATCGGATGTCGCAGTCAAGTAACATAACTTGGCGATCCAGTGAATTTGACTGCCGCGATATGCCCCGATCAATCAGCGTGCGATCACATTGCATCAAGCATGCATTGTATTGCTTCATACTTTCTTCCTACAGCAGACTAACCGCGAGCAGCAAAGACCAAGGAGTTGTGCAAGACTCCATGCAACCGGACCATCCCACGCGATGTCGAATATACCAAGAGTCTGGCGTCAGTGTTATCTCCGAACGCACTGTTGCAGTAGTGGCGGATATGGTGTTCCATATCTATGTCGCCAACACCCCAGCCAATCACGCAATCCATAATCGAAAGAGACCACGACGAATCAACTCCGGATATACTGGACAGAACCGCTCGACCCCGCTGCGGAATACTAACCACTGCTTGCGTGCTCGTTAAATATAGCGGGATGATTGCTGCTGTCAGTTCCGCGGCCAGTGTCGAAATCCAAGTGCAATCGGGAGGCGCAATCACGGCGAAGATGCATTGACAGTCGGTGGATACACGGTCATCGTGCGTTGCAACGCTAGGAAAATTGCGAAATTGTTTCTCTGAACGATGCAAGTGCAGAAGCTCTGCGTATGGGATAGTTATCGCGTGGGTCAACGAGCGAGAGAGCGCCCACAGATATAATGAGAGCGCATCCTCGCAGAATCTCTGTTAGAGGAGTGATCCATTGACTTTGACAGAGTATATTACATTCCAAGATGGTAGCCAACGATGCTGCTGACGACTACTCTGTCGATGGTAAAGTGGTACTCGACACTGCGGAAAGCACCAACAACAGCGACACGGCAGTCAACACATCCGGTACCAAAACAAGATATGGCACGACCTTCATCTCTTCAGACATCGCAAAAGACCGATACAGGCCTGTAGATTCTTACGAAGGCATCCATCGATACGATCCAGACTTTGTCTGGGACAAGCCAGAAGAAAAGCGTCTCGTGCGCAAGGTAAGCAACACCATGCTTTAAGGATTAACGGATCTCACGCTGACCTACCCCAGATCGACAAGCGCATCTGTACCTGGGCCTGCCTAATGTTCTTCGCCCTTCAACTCGACCGAGGCAACATATCGCAAGCGCTCAGTGACAACATGCTCGACGACCTTGGTATGAATACCAACGACTACAACTACGGGCAAACCATCTTCTACCTCTGCTTCCTCTGCGCTGAACTCCCATCCCAGCTGATCAGCAAGAAGCTAGGTCCCGATAACTGGATTCCTGTTCAGATGGTTAGCTGGAGTCTTGTCGCTAGCTTTCAAGCTTTCCTGAGCGGGCGTAGCTCGTTCTTTGCTTGTCGAGCGCTGCTGGGGTTGATTGAGGGTGGCTTCATTCCCGATAACATTCTTTACCTCAGTTACTTCTACACTGGGTGGGAGTTACCTGGGCGGTTGAGTTGGTTCTGGGTGAGCTACCAGTCTACTCAGATTGTCTCTGCCTTCTTCGCCTTTGGCATCTTGCGTCTGCGCGGACACAACGGCATGGAGGGGTGGCGTTGGTTGTTCGCTCTTGAGGGGATGCTGACTGGCTGCATCGGCATTGCATCTTGGTTTTACCTGCCACCCAGTCCAACACAGACGGCGAGTAAGGCGTGGAATCCTTTCCGTGGCAAAGATGGGTGGTTCAATGAGAGAGAAGAGAAGATCATGGTTAACCGCATACTGAGGGATGACCCTAGCAAAGGCGACATGCACAACCGGCAGGGCTTGAGCTTCCGCATGCTGTGGGATTGCCTTAGGGACTATCACATGTGGCCGATTTACCTGCTTGGCTTATCATGGACGATACCAACCACACCTTCAACAGCGTATCTTACGCTTCAACTCCGATCCCTTGGCTTCGGTACCTTCGAGACTAATCTCCTCACCGTAAGCCCTCGCTTCCGATACATGTCCTGCGACTGACACACACAGATCCCCGCATACGTCCTCTTCATCCTGCAACTCCTCTTCTGGACCTACATATCCGAGCGCTTCAACCAACGCTTCCTCGTCGGCCTCGTTTCCCAAATCTGGGCGTTACCTCTCCTCATTGCGCTAGAAGTCCTCCCTGCAACCGCGTCGCCCTGGTCACGCTGGGTGCTATCAACCCTCCTCGTCGGACACCCGTATATCCATGCTATCCTAGTTGCCATCACATCGCGCAACGCCGGCGCAGTCAGGACGCGTACGGTGGCTAGTGCGCTGTACAATATGTGTGTCCAGGCGAGTAGTATCATCAGTCAGAACATCTATCGCGATGATGATAAGCCGCTTTATCGGAGGGGAAATAAAGTCCTGATTGCGATCTGTGCGTATAACTTTGCGCTGTTTGTTGGAGCGAAGGTGTACTATGTTGCTGTTAACAGGAAGAGGGATAGGATCTGGGAGAGTATGACGAAAGATGAGAGGGAGACGTATCTCGAGACTACGAAGGAAGAGGGGAATAAGCGGTTGGACTTCCGGTTCGCACATTGAGTGGATTTTGGGGGTTGGCGATATTAATGGAGTTTCTACACTGCGCAAGTTGGCTCGCTCCTCTATCAACCCCCCACATGGTTTCTACACTATACCATAGATCTACACAATCATGCCCCTACCAAGGCAACTCCTCCCCAGTCCTATGAAAAAATCTCCCCGTATCCGCCATCCCCTTCGTACTCAACACATCCCACAGCCCCCTCGCCGCCTCATCCGGCTCCACCGCTCCCGGCACATCCTCTCCTTCGTTATGCCTCGGATCTAGATTCGTCTTGACAATCCCCGGATGCAGCACCAGAACAGTCACACCCTGCTCTTTCAAATCCACACTCATACTCTTGAACAAACTATTCACGCCCGCTTTACTAGCGCGGTACGCGTACTGGCCCCCGGAGGTATTGTCTGCCATACTGCCCACGCGGCTTGATACTACGCCGATCTTGGGGGAGGGAGATTTGAGAATGTTGGGTAAGAGGGCTTGCGTTAATAAAAGTGGTCCGAAAGTGTTCACCGCGAAGGTTTTCTGCAGTTTTGACATGTCGACTGTGTGGAGTGTATCTTCTTCAGGTCTTTCCATGATGCCGGCGACGTGGAGGAGGAGGTCGATTGATGTGTCTGCGCCAATAGCAGTCGCACACCCATTGATTGAGTCTGGGGAGGTGATGTCGAGCTGTTGTACGGGGCAGGAAAGGGATCTTATGGCAGGACCGAGGGTTTGATCTGTTGCAATTACATCGTAGCCCTGAATGAGGCATGTTAGGCTATTCTTTGGGGTGGAGGGAAAGTAATGAGGGTCGAACTGACTTCGTTCAGAAGGATCTTGGCGAGCGCATGGCCGATGCCGGAGTTTGCGCCTGTTATTACTGCTGTGGGCATGGTGGCGACAGTAGTTTGAGCGTTGTTGCGAGTGACTATGAGTTTTTAAGTGATTTGAAGAACTTTTTGATGTTTGATACAGTCCGATATCTAAACATCGAGGACATCGATACAGAGGTACTTGTTATACAGATAGAATCTGGCCTATGACGTTGATGACGTCTATCTTACAACGAAGCAAACTTACCGTCACTCCCATATCCAGTGAGATATGTAATCGAACTAGATTCTCCAGTTAACACATGTAGAACCAAAACATTCCCGGCGTGAAGCAAGACCTAAAGGCTCCTGTTGAACGTTCTCATGGTAGCATCACCAGTTGTGCCATTCCTAATCGGGCTAGTGTACTTAGTCTCATATCCATTGAGTCTCATCAGGCAAGTGATGTCGTACACATCTCGCAAACGTACAACTCACATCCTACATCCTACAACGTATAACCCAGAAAGAAAGAAAAACAAGGAAGGAAAAGACATAAAACGCCGGCGCGGTCTACACACGCAACCCATAAACGTGTCCTTCAAACAGAAAAAAAGACACAAGACACAAAACGTACACGTACAACACCCTTACCCAACCCTCTCCCATTCCCACACCCACCCCCCCCCCCCCCCTTTCCAATCCCTTCCCGCCCCTCTTCCTCTCCCCCAGTCCTCCTTTTACGCGCCCACACCCGGAACACTCACATTCCCCATCCCCATCCCCAACCCCAAACTCTTCCCTCCCCTCGGCCCAACAAACCCCTGTCTCTGGCGTCCCGTCCTCCCCCTGCCCAGCCAATTATACTTCAACTCCTTATTCAGCCTTCCGATTTTCTCCTGCGCATCATCGCTGGACTGCAGAGACACGAGCACAGACACACATTGCAGCATGCGGCCGACTGTTTCGGTGACTTTGGTGCTGTCCATGGGGGTTGCGCGGAGGGAGGAGGGGGCGTTGGAGGAGAAGTTGCTGTGCGATGTTGGGGGTGGGGGGTGCAGGTGGGAGATGGTTGGGTGGAGGGCGTTCGAAGAGGGGTGGTGAGGGTGGTAATGCGGAGGCGGGTGGGAACTCGGGTTTGAGGAGAAGGATCCGGCGGATGTGTTGGATGTCGCACGTGACCGTGTGCTGTTTGCGAATGTCGAACTCGTTATACTCGTCGTGCTTTCCAGATAGCCCGCACTCGACGTACTCGTCGAGTTGAGACTACCCATCTCCCCTCCTGCACTGCCCCTTTCCCCCGCACCACCAAACCCACTCCCCGCAGTCCCAGGCCTATGATCAGGAATCGGAGACGGAGATTCCAGTCCCGCATTAAGATTCTCCAAACTGAGGCGTGAGAAGATGGCCATGAGAGCTTCATACCGCGGTAGAATAACAATATCCCTAAACATGAGCAGCGTAATCCTTCTAACCTCCAGCTCGCCCAAGATGGGTATGTTCCTATGTTCAGGACTCTTGGTATTCATCTCATCGGGTAGCATGACGCCCCAGAACTCGCCCGCCTGGACACTCGTCATGATGCCACTTCCCCTGAACTCGAGGTCTAGGGGTAGGAACACGGCTTGCAGGAAGGGCAGGATGGTAGTAAAGACTACGAGCCACATTTCCACCAAGTGCGGGATCAGGCGGTCGTCAGGGACATGTCGTAGTGTTTGATCCAGAGAACCAAATCCCGTTTGGAGGAGTTCGTTGAGGTCTTCGATGAGGATTATGGGCGAGCGTTTGTGGATACAGCGTTTGATGTGGACGGTTACTAGGGCGTTGAAATCTTCGACGGGGGGCCGGGGGTCTTCTCCTTCAAAAATCAAGAGCACTCTTGCTTTTAGTAGTGGCCAGGCGTCGTCGGGCGAGAGGCCATTGATGCCAAAGGAACTGCCTAGGTGGAGCATCTCTGTTGTGTGAGAGATGGTCTGGCTGGGCGTGCTCATGTTGGGGGTTGTGGTTATGCTGTTGGCTAGGGACGGCCATTCTGATCGCTCGGTGCTAAACGACTGGTTCCGCTCTCGATATGGGGGTTCGAGTTGCGCGTCTAGAAATGCGGCGGCCTTTTCTTCCTTCTTCGCTCGGCGGAGATGGCGTCCACCATGCCGGAGATCCAAGCCGGTTACTGAATTCGCAAAACTACTCGAATGACCTGGCGATGACGGCGCAGCGAAGGAATACAGCGGCTCTGGCGCGCTGGGATTTGTGGGTTTGGAATTACTGCTGGCGGATGATAAAGGCAGAGCGAATCCATCTTGGTCTTTCAACTTGTTCTTCTGCCGTGACAAAAAGTGGTGTTTATGCTTCTCTTCTTTCCTCTCCGGAAGAGAATCATTCCGTGGAGGTACGAGCGTAGATGTCGACGCGTTGGCAGAAGAGTACAACGAAGCATTACTGCTATTCGTCCCGGAATCAACCAAGCTCGTCGTCGACCCCGCCATCATCATGCGATTCAGCGCCTGCGAGCTATGGATGCCAATGCCAATCTTGCCCGGCGACGGCAAAGCCTGGTGCTTGCCATCTAGCCGGTTGTCCACCTTGATGTTCTTCGGCTTGGACGAGAACAGCTTCCCGCCTATCCTGCTCTTCCCCTCCTTCGGCTTCTGCAGCTGGAGCGGCTCAGGCGTCGACACTAGTTTAGGCGACGCGTGTGGTTGTTGTGTCCCCTCAATACCAGGCGAGTTCAGCGGACTCCGTGGAAAAGCCGCGTTCGCAGCGCTCGTCGCGGCCATCCTGCCTCCCCCAACTCCATTCGAATACGTAATGCCATTCGTCCTAAACGTGACCTGCGCCGGCACAGGCGGCGGACTCATCGGCTGGCCCCGTCCCGCAGGCACAGCTTCATTCGGAGCAGGTATCGTGGTAGAACGCTTGCGGTTGTGTTGGGGGTTCGAGGCATATGCGGCCTGAGCTGCGATCTGCGAGGCGGTAAGATGGGTCTGCGACGCCATGGTATTATCTCGGTCCCGTATAGAGCCCTCCTTCATAGAACTCAGACTAGGCTCGAAGTAACCCTGGGAGCGCTGGCGGGGGCGGTGTCCTAGATGCGCGCCAATGTGACTCTGGCTCTGTGTTGCATCGCGCACAATGCCTGGACGCGAGTAGTTTTGCGCAGCGGCACCGCGCGAGTCTGCTGATGTCGGCGACTTTGCGGACGAGGGCGAGAGTATCGAGGCGGGCAGGGGAGAGCGGCGTTGTTGCTGCTGCAGCGTCGCTTGGGAGCCGTCCGAGTCGGATTCGTCGAGCGAGGGGCGGTGAATCGAGGGCGTGTGAATCGATGGCGTTTGGGGAGGGGGTGAAGAGGGAGCCATCGTGGGCCGTCGCACTGCAGGCCGTCTCGTATTACCGCGTGGGTTGCTTTTGCGACAGTGTGGCTGTTTGCAGGGACAGGGTGTAGAGGCGGTGGCTGTAGATCTGGGCTGCAGACACGGGACGGATGGAAAGTGAATATGGGGGAGAGGGAAAGAGAAGTTCGTGTCTAGTCGTATTCCCTCATGGCCTGCATGGAGAGCGTAGCAGATACAGCGTTATCCAAGCTCAGAGCGGAGTGGTGGGAGGAGCTGACGTGCATCCAACTGCCACTGTTACATGCGCCGTTGATGGATCGACGTAGCGTGGCCGTGCTGTCTCCACCCCGAGCCGCTTGACCCCGCCTATCTTCAATTCAAGATCCATCAACTTCAAACAACCAACTGCATATCGAGCCCTACTTTCACAACACCATCACACCAAATCACCGAATCCCACCATTCAGCATGCCCTCCTTAACAGCAACATACACATCCCCAACCTCGTCCCCCCAAACCTTCACCTCCGAACTCCCCGCACTCGCCTCACCACCCACAACCACCAATCGCGTCGCCTATCTCGACACCCTCTCTACAACGCTCAGGGACCTGCAAAAAGACGTAAACGCATTCCTAACGCAAAAAATGGCCGACGACAAAGCCGCCGACGACGCAAAGGACGAGGAGACTTATGGCGAGGAAGTCGTTGATGAAGACTGAGGCTTGATTGCATTGAGAAGCGCATTCTTATAACAAGGATATACACACCAGCACAACCTCCTCCTGGACTATAACACACGACACGACCGCACCTACCGCCACCCCGAACTACCCGTCCTCCTCCCCACCGCACCTCCAAAACCACCACCCGTACCCACACCCACACTCCCCCTCGCACACCCACTATGCACAACACTATTATCCGGGAAAACTCTTATCGCACTCCCGCCAAACCTCTTATGACAAACCGCACAATGCCTCTCCTCATCAATCACCACCCTGCGATTCAATCCGCCAGGCACCTTCCTGCCATACATATCCAGCTTATCCTCTTTCCCTAGCAGCACCGCTGCCTCAACAGCCACTTTCTCCACACCCCTCAAATGCGCAACAATGCGCTCTTCGTTTAATAGGGAATTGGCGTTGCGGATGCGGCCGAAGAAGTAGGATTCTAGGTCCTTAACGGGTAGGGTAGGTGGTATGAGGTCAAGGGTTGTGGCTGCGGGAAGGCGAGCGCCGTGTTTCGATAAAAGATCGAGGGCTGGGGGCCAATTTGGTTGGTGGGGCGGTGGGGGTTGCAGGTAGAGTGAGAGGAGGACGTGGTAGATGGAGAGTTCCGTGTCTTCGATTGTGCCGCGGGTTGCTTGGGGGGAGCGGTCGGGGGAGGTTGCTGTAGGGGGTGCGGTGTAGACTTGGTTGCAGTATCTGGGTGGTTGTGTTAGTGAGATGTTGCTCGATGGTAGGCAAGTATGTTGGAGTAGAATGGAAGGACATACTCTTCAGCTTTCTGGTAATCCTTCAACTGAAAGACGTAAATCGCCAATGCCTGCTTATGACTTCCCATCTTACTCAGCACGATAGCCCTCGCTTCGTAGTAATCAGGATCTGTACCTCTCATTAGCAAACGTTCGCAATTTCCAACCTCCATGTCATATCGGCAATCAACATACCATTTGCCGGAAGTTGCTGAAACACCCTATACCGATTATACTGCGCATTCCCCTTTTTCAAGAAAGTTTCCAACCTCCCCTTCCAATCCCTCTTCTCACTCTGCCCTTCCTCCCCCTCACCAAACTCCCCCGCTTTCAACCTCTCCAACAACAAATCCACAAGCCTCTGGTGGAAATCCACATTCAAATCATTCAGCTCCTCGATAATGTGTTCGAGATATCTGACTGCGAGTTTTAAATCTATATTTTGTAGAAACTCGAGGACGCGGTCGCGAGGCAGTGTCTCAGCGTTCTCGGTATCAGCGAGGAAGATCTCCATGCCGAGTTTGGGATCCGTGCGGAGCGGCCATTCCGCGTATTCGAGAATGAGGTCGATGAGTTCAGGGGGCAGAGCCTGTAAATACCCTACCGTCCTTTGCGGTCCTTGTAGTGCGGGGGACACTTCCTCGTCGGCTTCGTTCTTGCCGAATTTCTCGAGTAATTCTAGGGCCTGGCGATGCAATTTCTTGCCGTGCAGGAAGTCGATTAGATCGGCGTATCGACCTGTTTCGTAGAGCTTCTCTTGTACGACGTCTGGTTCGCAGAAATTGGGGAGACGGAAGAGGGAGCCGGCTACACTGGGATTCGCAATCATGTACGCGCGGAAGAGGGTTGTGTCAACGAGTTGAGCCACTTCGAGCAGTTTTGCTTTCCAATCTACAGGAGATTGGAGCGAGGACTCTTCGATAAAGATGTGGAACGGTGGCTTTTCGGCTTCGAGTTGGCTGCCGCTAGGTGTAGGCAGAGGCTCTTTGAGGTTGCCGTCGGTGTCGATGTAGCGCTTGATTTGGACGCGACATTGAGTGAGGAAAGACTGCAGAGCGCGAACAGAGTCTTTGAACTCTTTCTCTGCGGCCGCTTTGTCTGGCTGGGAGGGGTCGGTTGGCCTCTTCTTTACACTCGCCGGTTCCATGGTATCGTCTTTGGCCGAGTTGGTGCGGATAGAAGCAGCGTCTGAATCGACTTTCTTATGGCCTCCGACTCCAAACCGGCCCATCATCGACCGCCCGATCGTGGCCACGGGAGCCGGCGTGCTTTCTTCTTGTTCTTTCGTCGGTTTCTCTCCATTTGCTTCTTCCTCGTCCGCCACACTCCCATCACCCTTGACGCTCTCTTCCGGTGCTAGGTTGCCAGCGATAGACCTGGGGTACATTGCGATGACGCGCTCAGGCGGGGCCTTTGCATCGACAAACAACTCCATGGCCTCGCGATACTTCCTCTGGTCGAACAAGGCTTGGGCTTTCAGGATCTGTATCTCTCGCACTCTCTCTTCCTTGTCAAGAAGCAGAGTATCTTCTAGCATGTTGAGAAGACTGAGCGACTCGTCGTAGCGTCCATTGGCAACCAGCTCATCAATCTGTGTCTCATAGCTTTGCGCTCCCATTCGCCATATCGACCGATCGCTCGCGACGAGGAAACCCTTTCCGGCGTGGGCTAAGCTGATGTTTGGCTGCGGTACGTGGAGGAAGCTGACGTTGGGTAGTGCGATTGTCTGTAGCAGGCTCAGTGTATCAGGGTTCCTGACTTCCAGACTGCCCTTCGCGGGAGGTAGCAGTGTGAGCATGTACGGGTAGGAATATGCGATGGTCTCGGGGGCGGAATGCCAGGGCACTTGCCGCTTCTCAAGGGCATTCCCGTCTGTATCGATGAAAAGGCTATTGACATCTTTCGCCAACAGCATCTCGCCCTCTCCAAGCCGTGTCGCGAGCGGTTTGGGGACCCAACTGCCCATGCCCATGTATCCCATGCCTGACGACGAAACTGCGCCGAAGCGTGCTCCGCCCTGACTCCCGTTCTCAGCCAACGCGCCTGGTTTGATGATATCCTGAACCTCCTGCGTTTCGATGTTGACCATTACGAAGCCAGGGTCCATTCCGGCGACTATCTTGGTGCCTGTCGCCCATGTCAGGCTCTTGACGGAAGCAATGAGCGAGATCTCCACCGCGTCACCCGTCAGCTCCATGTCCTGCCATGTCCACAGTATGATCTTCCGCTTCACCGCGACAGCCAAGTGGCTCACGATAGAAGGTATGCCAGTAGAAGGGTCCTTGACGATGTTGCTCGCCGCAGCGAACGTAGTCGCACCCCGTGTCTTCTCGAGCTTCTCCTGCAACTGGTACGTCTGAATGTCGTGGATCGAGACATAGTTGTCTGACAGCGAGACCAGAATATTCGCTTCCTTAATAATCGCCAGCTGCTGTATCGGGCGTCGGGAGAACTTCTCCTCTTCGCGTAGGAGGTCGGCGGGTCTGGCTTTTGGCGTGGCAGGTGCTTCGCTTTCACCGTTCGGGTCGCCGTTCTGCTTGCGGTCGGGCTCTACATCCTCAATCTGGTCGTTTACGCGGTAGATGCGCAGAGCGCCCGTGTTCAAGCCGACAAGTACGCGGTCGCCTGCTCGTGTTAGTAAGCTGGGGAGTTGCTGCAGGCGGGTGCTGTACCATATGCGAGGATGGACTCGATCTTTGACTTGTCGCGCTGCTTGAGCTCGACGATGGGTCGGGCGGTGAATGCAGAGAGCATTATGGCTATTGTATCGACTGCGACTTCATTTGGCCATGGTTATGCCGCTATGCGACGGTTGCTGCAGGCTCCATGGGTGCATGGGATGCGCCTGGAGCTCGGCGGTCATCGTCATTGCCGCGGAGCTTTGGCCAGGGTCCAGCCAGCCACGTGCAGCCACATTACTCTGGGCGACTTGACTGCTTCAATCAACAGATACAAACAACCACGTTTGAAAGACAATATCGAGATCAGATGCTTTGCATTGATAATCTATCTAATCTATCTAAGGTGCTCGCCCGGTTAATAGGCATTTGAGCGAGAAACAGAATGAGAGTGGGTGTTGCTGGTTGAGCGAGTGGGAAAACAACTTCAAACATGACTGTGCAGTAACAGGATAAGGGAGGATATTTGAAATTTCTACCTTTGGTCCATCATGCGTACATTGTGGCAGGACCATCTCTCCCTCATTTTTCACACCCATTGACACACCACTCGAGTGGGTTCATCGGGCCGTCCGGCAACCACCACCAACATCCTGGAAAAACGCCCGCAATAACAGGTCCCGGGCGCAAGCGCCTCCAGGATCAACTCAAGCGGCGGTTCTAAAGAAAGAACACAGCAGAAACCAACCCTTCATCCAGAGGGACGAGGATGCTTCCACCCGTACAAACAAACACAAAAATGTCGGCTTTCAACGTCAACATATCTTCCTCATCTCTCCCAACGCGGTCCTCTCGAAAAAGCACTGGAAGAAAGGAAAACAGGAGGAAAGCACAACGCTTGTTACCAATCAGCACATCAACCCCTCCTCTTGACCCCCAACACGCAGCCACAAGCAACGGGTGCAAAGCATACAAAGCCAGAAGTGGGCTGGTGAGCCAAAACAGGAGTCGGAGGGGCGTGGCGAATGAGCGAGTCATATCCACATATTGCCGGTTCGTGTCCAGCAAACACAGCACTACCCCCGTCGCGGCCTCGAACCACAATCATCATGCACACCAAGAGGTCACCTGTGCAGCGCGCCAAGCGGGCAAGCCACGGCGAGGCGGGGTGCGGCGGCGATACAGCGTCTAGGTGTGGGAATGAAGGGCAAGGGAAACGGGGATGTAGGAGGGCTGGACAGAGGATCGGGCGTAAGGGACCTCGGGGACAGACATACTCAAGGAGATATACACAAAACCTCATCATTTGATGGAAAGACATCTGCAGACAAACACACAAAACATCTCGGGTAGCAAGGAGAGTAATGGAAAGGTACAAAAGTAGTTGGTCTGCAGAGCTTCGCTGTCAAACTTTTGGCGACGAGGGGATATCAATCCAACACGCACTCGCAAGAGAGAGCAGTGACGCAAACGAATAAACACAAAGAAAATTACATCGTGGTTTGGGTATATTGAGCAAAGGGCCAAAATGTAAGAATCAAAACACCGACACATGCACAGCGGAGAAGCAAGCTTCATCAACGCGGTATGCATGTGCCCGAACCCCTTCCCCAGAGAGCGTGTTATCGCATCATCGTGAAAGGAAGGGGAAAAGAAAACTTCAAACACAAGGTTCGGTCTGAGCAATTACGGCTCATCGCAGGTCGGTCAGGTTCGCAGGATTGTCTAATAGTAAGACCAGTCGTTGACCGGTTGACGCAGAAGGCAAGCCGAAAGGTCAGGTGGTCGACAACTGGCTTACGGGTAATTTCGACAAAATATGGATCTTATATGAACGGGTTCTGCTGCTGTTTTTCCTGCGGATAGGGCGACTGAGTGTATTGATGTGGGTCGGAGAACGGACCGGAGCGGTCGTCGGCTGGTGAGGGATCAGCGAGCTGGCCATGGCTGCTTGTGCGTAGATGCCCTGGGCGTGCGGAGTCGGTCACCGCGCGTAAGCCAACTCGGCCAACCTTCTCTGTTACTGGCTCGATATTGTCGCCAGATTCGAATGTAGAGAAAGGCCGGGGGGCGAGCGTGTATGGTGCTGCCTTGTTCACGTTGTAGTCGTTGGGCACGTATTGCGGCGGCGCGGTGGTGGGGTAATCGGCGCTGGGCTTGGGCTCACGGTCGAGAGCGGGGTTGACGACATAGGGATTGCATCCGAGTTCTGGATCGTCACGGTGGAAGAGATGGGTCGAAGCGTAGACAAGGCCGCCAAGGGCAATGAAGAGCCAAATGAGAATCAAGGCGGTGGAGATGAGCGCTTCGGTTTGAATACCGCTCATCAGCTTGTCGATAACGCGTTCGACGGCTTCGGTGATCTCGTCCTTTGCTTTGCCGTTCGGGTCAGCGAGCAGTTGGTTGGCAGAGCCTGAGTCGCTTTGCTCAGCAAGGGCTCCAATAGAGAGTGTGTCGTTTGCGACGCCAGGGAAGTTGACGTGCGCGTGCTCTTGGACCCAAGTGAGGCCACTTTGGAAGCTGGCGATCTTCAGGCCGATCAGGCAATTGAGAACTTCCTTGATCGGGTCGTAAAGTACAGTGCCACCGAACGTGTCGTTGAGCGTGGTGCTCATCTGATCCACAAAGGCGTTGAGAGTGTCGTTGACTGCCGTCGTACTGGTGTTTACCCAGCCGAAAATGTCATCATTGATCGTGTTATCCAAGTCAGCGACGGCGCCGTTAACGCCGTTAGACCATGACATAGACGCGTTATTTAGCGATTCAACGACTTTTCCGGCAAAGTCAGCGACTTGATCCGTGAGCTCTGGGGTCTTGTCTTCGATGGCCTTGAGCAAGAGGTATTGGCAGAAGCATGCAAAGAGACCAGCGATGCCCAGAGAGATCAAGAACATCATGGGAATGGAAGTGGCGTAGGCCCAGGCCCAGCGCATGACAGCTTGTCGACGAGCTGAGCCGAAGCGCCTGCCGAACCACAGGCCGATGCCAGAAGATGTTGGCCGGGACGCGAGATAGACGACGTCCATAGCATCGTGACCCTCGGCGAAGAGAGCGGCACGTTCTTGCATCCTCCGGTAGCGGCGCATCTCCATCCACGCCATCGGGACGCAAACAAGGATGGCGGCAACGATGAGCACACCGAGCGCGATCTTCCGTGCGTTGTAGGCCAGCTCGATCAGATCATCGAAGAACTCGTTGATCGAGTTGCCGTCGGAGCAGAAGGTAAGTGCTTCCTTCTGTGGCACAGGAAGAGCTGTACGGTCGAACTCGAATGTGTCCATCCCGCGGATCAACTTCTTGACCTCTTCGAAAGGCAGGCGGATGATACCATCCGTAAAGTTTTGCACCTGATCGAAGGTCGGGATAGAGTTGTTGAGCTTCTGGAGACCCTCTGACATCTCGGGAGGCATCTCTAGTGCCTTGAGCTTCTTGATCTGGTCGTCCAGGTTGATTTCTGGCTTTTTGAATCCCGGAAGGTTGAAGTTGATCTTGTCCATGATGGAGTTGATGCCGTCGGAAACGGACTTGACGGCGTCGCCCATGTCTTCGGTGACAGACTCGATAGTCTCGTCGAGCTGTTTGTTGATAGCTTCGCCGATTTCTACAGCGGCGTGAAGACTGCCGCTGACAGCGAGGGTGATTAGGCAGAGGTAGGTACTTGTCATCATGTGAATGACGAAGAGGATAATCTCTTCGACACCAGTGACACTCATTTCGAGCATTTGCATGAGGCCACTGATTGCCTTCTCAACCCCCGAAGCTGTCATTTCGTTGACGCCCTTGGCCATGTAGTGGGGCATGGAGGCCATGGAGCTGCCGATGTTCTCGACTTGGGTGCAAGCACTGAGGGCTTCCCGACGGGCGGAAACGAGGCTTGCGTCGGTGCTTGCGATGGCGATGAGTAGTCGCACAAGGACTAGGAGCAGTAGGATCGTCCAGCGATTGATCCATATCTGTGAGAGCCTAGCTCGAAGGCCGAGGTATGGTTTGAAGTTTGGTGTCTGGTTTATTGTAGGTCGTGGTGCATCTTGCGATGGGTAGTAGTCTCGCATCTCATGACTATCGCCAGCGGACATAGATGGAGGCACAGGTGGAAAGAGTTGCTGTTGGTTCGCAGAGGAAGCCATGGCGAAGGAGTATGGCTGTGAAACGTGGTCTGGCTGGCGTATTAGACTCTGAGGTTCAGGATCAATGATGAAGCAGTAAACAAGTGCGGTCGTAGTAGTAGGCCAGCTAGATCATGAATGTCTTCCAGAGACAAGGTAGCGACGTAGGAAAAGTATTAAGCGAAGTATTGCGATGTGAAGACAATAGACAACAATAGGAAACCCCAACGCTCCGTACAATGCAATAGGAAAAGGTGGTAGTGAAGCAGCAAGGTGAAGAAGACTGGAGTGGGGAAGAACGCTGTGAATATCTACTTCACAGCGACTAGGGTAAAATGACTGGAATCCACGTACCGCGAGAGAGCGAGGACCAGTAGCAGGCCTCCCCACCAGGTACCAATGATACCTCGAGAAGAGGCTTGCACGACCAGAGAGTTTCAGCAGGGCATACACGATCGTGAGGCTCAAGTTAGAACAGGCAAATCTAGGAAAGGTGGTGGCCCGAGAATACGCGCCCGCAGAAGTGGAGCAAGCCACTCCCGACCAGTCACCCGGTCAGTTGTAGAAAGGCCCAAAACAAGACACTAGAACAGATCTAACTGCCAGCGTCTGTTATTTTGGGCCGATTTGGCCTCGAGTGGTTGTCGCAAGTCGAGCCGGGTGTCCTTTGTTCCACGGCTTGCGCTCGTTGGCGTGCGATATTCCCGCAGACGGTGGAGGAAGGCAGGTGCACGACCTCGTGACGTCTGGGGTCGTCGCAGCGTGAGAAGGTTGTCGAGCGCAAGGGAACACGACCTCTGAACGTCGGTCGATGGCAGAGGAGGTGCTCAAGGCGCGGAGAGATGCGCGACGCGGCCATTATGTAGCAACACGTCGCCGCACGGCTGTCCGAAGGCCTGTGGCGCCGTCATGCCTTGATTTCGCGTTTCTGCAGCTAGCGAAGACGTCATACCCAGTCTGGTCTTCTGCAGCTGTCAAAGAGCCAACTTCCACCCAAGAATTTCATCAACAGTGTCGCCAGAATTTGCGCATTCTGTGGATTCCAAAATAGCACGAGCGCTCAAATGACGCGCCGTCATACTTGACCGTGAAGATGCCGTAGCCACAAATCTGATCAATACGCCAAGTTGCATGCGTGGCTGCGGCGTAGCGCTGGTGTGGAGCCATGCGCCGGTCGCTCCTGCCCCGATTGACTCTGTCCAATCAAGCCACATTCGCTAAGAAGGCTCAAACACGTCCCTGTCGTCCCAACTTCATCTCCTCCATCCCGTTTCGACATATTCTTCTGTACTGCATCAACGCCAACAATGATATTCATGCCCGACGTCTTTCTGCATGGCCATGCTGTACATACGAATACGAGTACTCTCGCTTACGATTTTGCCTCCCGTATCACATGTCTTTGGAGCTCAATACTGCGACCACCATAGATTTTACCACACCGCTGATATAGTCAACCTATCTTACACCTTACCTACTCTGACCTCTCTCTTGTCCGCTGGAAGGTTGCTGATATGTTAGATTACGTGGCATAACTGAGTCTCTCAATGTAGAACCTGCTCCGTGAGATGCATTCCCTTGATGGATGTCTATCTAATCACTGCTAAACCGCTGATGTCTACTTCTCTTCATAGTTATATGGTACGAAGTCACTGCTCCGAAGCGCGACACGCCTCTGGATGAGATGACGATGCATGAGTCTTGCTAAGGTTGTCGTTGTCAACAACCTTCATTGGCAGTCACTTCCTCATGTCGGACGCACTTGTCGTATCCCGAGCGCGCTTTCCTCTTGTCTCCTGCTGACCAGCACATACACTCAACAGTTCATCTCTGAGCCTTTGTCTCCTATGCCGTCATCATCTCTCCATCCAATCCCCTTTCGTATATTGTTCTTCGTCTACCGTCTATGATTATCGTCCGCTTGCCTCTCCTTGATAGCGCTGGTCGCTACCCGTCATTCGTTTTCTGTTCTCGATCTGCCTAGGTCAGGTCAGATCCGGAGAGTGGTGAGGTGAACGCGAGCTTCTAGCACGTTCCGCGTCCACGATGAGCCCGGGCGTCGCTTTTGCAACTCGACCGTGCAGGCCGTGCTCGGTGACGAGAAACCTCACCTTACCCCACCAACCGCAAATTACCACTTGTTTACCCACTCCTCTTTGCCCACTCGTTCACTACAATCGCGCCATACTCGTTTTGGAACTTCTCAATTGCTCGCACTTTGCATTGCCTGACGTGACGTAACTTTATTGACCACTCGCAGTACATATCAGATTCCTCCACTTTCGAACCGACCGCACTTGTTACTACTCGCCCGAATCGTCCCCTCCCGTCCTATACTTTGTTATCAGTTTGGAGAGCGCACAACCGAAGAGACCGCAATCGCTTTCCAATATTACCGCTCTCGCGACAGCGTACCGCATCCTTGTCCCCACTCCGCTCGATACACCGCTGGTCGAGCAGGTGAACACGTACCTTAGCCCGGTGACCCATATCGCAGGCTACCGCTGAGAGAATAATAACTTCGATCACGCAGAACGTACGCTCTCATTCTCACCGTTCTATCATCGCTAGGCAGGCCCTATGGCAGCTAAGACATATATTAGGCAACTTCTCAACTCTACAATAACACACATTTCTGTCGGTAAACCTCTTCTACCAAGACTTCACGAGACATTTCCTTCAACTCACCAACTACACTTCGCGTAAGCTTGTTCATATGAGCAATCAGGCCTGCCTCATTCGCTCACTTTGAGGTCCAGGACAAGCGCTCGGGTTCAACAACTTGGCGCCTCACTATCTCCCCAGGTATCCTGTAAACCCCGCACTTGCAAGGCCCAGACTCTCAGGTACGTGACAAACACATTGTATATCAATGCAGCGTTCTCCGAAACCTCGAGGCGGTGTCGACTCAAACCTCGTCTACTGGTCTCCCGCAGATGACTGAAGTATCCGCGCTATCTACCTCACCCCGCGTATCAAGTGTTCGGGCAGCAAACTCATTTCTACCACCATCGCGAAGGCGATGACGCTGTCTTTTGACCCGAACCAGTGCACGTGTAGTGAATCTCTGCTAATTGAACCTCGTGTATAGTCGGGGTACTTAGATTGATCCAGTCTCTCACAACCGCTTGGGCTCCTACCCTTACCACTCTTGGCTCTATCAGACCTACAAATTACAGTCTCAACACATCGTTGTTCTCCACCGCATCCACACATCACCTACACGCTACAGCCCCACGCAAAGTTGAATACCGTTGGTCTTTACCTCTAGGGTTTGAAACATTGCACAGCCCCAGCGCCTATCTTTCTTCCTACACCACCTCCTTCAATGCCACCTTCTATGGTCGATCCCATCAAATTCGTAACTGGGGACTCAGTCGCGACACCCAGCAAGGCCTTTGCACCAGAACTCCAGGTTACCAAGGTTACGTCTCCAACGTCCGACTCTAGCGGTGATACTCTTCACGACGAGAGCTCTGACGTCCGCTCCAGCGGCGATGGTCTTGAGACTCCCAACAGTCCTGTCAGCCCAGAGAACCTCAACTTCAACGGTTTGGCTATCATTGGCGGTGGTGTTGATCTCCACAAGGGTAGCGTATACCGCTACACTAACCCTTATCAGCGCGGACAGAAGCAACACAACGAACCGAGTGTCTATGGTCCTCCTGGTCGTGGATTCGGTGGCAACAATCGATTCGGAGCTGGTTACAACGGTCGAGGAGGAGGAGGTGGTGGTGGTGGTACAGGTAGTTTCCGCAACTCCTGCACATGGATGTCCCCAGACGCACAAGTCCAGCAAGAGTTCCTCATGATCCGTAATGCAATGCGCCGACTCTTCAAGAACTCTGACGTCTCAAAGTGGAAGTTTAGCGACTACGTTGCTCATAAGGAGGCTATGCTAGCATCGCAGGCGAGCAAGCTCGCAAATCAGGTTAAGAGCAAGGAAGACGCCCGTTTCGTATCCTCCTCCATCTCCTCTGACGTCAAGAAGACACTCACTAGGTGCGGTCTAAAAGGCAACTTTGAAGAGATCGGAAACTACGGCCGCGCTCTAGGTGAGCAAACCATCTGGTGCAACGACTGGGAGAACGGCAAGGACGAGATCGCTCCGTGGCCCTCAATGGCTGAGATGAAGTGGGAAGGTGATGACCGAGCCAAGACAGGCGTTGGTCGCTTCCTTCCTCTTCCCCGTGAAGAAGGTCCTCCAGGCCTCATGTGGAACCAGCTCCCCGCCATAGAGCAGTATCCTATGGATCAAGTCTGCAAGATCCCCACCATGGAAGACGTCTATCTCCCCGTCGACTACCATATCGAGCCAGACCACGAGTACCTCTGGAACAAGGGCTTGGAGAAGGAGATGGACGACTTCCTGGAGTCATAACGACCTCCTTCCACGCACGAAGCCTCTCCCTGTTGCATTCACGCTTCTACATCATGGTCTGCAGGTCAGCTTTCATCTTTGGAGCACTTCAGGTTTCGCATCGATTTGGCTCACGTCCAGCTTCCAACCAATGTGACTATTAGCTACTACAACTGTCACCGACCTATCTGTGGCCAAATCGATCCTCTTCCCGGTGAGATGCCGGTTGTTTCCCTTATGTTCTGGGCTTTAGCTTCCTATGGAGTTCTTCGCATCTTTTGGGTTTGGAGTTACGACACATAGACGATACGGTACGGATCTACTCATGCACACAGCCAACGATCATGGAGATACAGCACAAAGCCTCCTCCTCACTCTTTGATACTCTGGCTGTCATGACTTGCGTTGCTGGCTTCTGGTCTAACCGGAGGGTAGCTATGGAACACGAGTCTTGACTCATGTGCACTGCTTGCGTTGAATTTCTTTCCTTTTCGGATTACAACAAAATGGAGGGTCACTGGGGGGATGCGGCGGAATTGATATTGGGCATCGGGGCCGGATGCGTTCGGTTTCATTGCGTTGGTGCGTTCTGCGATCACATATCCTAGTTACTCTCCCCCCCCCAAAAAAAGTGCTTTACACTTCTGCTTCCCGCCGCTTCCTCAAGTAATACCGTGTCTAACATGCTCTCTAGAAGTTTCGAAGTCGTTGCGAAATGTCCCAATGACTCTCATCGCTACTACACAATCTTGCCAGCGCTTCCGCCTAGACCCCTTCTTACGTCCAAATGCTCTCAGTCCCGCTCGCTTTTGGTAGCGCTGGCAGACCGCGCGAATCGAAGTGGTGGGTGTCTGGTTGGCCTTGTGTTGGTAATTGAACCGCGTGCCATTGGCCTTTGCAGCCGCGTGGCAGATCTGAGGGACTTCACATGTCATCGCCTGTCCGGAAAAGAGTGACACCCCCCGGACTCGCACGTGCTCCAAGTCTCGGGGAGACTGTTCTCGTCCGCGGTGAGCAAGTTTGATGGCTAGGCTCTGAAGCCACGAGCCACGTAGATTGGCTCTATCGAATCGACGCTGACGGCGAGACTACGTGCCCGATGGTACGGTGATAATGACAACAGCCGTTGACAACGCGGCTGCTTTGGGGTCGGACATGCTGCTGATATATGGTTCGTCCGTGAGGTAATGCTGACAATCCAAGTATCGGCGCCGAATAATAACAAAGTCACGCGTGACAAAGTCGAAGAGAACCAGAGATCGTATACTTGAACAACCGGACGATCTCGCATACTTGATATACATGCACACCCGACGCCTTATTCAATTTCCCTTTCCTGCTCTACCCTGTAATACCCCAATCAAGACCGCACCATAGCGCCACAAGCAGTAGATACGCCCGATCGGGTGCCTTAATGCGAGGCGCCCATCATCCGCTAACGCGAAGCGGCGGCGATCACGCTTCTTTGCCAACACATCACCGCATCTCACCAGCGTACAGGAAGGCGTTATCATGGGTCATTATTGCGCCGTGTACTGTACCACGGGTTCCCTTAGATTTCGCTTACAGCTCACATCACGATCGTGGCAGGGGGGTCGGTTCGCAAAGTGCATCTTCAAGTCTACACTTTACCAACTCCCCTCCACTTCCCAGCCTCAGCCTCATATCAAGTGCTATCGTCTTCCTCCTCCAAATCCTTGGTCATATGCAAAATCCTAATCCCCTCCCCATTCGGACACTGCACTACATCCACCCTCCCACTCCTCACATACCCACACCTCTCATACAACTGCACTCCACTCAGCGTAGCCCCCATTTCCAGCTTTTTGAAACCCTCAGTCTCACCTTCCTTCCCTTCCCTCGCCCTCGCCTCACAATGCCGCATCATCATCGTGCCCAGGCCTTTTCGTGCATATTGCGGACTCGTGAAGATTGCTCGTATGCTCGCGCGGTCAACGGCTGGGTCGCGCTTTTCTGGCATGCGCAAAGGAGAAGGGGCAGAGTCGCCGCCGTAGAGTGTTTTGCGAAAGGACCAGCCGCCGCAGGCGCAGATTGTGCTTGGGGAGGAGAGGGGGTGGAGGATGTAGTATGTTCTGTGTGGCATAATCAACCTACTACTCCTGCATTCTCTTTCTGCCCTTCCACTATCAAGTCTTTGGCGTCTGATCTTTGGCAATGGAGAAAAGAGGGGTACATCATCCCCCTTCCGCAAACGGATAATGCTTGATGACACTTGATGACGGACGCCTTATAATCGATGATTATGATTAGAACTATACGTACTGGTCTTGTATGAGAACGGAATCTGGACCGAAGAGATAGCCTATTGAGCCATCGAGCTCGGCTTCTGTGTAGTACCCTTTCCCCAAGCTGCGGAGGGAGGATGCGATCATGGATTGTAGGGAGGGTATGTCGGCGGGGGTTGCGGGGCGGAAGGCGTATTGGTGGGTTGCTTCTTGGGCTTTTGCGGAGGCGACGGGGTCGTGCATTTTAGAATGTGAATTTATGTTCTATAATGTTTGGGTCCTGATTGTGGGTTGATTGTATATGGCTTTTGCTGCGTAGATGTATCTTTCTTGGTCGTTGGTGCGTTTGGCCCAATCATACGTTATCGTTATCGTGAGGCTTGGGAGTGGGATGCTTTCCGACGGAAACCATCCCTGTTCCGCAAGGCTGGTTGCTTCGTATCAATCATTCCGAAGTCGATATGGCGCGCCTTTCTTTCCAACGGTTACACGTATGAGTCGTAGAGGCGTATGTTCCTCGTCGTTATGGCGCATCTTCATAAGGTTTGCCGGACGGTGCGCTTTGACCACTGCCGGTTGAAGTCGTCCTTCTAACTTTCCGTCACTAGCACCCATGTGGCACCTTCGCCATCTTACACCAACTTTAGAGCAACAACTGTCCAACGACTCAACCTCTCGACGCTGACCGCAATAGAGTTGACAGCGAAAACCCTGCGATGTAGCCGCAATTTTCGGCTGGCCCAGAGTGAATAACGGCGTCCACACTTAGCGAGATGAACAGTCTGGAAAAGCGAACGCGAGCATCGACATGTTCATCACAATCAATGCCGTTTTCCCTGCGAGTCATATTGCCAGAACCTTAGGGTTGGAGCGACTCATCGACTCAACGGCAAACACCAGGCGTGAGGTTGAAACGATCGTGCCTTCCTTGCGAGTCATCCTGCGCGGGCAGGTGATGCGGATGAATAAGGTTGCAGAAAGATCATGGAAGCATCAATCGCAAGATCCTCAACAACGACAACACCCTGCAGTGGCTGATGTTGTACCTGCTTCTTTTGCTTCCAAGACCTTTTCGTTTTTGGTGTCCGCCGGACGAAGCAGGGGACAGACTCGTGCACCAAGGGTGCTGTGATGGCTAGTACCTTCTGGACAAATTGCATCAACATCGCCTGCAGCATTATGACAGCAGATTGACGTGGGTTGAAGCGAGCTCGTCTTACATGCCCGGTCTGACAGCATCGCATACACCAAACACACCCATCTATTGGAGTACCTTTGCGAACAGAATTCCATCGTCACCAGATGTCGCAGTCAAAGACAAGATGGTATGGTTCCCATGTGCGGCGCATTCCGCTCACAACGGTCAACTTGCGATGCTGGCGTTGCCAGCGTTTGGCCATCTTTGGTGCGCTTGCTTTTTGTATCACGTTGGGCGTTGAAACAGCTAACAGCGTCAGGCGAATTTAAAATAGCACACGGTCCATAACGGGACGCTCCCGTGACGTCGATCAGCCCTATACGAGCAACGGCAAGTAAATATGCGAAAGCTTATTTGCGTTTGGAAGCGTTCTTGACAACGAACAGGAACTTCGCTATATGCAAAACCGCCGTATCATGCAGAAATATCTCCATTCGTAGACGGTCCAATCGCATCCTATGTCGGGACTCGTCCTCGCATTGCTTGCGATGAAGTCATTCCGCCTTTTCGAGACAGCCGTTTTCTTGTCAGCTCAACTTCTTACACTGACAGCTCGGGGACGGTCGTCGCTGGGGCCAATGATTTACAGCAGAGTTTACAACATACCGAGGCACGGCAGGCACGTTGCGGACGCACTAGGAACATCCTCGCGTGGGGCACTGCCTTGTAGCAAGATCAGCCGGGGGGACTAAAAAGTAAAGCCCAAGCGCATGAATGGTGATAGTGCTTTTTCGGTAGTCGGATCGCATGAAGGTCCTGAGTGGTTGACAGTACAGGTTGTTCGAGTCGAGTCGGTTCAAAGTGGGACTGGTATTCCTCCGTACCCCATCTCCACCATGACTCTCATGAGAACTCAACCTACTTGGCAGCACTTGGTAGGAGTTGCATGACTGGGGCTTCTTGTCCTTGCAATACATCGATGCAGAGCCGGCCAATCCAGTGTCGAGTCGACGAACACCTTCCTCGGCTGCGATCATAGTTACCGACTGTTTCCACTTCATCGATCAGCCCACTGATACCTTGGCGGTGCCTGGCACTATGCCCTGTCTTCTCGACTTGATCGTCGTCATGGGTAGATTGAGCTTGGCCATATGTCTGGCCGAACATCTTAGGATTATAAGAAGGTAGGACGCCGGCTTCAGTTGGAGATCATCATCAGTCAACACTGTCACCAACACTACAGTTCATAGGCCCGGTGCTTACATTCGCTACTACCTTTTTCACTTCTTCTCTGTCTTCTTGTCAACAGCAGTTTCACCTTTCTTCTCACTTCGCCCAATTCATCCACCAGTCAACATCATGTACGCCAAATCCGTCCTCATCGCCGCCCTTGCCGGCTTCGCTGCCGCCAGCCCCATCGATATTGAGAGCCGCCAGCTCTTCGGTGGAATCGGCGGCACAGGATCCAGCTCCAGCGAGTTCAGCCGCGGCGGCTGCAAAGACGTCCTCTTCGCCTTTGCCCGTGGCTCCACCGAGATTGGCAACATGGGAACCGTCGTCGGACCTCCTACCTCGGACGGTCTCAAGAAAGAATTCGGAGCCGATGCCGTCGCCACAGAGGGAATCCCCTACGCCGCCTCCATCGGCACCAACGTCCTCCCCGGCGGCACCGACACACGCTCCAAGAACATGATGGCCGACACCCTCAACAGCATGGCACAGAAATGCCCAGACTCTGTCATCGTAGCTTCAGGCTACAGCCAGGGCGCAGCCGTCTGCCACCGCGCCATCGAAGGCCTCGACCCCGCCGTCATGGAGCAAATCGCCGGCGTCGTCACTTACGGCGACACCCAGAAGCTGCAGGACAGGAACCAGATCCCTAACTTCCCCAAGGAGAAGGTCAAGATCATTTGCCAGCCTGGCGATGCTGTTTGCTTGGGTACACTGAGCGTGCTGCCTGCGCACTTGACGTATGGTGTCCGCGCAGATGAGGGTGTGGCTTTCCTCGTGCAGCAGATTAAGGGGGTGCAGGCGAAGATCAAGGCGAGGAATGCGAAGAGGGAGGCCGAGAAGATGGACGCTGAGTTGCAGGAGGCGGTTAAGCGGGTCGCTAAGGAGATCAAGGCATAAGGGCTGATTTGAGATTGGGGTGATGGGATTTGGGGTTGGATACATGTGTGGCTGGATCACTTGGGGATTTCTTACGACTTTGCTTCTTTACCTTCTTTTATCTTCTTTTTGGATTGTAGTGTTGTCTTAACGAATTTGACTGAATTGGGCCCAGATAAGTTCTCCATCTCTGACGTTTACGTTGAGTGTATGTCTGCTCGTCTAGGATCTTTAATAATGATGACTACGCTGGTACCCAGATAGGCAACTTACGATAAGGTGTTGATTATAGCGCCGTCGCTTGCTCCGACTGCCCCGAATGCTCCCCGCTGCCTGCCCCGCTTTGATAAACCGCCGCGACGACTCAGGCTTCAGCCACCATTCTGCTAAGAAGGCGACACAAGCGACAACTCTCGATGCGTGGAAGTTTCATTGCGCCTTTTCCATTTTAGAATTCTCATTACCATGTGTTTGTCAGACTTCCAGTATGAGAAGCACATGGTACCGAGATGACATCAATACCAAGCGCATATCACACTACGAGCCCAAAGGCGCACGAACAAAGATATCCAACCCTCTCATCCTAAAGACGAGAGAATCTCTGGGTTAAGGCAATGTCCAGTGTACTATCAAACCGAATCGCTGCCGACCGCTGATGCCCCGCCATCCAGTCGTAGAATTCCAGGTCACGCCGTACGACATGCATACTAGCCATGTACACGTGTACAAGATGCAGACAAAGGTACGGGATTAGGGAGTGCCATGATGCTAGTCGTAACCATAGATTGAGCACTTCGTCCGGCCATTCACATCAAGCCCCGTTACACCATCACGCAGTGAGCCAGAAGCGGCCTTCAACGGCGCCGGCAGAAGCGCCAAATCGCCAATCACCATGTTACGCAGCATACCAAGAAGAGCCGAAGCGAGACTAGGTAGTCTGCCACCATGGTGGAGTAACGCAGTAGCTCGCGGACGATCATTCGCTGGGAGAGTACCTGTGCGGACCATTCGAGCACATACACTCTCCTACCTCTACCAGATCAAGACGAACTACTACACAACTCACCAACGCAAAAACCTCTAAACATCGTCCATCAAACAATACCAAACACTACACGGTCACCATGCCCTCCCCACCACCCACCCCAGAAGAAACCCAGCGCCGCCAAACCGAAGCGCGCGCCGCCGTCACCGCATCTCTCGCCAGCGTCGGCGCATCCGTCGACAACGAGATGCGCACGCGCACCGCGGACCTCCACGCCAACTCTGCCGCAATCGCAAAGCAGGAAAAGGAGCTAGCGAAGCAGACGGCGGCGCTGGCGAAACAGACGGCGGAGTGGGATAAACTGCTGCAGGGGGGCACGAAGAAGTTGAATGAGGTGGGAGATATTCAGAATTGGGCGGAGATGATTGAGAGGGATTTGCTGGTGTTGGAAGAGACGGTCAGGCTGGTGGATGGGAAGGGAAGGGAGGAGTCGGCGAGTGGGACGGGTGGGTGGTAGGTGGAGGAGTGGTGGTGGACAAGACTAGGGAATTGCATGGACTCTACGATGATGGTTCTGCTATGGGTATTGATGTGCTATCCAGTAATGCATAATATTGTTATCAAGTCTCAGAGTTACATACTCAGGTATGCGACGTCATTTGGTGTAGATAATGACTTGTCAGCTATCGGAAAGTATATGGGACGATGAACCATGGTGTAATCGCCCCGTGAGAGAACCCACGGACGTCCCAACAGGCCCAGCGCAACCGCGAGCGTGATTCTGTCTTGTCAGCGTCTGCAGAGGAAGTGAAGACAGCGCGTCGCTTTCGTGACGCTCTAAGCTTGGATCAGCGGGCACGGACCACGTCTCCATCATTGCGGAAACTGCTACTTGCGGTGCTCGTAGCTGTAGCTCCAACAACACCTTCACCTCACCCACCCGCTCTCCCGCCGACATAGAGGCTTCCGCTAAATCACGGTTGGCACTTGCACCCTGCCACAAAGCCCCCAACTAGCTGCCCAAGATCCACGCCTGCACCGTGGAATCTACCAGCAACCCAACACCCACGCCTCTTCTCCGCCAACCCGCCCGCTTCTAGCCATCGCAACATTTCGCGGCGACCGCTTTTGTGAGCAGACCCACCGACGACATACATCATCACGACCCCGCTTTTCGCTCCACTAAAGCCGCAGCCACTTTGGGTTTCTGCGCTTCCGGTAAAGGCAATCGCAGCCTGCCCTTAGAAACCTCTCACGCCACGGACACGGCGCCGCGCTATCCGACCGCCTACACGCAACCACTGTTCGCTAGACACCAGCTTCATAGAGCTTGCATGTGAGCAAGCTTCGTCTTCCGAGCGCCCGGCGCAAACATGAAGATCAAGAAACAGGCTACATCGCGACATGAGTCGACTCTGGTAAGCTGAAGCTCCCCGCGCTCCCCTCCCATGCCACTACTAACACCGCCGTAGTCGTCGATGATAGCAGACTTTGTGAAGGCGACCGAGTCAATACCGCTGTTCCAGCTGCCCGCACATCTCGCCTCGTTCCCCAGGCACTGGCCCTTTCCCCGCGGTGACGCATACCACTGGATCCCCGCCCTGAACCGCTTCGACCACATCCTCGAGCTCTTCAACAAGGAATATGGCCTGGTAGACGGACCCCAGACACAGGCCTTCCAGCGCCGGCTGCTGCTCAAGGGCGATGCCGAGGAAGGAAGCACCAGCTCCGAGCAAACCACGACCGATGCCGTCCTGGATACCCTGCACGTATCGTGGGATGGCGATCGCGAGCTGGTCGAGCAGATTCTCAACTTCACGCGAATGCTCCTGGAGAACTGCGGGAACCGTAGCCTGTACTCCAGCAGCGAGCGCCTGGACAAGCTGCTAAACACGACTTCCACATCCCTCCTCAAGGCCACGCTTCGCCTAGGCCATCGCCTCGCTCAGCGCTATGCTGCCGCACGCATGCGCTTGGCCCCGGCCACCCTACACCCGTCCCTCCTCTCTAGCCACTACAACATCAACCTCGACAAGGTTCAGAAGCTGGCTAGCCCATTCGCAAAAGGCCCCGCATCGGCAGCACCTATCTTCGGTACTCCAGCAGGCAAGGGCAAGGACCGCGCTGGCAGCACTGATAAGGTCAGTCCGTCCGACCTGGTTGCTTTGTACTCTCTGTCCGAAGCAGCGATGAAGCAGGAGTTCGGAGGCATGCTCATCTCGTACTATGAACCCACTCCCTCATCCGAAGCAGAGAGCGGCAAACAGGCATCTACAGAGGCACCCGCGCCCACCACGCCAACTCCCGTACGGAGGACATCCAGCATGGGACCCAACCGAACACCGAGACAGCCCCAGCCTGCACCCGCCACCGATTCGCCGAGCACACCTGTCTTCACTCCCGGACAGCCCAGTAATACAACGAACGGACCCAAGACTTTTCAGTTGTCAGCGGACAAGATTAACAAGACCGATATACATGACCTGATAAAGGAGGGACTTGCAAGTCTACCGGAGACGGTGCACTACGAATTCCTCCACAAGCTTCGCATCGCAAAGATGTTCAATGAGGGCCGCACAGGGCGCGACAGTGCAGTCGCCATCCGCCTACTGTCCATTGCAAACATCGGTTACGTACACGTCGAGAAGGAGTTCATGGCCAAGCTTGGTCAGCAAGATGCAGACGAGCCACGCCGGTTACAACTTGCCTACCAGCTCTCTGAGTTGGTCCATCCGCCGGGCAACGGCGAGACTGGCATTTCGATGGAGCTGCAGACCTACACCATGAGCGCCCTCGAGGCCCTTGCCAAGCACAAGTCTAAAGCGGCTGATGTTTGCACTGCTCTCAGTGTCAACGTCAACCACGGTGTGTTGTTCTACGTTGTGCGCAAGCTGGTCGCTGGACTTGGCGAGGAAACTGGCAACCCGGATGATATCGAGGAGGATGAGTGGCGCGACGCTTTATTCTCTCTGCTGAATACTCTACCAACATCTCAAACGCGCACCGGTGAGCAGATGGTGGCTGCGGGGCTTCTGGAAATTCTTGTGGATGTCCTCAAGCTGCGCACAGCAAAGGCAGAGCGCAACCACCCCAAGATTCTCAACTTCCTTGATACCTTTGTGTACAACCTGCGAGACGCCTTCTCAGCCCTCGTGGCCGCAAAGGGGCTAGAAATCATTGCTGATCTGATGCAATACGAGGTCGACACCTCCAAGAAGCTCGCAGAGGAGGACAAGGGTATGCCCAAGGAGTACAAGACGCAGCTTACTGATTATCAAATTCCGTTCTATCACCAGCAAAGTCTACGCTGGCTTTTCAAGTTCCTCAACCACATGATGTCGCACACAGGCGGTAACTTCGATCGCTTAATGCGAAACTTGCTTGACTCACAACAGCTACTCAGCAGCCTGCGCACTGTGCTATCAAACGCCAAGACGTTCGGCTCAACTGTTTGGAGCATGGCTGTCACGATCCTTACCAGCTTCATCAACAATGAACCCACTAGCTACCAAGTCATCGCCGAGGCAGGTCTTAGCGATGCGTTCTTGGAGACAGTGGCTGGAGAGCCTGCTTCAGAATCGACGGCTGCAGCCAACAATGACCCCAGTGCTTCAACACCAACGACATACGCTCCTCGAGAGGGCGGAAAGCCACTTGCCGAGGGTATCTTGCCTGTAGCTGAGGCTATCTCGACCCTGCCACCGGCTTTTGACGGTATCTGCTTGGCTGAAGCTGGTATGAAGCTGTTCCAGTCATCGACCGCCCTCCAGCGATTCTTTGAGATCTTCGAGAGCCCTGCTCACATCAAAGCTCTTGACGCCGATACAGAGATGCCTACCTTGATCGGAAACTCTTTCGATGAGCTAGTGCGCCATCACCCACCTCTAAAGGCGCGTGTTCTTTCCTGTCTAAGCGAGCTGATCGCACGTGTGGTCCAACTTTGCGCCGACAAGGCCGAGAAGGAAGGTGTAGGAGCCAAGCTCTGGACCGAGGATGCTGCTGGAAAGCTCACCGTGGCAGGCGGCCGTCAAGCGCTTTCTGCATCGGGCTCGCAGCAAAGTACAGCTCAAGCATCAGGGACCACAAGCACTGATGTGGAGATGAAGGATGCTCATGAGACTGCCAACGAACCAGTCGCTTACGGTCAAATCACCGAGACTGAGGACAGCACCAAGGGCCCTACCACCGGTCAGTACATTCGCGTACTCTGCCGTTTCCTCTCTGGGTTCTTCTCGAACCACGCCATGTGCGCTGCGTACGTCGAGCTTGATGGTGTAGACTCTATCCTTGACATTTCCAGTCTCGCTTGCTTAGACCCAAAGGCAAGCGAGTACCGCAGCATGTGCGAGCAATTTGGTCATGTTATCCAGGTACTCGTCGAGCAGAAACCTCATATTGCGGTGCCATCTTTGATCAAGCGGACACAAGTGGCCTTGGAGCGCCTGCAGCCCCTCCTCGATCACACCGGAAAGCAAGCCTTCTTCGCACCTTTCACAAGCACTGGTACTTCCCAGAGTCCAGAGCACATGCAGCAAGGTACACAATATGTCAAAGCATTGGTGTCAGCCCATACCCTCGTGGGAGCCATGACCTTGACCTTCCAGAGCCAGATGTACACCACCCGTTCCTCTCACAATGTCTCTAGTCAAGTCAATCTTGCGGACATGTACGCGCGCCTTGTGGACAGTCTCGGAAAGCTGCACCGAAGCTGTGTTTGGGAAGAGCTTTTGCTCCAGCGCAACATGCCCACAGAATGGGAGAAGGAGACGCGGATCACCAGTTCTGGTTTCGGCAACGATGAAGCCGATAACGTGTTCCGTCTTGGAAACAGTGTGAACGAATCACCTGCCAACGGAGACGCTGCTGCCTCTGGATCAGCTTCTGAGAACACAGCTCCAAGCCAGAACAGTGCACAGTTCAAGAACACGCAAACTCTCCGCAATCTACTTAGTAGGATACCTATGGAAGTCGCACCGTTCTTCCAGTCGCTTGGCAAATTGCTCTTGTTTCGCCGCAGTCTTGAGGCTTACCAGAGGCAATCCGCTACGGTCGTGTCAGACCAGCTTGCCCAGGCAGTCATTGACCAGCTTGAGTACGAAGGTCCCAAGGAATCAGAGATCATTGAAGACCGCTATGCTTACTGGATCATCATTCTTACTTCGCTGTCACAGCTCATCGTCGAGGTAAACCTCGATCGGTCGCAAGCGTTGACGCTGTTGCTTGTGTCCTTCCGCAACCTCGGTGGATTCGACGTTCTAGCGAACATCCTCAACCAGTTTTACGAATCCGCTCTTGAGATCACCCAGAAGCAGACAGAAGACACTAGCGAGGAGTCAAAGCGAGTGCTCAACCTCTCTCTCGGAGGGATCAAGATCATTCTGGCGTTTTTCTCCCAGATCATCAACTTCAAAGTCATCTCAGAGTCGCCACAGACGTCATCGATGCAAACCCGGCCAGATCGCGATCGGGAGCGGGCTGACCACTTCTTAACTGCTCAATTTCTCGTCGAGATACGCTACGCCGTTATCGTGCCTGTGGAGAAGATCTGGAATTCTGATCTCATGGATAAGGCAACTACGTCACTAGTGAAGACCTCTG